CGCAGTACTAAGCCTGTCGGCTTAGTATCCTAGTCTTTTGCTCCTGACGCAGCGGTTATCTCTCTGGAATGCGCCCTAGATGAGTGGCCGTGACAAGTACAGTGTCTGGTTATGGTTCTGAAGAGTCAAGAGTGAAGTAATCAAGCTATATACCCAAGTTTGAACTGCATTCACAGTATACCTAAATCATTTGACCTGAGTTCTTGAAGACAAAGTGATAGAAGAAGACATAATGATTTGAATGATATAGAAATAAAGGGATTTGAACTATGTCTTTATGGTTTTCTTGAAAAACAGTACTTCTACTGATAAAGATACACATACTTTACAGTTTCTACAAATATATATATCTATGACTTTACATGCTGTTTTATTGATGACCTCTACTGATCACCCACCACATCAATATCATTGAATATTACCTGTAATCTGTGGGTGACCACACCTACTGTTCACTTTTTATATGACTATCTCTTTACAATTCATTATGTTGATAGAGTATTGAGTGAAAAGTCTACAGGGTGACGGAACAGCTGTAAAAAACAGAGATGAATCATCAATTTTATCCAGCCAAAAGAGGAAAGGCGTCAAGAAATTATGCATATGCAGGTTCATGCGGATCAGTGGAGGTTGAACCTCAACGAACCTCTGGAGGTTAATGGGCGGTTGGAGGTTAGGAAGGTTGGAGGTTAGGAAGGTTGGAGGTTAGGAAGGTTGGAGGTTAGGAAGGTTGGAGGTTAGGAAGGTTGGAACCTCACCTCAAGAGGTGAGGTTCGAGGTTCCGGGGTAGGGACCCATGCGGAGGTTCAAAGCCAGGTCTAGTGGCCAGCCCGCTTACAAGGCCAGCTCGCTTACCGAATACGTTAGTACGAATGTTGAGATATATGTATATGTAAATATATTGTGTATTGAAATTATAAGACTTCTATAATAATTATATCCTATAATATTTAGGACTAACATATTAATAATAAACAACTTTAAACTCAGCTATGTTATATTATATACTATCTATACAAAAGAATAACTATTTTCCTCGAATAGTCCATAATTACTTATTGACCAGTTGTTAACCGGTTGACAACTAGTTGCATCCCATTTCTCGCTGTTGATGACGCAGAGGGCGTAGTGCGTTATAAACTTGAGTCAGGACTCAAGGTTGGGAAGGGTATTATTATCGAGGCTGTTCCAGTCGACAGGAGGGCTTGGCGGCGGTTCCCGTCCGACTGCTCGAACCATCGATCGAAAGGAGTTGCCGATTGGGGCAGTTACAAGAAGCACAACTCGTTTGCCTATGTAAGGGAATGTTTTAGCATTCTCGGAACAAGATGGAGATATGCCTCAAGCCTGAAAGACAACCTGCCTTCGTCTTCAAATACGCGTGGTTTCTTCTCGGCCTCCTCATCACTTCCAGAGGAAGATGTTAACTCGTCCTCCGAGAACTCATCACTGATCTCAGAGGCATCCATAGGAAGTGGATTGTCTTCAAGGGCCACGACTCGGGATGCGACGTGTGTTAGTGTCTATTTGGGAAGACCAGATGGCCGGGCGAGGGAAGGAAGGGTGGATGACAGCGTCGTTTGCCAAGCCGACTGTGAGCACCACGCGGCAGTCTGTGAAGGGCAAACAGACCTCTAGGATGTTTGCTTTTTCTCTGGCTCTGGCGGGACAGTCGCACGTCCATAACAACTGATCGTACGATCAGTCGCATCTAGCGCCCTATATAGCAGCGAAGGTTATGCCTGAGCCCTTGTCTCCTGTTGCCCTTCACATCACCTTCCGTATTCCATATAAAATGGCGTTTTCTAGGACATTGATACCTCAACTACAGGAGGGGTTTTAGAGTTGTAATTTATTATACCAGGATACCCCCTAATTTTAAGAAGCAGTCTGCTTAATGTATATAAGTAAATATAGTAGCTATAGTAGTTATAGTAAGCTTACCAGAATGACAGAAAACCAGCATCTTCCGCATTGATCCTATGCCGATCTTTGGTTTTTTGGATAATAGGGCCCAAATTAAGGTGCTTTGGAAGGCGTTTTTCGAAGCGATATGGCCACATTTTACTGACAGTATCTTGGCGGCCAGCGCGCACTAGCGGCTTCGCAGGCGGCGGTAACGCGTGATTCGTCCGTTTTTTGGGGTCGGCATGCTGGGTAGCGAGATATGGGCAAAAAAAGACGATAATAGGTGATTTTTGGCAGAATATGTAACTATGAGTTTTTTTTATGACGTTAGTTAGCTAAGAATGCTGATCAATCATTTGGGTGAATGAATAATTAGCCTACTTGCGTCGCCACTGGGGCCTGGATCAACTTTTCTTGCTCTGATTCATTTGCAGAAGGATTAATTTTTAATTTCCGAAGCCCGTCCTTGCTACAGTATAAAGACTCTAGGTAGATTCCGTACCAATAGATTTTTTCTTAGATTAAGCAAACTTTCGACGTTAGTAGCGTCATAATCAACTTTCCGATATTTTGGATCCTCCCCCTACCCTATGGCTTCACAACATCCTATTATTGTTGTTCTTGGATCAACGGGAAATCAGGGCAGAGGCGTGGTACAATCACTTCTGCGCGAACCCTCGCCTACGACGTGGCATGTTCGCGCCGTTACCCGGAATTCGGAATCTCCTGCGGCCCAGGAGCTTCTGAATGCTTTCCAAACGCCCGACAAGCGCTTGAGTCTTCAGGCTGGTGATATTTACGATATAGCAAGCCTCGAAGATGCTTTCAGTGGGGCGCATGGTGTGTTTGCGGTGACTAGCGAACACTCGAGCAAAATTATTGCGAACGAAGAAGGCATGAAACATGAACTACAAGCCGGCAGAAACATTGTTGGTGCCGCGAAAAGTTGCAATGTGAAGCACTTCGTTCTCAGCAGCTTGCCCGACATGAAAAAAGTCACGTCGGGACGGTTTGAAAAGATCTTTCATATGGACCATAAGTCCATTATTGAGCAATGGGCCAAAGAAGAACTATCAGCAGTAACCTGCCTCATTCCTGGTAAGTTTCGTGGTATTGAAGCAAGTACATTGTACTTGCCGCTTCTTTTTGAAAATAACATGTATTAATGCCCTCTTATCTCCCCATAGGTCTTTTTCTCACCAATTTGAAGCGCCCACAGTACTGCCGGAGAGAAGGTCAGACCCACGTTGCTCATGTCTAGTACTTTTTTAACTTCGAAACGGTAGATGGAGTTGTTCGCTTTTGTCCACCGATCCCGGCCACCAAGCTTGTTGAATGGGTCGATCCCGAGCACGACATGGGGCTCTTTGCTGCACGTAAGATCTGCCATCAACCTATGGCTATAATACAACCATTTCGTGTTGCTCAAGCTTATCTTTCTACTATAGGAGTCTTTTCCCTGGGAATCACGAAGACAAATGGCAAGAACTATTTTGTTGGTGGTAAAAAGTTCCGCATGCAAGATCTCGCTTCGACATTCACACGACACACTGGCCAACCGGCAGTCTACAATCCGATCACTATTGATGAGTGGGCCGACATAGCTTCGCGTGAGGTTGGTCCCGGATTCAAAGAGGATATTCGCCAGATGATGGAATGGTTCTCAATTGCCCCAGAGGAGAAAAGATGTTATGGCGCCCTCGATCCTGCTGATGACGTTGCGCAAGAGGAACTTGGCTTAGGAGCTAGTTCCTTCGAAGATTGGTTGAAACGTTCTAATTGGGCTGGACCATAAGTGGTATCTGAGGGGAAGTCCTAAGAAATGCTTTTTTGAAGCCTTGATGAGTTATCCTGACTTTCTTTTGATTCAAAGTTTCGGATTATTTGATTGGCCGGTTCATTTTTCTGAGGCGAACGAAAGTCCACGATTTGTGAGAACTCAACAAGATTAGGTTGGAACTGATACAAATGCATATTCTTTTCCCGATCAGGCTTTGGGGAGCAAAACGAGCGAAGAGATCCGCTTACTCCCGGTAGACCTCGGTGGCCACACGGGGGTGAGATTTGTTGTTGGTGACCCTGCGGAGGTCACAGTAGTGTGTGTGTGTGTGTGTGTGTGTGTGTGTGTGTGTCTATTTAACGTCGAGGGGCGGATTTTTCCACAGAAAGATCCTGGTCCCGATGCGGGACATACGACGGGCAGATCAGAACTGCCTGTCACCTAGCTAAGCTACCATCTATCATCTATATACAGGTAGCCTCCCGCGCGGGGGGCTGCTTGGGTTTTCATGGCTGTCAACCAGTGAATTGAGCATATTGGTTTGGATAGAAAAACAAGAACACAAGCAAGAAGGATGGAGAAAAACAGGGTACACTAAGGGGAAGATGAAGGGAAGGGTCTGGAGAGAGGGATAGGGACCAGAGGTAGGTCTGGGCATCCCTGAATTTGGTGGATTTCGGTGGCCTAATGTCATTGGCATATATCTGTATAGAAGTTGGATTCTCCCAGCCAGCCTGCAAATACAGTGAAACCAGCCTTTGTGCTGAGGATCTCAGTCACTGACTTGCAGCCCCATGGATGTGGTCCGCTACATTGGTTTGTCCGTTTCACAAGGGATATAAGTCTCGTCAATGCTGATGGCACATTCCTCCTTTTCTTCTTTCCTCCTTATGTTGATTATTCTCGTTGATAGCTACCTAGGTAGAACACATGAGTTGATGTTCCATTATCCCAGCTGAGCTCCATGACATAATAATCAACATCTTCCTTTTATACCTTAGGGAGAGAAATGTCACAGGCTGCGCCTGTCGCATAAGCGATATGTCTAGTCAGGCGGAGAGGCTATCGGACGGAGAGGTTATCAGAGGAACTATTTACCCGCACTGCGCACACATGTATTTAGAGCCGCTTGATCAGGCATCCATTTGATATTTTTCCAATAAAATCTTTTGTGCCAAAGCTAGTCATTAGCATTTCTGGGCCTAGCCCTTAACATTAAATTTCATTCCTTTCCTTCTCTACTGGCCGTTCAATCGCGCAGTAGCCTTAGGATCGAATGCCAGCAGAATCACTACATGGATAAGGACCACACACGACGATGAGAGCCCAGCTCTACCATGAAAACAGATAAGGACCACATGATGATGAGAGCCCAGCTCTACCACGAAAACGGATAAGGACCACGCACGACGACGAGAGCCCAGCTCTACCATGACAATAACTACAACGATGAGAGCCATTGCTTTACTACATATCTACAATTGGCGAGACCCATGCCCACATACGAGGACCCTGCCACCAGTGACCACGACGAATCTACCTCCTCTGAAAGCAGCTCCTGCTTGGTGACCAGACAATCAGAAACTACGCACATGCAGAAAAGCCCAAACACCATGAGCCAAAGCTACAAAAACAATAGTGTGCACCAGCACCCCTGACAGGTCCTGCCTGACCCTGGGGTGTTCAAGGGAGACATTGCTTCCTATCAGAACTTCAAACACCTCCTGAAAGCAAAACTCTATGTGGACAAGCAAGCATTGGGCAGTCCTTATGAATGCCTCTGGTATGCTTATGGGTATGTTCATGCGCCAAATCCTGTTTACCGCGACGTGCCCTAGGAACGAGGTTTAGTATCTCTCCGACATGAAAAGCGGAAGGTATGCACGTCGCCTATGACAGCATGTAGATCGACATGGGCGAATGCTCGTCCTTTTGCGTTGGAAGCTGCGGACCGGAGGCAATTGTATGCATTCATAGCGAAGGGCGTCGAAAAGTAATTATTATCAGAATTCAAGATTAATATGTACAGTTATTATGCTGTAAGCCGTTTTATAAACTCCCCGCCACCTCGGAATGGGTGGAATGAGAATGAAACATGTCGCGAAATCATTCCAGCTCAACTGGTCTCATCCGCTGTTTCAGAAGACAATTCCGCTTTTTGATAGGTGAACGGCTTATTTCTCGTAGCAGACAGTTCGGCCACTTGCCCACCGTCGCCGTACATATCATGAGCATACGCATTAGGCGGGTATGCATCATGCGGGCTTTGTGGGATATGCACAGACGCAACCTGTCTAGCTTTCCGTCGCCGGAACCAGAAGAAGAACAGCGCGAGAATCGCCACAACAACCACACCAGCGGCAACGCCAACCCCGATTCCTGCCGTTGCGCCCGAGGAGAGTCCGGACGAACTGTCTGATCCTGCAGAGTCTTGCGACGATGTCGGTGTTGGGGAGTCCGGGGTGGCTGTTGCAGAAGCTGTGGCGGGTACGCTGCTAAAATCGGTGGACTGCCACCGGATTTCGATACCGAAGGCATTGACTGAGCCGGGGGAGCTCATTTCACCGATGGAGCTTGTTTTGGAACCATCTGAGTCGGTCCAGGTGTATGTATATTCGGTGATCACGTCTGAGGCAGGTCCCCAGGCGCAGACTTCTCTTGTCCACCAGTCTGCAGAGTCTGTGGCGGTGGTAGGTCGGAGGGAGTAGGTGCTTGATCCTGCACTGGAAAATTGGCGTCAGCTTCTCGAAACCTTATTGGGTCCCTCCGTCTCTTCCTCCTTGTTATTGCATATGAACACGTCACCCGAACTGAAATAGCTCTTTGAAGAAGGGACTCTCTTCTTTAATCACTTCCCACGATGCCCCGAACCCGTCTCTCAAGAGGCCTTGGAATGTGCATATTACAGAGCGGTCGGGACGAGTTCTCCTACATCCTCGTCCAAGCAAAGAATAGACAAAACTATGTACTTGGAGACGCTCTGAAGAAAAAACCTCGCCGTGCATGTGAGGATGCTGCCGGTCTCTTTGGTTCTGAAGTCCCACACCTTGGTATCCTGATGTCGCTACGCTCCAAGACCGGCCGGGAGAAAGTAGAGGTCATCTACCCCTTCGTATAAATAACCAATCGGGTCCCACACCGGAGTCAAAAACCGAAGGGACCTGCCGGGGTGACTGACATCTCTCGGGCTAGGTGAGAGTTTGTATCCTGGCGTGGCGTTACCGGGCGAGGCTTTCGGTGTCGCGGAGATTGCACGAATCTTCCAGTACCTGTGGAATCTGGTGGAGTGTGACGCAGTTATGTCGATGGTCAAGCATCTGATTACTCTCTACCATGAGAGGCTGATTTCTTTACGCCGGCGGACACGTGCGGTTGCTGGTAAATGATGGTTGATATTTTGTTTTTATTTCTGTCTTCTTTCTTCTAGCTGCACCTAGATTGGCATGTCTTTCAAGCACTTGACAATTACTCAGAGTCAACTACGTAGCTACACCCCTCACTCCATCTCCCCGCCCGAGCGATAAGAGCCCTAATTTACATTTCTTGGCGGAGATACCGTTTCACTTGTCTTATCTGATACGAACAAAGAAATATACTAAGCTATAGATACGAGGATCGGGCACTCAGGGAAACCGAACGAATCACATTGCTGACGTTCCCCGCATTCGTCGTTGCCGCATAGTAAGCCGGGTCTTGCTGCCTGTATGGGGACTCCGAGATGGATAGGAACTACATCTGGGCTCCGAATGTGCCAATGGGACGGCTTGTGTGTTATTCTTGGGAGCATGCTATGATTAGCATTATTATTAGGAATTGTTGTCCGAAGAGAGGCCGATAACGAGGTCGGAAGATATGGAATGCACCGAGACGGATATATATAATGGCCGTCTGACACCTAAAATGCTGGAGACCGGACTGCAGAGTTCTGGCAATCACTTCTCCTTTTGCTCGCTAGTCCAACATGAAAAGCCCTCTAAATTGTGCCCTATTGGGTCTAGGGCTATCCAGCCTCACTCTCGCCGCCGCTGTACAACGCGACGTCGAAGTCCTCCGCTTCTCCAACCCCGTCGACGTAACACCCGACTCATTGCACAACATCCACGTGGAGATCGTCGATAAAACCTTCGAGGGGCACCTGCGGCTTGTATACGGTGACTGCGACATCGGGCACGCCAGTAAAGGACACCACGACATCGGAAACGTACTCATCAAGCGAGATGCGCACCCGGAACGACTTGTTTGGATTACCCCGTCAGATGCACCACATTTACAATGCTTACATGCATTCTCGGAGTCCATTCTGGTCGGCCGCTCGTCGCCTATTAGCGTGGCTATACCGGTCAACAAGCGCGAGAGCCTCGCGGACCTGGCCGACATGGAAGGGCCTTGGTTCGATGGAGTAGCGTACATGAAGTCCAAACAACAAGATGCTGCCGTCGTTTCCAAAGCGAAGAATACCTCCGTCGCTATTATCGGTGGCGGAATGTCCGGCCTTATGACAAGTCACCTCCTCGAATCTGTTGGTATCCACGACTGGCACATTATGGAGTCGTCGGAGCGGATCGGTGGTCGCATTCGCACCAGGTATCTCAACAACTCATCGCCCGAGGATTACACGTACCAGGAGATGGGACCGATGCGGTTTCCTGTTAGCATTACGTACGCTGATACGAATGAGACGCTGCAGATTATGGACCATCGGATGGTGTTTCAGTTGGCAGGTGTGTTGAACAAGATGAACACCAAGGCAAACAAGACGGATCTGCAGGTAAACTTCATTCCCTGGATCCAGAGCAGCCCAAATGTCCCCGCGGATAGCGGTGGTGTTCGTCTCCCTGATGGCCGGATACCGAGTGCAGCGGATGTTGCTGCTAACTCATCGCTTGTGTATACGGCAGCGTCGTCGAATGCGACAGCTGCTGACGATGCAGAGGCCGCAGTTGACGACTACACGGGCATGAGCAACCGGAGCACGATCCGCAACTTTGCATCGAACATGTATAAGATGCACAAACACGCCGTTGACAACGGCCTGTTCCACTGGTCTGAGGCCGGGTACTTGCGGTACGCACTGGGTTACGACCCAAATATCTCAGACTATGTAGCTGGAACGACGGACACACCGATGTGGCTATACGAAGATGTCTACTTCGCCGCGACAGAATGGCGCACCATCGACAAGGGACTCGAATCTCTCCCGCGAGCCTTCTACCCCCACGTCTCCGATAGACTGACCCTAAACCGCACAATTGACGGCCTCGTCTACAACGAGACATCCGGGAAGATTGCAGTCGCATGGCGTGATGATTCCCTGTCTATGACACCCATCACGAAGGAATATGACTACGCCGTCGTCGCCGCGCCATTCAGCAAAGTCCGTCTCTGGTCCCTGCCCCAATATTCATCATTGCTCAGCCGCGCAGTCTCAACCCTGAACTACGGCCAATCGTGCAAAATGGCACTCATGTACAAAACCCGCTTCTGGGAGCACCTCCCCGAACCCATCTACGGCGGCTGTGGCACCGTCGACGTCGCCGGCGTCGGAAACGTCTGCTACCCGTCCTACAAAATGAACAGCACAGGCCGCGGCGTAATCCTCGCCTCCTACATTTCCGGCACAGAAGCGCGCTCGATAGCCGCCCTATCAGATGAAGAACACGTCGCGCTAATCCAGCGCACAATGGTCGAAGTCCACGGCCCCGTCGCCGCGGAGCAATTCACCGGTATCTACGATCGACAATGCTGGGAGGTTGATCGCCACCAGGCTGGTGCGTGGGCATCTCCGCTTATCGGGCAACAGGATTTGTATTTGCCTGCTTATTATCAGACGGAGTATAAGAGTATTTTTATCGGGGAGCATACGAGTTATACGCATGCTTGGATTTTTTCGGCGTTGGATTCGGCGGTTAGAGGGACAGTCCAGTTGTTACTGGATTTGGGGTTGGTGGATGAGGCGAAGGGAATTGTGGAGGAGTGGATGGGCAGGTGGATTAAGCTGTAACTTGTCTTTGGTATAGACTTTGGTTTGGATCTTGTATATAGTGATAGATCGGGTACATAAGATGTATGGATTGAATATGATTAACGTTAGATATATATGAAAAGCTTGGATATCTCGAATAGCACTGAGCAAACTACCGTGTCTCAAACTCGCTCTCCGCCTTCAGCCACGTCCCGAAATCCTTCAAACCAGGATGCACCTTCTTTAGCTCCAAGATATTGGCCTTATACCCCTCATCATGGAACCACTTAAACATATACCCCATATCCTTCATCGACGCCATAAACATAGAACAAAGGAACCGGAATGTCCACGGAACAGACTGCCCAGTCTTCTCCTCGAATACTTGCTTTGCCTGCTCGTACGTCAATTCATCCCCCGCCAACGAAACAGCCTGTCCCTTGTACTCCTCCGGCTTGAGTAACGCGTCCGCTGCAAAATACCCAATATCACTCGTGGCGACCATCTGAAGTGGCTTTCCCTTCAGCGCCATGTCATAGGACGTCATGAAGACTTTCCCGAAGAATCCAGGGACCACGTTCTCGTAGAAAGCTGTCGGGCGGAGGATTGTCCATTGCATTTCTGTGTTCTTGGACTTGTCGACGAGATGGTGCTCGATGTTGTGTTTGTTAATGAAGTGTGGGACTTTGGTGGGATTTTCGAACGAGTTTGTTCCGCGGTCGACGGAGCTGTAGACGAAGAATTTGACGCTTCGTTTGAGGGATTCGTCGATTAGGGCTTTGCCTTGGCGTTCTTCGGAGGCGCTGTTGCCGAGTGCCACCTGCGAAATATCTTGTCAGTTGCGGATTCATCAAAATGTGGGTAGAGGGCATGGCTTACCTGAACACTGAACACGCCCCATATCGGATTCCTAGTTACACTGCGCGCATTCTTGAATATCCCGGCTGGATCGTCCAAGTTCCCTTCAACTACCCGGATGTTGGATGATAGCTTGGCGAGGCGCTGCGCTGAGCCGGAGGTTGTGTTTCGGGTGACGGCTAGGATCTCGAAGGGGGCTTTCCGGGAGACTAGATTCTTGATCAAGGAGCCGCCTTGTTTCCCAGTTGCGCCTGTAATAAGTACTGCGGCCATGTTGGACATGTTGGATATATATCGGGAGGCGATGTTATTGGCGTCAATGCAATTCTGAGCGACAAGGAATTTTTCTGCAGCAATACACCATGTTTGTGAGTTGCCGTTGACGACCTTTAAATACTAATCATTCTAGCATATTATTTTCTTAATCGAATGGTAACGAAATTTTGGAAGGGACAAGTTTCGCCTGCGGCGTGCTTATATCATTCTCGGGGCTTCGGGGTTGAAATAACTAACTAGTTAGAGCCCGCGCCGCCGCGCTGACAAATACGTCGGAATAGTTAACGTAATTCCCGACCGAGTCGGCCACCCCACCCGAGTCGGCCACCCAACTGACGTCGGCCATGTTTAGGAAACTTGAAGCTATTCCCAACAACCAAAACACGTGTATTTCTATCAAAACTAATTATTCTGACGCGTAGGACATCTTATTCTAGTATGGCCTTGAATATTACATTCAGAACAGGTTGGTGGTGCACATCTTGGCACATTTGAAGTTGATGGTGCAGATGTTGTAGATGGATCACCTGCCTCATTCAGTTGCTGATTCCTCTGCCCTATTAGATCTCTAGCCTCCTGTACAGAAAGACCTTCATTTGGAGGCATCTGGCGCCTTGATCGACTTCTTTTCTGCTTCTCTTTTTCATTTGCAGCACGGAGATCATGGTTTTCCTTTGCCAGATATACAGCATTGTATAAAGCAATCTCACAGCCCTTTATTATCTGCCCTAGTGCTCTTTTTGATGGTGTTGAAGGACTTTGAGAGCCTCTTTTGAGAAGCTTCTTAACTGATGATGCCTGCCTCTGCAGTTGTCAAACTGTATGAGGTGTTGCTAGTGTTGAGGAGCTTGTTGATTGCTCTCCACAGCTAGGAGGGTTACTCCATTCGAACCCGCTGTAGCTGCTCAAACCATGCTTGGAGGACCTTAGGATCCTCACATTTAGCACGCTCAAAGTTGTATTTCCTGGCAAACTGGCTTTTAACCTCTTCACGTCGCTTGGCAAGTACTGAAACCCAGTTTTTGCCAACAGGTGTGTATAGAGATGGATTCTCAGATTGAAGAATAATATTGGCCATTTCTTCCACCTGTGATGGCCTAGGGGCTGCTCCACGCTTATCCCTTGATACTATCCATTCTATTAAAGTGTCCTCCTGAGTTTGAGATAGCCTATGACAGTTGGCGCGTTGTTCTGCGCGAAAATGAAGGCCATTCAATCAGTCCTGGAGAGTGGATCGAGGAACATTAAAGACTGCTGCTGCACGACGAACACTGGGAATTTCATTGTTTTTTAATGCATTTATGGCAAATTGGATCCTCCCCTCTTGCTCCACTGAATTTCGAGATGAAAGATGTCTTTTTGGTGGCATGGTGGTTGTTTGAACGGATAGAGTATCTAAATGCGCGGACTTTTGATGAGGTGGCCGACTCGGGTGGGGTGGCCGACTCGGTCGGGAATTACGTTAGCCAAACCTGGGGGGGTTCAAGTTCACTTGATTGATAATGACAGATCCACTGATCTGAAATTGATCAGAGCTCCACAGAAAGATTATCTAGCAAAATCCCGAGGCCGAGGAGTTAATGTTGACATTCTGTCATGCCGGATGTCGTTAACGACCGTCTCTATCAGGAAGAAGTATCCTCCCTGGTCAAAATGAATCCCAAAGCAAACCCCAATCAACGAAGCTGCCAACAATGCAGCCGCAAAAAAATCCGCTGCGACAAGGCCCAACCATGTCACAATTGCTCAAAGTCGCAGCTCGAGTGCATCTTTCCCGGACCAAGCCGCGCACCGCGGCAGTAGAAACGACCTTTGAAGGCTGAGCTGATATCGCGATTGAAGCGCCTGGAGGATGAGGTTAAGGGGTTGAGGGAGAGTACTGAGGAGACTAATAGAGTTAATCGATGCTCGTGTTCAGAGAATGCGGTGGTTTCGCGACTATCACCTCAGCGCCGCGCAAAGCCAGTCCCTATTGAATGTATACAAAGAACGGGTGGCACCAATGGTCATGATCTTCCATAAACCCAGCATTCGAAAACTAATATACAAAGCATCAACCAATGCTGAATACATTGATCGGACATCTGAAACAGTCATCTTTGCCATATACTTCGCAGCCGTCACCAGCTTCAAACCATCAGTCTCCCCACTATCTTGGTGAAGAGCATAGCACCGTACTCCAACGGTTGCGCTTTGCTGTACAGCAAGCACTTGCGCGAGCAGGCTTCCTCACGACGCGTAACCTGGCTGTCCTCCAGGCGACAGTCTTATTCCTCACTTGTCTCCGTCGACCAGAAGATGCGGACTTCGTTTGGACCATGTGGTCGTACTTAGACTAGCACGAGGACTTAGATTGCATCGCGATGGTACTAGGTTTGGGTTAACGCTGTTTGATACTGACATGCGACGGAGACTGTGGTGGTATATCTACTTATTGGATGTTCAGATTTGCGAGTATCATGCCATTAGCAGCGAGATCGAGGAGGACAGTGTCGATACCCAGCTACCATTGAATATTGACGATGCGGAGATATCTCCAGAATTTAGGGAAATCCCGAATGAACGGACGGGCTTCACGGAGATGACTTTCTGTCTAGCACGATGTGAAATGATAACTCTCAATCGACGACTTGCCCGTACTTCCTCGAGTCTTCCATTGGAGCAGACCCTTCAAGAACTGAGCAAGATACACACTCATATTCAAGGAAGATATCTGCAATACTATGACGTTTCCATCTCAATACAATGGGTAACCGCCACAATTCTCCGTTTAGTCATCGCCCGGTTATGGTTAGTTGCACACTTCCCACAGTTAACATCCGACGACTCCTTACCTCTGGACAGTCCCACGCGCAATCAACTCTTTCGGACGGCAGTGGAGGTCACAGAGTTTGCGTGTCTCCTCGAAACCGATGAGAGAACCGCGAAATGGTCCTGGCTGTTTAAGGGGTATGTCCAGTGGCATGCAATTGCATTCGTACTTTCTGAGTTGTGCAATCGGGGAGAATCTCCAGAGGACTTGCGCGTATGGGCGGTTGTAGAAGGGGCTTGCAATCGGTGGAAGGAGAGGGACTTTCAGGAGAAGGGGATTGTATTGAAAGCGATTACGCGGTTAATGGAGAGGGCTGCTAGGAGGCATGGACGATCAATGCCTGTGTAGACGAAAATAAACACAGCAATCAATAATTAGTCCAATTACTCCCACTCCCCAACACAGCTTGCCCCTTCGCTAAAGACCTCGACGGCTGCTCTCCCAGCCACTGCGGCTCCAACCGATCCAAATTCGCCTCAATCTCCCATCCCCGTCCACCCTCAACATACATGGACGTTCCATTCAACTTCTCATCCACCACCAGCCCCGCCGTAATCTTCGCAACATCCAATGGCAAGTTTTTCGGGAGACCAGCTTTCAACCAATCATGCTCAATCCCCTTCACCATTCCTGTGGTGGTCATCCAGGGACAAACGGCGTTTATGCGGAGTTGGTGCGGCGTGAAGGGAAGGTATTGGCGGAGAGAGCGCAGAATCCCTAGGACGCCGTGTTTGGATGCTTGGTAGACGAAAAGACCGGGTGATTCTTTGAAGCCGGCGATTGAGGAGATTAGGGTGATGGAGCGGTCTGTGTTGGGTGGGCGGTTTTGGCGGAGGTAGACGCTCGCGATGCGCGAGACGTAGAGGCAACCGTAGAGGTTGACATCCAGCACCTTTGTAGTCGCGGGCTGAGGATTATTAATATTTGTATGCAGAATTGAGAGACGGGAGTGGCATACCTCTCGAACATCCTCTAGTGTCAAGGCGGGATCGAACCAATTTCCGATCTCTTGGATTCCCGCCGCGGCGACGACATGGTCGATGTGACCATATGTCTCCAGAGCGGCGTCAAAGAGGGCCAGAATGGACTTGTAGTCCGTAACATCAGTTTGGTGGAAGATTGCTCTTGGTCTGGACGAAGACGATACAGAGAGCTCCCGTGCAAGTTGGTCACCTGCATCTGCCGCGGTATCGCCAAAGCAGACGTATGCACCGTTCTCGCAGCAGAGTTCGACAAGGCTAGCTCCAATGCCATTTGCTCCGCCTGCATGCATAGTTAGTAACCGATTCTCGCTAGACTAGGATTGGTCGTTCGTACCAGTGATTAGGATGACCTTTTTCGCCAGAGACTCTGGGGTGATATTGGGAATGAATTGTGCCATACTGACTCAGTCTCTTGCGAATACCTCAACGTAGTTGGATACTTCAATCTCAGAACTACATATATATACGACCGATATATACCCCGACAATATATGCCGTGCCTGCAGCTGTTGGGTATTTTCCGGTTCGCGGGGTATACCCAGGGGGTTTTCCGTTAGATCCAACCAATCGGCATGCATCGATGGCACAGTGGGACAGAGCTTAAACATCTTCATCCTACAGGGATTGACCGCTTACTGTTTCCAGGCTATTCTGCCGCAGACGATGAGCTGTACATGACCCCTTCCCTATTTGGGATGGATATTGCCCCGGTGTAGTTCTTCAGTAAGTTTCTACCCCTCAACGGAATAGGCGAGATCCTCGGTCATTATGAGAGCACCATTGGCCAATTACGATGGAGATGCTCGGAGTATTTAAACATCGTTATCAGCAATGCAATTGCATGATTGCATCCTTGCAATAAAATAACCCTGCAGAGACCGTGAGAATGCCCCTCGAGACCTATCACCACTCTTCCTCAACTAGAGGCCTGTCCAGCATCACCACCCTCATCGTCGGTGCCACTGAGTCCGTCCTAATTGATCCGCCCTTTCTCATTCAAGATGCTGAGTCCGTCGTTCGCTGGGTGAAGGCCACCACAACCACCCCCCTCAAAGCCGTCTTCGTAACCCACCACCACCCCGACCACTTCTTCTCCGCAAATCCCATCCTCGAAGCGTTCCCATCCGCAAAATTCTACGCAGCACCATACGTCCTCGCAGGAATCAACAGGGAATACGATGATAAAGTGAAATACTGGCCATCGATTTTCGGGAAGGAGAGTGTCCCCGAGGCGCCACGGAAGCCGGAAGCTTTTGATTTTACGTTCTTCATTTTGCAGGGCAACCCGGAGAATCCAGTCATGTTGCTGGGTCCGTTGCAGGGGGATTCGGTTGATCATACTATTTTTTGGTTGCCCGCGGAGAGGACGGTGATTTGTGGGGATACGGTTTATGGGAGGAGTACGCATGTTTGGTACACTATGCCCATTGTTGAGGCGGAATACGGATGGCTAACAGTATCCAGGGTCGAAGAAGTTGAAACGCCCGCATTGCTCGAAGCATGGAATAAATCACTGGATGTTATTTCATCTCTCAACCCGACCAAGGTCATCCCCGGTCATCTGGAGCCGGGATGGGAGCTTGATGCGCAAGCGGATCTCGCGCATACCAAGAAGTATCTTTCTGTGTTTGCAAACAAGGTAACCTATGCGTCGTCCAAGCCCAAGGTGAAAGACCTCCATGAGTGTTTCCAGAACGAGTTCAAACAGTGCAAGGAGAATTTGGACTTCTTCTTGGGACATCTGTCAAATCAATTTGGTGAGGGTGGTCAGGTCTGGGAGGAGAATAGACATCATGCTGTGGATAAGAGGAGTATTGAGAATTTGAATGGTTTCTGTTTCTAGTTGTGTTGTTGAAGAGACTGCGCGGCGTTTGACTTATTGTATCATTCCAGGTGTGGCTATATTGATCACATTAGTGCTGATTATTAAATTACATCTTCCACCGCCAGGGTGATCCCATCATAGCTTCAATCCTTACGATAAAACATGCCACGGTAGCTGCGAACAATAACACCCCGACCGTTATTCCTGCTCGCTCGTAGCTAATAGACGAAACCAGAGCCTTTGATTCCGGAATCAACAGTCCAGTTAGTGGTGTCCCAATTAAAGCACCCATTCCACGGATAAGGTACAAGGAACCATTGACGCTGGTGTAATTCTGCGCGCCAAACAGTTCGATCAAAGAGGCTGGAAATAGCGATATATATGCGCTCGCAAATGCACCATACAGAACCGTGAATGTAATAAACATTCCGTCCGCACTGGATCCCGAGATAGTCGAATCCTTGAACATGGACGGAAGCCAGAATCCAAATACCGCGACGGCGCTCAGCAATGTCGTAAAAGCCAAGGCATTAATCCGTCCGTATTTATCAGCACCGTATCCGATAATGATCCTGGATACAAAATTCGACGCATTGCTGACAGTGATGAAGTTCGTGGCCGTTGTATTGCTATACCCAAGTGCCCTGGCGTACGCCGCGTAGAAGAACAGAGGCGTCGAATATCCTGCCGATTGCAAGAAACACCCTGACCCCTGAGCGACGAATCGTTTCGTGCGCGCGACACGCCAGTTTATAAGCGGAATCTTCATCCATCCATTAACCCGACTCATACCCTGTGTCTGGACGCGGACTTGGTTTTCGAAGTCTGGCTCCCATCCCAAGCTGTATCCGGCAAGCGATACTAGAGTTACGGAAACGCAACCCGCAATCCTCAATGCATTTCTGAATCCAATGCTGTCGATGATAGCACTTAGGACCGGTGGCCAGACCATTCCTCCTACACCGGTGCCGGAGATAATCACACCCATTGCCAGTCCGCGCCGTTTATCGAACCATGTCGGTGCGACGGCCATTGTCGGTACGTAGGTCATACTAGTACCTATCCCCAGCAGCACGCCCTGAGTCAGAGTAAAATGCCATAGCTGCTTGCTGAAACTGGCGAGAATGAATGCGATACCGAACACCCATCCCCCAACAATGATGACCGCTTGCGGGGAGTACAGTTTGGCCCAGACCATGGTAAATGGGCCGCCCATTGACATAAATGCGATCGCTAACGTACCGATCAAGTTGATGAGTGCCGTGGAATTCCCGGTAAATGGTGTATTTGGTTGCGCGGCCATTTCTTCATAGAGTGACTGCCATACTCCGAAAGTGAAGATGAGCGCGCAGGTGGTGAACATCACCAGGAAACCGGCCGCTACGACCATGACGTAGCGCCTACAGACAACGTCCACGTTAGCGTTTTCTATAGCTTTTGGTGTTACGAAAAAGTGTCAAAATACCATTTTCCGTGTTTGAAATGCGGCCGCTCACTATCGGGAGTGTTTCCACTTGGTTCGCGTTTGTCGTCCTGCGACTCGACCGGAGTCTCGGCTTTTGCTTCTGTCATGCTGTATGCCAAGAAGCCTCCGTTCATATGTCCTGATACTCAACCAGGGTGTCGAATCCGCATTGAAAAAGAACAGGAAGAGACGGATGTGGGGAGCCGGGTGATCAAAAATGGATCACATCCGACGGCTAAATACATATCCATGGTTCCCGAAAGGGCAAAGTTTCAAGTCAACGGCATTTCGGGCGGAATGAAATGCCTTTGGATCGAATAAAATCCATCCGCGCAATCCTTGCCGTTAATAGTTGATGTAGATGGCATTTTCGGATATTCTCGGCCTCAGCCTTCTTTTCGACCACCACACAGACAGCACTCTGTCGGAGTGGCTTAGGGCAATTGTATATAACCCTAACAGATATAGCACTGGGCAGCAAAGTCTCGACTTCAGAAAACGAAAAGGCTTCTGATTTATTCAACTATCCGGTAGTGGGATATTGCGCTCGCGGGCTGTCGGGGTTGATTTCCAGAGGACGAAGTGATCGCCGCGTGCTTGGTGTGCGAAAAGTTCATGAAGACGAATGATAGTAAAGGTCACCGGGATATTGAAGATTTCGTGGTGCATATCAGGATAATCGACCCCTTCCACATCCTGGTGGGTTAGAGATTGCGATCATCTCTCCTAGAATGGCCGGACGCCATGAGTGTGAGAAGCGTATATTGAGTACGGAAGCCTCGTTGTCTGCTAACGACATCTTCGAAGGTTTGTCTTCGGTATCCGGTCCGGAAGGGTGCACGTCGCGCGTGCGCTGAACAAGGTCAGGACTTTTATGTTCAGCATGAGGCCCGTATTAGCTGTTCAATTAGATACTTTGATTGGTTCTTCCTCTTCCCGAATTCATGGAAGATTGGACGTACATCCAGGCTTGCGTGCTAGTTTGCGGTAGCGGTAGCTCTCAGCATTGAGCGCCATTTCAGCGGTATGCTGCGACCTGGTCTAGTAACAATAGGCTCTAACAATATAAAGAAGTAAAGGAGTCAGACAATGAGGATTATTTTCGAATGCTGAACTGACGTCGTCTACGGAGGTGGGGAAAGGAGGACGGGAGCACTTTCAAGGCAGGCCTCTCCTTGGTGTGCCCCGACCCTGCGGTGTGGATGATGACCAACTGTTCGACTATAACCATGGGCTTAGTACCGTGCAGCCGGAGGAGCTTCGGATGTGGGTTAGTGTCGCCCTGCCTTGGAAGAGGCTTTTGAACCGCCCCGGTTCAATCAGGATGAACATGCCCTCAACAGCGGTATTGTGGACAGATCTCTGTGGCAGATTGGCTTCAATAGCCTGTGCCTGCAAGCAAAAAACGTGTTAGTGCGTTGCGCAGCGTCCGTTCTGCAGTGACTTTACTGGCCTCATGTAGCCAGAGTCAAGCCTTTGAAGCCGTTCTACCACCCGTGCCGCCGCCTCCCCATGCTCTGGAAAAAAGGGATTGACCATCTGTTCAACCTCTGTTTCCGTGGTCCGCAAGTCCTGAGGCTCATCAGCAGCATGTCGACAAAAGCGACTCACCTTGATTCCCTCCTCCGTGAACCCCCCCCCCCCTTTCGTGGGCTTCGTGGTAAAGCGCGAGGGTGTACCAGTGTAAATGGATTCTTCCCATGATAAATTGCTAGCCAGACTACGGTTTGTGGTATGCCACCCCCGACGAGCTCTAAAACAAGCTTCTGGTCGTAGAGGCCAAGGAGCGATACCTGGCGGACTCTGCAGAGCCACGGCTACTTGGGAATATGGCTACGCAAATGTGGGACCTCCTTCACTATCGTTACTTTATTTTGCTAATTTGCGGCAGTGGTTCAAACATGCCCTCTCATCGTGCCGGGAAAGCGAACACGACCGGATCCTAAACCTCCTGTACATGTTATGTACGAATCCAGCATCTTATTCCTTCTATCCGAGACAGGCAACGTTGGAATACACTTAACACGAAGCTGAGAGCATGTAAGGCGACGCACAGCGCATTTGCGATGGACGAAGCAAGCATACCCTAACTTGACATCTATCTAGTCAGGCCGCTGCAGTCGTGCACCAGATGATGGAATGGAGGCGGCAGGCTGTCCAGACAGTCAAAACAGGCGGAAAGGGTCTTTTCAAGAGCCGAAAGGCTAGGTGGAACCAGTTCAGGGAGGTACAGAAGGGAAAGCTCCCGACCTACCCAGCCAATGAAATGACGCTTGAAGATTGTAGGAGACTTAAGGGATGAGATACACCAAAGTTTAAACCCAACCTTGGCTGGATACAACCAACGAGATCGATCGGGATCATCTCCTTGGTAAGCGGCCCATGTTTAAATAAAAATGCACTCGTCTAATTTATTCAGACATCATGTTGGAGAGAAACGAAAAATTCGCAAAGGGGTATGATCCCAATGAGTCTCCCATGCAAACCCGCAAGAGTATTTTGCAGGAACTCATCCATGCCCAGGTCTCCCTATGGGCCAATGCATCAACCGCAACCTGACAGACGCAGTCAGAGAGGTATCTAAAAGCTCTAGCGCTTGAAGGAAATTGCGTCGACCCTGACAAAAGAAGTGGCATGAGACTCCGATGAGAATGATCATCCCATGAGAGAAGGCATAAGCACGATTCTTATAGCTCCCATTGCAATCGCAATGGCGGGGGGCACTTTAAACCACGCACTCCCACCATATTTCACCACGCTATTCATGATGTGGGAATCAAGCACGTGTCTTACCACAATATTGGGAGTGCCATCGAGATAGACGGTTCTGAAGAGTGTCAACAGCTATTGATAGTGGACTTCGATTCACTGAAGGGAGCTTGATTGTTCCATATGTGCAGCCTCTGACAGCTTCGATCACGCTTGAACTTGCCAAGGGAGTCAATCCAGTCATCCAGATCGTTTATTATGCCATGATCTCTAAGAATCCAGCACTTCGTCGTGAAGATAACTAAGTTACATCCTTCCAGATAGTTGGAAGATGCGATAGCCCTTTCACCTTGTAACTCCCGCTCTGGTCTGTTTAGAAAATATGGATTATACCAGAACAGCCATTTATCCTGACCGGGCATTAATATGCCGTCATGTACAGTTTTGTATACATCTTTCACTCGTATGTAGTCTTTCCGTGGCATGACCTTGATCCGAGAAAACCATGGACTATCACTGTCCAGTATCGTCTCGATTATCCCAAGGCACGAAGTAGGAGGTTGTTGAAACAACATCCGCCTCCAATTTGCCTCTTCCCGGAAAAACGCCCGTTGCTTCGTCCAATAAATCATCGGAAATTGCAGCTGCTGGTACGACCGGTGCCGTCCTAGAGTGTTCAACTGCTTGCGAAGGAACTCAGGTCAGATGGTATCACTTAGGAGTGGATTTTGTTTTTGCTTGGACGTCTGTTTTTTCGGAGCCGGTTTGAAAAAGAGGTGTTCTTGGATACGATCCAAGCTTTTAATTATGGTATTCCACTGGTGGCATACACGTTGCGCGGAAGTCAGTAGTGTGCGCATGTCGGTTTGCAGGAAGATTTGTTCGAGGATCTCTGGGATCCAGGACATGGGTTTCTGGGGTTGCTCTGCGGACATTTTCGCGGGTAGGGATGTTGGTTGTTGGTGTTGTCGAGTACATTGGGAGGATGAGGATACTTGCGACGTGTTAGGCAACTATGCAGATTAGGCAACTTACTGGCGCATGACTAGTCAAGTCGTCAGCTACCAGCCGAATCGGAACAATGGGGCGGCATTTAAAGCCGCTCCAGACAGCATCACTTCGTGTAGGGTTAACTATGCGACTGCGACTGAACATGCACATTCTATCTCTCTGTTCCAGCGTATACTTGAAGCTAGAGACTTCTGAACGGGTTCGAGCGGCAACAGCATTGACCTTCTTCGCTTTGTGGGGGTAGAGAAGGAAACAGGGTTCCTTGTTCATTTCCATAGAGCCTGTCTAAGTAGTTAATGAAACTGGTCATCGCCTATTTCATGCTGTGGGTGCACTTGCCGTTGCAATACACATCATATATACCAAACTCCAATGGATTGCTCGATGGTAGTATGGTGCGTTGTGAGTCTCTTTCTTTGACTTCGAGTGGTTCATCTGCGATCAACAGGATATCATTCAACATAGAGAGGAAAACAGCTTCAGTGATGGAGCCGTTCTGCCGCAGTCCACCCAGCATCTCTCCGGTAATACCGTTGTATATGTGGACATTGCGAAAGCCAACACGGTTATCCATGGCGTGGGAGGACAAGGTTCAGGCTAACGAATGAGATGATCTGGGTTGGACCGATTTTAATGAGTCGAAAAGAGAATGAGAAAAATAACCCAGTAGGAAAGGCACTGCGGTAGACTTATGAGGTTGGGGTTGAGAAGTGGAGGAGAAAGAAAAGAAATGCGCGTAGACAACTAGGCATCTTCTAACATATGTTCTTCATTATGTCTTCAATGGATATTATATGACTGTCCACCCCAAAGTGAGTAACTTTATAATCTCCTATTAATGCTCTCAACTAAATTTTTTAATTGACAGTTCGGGTATAAAGTCATTGGTTTGATGAGGATCTTCTTATACTTAAAACATCAAGCATGCATATCCATCCTGCACTATCCAGCTACTTTCCTAGTTTTGTATCCTAGTACTGTACATAGTATGCCCTCAAACAAACTCCAGCCTGCCTTTCCCCTTCCTTTTACCAGAGTACACGAACGAACAAACACGAAACATCGTCAGCAATCAATCACTTCTGATAATCCTTAATGAAATTCGTCCCCGTATTCGGATTATTATACTCCCGATGCACCCTCGCCGTCCCATCATCAAACCGATCCACCTCCCTCAACTGATACGTCCCATCCGGCAACATTCTCTCCCGATGATGCTTGGTCGAGTCCTCCGCCCGATAATCATAATGCTCATCATATGCCCCCGTCACAGGGTCATACGCCGTGTGGCCACCGCCATCCTGCACGGCGATGTTGGAGTAGTCAGAGGGGTCGTAGCCGCGGATTCCTGAGGCGGTGGCAGCGGCAGGGGTGGAGTAGGGCTTTGGTTCGGAGGTTCCGCGTAGGCCGTAGTCAGTTATGGCGTCGTCTTCGTAGGTGCCGTAGGTTGTGTCGCCGGTGTAGGCAGTTTGGGCAGAATTGTCGATGTTGTTGATTGTGCGGAAAGTGGTGGTTGAGTAGTCTGTGGAGTCGGTCATTTTGTTTGTTCTGATTGTTTTCAAGTAATATTAGATTCTTGATATCGGGTCCATTGTGTCTCATATAGATTCCAGTGGTTTTTATAGACATGCGTGGCGTTGTGTATAAATAATGATATGCCACTGACATCAGAATAAACTACAAACAATCGCCTTCGAGGTCAATATCAATATCTGATTCGACCTCGAAGCTGCCATTGCTCATTAGATACCATCCTCGGGAACCAGGCGTCATTCAACCTGCTCAACAAACCTTGGATGATGCGCTGATGAGTATGCGAATCGGCTACTGTTCGCTTAGAGGACCCAAGTCCGTGGTTCCAACCAAACCACCCACAGCATTCCTGTAGCCTAAACAGCCACATGATAACCACGTTATAGTCTTTCTGCACGACAAAAATATACATAGAAACCCTTCTCGATTGACACTGATCTGCGAACTATACCGACCTGCGGTTCCGGGCTCCGCTCACTGTCACTGCCACACCTAGTTACCTCCCGAGGTGCCTTCAAACAAGCCGAATTCACTTCTGCCTTCAACACTGCCACTCGTATGCGTATCTACCCTCCCAGACAAACAATAACACATAATAACTAAAAGTAGGCGCTTACTCAGACCCGATCCGCACACGTCATGCCAAGAGATCCCAGCATCTGCGGGGAACTACCAAACGTCATGCCAGTCGTGGCTCCACGTGCCTTTCATTTCCGAGATTGCCGGCTTATATAGCCCAGCACCTTTCATAGACATTAGAGCTTTCATAGACTTATTATCATAATTCATAGAGACAGACAGAAGCTAAAAATGGCCGAGAACTTCGCTCTCGCAAACCGCGTCCGCCATCTCATCGTACAACCGTCTGACGCCGCCCTCGATCCGCCGGAGAGTTATCTGTTTGTGCAGGATGGGCTGATCATCTCGTGCGGTGTTATTTATGCGCTGTGTTATTTGTTCTGCATGATTCGGGCGTATAGCGATAGGACGCTGCCGGGGAAGGATTGGGGGAGTATTCAGTTTCTGTGCGCTTCCCTTTCTACCTTTAGCTATATTGATTAGGTTGGACTAATAGTGTCGCAGCGCCGGATGCATGGCCTACGAACTCTTCTATGCCTTCACAACAACAACAACGCAAAACGAAAAACTCTGCTTCCTAGCATGGTTTGAGCTGGATATCGCATTTACATCGCTCGTCGTGCGCCGTATATACGGCCCTGAACAGCGAAAGAAAATCGTCCGGAACATGATCCTCATGTTCACTGCCTGTGTCGCGGGTCTCTACGGATTAACGAAGTACTATCCCGACGAGCGCGAACAGGTCACCGCGTACTGGACGGGTCTTGCACTGCAGCTCCCGATTGGGTATGCTTGTTTGTACTTTTTGTGGAGGGATCAGGATACCGCGGGGCATTCTTTGGAGATTTGGTACCCCGTCCTTTCCCCGTACACGACTGGCCACTTGCTGATAAGGTACATAGGTTGACAAAGTACATTGGCTGCTACACGGCGTACGGCGTGTTTTTCTGGCGGTACTGGAATGTTCCGCAGAACTGGGAATATGTGGGGTCGCCGTTGAGCGTGGGGATTATTATCCTTACGTTGATTCCGGAGACGATTTATCCGTTTGTTTATATTAAGATTCATAACGAGAAGGAGAAGAAGGAGAAGGTGCAGTAGTGGGCATGCAGTGCAGTGTGGTTGATTGGATTGGATATAGCTGGAGCGTTGAGTGGGTGATGCTTATACCCGGTATGGTATGCTTGGATGGTGTGGGATGGTATTTACGATGGTGTTCTACTGGATATAGAGGTTTTTGTGTATAGCATTGAGCAAATGCAGATACGGGTTTCTTCAAATCACACTGGCTTCGATTACAGCGGCACAGCATCTGTATCCATTTCAAGAGTCTACCCAAATTCCCCTTCTCTCATTACATCCTTCCCTGTTACCACGCCACGATCCATCTTTAATCCATCTCATCGTATCCATTCCAGACATTAATAACAATTCAACACATAAGAACATAGGACCAGCTTCCTACACATATCCTGCATAATCCCATTTCAGGAACAGAGAGTTGCTTTCTACAAGCTTAGTCTGTTCATCCCATACTGCAAAGTTTACAAAGCCAGATGGAATTACCAGTTTACTCAAAGGGGCCCGGAAAGTCTCAACACCGGCAGCACAGAGCGGAAGATTTGTCCATGAACTGGAAGGCAAGATGGAATCATCTAAAGGGGCAATCAAAAGGAAAGCTCCCAACTTATCCAATTGTTAATATCTCCCCTGAAGAAGTAGAGGAAACTTGGGGGGATAGCCAGAACGCAATCTTAGCTAAATACAACCGACGAGATCGACAGGAACCCACTACTTGGTAAGCAGCTCATACATGAGATTCGGGATTTGTCCTGCTAGTTTTCAATACGAAGACAATACAATCGTTAGTCAAATCAGTACCGTTATTCATTTATCAGTCACAGACAATCGATCCCTCGGTCGATACAGACCCCATAAAAAGTGACTACAACATGAGTTTGAACGAGGCATAGCCGCAGACAAAGCCGTTGCGGAACTAACCAGTGTAATCTGGTCTTCAGCAACGGCACACGAAACTGTGATAGAAGTGAAGAGGGATGGCATAGCTGCCTTCGTGTGGAAGCGAAGCAGGATGAATCGCAAACATATACAATTACATTGACCATCTGTTTACCCATACCTCGTCGGAAATAACCAGTGAACCAAGTGGTATACACCAACAGAAATACATGTAAGTTCAAAATACGAAAAGAAAGAGCCAAGTCTCAGTCTTCATATATCGACTAACTGACATTTCTACTTTCTAGGGAATGCACCTGCAAGGCCTGTGGTACGTCCTTGCACGAGAAAGATGGACGAGATCAGGACGAGATCAGGACGAGATCAGGACGAGCATCGTACAGGAAATAGACAAACAACGGTCGAATAAAATGCGTCCACTCGTTATTCGCAGCCACCGAAGACTCCGAAGAGAATGAACAGTTGATGCGGATATGCATCTCTACCGGTACAATCCTGCATTTCACACTAATGGCAGTCAAAAACGTCTGTCAATGGAAATCACCAATGGGATAAGCTTGTTAGACTCTCTGTTCGCAAGACTTGTGGGATACAATTACGAGAGAAATTCCAGGAAAAAAGCGGGATAAGACTAACAATGCAGATTGACGAATGTCATCAACCCAAAGCCACGGGTGGACCAAGAAATAAACGAAGGACTAGGAATCGAGACAGCGGATGGCCTGGTGGCCGCTGTTCCAATCTATGCCCGGTCTCCTATAACCTCCCCCCCCCCCTTTAGGATAATCATTGGTGGGGTACCCCGACAAGCTTGCGTGTTGAGTCAGTCTGTGCCTACGCCAACGCGAATGGAATGGGTTTCAGTGAATATTTACAGGGCTGTCATTCCGACACGTTCCTACACACATGCTGCCTGTTTTCAAGCGCTTTGAATGAGTACAAAATTGCCGAACCCGGTTGCTCCGTTCCCAGCCGGTCAGGGGAGTTTGCCATCGAGCGCCTATGAAAAAACACCGGTACAGCCAGACACAGGCGGATATGGGAGAAGGAATCCTACAGCATTCCACTAAAAGGAATAATTATCTACAAGCGTCTTGTTCAATTTACCGACGTCAAGAAGAGACTTATTCATGCAATCCCATTGATTTCAATTCACCATTATCAAGTCATGCAATTATCAAGTAAACTCAAAGGAAAAACACCATTCATAACCCATAACCAGAGACTCATAATCCCGAAAAAATAGTATAGTGTATCACGCTCTAGCGATATCGACAATCGTCAAAAACATATAAGTCGTCCGTTTACCGACCAAGAACAGAAGGACCCTTCCGGATATCCTTATCAGCTTGGTGCGAGGAGTTCTACAAGTCATTAGCATCAACCCATATCCTCGGGATAATTTGAAGGGGGTGAAAGGGCACATACAACAGAAATCTGATATTCCCCTCTCTCAAGAATCTTCGTCATAACATCGTCTTCATTCGAAGTCCCGAATTCGCTCTCCAACAGGCCCTTGCTAGCGCCGTCGAGCAAGCCCTGGGCTCCGTGCCTATTTCATCCCACGTGTTAGCCTCATCCTTCACCACTAGTGCAGAGAACGCAATCCAGATACATGGAGACATACTTATGAGTAACAAAGACCTTCCACCCATTCAAGACCTGGGCAAGGGGAATGGAGCGGTCATTGCGCCAGTTGTTGAGGGCGGCGATGTCGTCAACGAAAACGACAAAGTCGTCGTTGGCGCCCTTGTAGAAGACCTTGGAGTTCGATTCGTTGCCGCGAGTCATTGTGGTGTGTGGTGTTTAATTGAGGTGGTTTGAGGAAGATATAGAGTAGAAGAGGAGAGAATAAGTAGAGCGGTTGAAGTAGCAGTGTCGCGTGAGGTGATGAAGTATGACGTCACCAACGTATGATGGTCGGAGTGAGCGGAGTTAATGTATAAGGTAAAGTAGATATGCTTTGTGAATTAAAAGATATCTGAATTGAATGAATTGAATTGATTGAATCTGAACTTAACGAGAATCGAGGCCTCTAAATAGGGAGCTGTTCACTGCTGCTCGCGGTAACCGACGTCATCGGCCGAGCTCTCCCCACCAAAAACAGCCGGATGGAGATATGACGCCATACAACAGTGAAGAGGGTCTATTTACTATGATACCGCTAATAGTAACAGTGCAGCTATCCACTCTCACATCATAGCTCTGCCAGTGCCCCCGTAAACAACTCCACCGTATCGCAATCCCAAGAGAAAGAATGGAATGGAAGTCCTCCGTACAACATATATACTATACTGAATAATCGCCGGTGTCTATACTGGGAAAAGAAATTATCATTGCATCATAATCTTCACGTCTCACTCCTGCTCAGCCATGAGCCTGTTCGCTTATGTCTCCTGGGCGAAATAGTATGGAAAAGGGACCCGAACGATTTCCAGGTAGGACTTCCAAGGACGCCGTAAGACTTGGAACCTTGACTGGCTGTCCGAGTAGCCGATGTGGTTCTTCTCGACATTTTTCCGAGCTTGAGGGTACTCGCTGGTTGATTTGCTTCCGGGGACGCTTCTAGCAGAACAACTCCTTTTTCATCGTCGTATGGGAACAGATCCTGGAGTGGCCGCGCTAGAACATCGTCCGTACCCTTTGGCAGGGAGTCAGTACGATGATCATTCGTTCCGGTTGTCGTGTTCACGATCTTGCTTAGAGAAGCTGACCGCTTGGTGAATGTCGCATGGACGCTGCCCTTCATCTTCTTGTGTCGTTTGTCCTGATACCCAAGCACCATTCCAGGAAATGGGAGCACATCGCGGGTATATTCGTCGGAAATAAACTGCTCCAAGCGAATGCGGTCTTGTCGTCTGGTCACCAGTGTCAAAGCTGCCTGCGGTGGCATAACTCTCGGTCTTTCAATTTCTCCTTCAACAGGGTGTACTGTTTCCGAGCTATTGGGATGATGCGTTTTCTCGATGATCACATGTTGCGAGTTGTTGTTGGTGCGCGATGTCGACAGGGAGTGAACAGACGATTTCCGGCCTAGAGGAGCACACGGGCGCTCAAAGGGTTCCACATCGAGCGTCAGCACGGAAAGCTTCCTTGGCTCAGGCACTGGCTCGACCTTCTGTGTCGACTTGACGATTTCAGACGTCCACTGCCTTCCCTCCGCTGCCGTGGACGCACTCAAAACAAACTCGTAATGGTCATTCTGGTGGTGGAATACCAGCTTCCACGAGAACAAACATTCGTAGCAGCTTAGACCTGCAGTAAATTCAGTATACCGGCTGGAAATCATTGAAAAGTTGCGTACCTCTGCCATTTCTCAAGCAATCGATTTTCAGATCCCATACATAGAGGCATGTCACAGGTTGGAGCTGGCGGGACTCTTCCACATATTTGGCAAGGAGGAGGTAATGATCAAAAAGGGTGCAGACCATATATGTACCTTTTATATGGTCTCCAGACTGGTAGGTCACATGCAGAACACCGCACATAACCATTGGTCCTAGCTGCTTGTAGATATCTCGCAAGGTGTCCTACAATTGGAGCAGCTTTTAGCAACCTGTCACCGCACCGAGTATTAAAGGGACTTACCGATTGGAAAGGTCCCAGTTTCTCTTGCAACCCAATTGTTTTCCGTATTCGATCTTCGTAGGCGAGATCACCGGTGGCGGAATTGACTTTGTCTCCCAGAGCTCTCATGATGTCCAAAGCTTGTCGGATGTCATGGTCGGCGGACGGGCAGTCGCTGCTGAGCGTAAAATCCGACAATTGCTTGAGCAAAAGGTGATATTTGCAGACCCGCTGTATTGGCTGGATTCTGGTCAGTATCGTTGCACATATCATTGAGTGGCAGGAACAACCTTGATGAGAAGATCGTTCAAGGTCATGGACCTGTTCTCTTTCGGTCTCCGGCTCTCCATCGGTGTTACTGATCTCGATAGAGCCTCGATTCCTTGATCGAAAAGTGCCCAGTTCGGTATGGACTCTCTCAAAAGCGAAAGATCCTTTTTTAGTAGGTCCTTATTGCTGCAGAATTTCACATAGGCCCCAGCGGACGTGGACTAAAACAAAGATTGTGAGAAATGGAAGACATCAAACGAATGACAGTACTCACCAGGCTTTGTATCACACGTGCGACATCCCGAGCTTCAGTAGGATCCGCAGCTATCAGCTTCACGCGAAGATTGAACTTTTGTTTGAAGTTGCGTGTCCTGAGGGATCGGTTCTGTAGGCTCCTGAAGCCTCGTAGACTCGAATGCTTGGAAAGCCCGCCAGATATTAGATTGGCAAGCTCAGCATCAGTGGTGGCTGATTTTGGCGGCGAGACGTTCTGAAGCTGGGCAAGGAAGTGTTCGTGGATTTCGCGGAGCTTTTGGACATTATGATAGATCGCCGGTCTCGTTTCGAAGAGGGAGAGGACCTAAGAAGTAATCGTCAGCTAATAGCCATCGGTATTGCTTTGGGATTGTGAACGCACGCCAGTCAGGGCCTTGAGTCCCAGGACATAGTCCGACTCCGAGGTGAGGATCTCTTGTATAGCCTGGCGTCTCTTGATGGCACGTCTTTGAGCATCGTCGTCGATAGAGGAACTGGGGACTAGTCTCAAGCCTTCGATATCAGTCGACCTCCGTTCAATCGACCTCCGGAGCTCAGAACTAGAACTGCGATTGACGGTACTCTGCGTTGTTCCTCTCGACCTCACAGCACTTTGGCTCATGGCGCTCAACGAATTCGTCTTGACCGTTCCCAGTTGCGAAGAGTAGCCCGACAACTGCTCCCATTGTTGCTCCTGAATAGTGTGGTATGGCGAGAGGACGTGGTCGAAGCTATGGTCCCGTGAATCGTTCGCTTGTGAATCGTTGTCCCGTGGCTTAGTTGGTAGATCGTTGTGCCAGCCTTCGACGTATTTTTGGGGTCGAGGGGGTTTCTTGTTTCGCAGGTAGTCTATGAACTTCTTGAAGGTGCTAGGAGACCATGTATTCACTGGTTCCGGTTCCTGGACATCGGGAGCGTCCACCAAGTTGGCTTCCGATTCGGTATCCTCGATTACCAAAAGGGGATTTTGTGAATCGCCGTTGTCGTCAGACTCCATCGTGGCCCATCTTCAAGTAGAAATAGTAAAGAGGAAGTCCATAAAGCTATCACGGATGGAGGAGGTTTGTAGCATAGCGGGAGAGATGACAGGCCGCCCATATTGGGAAGCCACGAAGCCACAGGGTGGCATTTCCAGTCCAGTTGGAAGTCGCACCAAAGCCAGCTGGGAAGGAGCGACCACGCCCGAATGCATATAGAAAGCCATTGTGAGCTGAAACTTTAAAGGATCAAGAAGGTGATACAAATGCATACAAGTACTATGAGTGACGAAATACATATGCACTGACCTTGTTTTCTACAGCAAAATATGTCATACGATAAGAAAAATGTATAAAATAACCAATAACATAGAGTATAAACAACAGTCATTGAATATAAAAAAATAATAAAAAATAATAAAAAATAATAAGCAGTAAATCCAAGCCACAAGATTCACCCTATATACAGTCTGGATGACATGCCAAGCTAAATCCCCCAGATCTGGTAGACCCACTGATTTCTTTAGTTATCACCATATATTAACCTCTTCTTCGCTCATCACTTCTCCTCCTTTCGTTAAGTCATTTCTACCCACTGGTACCTCTCACTATCCTTACGATGGGTATCTCCATGGAAGAGAATATACACGTTCCTACCGTTTCCTCTGGCGAAGCGTCTGGAGGGGCGACGTCTCCGAAAAGCAACATGTTTAAGCTCTCCGTGCCGGACTTGATGCTCAAGAAGGAGTTGATCGAGCACAAACTGTCGACTCTCAGCGGAGTACTCAAGTCGGTGAGTTTTGTCGCTAATTCTCTGGAATTATTGTGAAGCAACAACATTGACGTATTTCAGCATGGCGTCAATATGGATACGCCATTGATGACCGAGGATGGTTTCCCGCGCAACGATCTCGACGTTCCCCAGAGTATGCTTTCTATTTTCTTTTTTTTTTAAATCTATCGTATGCTAATAATACATAGTACGGACTACTCGCGCGCAAATCATCCATCTGCGAAACGACCACAAGGAGGTTATGGCGCATGTCGAGCAGCGCGTCTACGAACACTTCAAGCAGCACGAACAGAATAACTTCACCTCGCCTCCCGCCTACACGACGATCGCAGCTACTGCACCACGCGCTATCCTTCTTGACGATGCTACTCTGACCGCGGGTCCGGCTTTCGCAAAGGTTACCGGTGTCGTGTCAGGAAGCCCGGCGGACCAGGCTGGCTTGGAAGTCGGAGATACCATCAAGAACTTTGCAGGCGTGAACTGGACCAACCACGAGAACCTCAGCAAGATTGCGCAGGTTGTTCAGAAGAACGAGGGAGTAAGTAGCCCAGGTGTCTGCCTTGGGACGGGACTGCGGCAATGGTGTGATTCAGAGCAGATCGGCTGACACATGGTACAGTGCGTCATGAACATCAAGGTCTCCCGGAAGGATGAGTCCCGCGAAGGTCAGACTAAAGATGAGTTGATGCAAATCGTCCCTCGCCCTGGTTGGGGTGGTCGTGGCCTGCTGGGCTGCCACATCGTTCCGATTTGATCGCCTCGCTTATCGTGACCAATGATTCTGGACGGAATGTAAAAAAACAGTGACGAGGCTACTTTGTTATGAGGAATGTGACATGGCTCTGTATTAGCTTTCAGGATAACGATTACTACGGGTTTAGTTTAATGATTGTTCTGCAAGGACTGGCAGGGAGTAAGGATCTGGCGTTCGAGTCTAGTTGTACTGAGACAGCACACGTGAATTCAGTCACTGAGTATTGTTGGCTAGTTACTCATTCCTTTATTGTAGTGTGTACTGCGTATGTCGTGTCTACCTCGTAGTTGTCAATTCCCATCTAGGCTGACATCCGGACTGCACTATCCCGCGGGGCATCGATGCCTGGGGCTGAAGCACGTGATCCTGGCGGTGGGCGACCGAGTCGGGGCAAAAATTCCATCACCAACAAGCGGTCTTTCTCCCTCTGTATTTCTTCCTGGCTTTTTGCTTCAACTCCCCCCTTTTCTTCCATTCTCGATCATCGGTCGCATTGAAAAGTCGACTTTGATCCTTTTTCTACAGCCCTTTTTTACGACTGTCGTTTTTTTCGTTACTCAAAAGTCACATAATTCATCATGGCTGAAGCGCAGGCCCCACCAACCTTCAAGCTCGTCCTCGTCGGTGACGGTGGTACTGGAAAGGCAAGTTTTGTTGGGCTTTGTTATTGATTTTCTCGGGCTCGATGTGGTGCTTGTGTCTATATTCGCTGTGGACTTATGCTGCCTTGTCGTGTCTCTTCCTCCTCCTGTTTGCCTCCTTCAACAAAAAATTTGTTTACCCGAGCCGGTAATGCATATCAGTGGGTTTTCAATCACTAACATGTCGAATCTCTACAGACCACCTTCGTCAAGCGCCACCTGACTGGTGAATTCGAGAAGAAGTACATCGCGACTCTCGGTGTCGAAGTCCACCCTCTTACTTTCACCACCGTATGCCCCGCCAACCCAACCCAAAACCCCGCTCCGACCATCCCACTCCCCATTCGTTCGTCTCGACTAACAAGCATTGCAGAACCTGGGTACCATTCAGTTCGACGTGTGGGACACTGCTGGTCAGGAGAAGTTCGGTGGTCTCAGAGATGGTTACTATATCAACGGCCAGTGCGGTGTGATCATGTTCGATGTGACCTCCCGTATCACCTACAAGAACGTTCCCAACTGGCACCGTAAGTTTTGGATGTGACCAGTATATTGAATGTACACCGCTGACTCTTCTAGGTGACCTCGTCCGTGTCTGCGAGGGTATCCCCATTGTCCTGACCGGTAACAAGGTCGATGTTAAGGAGCGTAAGGTGAAGGCCAAGACCATCACCTTCCACCGCAAGAAGAACCTGCAGTACTACGATATCTCCGCCAAGTCCAACTACAACTTCGAGAAGCCTTTCCTCTGGCTTGCTCGCAAGCTTGTCGGCAACCCTCAGCTGGTAGGCCCGCCCTCACATATGTGTCATGGAGTGTTAGCTAACAATAAACTAGGAATTCGTTGCTGCCCCCGCTCTTGCTCCTCCCGAGGTGCAGGTCAACCCCGAGCTCCTCGAGCAGTACCGGAAGGAGATGGACGACGCTGCTCAAATGCCCCTCCCCGACGAGGACGACGCCGACCTGTAAGCGGCTGGTGAACGCGAGTCTTTGGAGGATTTTCTGTGATTCTTTCTCGTGGCTGCGATGCTCCGCAACCTACTAGCTTCGTGATATAAAGCCTCGAATAACGAATGCAACGATAGCGGTCGGTGGATGGGCCCGAGGATGTTTGGCACGATTATGCATTTGATTTTCCTTACAAATAGTAGTTAGACACATTTCAATATTCTTTTGCTTCCGAACGACACGAAAAGCAAGTCTGAGCCGGTGGGCTAAAATCTAATCCTTATTCTGTCTTATATCTACAATAGAATTGCTAGGCGTAGAATACTTCAATCCAAAGTGACATCACTAATACTTGACGTAGCATTCAGCAAGGGGCAAATGAACAACCATAAAAAATTGGAAAAAGTCACCTGATATAACCTGATACATATCTTCGCCTGAGGCATAATCTGTATAGATCGGTGTTCCTCCAAAGTCGATGTCTATAGAATCGTAGTCTAGAGATGTCTATGTATTCCTAGTCCGTACTATACAACCCGCAATCCTTCTCTTCACGGGCCCGCTCCTCCCTCCTCCCAACAACCCACTTCCCAAGCTCCTCCCAAACAGCCCTCTTCTCCCCAACACTCATCCCAGCCGCCAACCCACTCGTCGTCGTAGCCACAAACACCCTCGCCCCACCCCACCCCTCACAAACCCCCATTTTCTCCTCTACACCCTGCCACCCATACTTAAACTCCTCCTTCCTAATCCCCCGTCCATGTCGTACTCTCCACACAGCCTCCCAGATACTCTTGCCCACAAGACACACAACCTCGGGCCTTTTCGCGGCAACCTTTGCCTCGAGAACGGGGACACCAGCGTCCATCTCCGCTTTACTTAACATACTCGCATCCCTGGTTGGTCGTTCGACGATATTCGTATTCCCGATGTTGTATAGTTCAGGTAGGCGGTATGTATCGCTTGGTGGATGGCGGATATCTGTTATGCGGGACCAGTACAGGAGTTTCCAGAAGAGGTTTGAGGGGTGCGCGTAGGCGTGGCCGGTTGTGCCGGTTAGGATGCCGGGGTTTACGCCGACGAGGAGGAGGGTTAGGTTGAACGGGATTGTGTCGCGGAGGAGGGAGTGTGATGCGGGTGCTTGGGAGGGGGTGCGGGAGCCGCGGCCGCGTTTGGTTGGCTTCGTCGCTGTTGTTGTTACAGTGGTCGTGGATCGGGAACGGGTGTTCGGGGATGGCTGTGGTGGTTGTGTCTGTAGTAGAGAAGCTGAGCGCGAGCGAGTTATTCGTACTGGAGACTCGGACTCCTCCGTTGGAGCTGGAGTGGGAGTCGCCGTGGCGAAACCAGGTCCTTTTCTTCGCTTCGACCGCGATAAACCATCTGAGCCATTATAATTATCAAGCAAGTCATTTTCAGACTGCTCCTGCGACGACGAATCCCGTTTCAGGGTATCCGGCAGACCCCGTGGCTTTGCTGTAGATGCGCCAGCGACATTCTTCGAGGCGTGAAAGTATTGATTCAACCGGCCGTTGAAACTGGTAATTCTATTCACGGGGACGTCATTGTCAACGTGTTCTTCCTTTCTGTGGCCGTTTCGAGCGTCCACTGTCATTTGTTGCGAGATGTGTAGTGTGGTAAGTGTAGGAAGTGGAGGAGAAAATGGAGGTCGGTTTTATCTGCGCCGGTGTCGGTGGCGAGTTACTGTATCGGGTATAGCACGGTGTTTTATCGGATTTCTACACAGAATGGAGTACCACTAGCGAAAAAGTTCTCAAGGATACCTCTGGTACTGATGTACAGAAACATTGTTGCTTGGATGTTTATTTATCATTTATGACATAATTTTCAAGTTGATTCAATATCAAGGATCTTGAATATACATCGGAGCATCGTCAACTGCTACCAACGATCAATAGAGCTAAATACATGCGATTATCGAGGAAGTATTGCACCACTTTTGCTCAATGATCCGAGCTCTAAGACATCTTTATGGCTGCAGGGACATACGAGCCGAGGTACAGGGTAGTGAGAGTATCAAAGGAACCTCGCAATACCTGTACTCTGTACATACCGCTGCATTGCATACAAAAGCGAAATCGAATCATGGCTACTGCCTCTGGTCGTGGTATACCCTCAGCTAAAGTTCCAGTCCTCCCTCAAGTGGTCCAACCATTCCGAAGTAGGCACTAAGTCTCCCTCCATAAGGAACCCGTCCTTTCCAATACTGGCACCAAGCCAGACCTTCCTGCGATAGCTCAAAACATGGCTCTCCGCGTTCCACGGCGGCATCTTCAGCCACTTATGACTGACCCGGCACAGTGGCGTCTTGAGCTTGCCATTGATAGTATCCCCGTGACAGGACCCACACAGCCCTACACTGTAGCAATTCGACTGTCTTGACTCTTACTCTGATTCTTCGAAGCCAGAGTACCAAACCCGAGCTCAGAAAACGCACCACAGCCGGAGAAGTAGGACACCTCGATGCCCTAGCTAGTGCCCCCAGATTATGCGGGTTCGGATTATATCTGGCACATAGCACGAACAAAGCCGGCACACTACGTACTCTCAATGGACGATTGACCACAAAGAGACAATGCGCCGGTATATCCGGCGAACTATTATCCCCAAAGACATCCACTACTTGTCGAGAGACTTTTCCTTGACGCTTTAGAAGTCTTCTGGAAATAAGTTGACTTTTCAATGCTGGGTTAGAATGGACAATTTGAGATGAACCAGCCACGATGTACTTTAGCTACGGTGAGCACAGACAGAACCACTCGCAGCTACCGCAAACCCATAAAGCTGTACGGTCGAATCCCGGACTACTGTACGTGAACGATCATGGCCAGGCCAAGCCAATGAACCATTGGTGGCATCAAGATACAGAGAAGGTCAGAAAGCCACGTGGGCTTGGTGAGTGCTCCAAACATGATGTATCTAATATATTCAGACTCTGTACTCTCTGTAGCGTACATTGTAACGAAGGGATCCATTATGGGCGGATATCCGCAAGAGATGGTGAGTTTTACGGACATTCTTTTTGGCTATGATATAGCATATGGCCGCCAGAAGGATAGTGGTCTAGTGGGCTATGCGCGTGTCTCGAATGGTTAACTTGTTTAAATTCGTATAATGTGATATTATCGTTGCTATATCTGGTCCGTTGATGCAAATGCCATACCCGGATGCTGGAAATCTCGTCGAACTGATGGAAAACAAAAGTCGCTGAAAATGGGTATCATAACGCTTGGTATCGTAACTCATAAAAATCCAAATATAATCGATATCTTCCGGTATGCAAATCAACTGCTATACCCCAACAATCTTCCTCCTCGGCAACGTCCACGGCTCAGCGCACACAATCTATACCTCGTCAGCATCTCCTCATCAAGAATCCAAAAAGAGAAGAATCACATACCTCCCCCTCCGTATAAGCCCAAAAATAAACCCCCATACCGACCAAATAATAAAGCGCCGGATGCGTCCCCTGATAAAGCAGCGCCGCGAACATCGCACTCAACGGATAAATAACAAGTCTCGTCTCGATACTGCGGTGCGGGAATGTCCCCGCGACAAACTTCAATGGCCATTCCCATGCTAGTCCCACGAGGCCCATGAATAGGTTGAGGATTTGGAGGATCGGGGCTGGTTTTACGGCGCCGTTGAGGTTTTTGGTCATGAAGTCCCAGAGGATTTTGGGCCAGATGAAGCCTTCAATTGCGCTACCTATTTGGACTGGAAAGGATAATAGGTTAGTATGTGATTGTGATCGGCAATTGAGAACTTTATGGATGTGGACGTACAGGCTGCTGCTGTGAGGATGATTAGTCGTGCCCAGTGGTTTTTGATGAGCCTGCCCATCACGATTGTGTTGGAAAGCAAAAGGTTATCGAGAATAGATGAGTAATGGCTTGGATATTCGTTCGTCCGGCGAAATTGTGCGAAGGTCGATTAGTGTCTTTTGTAATGTAGAGCAGGTGTCCTCCAGTCCCAGCTGGAATTAATCGTAATCGTCACTCGGAAACTAGATTCATAAATCGAGTATTATAGCAAATTGTCATACGCAGAAACCGCCATACAAAAGCATAGTTGAGCAACATCAGATTATAAGAACAGGAAAAGGAAAAAGAACGAGGGAGAATCACGATAAAAACACCTGACTCCTCACCATGCACATCTGCAACGGCGCTGAGGATTTCACTTCGAACCGCTCCACGCACCAATCACTTTTACCGCGCAGACCGAGATACAGATATATTTCTTTTCTTAGTTTCTTCACAACAAAAGCACTTGAGCGCAACGATTGGTCCATAGTCGCTGGGGCGAGCGCACGGATGAGGGAGAAAGCAGGCGATTCGGACGCATGCTGTATATAATGCGTCTATCAGTTCTTTTTACGGACCAGGCTGGCTAGCCGGACGAATGAGGGGGGGACTGCAGCGAGTCGACTAGGTGTGATCGACTAGGAGTGATGCAGGAAGACTTTCGGGGACGGGCCTAGCGGACGAGCCTGGGATTATCATTGGGAGGTTGTTTTTTTTTTATTGTTATTTTTATTTTCTTCCTCCGGGTCGTTATGCTAACAAAAATATGTCGCGAAGCGGCCGAATAGCGATTCAACGTATCCGAAGACATATCCGACTCGACCGTCTTTTTCTCAACATAATATCCACGGCGGACGTGTGACGACATGTCCAACTGAGTTTAGCTTTTTCAGATCCTCCGTGATAAAGTGTGACGAGACGTCCGTCTTGCAGGACCGCCGAGCCAAATGGCCAATCTTCCACGTTCTCGCATTCTTTCGGCCGACCATGTCGCAGTTAAATCATGAAACCACGGAAATTGACAGCAGGATATAGACAGCAGGATATCGACAGGGAATGCTTGATATAATGCTATGTTTGGCAGCACACGGGATGCCTTGTTCAACATGGCCATTGTCAATTAGCAAGGCATTTTGTACACCGTCTGAAAGAGAATACACATCCCGCCATGGGCGATTATTGGTCAATGCTGTGTGATAGACTGGCGCTTGCAGAATGAGTATTATTGGCCAAGTACAGAGTCAATGCACGCGCGAATCACGACTCGGCCATTCAACGTCCGTATTCTCCGATGCGCCGAATGGGTATGGATTTGCCAAGCAGAATGACGGCCGGAGATGGATTCAAAAGGGTCGAATACGCCGGAACCACATGGTCTTATGTTTTGGGATTGCCGGGATATGAGAAGTTGAGAATGTCAGTCCGGGGATTTCCTGTTCAGTCATTGATATAGCCTCGCAAAGTCAGACGAGGCGAGACTATCAACACGGAGGCTGCCAATGCTGAACCGATCAAGTAGCGCGTCGGAAACAGACCATAACCTTTAAACATAGCAAAGATAAGACCTCGTCTATTAAACATCGGCCGGGATGTCATACGATGGCAATACTTGGCCCGAGAATACGAAGAGCAATATCCACAAGGCTAGCAGGAACAACTTTATACGCCTAGGACATACCGCCAGCCAGTCAATCCACGATGCGTAATTCCTGCCCATGGTGGGCGTTGGCGCTGTAAATAGCAAATCCCCCCTCATAGTCGCCCTGACCCCCTGCAGCCATAACCACATTGCCGGAGACGCTCGAGAACCTCACTTCTTTCATCTACTTCCTCATTCGGTTCTTTTTTTTTTTCTTTTTCTCCCACCTACTAACGTATTGTGCTTTGTTCTGGTTTTTCTGATGATGGCTTGACCTCCGCGATGAGCGATTCTAGTCATCTCACTAAATCGGCCTCGGATGTCGACTGACTTGCCAGTTTTTTTTTTTTTTTTTTTTTTTTTTCTACCGTGACAAAACGCCTGGAAATATTGTATATGCATCGCGAGATAAGATTAGGCACGCGAATTTCAATCAAAGCAGAAGGGAGGAATCAACCAGAAGTCATCTACGTTTCTCAACAGCTTTTTCCGATAGTTGGCGCCCGTCCCTGGTGAAGGCGACGGCCCTTCGTTGTACGATAATATCAACCCAACAGCTGTCTTTTTTACGATTCTTTGATGGGTGTCGGGTTGAAGGCGAAACTCTCTACGTCTGAAACAACATAACAAGCACGATATTCAAACAGATCTCACGGACCAATTAATACGATAATTTCTGGTATCATCGCCGGTAGATGATACGATCTCTTTTCTGTCGCATAAGATACCCAACACTGCATCTTTTTCGTTATCATGGCTGTCACCATGGAGCAGCCCGTCTGGGGCACTCACTTTACCTCTGCTAAAATACTATTCTATTCCCTTTTTTGGAGTGTACATATTGCTCTCTTTGCCGCTGGATGGTATGTCAACCTCTTTCCGATATTAGCAGTCGCTAATAAGTTTTAGGCACATTCAAGCATCAGACTCAAGGTTATCTGCTCTCAACGCATTGCAGTACTCCGTCTGGATATCAAGAGGCTCGGCTCTCGTGCTCTCACTCGATGCAACGCTAATCATGCTGCCCATGTGTCGGAATATCCTGAAGCACATCAGGCCTCGGATTCGATGGATGCCGCTTGACGAAACGATATGGTTCCATCGGCAAGTTGCGTATGCCATGCTGTTGTTTACTATTATCCATGTTGCGGCTCATTATGTCAAGTAAGTTATCGCCCTCATAAAAGAGATACCGTTATCTGACAATAGCAGCTTCTATCACGTCGAGAAACACCAAATCCGTCCTGAATCGGCAGTCGAGATCCATTTCACCCAAGCAGGAGGGATAACCGGGCATGTCATGCTGATATGCATGATGCTTATGTATACGACCGCACATCATAAGATTCGGCAGCAATCGTTCGAGACATTTTGGTATATGCATCATTTATTCGTCCCGTTTCTTCTCGCCCTGTATACGCATGCCACTGGTTGCTTTGTACGGGATACAACAAACCCGGTATCGCCGTTCGCTGGTCAAAAGTTCTGGAACCACTGTATAGGCTACGAAGGCTGGAGATGGGAACTCGTCGGAGGAGGCATCTACCTCATAGAAAGACTCTACCGGGAGATACGCTCCCGACGCGAAACCGAAATCACCAAGGTCATCCGCCATCCATACGGCAAGTCCCCCCCCCCAACCTTCCCCCAAACAGTCCAAATCTAATAATGAACACAGACGCAATGGAAATCCAATTCCGCAAACCAAGCATGAACTACAAAGCTGGTCAGTGGCTCTTCCTCCAAGTCCCCGACGTCTCTTCCACCCAATGGCACCCCTTCACCATCACCTCCTGCCCCTTCGACCCCTACATCAGCGTGCATATCCGGCAAGTCGGCGATTTCACGCGCAGCCTCGGAGACGCGCTCGGTTGCGGTCCCGCACAGGCAAAAGATCTCGAAGGTCTTGATCCAATGGGCATGTACGAAGTGGCCCTCCAAAACGGACAGATGATGCCGAGACTGCGCATCGATGGACCCTACGGAGCGCCTGCGGAGGATGTATTCGAGAATGAAATCGCCGTGCTTATCGGGACGGGTATTGGCGTTACGCCGTGGGCATCTATATTGAAGAATATCTGGCACTTGCGCTCAGCACCAAACCCACCGCGCCGTCTCCGCCGTGTGGAATTCATCTGGGTCTGCAAAGACACCGCTTCTTTCGAATGGTTCCAAGCGCTCCTCTCCTCTCTCGAGTCCCAATCCGCCACCGCAGCCGCATCCCAAGGCAGCACAGAATTCCTGCGCATCCACACCTACCTCACCCAACACCTCGACGACGACACCACCGCAAACATCTACCTGAACTCCGTAGGTCAAGGCCTCGACCCGCTCACCGAGTTACGGAGTCGGACGAATTTCGGACGCCCGGATTTCGAACGACTGTTTACGGCGATGAGGGATGGGATTGTTGATCAGACGTATATGTCTGGATTGAGTGGGAGTGCGAAGGGTGGTGGGGGGTCGGCGGATATTGGGGTTTATTTTTGTGGGCCGAATATGGCGGCTAGGGAGATTCGGGAGGCGGCGAGGGGTTGTTCGAGTAGGGAGGTTAAGTTTAAGTTTTGGAAGGAGCACTTTTAGTTGTTTTCTTGCTTGTCTTCTGGGTTGGGTTGATTTGTTATTATGAGAGACGAATTCTATTTTTTTTTTTTGTTTGGGTTTGTTTGCTGGTCTATACTGTATGTTATGTATTGTAGATGTCAATGAATAGCGATACCACGACATATTAAAACTGCCCAGATCCATAGAAGGAGTTGTGATTACACCTGCATCTCCTCATCGCTCTCGGCATCTTCCGGCATATCAATCGGCAGGTTACCACCCTCCTCGCTCCTAGCAACAATCTCATCCAACACCCCCTCAACATCAACATGAACCCTCAACTCTTTCTCCACAAGCACATTCCAAACCCTCCTCAACTCCTCAAAGTCCATTCCTTCTTCTTTCACCTTCGCTTTCGTATCAGAAGCCTGATGTCGTTGCCTGACAACATCAGCCCTTAGATGCGTAAACGCCAACATAACCAACTCCTTCGACCAGGGGCATGCGCGGACGGCGCGGTAGAAGATTGCTTTGGCGCGGTTGAAGTTACCCCGTGAGAGTTCGAAGAGGATGTAGAGTTTCCAGAGGGTGAGGTTTGAGTGTGCCCCTGTGATACTTGTGCTAGTTGGGCGGTTAGGGTCCGAAGAGTCTGGGGTTGGATCGGCAATTGCTTTTTCAAACGCCGCGCGGACAGAGTGCAGTGTTGAGCCTGCGTAGACGGGACGGTTGAGTTCGGTGTAGATGGAGAAGAGGTGTGATGTTGTTGGGATTTGGGTTGTGAGGATGTTGTCGTGTTTAGTTGCCTGGGTGGTGGCGGCGGTGGTAATATCGCGGATGACCCCGCGGACGCGCTCTTCGATGCGGTTACGGGATTCGTTCCAGGCGAATAGGGAGAGGAATATTGTGTTGTGTGGGTGGAGGGTTATGCTTTCTATTAGGAGGACGCGGATGTGTGAGGGTTTGTAGGCGTTGCCTTGGCGGATGTGGTGGTAGAGGAGTTTTGCGCGGGATTGGTGGAGGAGTTCGATAGTGAAGTATTTGAATGATGAGTCGTGGGATGGGAGGGTGCTGAGCCTTGTAAAAGCGGCGCTGTAGGGCTCGAGAGATTTCTCCAGGTTCAGCGAATGGGTCAAGTATGATAGGATAGCTGAGCAGTCTGTGTAGGCTACATAGACGCTTGCTTTCCGAGCAGCGAGTGCGTGTTCTTGGGCGTCCGACAGAAACTGGGAATAGTTAGAATAGAACCCTAGTGGAAGTAATGGTGCTTGACTTACATTGTGCATTTTCAGCAGGTTTGTCGCGCCGAATGTTGGCTGTGAAGCCTCTGCTAGTGACTTCAGATCAACGCTCTGTTGAGGAAGAGCAAACAGAAGATGAGAAGCGCGAGCAATATCACGATGTTCTAAGCATTCCCAGATCCATGTCCGCAATAGGAGGCCATTGCCAATTCTGTCTTGATCCGAAAAGCTATTGCTCATGGAGAGGGTGGTCGCCCAGACATGTTCCGCAGCCGACGTGTTTCCAGACCGGCACTCCATAAGTGCGTATGCGTTATATAGACGTAGGTTTAAGGACCTCTTCTTCAAGAGCGATTTGGCGAATTTCTTGGCTTCTTTGATATTGCATGCAAATTCTAAAGCGAGTGCATATTCAGCCAGGTCATCCTTTGCGGGATTCGCCTCGACTAATAGTCGAAGGGCTCTGCGGACCCAATCTGGGTCAACGTCGGACTGCGTGTTCACAGCGGCCTTAACCCATGAGTCGAACGAGGAAAACCAGGTTTGCTGGTTTCCAAAGAGAGTGTCAATCGTCTGGATAAAATTCGTATGCGGGAAGGATAATGGTGTGGCCGTAGATTTGTCCGTGTTGGTCTCTCTGGGGAACCAGTCCTCAAGTCCAAGTTCCGCGCTGCTCATGAACTCGTTTCGCAGAAAGTTGTCACCGGCCCAACACTTTGTTGTCTGCATGTTGTTTGGTGATGTTAAGGGCGGGAGGTGGCAGAAGTATAGGAAACTATCAAGCAATACCTCTGCGAGATTCGGTGCAGTTGGATTCCAGAATATCGATAGAATCTCCCAGAGGTCGGAAGAGATGATCACACGGTAGGGGTCGTCGTCCTCCAGTTCGTCCAAACTACGTGCCGGTACCCGGGCATTCACAGTCCGTTCTCTTTCGGATGCTGCCCATGACTTGAAGACTGATTTTCGAGAGATGGGTTGTGTTGTCGAGGGTCCTTTTGGATCCATAGCAGCACTACTCCCGCTCTTCCAGCCTTTGGCGCCGGGTTCACCGATTCGAGCAACCTCTGATTCCCAAAATTCCATGAATTCCGGCAGCACCTTCTCTCGGTCAGTGTGCAATGTGAACCCCTCCGGTCGGAAGAAGGTCAATTCGAGGATTGCCTGCCAAAGTCCGACTGCATGCTCTGCGAAACCTGATTCTCGCATGAACAGCGTCATGCGTAGAAACAGATAGTTCTGAACATATACCTTTTCAGGGCCATTAGGACTGGATTGGTTCAGTCTCAGACACTCGATAAAAGTGGCTAAACACCGTTCATAGGTGAAGTCCAAGAATTGTGTTTGGCGAAAGTCGAGATATCTGACCCAAAGGCTGATGAATTGAGAATTTGCCTTCAGCGTAGTCTGCCATCGCTGCAAAAGCTTCTTGGTGTCCCACAATTTTGCGCCCTCTTCCAGCAGACCTAGTAAGACACGCTCCCTGCCAGAGTGTTGTCCAATTTGTTTCAACGCCTTTTCGTATATCGACATTTTGATATCTGCCAACCCTGTTCGCTCTGCATAGGTTAGAGGACGAGACTCCTCAGCGCCAGAAAGAACCGCTGTTTGATGGTCAATCAACCGGAGCCATGCACCAACGTCCGTAGGGGTCTCTTGAGTTTTCCTCGTCAATTCCGCATTGGTCTGCTTGATTTCCTCATCCAGATCCACCCTGAACCCTTCATTATCGGAGTCCGTATCTGACACTGCCTCCAGGTCGCTGGGAATATGTTCCTCGGGCTTGGCTTTACCGTGTATTGAACGGTATGCGAATTTCTCATCATCTGAATCGACCTCCTTTATATTATCCCTATCTCTGCGATGGGACGATACGTTGAGCGACAGGTAGTCTTGCTCGTCTGCGGTAGATTCCGAAATAGGCTGTGGTCGCACCCGAAGAAGCTTGCCTTTCTGCTTTCTTAACCCCGAGAGTATATTCTTTGACTTCAACTTTCCTGAGTCTGCGAATTCGGCGGTCGTCCTAATCACCAATGCGCCTCCCTCCGATGTATCGCGATCAATTCTGTGATTCCGGGGGAGACCAAGCACGCCTCCTCGACCGAACCGTCGATATGCCGGGACATTGTATCGATGTATGGTGCCATATATAAGGTTGTATTTGTCGCCTTTGCGATCAACCACAAACAGATTGGTATCCTCATCCTTGGTCTCCTTCACGACGGGTTTAGAATCGGTTCGACGCTCGGATGCGACCTCTCCGCGATGGCCATCCCTCCTGTGAGAATGGCGATGTTCTCTTCGTTCTTTCCGATGCTCCCTCGACCTCGACCGATCACGATGGCTTCTATGCCTCGAGGAATGATGCCGGGACCTTTCATCTCGCCGTGCGGACTCGCGACTGCGCTCGGAGGGCCGATCAGCTTCCGGCGGTGGAGGTTGGGGGAATTTGAAGCTGGAAAAACGAGGGACGGGCTTCTTGTCCTGGGAATCCATGAGTGACTGAAAGACTGACTGAATGTTGCAAAGAAATATACTCACCTGGCCAGAATCCATACTGGCATCGCGGGCAGATCTTCGGAGAGAACGCGGTGATGTCGTCGCTGGCTGGAAAAACTCTGCTCCGAAGCTCATTTTGGTTGGAGGAGAAAAAAAAAGTTACTCCGAGCTTCAAATAAATCTTTCCCCAAACAACAAAAACGCCCAATCGCTGCGATACCCTGGGATATTTGAGGAATTTTTGTTGCAGAGGGATGGGCGTCTTCTACTTACTGTGATAGTATAAAAATAATTCCTCACGATGGCTTCCTCCCTCGCCGCCCAGCTGTCGCAAGTTGCGGCTAAGTCGACCAACCAGTTGAACCTGAAGGCGCAGAGACTCGCGCATTCGCAATCGCTTATTTTCGACAGGAAGGTCGCTGGTTCGCAGGATTTTGATACCGTCTTCGAGATTTGCTATGAAGGTTTCCAGGAATTATGCCAGTTGGACTCCCGGTACACGAGCTTCGAGCGCACTATTTTCAGCGAGCAGAGCAAGGCGGAGGACCGGACAGAGATGACGGCTGCTCAGAATCAGGAGCTGGATACTGTGATAGAGGCTTTTCTTGCTCTCGTTGGGGGGAGGTTACTGCTGAGCCCGGCTGTCAAGGCCGTGGATTGGCTCGTCAGACGATTCCGGTACGATCAGAGCTTTAGGATGCTCTTGCGCAAATTCTTCCCGACTGGCCCGGCTAACACAGGTATAGGATTCATGAATACAACACAGGAGCCGTTATTTTGACCTTCCTTCCCTACCACACCACGCCTCTTTTCCTCAACCTGCTGTCGATCCTTCCCGAGACTCTTCCCCCGACGTTCAAAGTGCTTAATCCTTACAAGAGAGGCATGATCAACCCGCCGCGGCATCCTCTCGTGCACAGCGCTACGACAAATAGAGCGTTTTTGACGGACCTAAGCAACTATGTTCTCCAAACGAGCCGGATACGAGCGCATCACCACGCGCTTTTGTCGTTTTGGGCAGGTATCATGACGGAAGCTGTTGCCGGAATGTTGGACGCTGCACGTTCGGGACGGAGAGGCGTCGAAAAGGAAAAGCACGAGGATATCATTTTGCGGGTGCTCCCGGTGTTGAACGATGCGTTTACCATGAAGGAAGTTTCGGAATTGGTCATTGGATGCTACATGGTCACCGTGGTTTTGGCGCAGAAAGCTGATCTGCAGGATGAGGTTCTCGATACGCTGATGGATGCGGTTGTCGGTTCGTGGACAAAGGAAACGATAAGCTCCGGTCTTGTCTGCGTAGCCGTGCTTGCGCAGCAGAAGTCCAACACAACCATCCCGAAGAAGGTGTTCAAGGAAATCCTTCGATTGGACAACCCGGTCAAGGAGTTGGCGGAGATTAGATCTCAGTACCCGTCATCCAACCTGCTGCTGGGAGTTGTGGCCAAGTGCGTCGAAGATCTGACCACGCAAAAGGACTCCGCACGTCTCGATATGCTGTCCGTCATTTTCCAGAACCAGCTTCTCGAAGAGTCCGATATGAGCAAGGGAATGGGCATGGTTCTCCATGCTGCAAGCAATGCTCACAAGGATGGCGCAATGCCCCTCGATATCCAGACTCGTCTCTCCGACATCGTGCAAGTGTTTGGCCAATCCGAGGCCCTTCAGCCGATCTTCCAGCGTGCCATTGCGGAATCTACTCTCGACAAGACCGCTTTGGAACACAACTTGCAAACGGTCATTGAATCTGCTCCTGAACCCAAGGCAATTGAGGATGTGGAAATGGGAGATGCAGAGGAGGAAGAGCAGGACAACTTCACGCCAGCCCTCGAGTCTCTGTCCAAGAAAACCCCCGACGGAGCTTCATTCTTGAGTGCGCAATCCGTTCCTTTGTTCGATACCCTTGTCCAGACCTTCGCTCTCGCTGCTGGATCTCCGGAGAAACTCGATGCTTTCACGAACCTGCCTGTCCTCGACAAATCCAATGCGACCAAGACACCGCGATTCCTCTCGTTCTTCGCCAGAGTATTCACGGGCCCGTATCCGATTGGCACCAAGGTTGCTGCTCTGAGCGCGGTCTCGTCCGTCGTCGAGTCGGCGTCTGATTTGGATTGGCAAGGATTGCTGCCTTTCTTGCTCATCGCGCTGGCTGACCCATCCGAGAGAATCCGTCGGGACACTGCTGGTGTTCTGGCTATTGCTAGCGGTGCATCCAAAAAGGGCAAGAAGGATGACGGCAAGATTTGGGCACAGGATAGCCTCTATGGCCAGGACAAGTCGAAGAATATCCAATGGGTTGCCGGTCGCGATATGCAGAAGATCTTCGAGCGCGCTTTCCTTCCCGGCTTGGAGGAATATGTCCTCGATGCCGGCCATGTGAGTAAGGTGTTGGAGAACACACTACGCTCCACTGGCAAGGACTCGGGTGCATCTGATCTCAAGAAGCCCGTTCGACTGAGCCTTTTCACCTTCCTTTGCTCCCATGCCGTTAACGTCCCGCTGTTCGCACCGAAGGTCGCCTTGCTCAAGCTACTCAACAACATCGACAGAACTGGCGGTACAACCCGTACCAAGGAATTGCAGCCTGTTCTGGGAACGTGGCGTGAATTAAGTGAGACTGATGCCAAACGCATTTGTGAAAAGGAGCGCTTGTCTGTCCCTGAAGTGGAGGAGCAGATTATCCTGACCGTTACTCCTAAGGAGAAGGATGCCATCACGCTTCTCTTGTCCTACGTGACTACTGGATCGGAATCCCCGAGGACATCTTTGGTCGTTGCCATCTTTAACCGCATGAAGAACATCTGGTCGCGAATCCCCGAAGACCGTCAATTCGAGGCTGCAGAGAAGCTGTTCGAAATCTCCCTTGGGTTATCAGCAGGCGAGAAGTCTCTTGCTAGTAACTGCAGGGATGTCCTTCGCAGCGTCGAGCTGTCCGGAAGCATTCTTCTCAACTTCTTGCACCAAATCCCTGTTTCCCTTACTGACGTGGAATCACTCGGACCCGCACCTAAGAGAAGACGCACCAGCCAAAGCAACATGGTCGCAATGACCGTCAAGGACGAAGCGGGACTCAGCAAGCTCATGGACAAGATGACCTTTATCCTGGAGCTTGTCGACAGCTCGACTCCCGAGGCTCATCCGGAATTGGCAGATGGTCTGTTCCAGACCCTCGCCGCTCTTCTTCAGTTCAAGTCGCAGATCCAGTCTGGAATGAGCTACCTGCTCAGCTTGGCACTCGGAAGCCTTTTGGCCATTGTCAACCGCTCGAGGCAATCCGGCAAGCCGCAGTTCGACACTTCCGTCATTCGCGCCGACCTGGTCGTCGACTGTGTCCGCACCACCGAGAGTCCCCAGGTGCAGAACTCCGCTCTTCTTCTTGTGGCCGGACTGTCGTCTGTCGCCCCTGAATTGGTCCTCCACAGCGTCATGCCGATTTTCACGTTCATGGGTTCTAGCGTCTTGAGAAAGGATGATGAGTACTCAGTTTCCGTGATCGACCAGACGATTGATCAGGTAGTTCCCGCTCTTATCCAGTCGTTGCGGAACCAGAAGCGTGACATCGTTTCTGGTACCTCGGAGTTGCTTCTCAGCTTTACTGCTGCCTTTGAGCATATTCCTTCGCATCGTCGTCTGCGTCTGTTCCATGCTTTGATCACCAAGCTTGGTACCCAGGACTTCCTGTTCGCTGTTCTGGCTATGCTCGCCAACAGATACGCTGCAGACAAGGATGTTTTGACCTTGATGACTGGTTTGGTGTCGGATGCTACTTCTACGGTTGAGCTTACCACATACAGCAAGTACCTGAACTTGGTCACCGACTCCCTCTCCTCCAAGCCCAGCATCTCCCAGGTCCTCCTCGGTATCGGCAGCGATGACGGCCGTGAACCACCAAAAGTCGCCGTCGACTTGCTCCGCGACTTGTCCCACCTCTTCAAGCACTCTTCCCTCAAGGTCAAGATGGCCAAGACTTTCGCATCGGAGGAAGACGACGCCCCTGCACAAATCCGCGCCCTGTTCTCGCGCATCCTGGAGCAGACCCTGTCCATTGGCGACTCCGCACAGAACATGAAGCCAGTCAGCCAGGCTGGCGGCGACGTCCTGGGCGCCCTCTTCGGCACCCTCTCCCTCATCGACTTCCTGGATACCATCGAAGTCCTCCTGGAGCGCCCCAGCGATGACCTCCGCCGCAAGGTCCTGCAGCTCTTGGAGGGTCGTCTGCGCCAAAACCCCGAGCGCGATGGTGCTTCGCAAACCCGGATGCTCGACTTCTTGCCTACTTTGGTCCGGATTATCCAGTCCTCGCCTGATATCCTGCTCAAGCACGCTGCTGTTTCGTGCGTTGACCGCATTACCGACAAGTACGGCCGCAAGGATCCCTCGAAGGTCATCGATGCCGCGCGAGTCGTTGCCAGCGGAGCATGCATTGGCCAGGAAGACGACCGCATCCGCATCATGGGTGTGTTGTGTCTTGCATCGATGGCTGAGGTGCTTGGTGAAGCTATGATCCCGGCACTCCCCGAGACGCTCACTCGCTCGTTGGCGTTGCTCGATATCAGTTTGGAAGAGGGCAAGGAGAACTTGAGATTGCACGACGCAGTGTTCTCGCTGTTCTCCGCGCTCTTCTTGCACCTCCCGTTCATGGTCTCTGCCTCTCACCTCGACAAGGTCCTCCTGCTTTCCTTCAAGTCTGCTGAAGCCGGTATCGAAGAGAGCAGCGACGAAAGCCGCCAAGAAGCCCTGCGGCTGATGTCCAGAAAGGTCGACGTCGCCGCCACATTCGGCGCCATGGACCGCAACTGGTCTGCAGCCGTGGCCGCCGGCCCAGACGCCACCCGCGAAACCCTCGAATCCCTCAGCCTTGCCATCGAAAAGCACCCCAAGTCCGCAATCATGAAGAACCTCCCCGTCCTCTCCAACGTGCTCTTCAAGGCCTTTGACCTCCGCCGGGAACAGCTCACCTCCGGCTCCAAGACTTCCTTCGACCTGTCGGATCTCGACGAGATCGAGGAGCTTCTCAACGAGCTTACGATCAAGATGATCTACAAGCTCAACGACACTTCCTTCCGACCTGTGTTTACGAAGTTGCTGGAGTGGGCTACGGCTGGGTTGCCGAAGAAGGATGCGCAGGGTAATCTGGCACGCTTGACGACGTTCTACAAGTTCTTGCAGGTTTTCTTTGGGTCGTTGCAGTCTATTGTTACTGGCTACGCGAGCTACATTATCGAGAATATCGTCACTGTCCTCCAGACAGCCAAGCCAACGGACAAAAACTCCAAGCCTCTCTGGCTGGCAACCATGCGCATGCTCCAACATGCCTTCGAGCATGACCAAGACGGTAAGCCCCCCCCCCCCCCCCCCCCCCCCCACAATCCATTGACATAGTTACTGACAAGTATAGAATTCTGGCAATCCCCCTCGCACCTCAACCAAATAATCACCCCCCTAATCTCCCAACTCTCTCACGCAACAACCCCCTCCACAGCAACCGTAATCACTACCGAAGCCATCCCCGCCATAACCGAGCTAGCCACCGCCGCCGACTCCACCGACAACCACAAAGAAATCAACACCATCCTCATGCAATACCTGCGCCCCTCCTCGGCCCTGAGTAACAAGAAGAAGGCCGGCGGCGACAACGCGCATACGCGCGTTGCGGCACTGAAGGCTGAGCAGGCGCTTACGGAGGCGCTAGGGGAGGAGTGGTTGGCGTTGTTGCCAGAGATGTTGCCGTATATTAGTGAGTTGATGGAGGATGAGGATGAGGGTGTTGAGAAGGAGGTGAGGAAGTGGGTTAAGCAGATTGAGGGGGTGTTGGGGGAGAAGTTGGATGATATGTTGACTTAGTTTCTGTCTTGGTCTGGGGCTTTGATTGATGAGCGGTTGTTTGTTTATGTTGCTTTGAAAAAGGATATGGCGTTATGTATTTGAAAAGTGGTATGGGTTTGTATAGAATTTCATTTATTGTTCATATTCATGATATATATTTGTCCTTCATTTCAGTTCATGACTTTGGCATCATAACCATAACCATATAATACAGTCATCACACATTACAACCCTTGATATACTTATTCAGGAATCTTATGCTCCTCAACACCCGCATCCCACCGATACTTCGAAGCAGGGTGATCAGCCGGCGGCCCGGACTGTCCTTTCTTGCTATACACGTTCTCCCGATATGTCCCCTTAGGCACGGCATAGTCCTCGTGGAAGAGTCCTCTCCGGCGCAGTTCGGGAATGAGCAGGTCGATGACGTCCTTGAATGTGCCGGGTTTGACGGCGTATGCCTGTACACGTTGGTTAGAATCATGATATAATGGGTAGTCAAGGGCAGGGGGGGGGGCTTACAATGTTGAAACCGTCAACGTCGGCCTCGTCAACCCATTTCTCCATTTGGTCTGCGACTTGCTGTGGTGTGCCGACGGCTGTTGCGCCGAGACCGCCGACGGTGATGTGCTCGCCGACTGTCTTCTTTGTCCATCTCGGGACTTCGGGGGTGGCCTTGGACCAGCCTTCGACGGCGGATCTATATCTGTTATCAGACTGTGCTCAGGAAAATGGGTGCAAGAAAAGGACATACCGGATAGCATTACTCTCGACCGCCCTCAACTCCTGATCCTCACCATATGTGTCGAGATCAATCCCAGTCCACCCACCAAACAGCGCCAAGGCACCATCAATCGACCCCAAACTCCTAAAATACGCAAACTTCTCCTTCGCCTCCTCCTCCGTCTTCCCAAGAATCGGACACAGCAGCGCCAAAAACTTAATAGTCTGTGGATCCCTTCCAAATTGCGTCTTCGCCATCTCCCGAATCTCTGCAATATTCTTCTTCACAACAGACGGGCTATGTCCGCCAACAAAGATGGCTTCAGCATGCTGCGCAGCGAACGTCTTGCCCGCCTTCGATGTACCAGCTTGCAGGATTAGGGGTGTGCGCTGGGGAGAGGGCTGGCAGAGGTGCGGGCCGGGGACTTCGAAGTATTTGCCTTGGTGGTTGATTTGGCGGATGCGGGAGGGTTCGGCGTAGACGCCGCGCTGGCGGTCGAGGACGACGGCGTCGGAGCGCCAGGAAGATTCCCAGAGCTTGTAGGCTACTTTGATGTATTCTTCGGCGACGGCGTAGCGGTCGTCGTGCTGGTTTGCATTAGCAGAGGGATCAGGGTATGTGGTGGATGGACTTACGTTGGGTTGATGGGCGTAGCCCATGTTGCGGGCTGCAGAGTCGAGGTAGCCGGTGACGACCTGTGTTGTCAGCTATAGTTCATGGATTGGGTGTATTGAGGTACGTACATTCCATCCGACACGGCCCTTGGTGAGGTGGTCGACTGTCGATAGCCGACGAGCAAGGTGGTATGGGGGTTCATATGTTGTTGTGACAGTGACACCGAAGCCAATGTTCTGAGTGGCAGCAGCCATGGCCGGGACGACAGCCAATGGCTCATTGACAGGCCATTGAGCGCCAGAGACAATAGCGGGCTCAAGGTTCCTAGGGCCCTTGTAGACATCGTAGCCGCCTGCGTCATTAGCAAAGCATACACAAATACAGAATGGGAGGGAAGGCTACCTAGGACATCAGCAATGAAAATACCATGAAACTTGGCCGATTCAAGCAGTTTGGCTAGTTCAACCCAATGATCGACATCATTAAACCGCCACGACTCATCCTCGGGATGTTGCCAGAGCCCAGGGGACTGGTGGCCACTGCACATTTCCACAAAGGCATTGAGGATGAGCGACTTACGCCCATTGGCGGGAGTCTCGTTGGCAGTCATGATTTACTGTGATTGAGAATTGTGAAAGGGAATTGCGTGATAGACGATGGAAGGGCGCAGACGGCGGTTGTTATATAGTATGGCCGGCCCAAAGGATGTTCAATTAGCACGCGGATTGGGAAGAAACTCCCCGGAAGGTAGACTCTTGTTATGTACTCTGAGTAGGTTGTCTCGGCCGTGTCGCATGTTTTCTGATGTCAGGCCAAGTCTATGGGGGGGGTTCGATTAACTATGGCGGGTGTTGCGTTGCCTGTATAGCACAAAAGTGGGCCGTGATGACGCGATAATGGAAGCGAGATGATCGTGCGGAGGAGGAGAATTGGAGAGTCAGTCCAGTTAGAAGGTATTATTTCTAATCGTAGAGAGCTTGAACAGAAACAATGTACATAAATAAAAGTTAAAAAATGGTGATATTATGGTCGGGTTGCGTGCTAAGACCCCGTATACTCTCGGTAACTATTGTACCCTACTGTGTACTCCGTACTTGTCCACTGAAGCACTCTGACAGAAACTCACACGTCAAAACCATGTATCATCACGCAATAGTCCATGTATTCCTGCAGATCATCCCCGTCTGTGCGGTTTAGCTTGGCCAGGAACCGTGGGTGCGGTCCCTTGACCGTCCACCCGAGACCCAAAACTAGCACGTTTGTTCCGTAAATCATATAGCTCCATTTCCCTAGTGAGCACCTCATATGCATTATCCATTATACCACTGTGGAGCCCGAAAGGGAATCACACGGCGTAGGGTTCGATCATGCCCTATTCGCGGCTGTTGGAGATGGGCTCCGGGAGCCAGGTAAGCCCTCGTTGCGGATCTTCTGCCTGCAGGAAATCATTTAAGGATAAGCATCTGGACGAACTGTCCTGTCTTTCGTTTCTCTGTGTTGAAGTGTTGCTCGACTGCAGTCTGCAAGCGATAAGACAATGACAGGTCTACAAGCACGCAATGGAGGTGCTACTATCCAGCCGCCGCTGCCTCAGGCGGCTGGTTATGTGGTTGTTGTTGTGCTAGGATTGGTTGTAGCACTTGGTATGCTGCCCGACTTGAATTGGCATGGATTAATACTGACAATGCAGTCATGATGTACGTGACAAAAATATTGAAAAACACGACCGGAGAAGACACCAAGAAGACGGAAATGTATGCCCCGATACCACATCGCCCGGGATTCCGACACTAACTGGCACAGGTTCATGACGGCAAACCGAACGGTTCGGACGGGTTTGACTGCATCTGCTGTGATTTCGGTATGTCTCTCCTCCGCTCTGCTAATGAATATCGCTAACGGATGCGCAGTCATGGCTCTGGACAACAGCTATTCTAGGATCCTGCTTCACCGGCTACGACTACGGCGTATCAGGACCATTCTGGTTCGCCGCCGGATGCAGTCCTATGATCGTCTTTTTTGCTCTACTGGGTATTTCCTGCAAGAGAAAGATTCCTGAAGCGCATACTTCTCTCGAACTTGTTCGGATTCGATATGGTAAGCCATTTGTCCCATGGTACATTTGATGCAGCTGCTAATTGAGAGTCTCGTAGGAAAAATTGCCCACGCCGTCTTCATGGTCCTCTGCCTCGTCAACAACATCTTCGCCAGTGCCAACATGCTCCTCGGTGCTGCTGCGGTCATCGCAGCTGTCTCGGGGATGCACGTTATTGCCGCGACATTCCTGATTCCAGTTGGTGTGACGGTGTATACTTTTGTCGGTGGTATCAAGGCTACGTGAGTTCTCTCCCCATCGATTATCGATCATGAACCGTGGGCTAATAGATGGCAGCTTCCTTACCGACTACTTCCACACGGTCATCATCCTGGCCATCTGCTGCTACTTCAGTGTCAAGGGATTCCAGAATGATCATGTGGGCTCTGTTGGCGAGCTGTTCGATCTCATCCAGAAGGCTGGGCAGATGCATCCTGTGTCTGGGAATTCGAATGGGTCGTACTTGACCATGACTTCTAAGAGTGTACGCCCTACCCTTCTATACCCTACTCGTGTTTCCATACTAACAAACCAGGGCATCCTCTTCGGCATCCTCCACACATGCTCCAACTTCGGCCTGGTCATCGTAAGTTCCTAGAACTCACCTGAATACCGCTCCATGCTAACAAACCAGATGGACACATCCTACTTCATAAAATCCTTCTCCGCAACCCCCCGCTCCGTCGTCCCCGGCTACACAATCGGCGGCATCCTCTATTTCGCCATCCCCTGGGCCCTCGGCACAGTAATGTCCTCGCTAGCCATTGGCCTCGAATCCCACCCCTCCTTCCCGACCTACCCCCGCCGCATGACATCCTCCGAAGTCAGCGGCGGGCTAGTCCTCCCGTACGCGGCGATTGCGATCGCGGGTAAGGGTGGCGCGACGGCTGTACTCCTTATGACGTTTATGGCTGTTACGTCGACGTTGAGTGCGCAGGTTATTGCTGTGAGCTCGATTTTGAGTTTTGATGTTTATCGGTTATATTTTAAGAAGGGGGCTAGTGATCGGGATATTATCAGGGCGAGTCACCTTGGGGTTATCTTTTTTGCGGCGTTTGCGGCGGGGTTTAGTACCATGTTGCATTATGTGGGGATTGATCTTGGTTGGACGTTGTATATGCTTGGTACGTCCCCCCCCCCCCCCCCCCACCATAACCCTCATATAAAAAAACGTGCTAACAAGATACAGGCGTGGTAACATGCCCCGGCGTCTTCCCCATGGTCTTCACCGTCCTCTGGAAACACCAATCCAAAGCCGCCGCCATCCTCTCCCCAATCCTCGGCATCGCAACCGGCATCGCCGTCTGGCTCGGCACGGCACACCACTTCTACGGCTCCGTCTCTGTCTCAGCAACGGGTGGACTACTCCCCTGCGTCTACGGAACCGTTGCGTCGGCGTTCTCGCCGATCTTGTACTCGGTTGTTATCACATTGTTTAAGCCGCAGAATTACGACTGGAGTAACTTCCGGCAGGAGAAACTTGCGTTGGAGAAGGTGGAGGGTGATTTGACGACTGTGCACAAGGATGGGACGAATGACGCGCCGTCTGTGGCGCAGGAGCAGGAGCAGGAATATAGGCCTGGGCCTGAGGTCGAGCAGCATCGGAATGAGGAGGATGGAGCACAACCTGCGCCACAGGCTAGCAATGCCAAAGAACTGAAGAGATGGACAAGAATTGCCGCGTTCTGGTCCGCTGCTACATTCCTGGGCCACTGGGTTATCTGGCCATTGCCGATGTACGGCTCGAAATACGTTTTTGAGAAGAAGGTACCGCCTTACCCTCCCCCCTTCCCTTTCCCCCCCTATACCCTTATCCCCAACTCCCAAAATCGAAACACATACTAATAAATGCGTGCAGTTTTATTATGCCTGGGTAATCGTCGCCATAATCTGGCTCTGGATCACCATGCTAGTAACAACCTTCTACCCGATCCTCGACGGCGGATGGCAGCAGATCCGCGAGGTGTACACGGGGTGGAAGAATAATAAGCGCGCGGCATCGATTGAGGGGACTGTGCCGGGGAGTCCGCCGAGTCCGGAGGAGGTGGAGGTTGAGGGGAAGGAGACTAAATGATTTTGATCCTTTTTCTTTTTTAAAAATATATATATACACTGGAGGTGTGATTTGGGGGTTGGGGATTATGGGTGGTTATGGATTTGCTATGGATTTGCTATGGGTTTGCTATGGGTTTGCTATGGAGGAGGGGTGGCTGTTTGTTTTTTGCGGTATACCCCTGATATTGTATCTGGAAAAGGTGTGTTAGGATTGTGATGGATATAGTTATTATGTTAGTGTTTAATGTCAAATACGCTATTTCTATTTCTATGCTATTGCGTGTTCGAATGATAGTGATCTACTAGACTATTGCTCATAAACTGTCATAACCTATAGTTGGACTGTGACATGATCGACCGGACTATTTCGATAGCTTGATGTCAGTCAGTTGTCTCCGGTAGATCCCGATGCTTTACGAGGATGATAATCGCTCAGTGTACTACGATGAAGCTTTTGTGGTGTGGTGACAATTCAATGATTGAAGAAAATATATACAGTAAACGCACTTTTATACAAGGGTATATAGCCATTCCAATGGAAACAAATCCAACTCCAATGCAATGCAATCCAGCTCAAAGCCAATCAAACACAAACACTCCTCTGCTCAGGCGCAGCAACCCTAGGCCGATAATCCCCATACGCTGGCGGCGCAACAGCCAACCCCGTAACATCCCTCGGCGTAAAAAATGCCTCCACATCCCCATCCTCCATCTCAGAAACATTAACCTCAGCCGCATTCTTCGAGGGCATGTCCCGTGGCGCCGAAGTCACTTGTATCGGTACCTTGAGGGATACAGTCGACCCTAAGAGGCGCGAGGTATGCGGTGTGTGGTAGGAGATGGATAGGTCGAGGGAGTAGGTTCGCGAGAGGAGGCAGGAGTGGAATGTTGGGACTAGGGTTTTCGTGGGTGGTAGTGTGACTGGGATGATTAGGGATGCCGTGTAGTATGATCCGGATCCGGATTCGGTTGTTGAGGTTGTTGAGGTGGAGGATGTAGACGTAGATGAGGATGAGGAAGAGAGCGAGTCCCGACGGGAATGTTTCGTCCACGACGCAGACGCAACACACCGCGTCGACAACGGTACACTCTCAAGATACACCCCCCGTCCAAGTTGAGCCCACGAACTCGCCCTCATCCCAGCAGGAAAATCGCTCCACGGCTGCGCACTGAAGAACGTCGACGCAGTCACCTTCGTCCACACAGTCCCAAGCGCCGGCGGCACCTCATCCTCAGTCACAGGCTCGAACCGCAGATCCAGCGTCGCCACCGAATTCACGCTCTCATCGCCACCATTATTCGAAACGATAGGTCTGGGCTGCGACGTCGAGACAACAAAGCGTCCGCGCTTCGCTCTCGTCCACCCGCGTCGCAGATCCTTCTCTTTCCGTACGCAGTACCCGTCGACTTCATAGTCTGGGATGCTGAGCGGTGGCTGTTCCTCGACAACAGGCATAACCCTGACCTTTTGCGTTCCTGAACCGAGGACTTTTCTCTTTCTACTACCTTCCCTCTTGACGATCGCAGTCTGAACAAAATACGCAACGCGACACATGTCCGGACACAAATCATCAACCAACGCATTCTTCCCCTTCTGTAGTGTTACCATGGTATCACCCAGCGTCGGCGGAAGAAGTGTATGCGCGTGCTCGAGGTGCCCGTGGTTCTTGGGGTGGTTGCATGCTTGCGGGAGTAATCTGTCCGGAACGACAAAGGTAAACGGGAAGACGTAGGTGTGTCCTGGTTGGAGGATACGAGGGGATGGGTAGTGGTCGATTGGTTGGCGGAGTTTGAGAAAGGTTTGGCAGGCGCCGCTTTGGCCGGGGACGGAGGCACGTTCGACTGTTGTCCGTGATGTTCCTGTTCTAGTTAGCATTGGTATGCCAAGGGGAGATGGACAGGGAAGGGCTACCCTCGAATGTTATGTCGAGATGATCAAACGGAATATCGTGGTCGACAGTAATAGTCGCGGTACCGTCGATGCGGTCTCCGGTGGTGTATGTGTTGACAAGGTTCGGTTGTTGGTTCTTAAGGGCGATTTGGATTTTAGGACGACGGCGGAGGTCGAGGTTCACCATTTTGATCAATTGCAGTCTGTATTTGCTGTGTTCTGTACAATTGTAGTTCTTGCAGGGAGGGCTTGTATATATACCGGAACCAATATAGAACTCCGAGAATAGACGAGGCCCACTTGGTACGTGTACGGGTAGAGATGAATACTAGTCCAGGAGAATAAAATAAAATCAATCAAATAACTCAATAGATAGAAACAAGAATGCCGGCCTATATACCTACCATGTACAGAGTACTTGTACCCATACTCATACCGAGCACGCACGCCCTGTGACATACCTACTACGAATTAACTTCAGGATCCTCCTGATCGACCGGTTCTTCGTCAGCAACCAAGTAAACCTCCCACTCACAGCACATTTTTGGGCCCCGTGGAGTCAGCACCGCGGCTTTTTTCACGCCCTGTCGATGATTGATGATTCGCGCCCTGCTACTGTGTTGTTGACTCGCCGCTGGTCCGACTGGTTTTGAGGCGTAGATCATGAATATCATCCCATTATTGTACTTTATACTCTACGGAGTACACAGGTTACTTGTATGCTATGCTGGCTGCATTGGTTAAGGTGGCGGTTGTGGTGTGTTTCGATGTTTTTTGCATAGCATTCTTGTACCGTCACCGAGGGACTAGCTAGGACTGCCCGACGACAATAACCGATTGTATCCCCCGATCCAGAATTTTCCGCCCGTAGCCGACCTCAGTCTGGCTGAAATTAAGTGAAAATTTTGACGGCGATCATGTTATATATGCACACTATGCATATTACCTGTATGGGACTATTCTGACACAGGGGTGAGAAAGTAAGGATATGTAAGGATATGGAATGATGTACTCTATTAATCACTATCGATAGACTAGTCACTATAATACGTAGACTGCTCACTATTTATGTATATGTATCGACGGATAAATTACGATCGAATCCGTGGTGTTCGGACTGAATCGTACTCAAAGATCGTCGGATTTTTCTCGTCCCATACCTGGTACAAAGTACAGGCATCCAGCTCTAGATCTTTTGATAGACACAAAAGGCCGAGCGAGGCAAGAGACTGGTAATTTACTCAGAACAGGAACAGGCACGTTGAAAATATTAAATGTATTACTGTACGGGTATCTACTAGTACGCCACCCGCGTTCGCATATCCTGTTCTCGTTAGCTTTGTCTTTGTACTTTCAACTTGGGGATAGGATGCTCACCGATATCTTCCGCTCAATCTCCCTCACCGACCGATCCAGTTCCCCCGCTATCATCATCTTCATGTCATTAGGCAATAAGAAATATCGCTCGCACAGATCTCCATCAATAACGCCCTTCGCCGGCGCGTAGTAGCTCCGGTAGATCAGGTGGTCTCGTCCCGCCAGCGGTGCATCCTGCGCTGCCAGCTGCATCTCCAGACTCTGGAAGAAATCCACGTCCTCCCGGCTGATGAACGGCACCAACATCCCGATCGTTCCCTGGAACCCGGTCCATACCAGAATGTCCCGGCCACCGGCCACCAGTTGTGAACGCTGCAGGCTGGTCGGGATGTCTTGGCTGTACACGTGCATCATCAGCTCTAACCGGTTGGCTGTCCCATGCAGGTACCCGCGCTCGTGCAGCAGATGCGCCCCGGAACCGTCTTCGTCTGATTCGTCTGATGTCTTCTTGGGACACCGTACCAACCAAATGTTGCCGAACTTGTCGCCTCCCGCTGTCGTCTCGTAGTCCACCATGGTCGTTGTCGTGGTCCATCGTGGCACCGAGTCATCCACAAACGGAATAAGCACGTTCTCCTGATACTTGTACACAACGTACGTTACACTCTCGCGAATGTCGCTGACCACAATACGGCTTCCCTGTGTCTGTAGATCGACAATCATCTTCGGAACAACCGGCGCCTGACACTTTCGGAGCAATTGCTTCATACCAAGATCGTAGATCCGGAGAATCGGGCCGATACCCGCGGCCAGACGGCCTTGGAAGGAAAGAAGCGCCAGCGGCGGCTCCTCAACTTTGGTCTTGTGAATGAACTCGAGCTCCCGTCCATCTTCTTGGAATCGGTAGATATGGATGTAGCCACCAGACGATGACGGCGGGCTGACCGTCATGTCCTTGGCAGTACCCACCACAAGGAACGTTTCATCGTCCTGGCTTGTGAATGCCACCGCGGCAATACTGACAGCAGCTTCGTTCTCCTCAAGGTCGATATTCGAGATCACAGACTTGGTTGCCACGGGGTCAACTACTTGGACGCATGACGCCCAGTGTCCCGTGCCACGGGGGTGTCCAAAATCTTCCGGCGGTGGCACCGACACATCGCCACCACGCGACTGTGCGTCTTCCACCAACCGTTGTTTGGTCCCGGGCGCCAGTGTGTTGTTATCTGATTCGATGACGTAGAACAACGGTTGCTCAGGGTGCTTCAAGAAACGTCTGGGGGTGTATGTGAGAGGAATCGACTCTTGCAGCATGTTGTTGTCCAGGCGTTCAATAGAGAAGATCCTGTTTGCAATTAGCATTTATTCCCAACAAATCATCCGTAAACAAATCATTGTGAAGTCGATCTCAGCAGGAACAATTGGAGATTAAAAGGCTATAAAAATCCACATGGGCCTTTCGGAAAAATTTTTTCATCATCGATCGATGGAGGGCAAGATAAAAGAGAGAAAAAAAAAAAAGAAAGAAACATACCGTAAGTTCTGGCCTTGGATACCGACCATTCCCTCTACACACTGCTCGCTGGAAAAGTTCCATCCCCACTCAAGACCAGTGTAGTCCAAAGGAGTGAGCATGAAACCCTTCGTTTGGATATCGGAATACCCGAGCCATGGCCGGGAACTCAGAGCTAGAACGGCTGTCTGACCCTTGACGGAAACGCGGAACAACTTAACCGGCTTGACACCAAGGAATCGTGTCCGAGTGTCAGAAAGCTCTCCCGTCACCTCGTCCAGAACAGTACGAAGGTAGACACCAGAGTACAGACCAATGTGCAGATACAGAGTGGTACCTCCCGAGCTCGAGTCAGCCATAGACATGATGTTCAACGAGGACGGAGCGGAAGTCAACGCTTGCACGGACTTGTTCTCCAATGTCGCGTCAGGGTCCAAACTCAATATGCGAACTGTCGAGTCGTCACACCCGACAGCCAAGAACGAGCTGCGAACACGACCCTCGGAGACCTCGCCCAAACTGAGAGCCGTGACCGTGCCAGACATTTGCCGTCTCTCGTCGTATTCAGCGAGAGTTCCATCGACATCCATCTCGAAGTAGACAATCTCGCCAGAACTCAACGCCACAGCGACCTGGCGCTCATTGGTTGCGGCCGCCACGATCGACCGATGCTGCGGGGCAGGCCATTCGTTCACCCGTCGGTCCGCAAGAATGTGACGAATACCCCGAGGGTGGATTTGGATCAACGAGTCCTCGCCAAGTTGCTGAACTGCGAGCGTAGGCGCCGTGGAAAGGAACCCGGTATCCGTAACTTCTTCCACAGTTTCACCAATACTCAGAACCAAGGTACCGTTAGCAAATGAGAGGATAATGTAGGCATCGAACTCGTCCGTTCGAGTAAGCTTGGTCGTCCAAACGGCCGATGGAACACTGGGGAGCTCCGACTCGACAATCTCTGAGACTTCCAATCCATGCTTGAGCGTTCTGAAGCTGCTGTGTGCTCCAGTTCCGCACACCGCGAAGATCTGTGGTGCGTCATCTTCGAACATGTTGATGACTTTGCTGTCGATCAATGGATTCAGAGAGTTGATAGAATCCACAAGATTGAGATTCTCCGCACCCCTGAGGTTAAAGTAGACTGGCTCGTACGGAAGGGTGAAATCTGCCGGGAACGAGTCACTGGTAAACTCTATCTCCTCGTCATCATCACCCAATTTTTCGAACTGGTAGAATTGGTGGTTTCCGGATTCGCTAGCAACGTATAGGAAGCCGCTCTTGAGGATCAACAAATGAGACGCAAGCGGAACTGTGTCAAAGTACTTGACTCTCAACCTTCTCACCTCGCCGGTGAGCTGACCATTGTCATCTTCCACCATGTCGATCGTGACCTTGAAAAGATCGCCGTCATCGGACTGCAAAAGGAAGAAGAACGCGCCTCTCATTTTGTGCATCACACCGGCTGATATCGTACGCTTGCGCTCCGGGTTTTCCGTAGGGCCAGAGCGACGGGGAATGGGGACCCTGAACGCATCCTGGTTCGAATGTCGATAGGTAATGTTATCCTCTCCACATACCAGCACACCACTGGGACCATCTGCCCCTCCGGGTACCTGGAAGAGCATGCTTGCCGTCCGATCAACCGGGTCCGCCCACTTGCGAACAACATGATTGAGACCCAGATCGAGCTCGTAGTATACCAAGGACTTTTCAGCCTCTTCGTATGCCTGGCCTGTTGGATCCTGATCCGACTCGCCATACTCCATCTCGAGAGCCGCAAAGACGGGGTTTTCATACCCGACGTCTAATGCCACCATCGCGAAGACCAACGTCTGTGGCTTGTGGGCTTCGAGTGGCGAGGAAATCGTCAGCTCGGCCTGCGAGTTCCGATTCAACACATAGACCAGCTTGTTCTTCTCCACAGAAGCGATCATGCACGCTCTACCCTTCGGATCGGCCACCAGGTACTGACCCGGAATCACACGCCGGACGCCCGACTTGCCAAAGGTTTCGAGGTGAATTCGGCTAAACCGATTCTGCGACGGCACATATTCAATGATCGTGATGCGGCCCGAATCAGAGCCAATGATGATATAATCTATAAACATCATGTTTGTTCAGCACACGTTCAACGACCAAGGGCACCCAGTGTCAACGTCGCCGACCGGAGCACGTCCCACATTTTTCCCGGAGAAGGGAGAAGCGCGGTTCGCTAGACAGGGATCGTGCTGCCCGCGGAAGCTTGACGAATCACTAAGTTGCTCTTTTGAAATTTTGGGGGAATAGGTGAGAGAGTGCGACGAATACATACCTTTAGAACTTCCGGCCAATCGGAACGCAGCCAAGGTCCGAATGATGCCGAAGACATCCTGAGTGTAAAGCGGAGTGATCTTGCCCTGGGTAGGGTCGGGACGGTGAATCGTCAACTTCGAGCCCGAAGCCGTGACAATCTGCTGCTCCTTAGTCCCAGCAAACTGGCCAAGAATGGCTTGGGTGATCGCAGTCGGAGGCTGAATCGTCAAAGAGTACATAAACATATGCGACGTGGTAGCCATGATGGGCGATATGGAAGCTTAGAGCTTCTTGTTGTCTTCTTCCAATCCTGAACAACACCAGACGCGGTAGGTTACGACGCGATTGCAGTCAAAATCGACACTAGAATGAAATCAATCCCATTGCTGCCGGCAAATGAGACGGGGAAGAGGACTCTCAGGACCGAGTAGTCCTCACAAAAGATAATGGGGTGAGTGTGGTAGGTGAAGAAGCGAAGGACAGAATCAAATTGAGGTGGAAAATTCGGGAGCTGTGCGAGAGTTGGTGGGTTTGCACTGTTTGTACTAAACTGCACTAGTGGCCACTGCGCCCACCGCAAAGGCGGACGATGGGATTCTGCCACCTTCTGTATGTGACTTGATGAGAACCGAGGAACAGCGTCATTCCTCTTTCTCACATCAACTGTTTGTCAATCTGTGGATACTGCTATCTCTACTTTGTTCTCTTCAAGACATTCTCATTCTCACTTAAATCTCTCTTTGCTCGCTGTATATCGCCTACCCCACTCACCTCGCCCCGCATCATGGCTGACGATAGCGCAACCGCGGACGAGACGCCCGTCACTTTCCACATCAAGGCTTCTGAAGCTAAATACACACTCACTCTTCCTCTCTCGACACTAGTTTCTCAGTTGAAGGAGAAGCTGTCAACTTCGGAACATGCGGATACCCCGGCGGACCGTCAGCGCTTAATCTACTCTGGCCGAGTGCTCAAGGACAATGAGACACTGGCCACCTACAAGATCAAGGAGGGTCACACTGTTCATATGGTGAAGAGCGCAGCCAGTAACCAACGCCAGAACCCTCCCGCACCAAGCGCGTCAACCCCTGCGCCCGCTGATGCTGCTGCTGCGTCGACTGCTGCTGGTGTTCCCACAAATCTCGCAGCTGGTACAGGAAACAATCCTTTGGCCGGCTTAACAGGTGCCAGATATGCTGGATTTGCACAATTGCCTGGTGCTGGGATGTTTGGCCCTGATGGCGGGGTATGTTCTCAATGATATTTTTTGATGGTAGTCTATATGCTAACCACACTGTCAACAGATGGGCCCTCCTCCGGATGAAGACAGCATGCTTAACATGCTCGAAAACCCCCAAGTCCAGTCCTCCCTCAATGAAGCCCTTCAGAACCCTGCAATGATCGATATGATGATTCAGCAAAACCCCATGCTGCGTGATATGGGTCCTGGCGCTCGCCAGATGATGCAGAGTCCCGAATTCCGCCGCATGTTGACCGATCCGGGCTCGATTCGTCAGATGATGCAGATGCAGAGGTCGCTTGGACTTGGCAGACCCGGTGGTGGTGGCGGCGCGTTCCCCGCTCCAGGTGTCACCAACACAACGCCGGAAGAGAACCGGGGACCCGAAGGCACACAAAACAACAACGGTGCTGCGCCTCCGCCTGCTTTCAACCCCTTCATGCCCGCCGGTCTGGGTGCAGGAAATCCTTTTGCGGCTCTTTTTGGCGGTAATCCCAACATAGGCGCGAACCCTTCTGCGGGAGCGACGACAGCAGGCGGTGACCAGCCGGCGTCTGATCAGGGAGCAACAGGAAGTGCCTCTGCGGGTGACACCACTACCGGAGAAGGACAGAACCAACAGAACGCACAGAACCCGTTCAGTCTCCTGAACCCAGCCATGTTTGGAGGACCGCAAGGCCAGGGCGGCGTTAACCCATTCAACCCCCAGCAGAACCCTTTCCTTCGAGATCCAGCCATGATGTCGCAGATGATGCAAGCAATGGGAGGACAAGGAGGACAAGGAGGTGCCGGTGGTCCGGATCTCAATTCCTTGGCGGCTCTATTGGGAAGCGGCGGATTCGGTGGTGGTGGTGCTGCTGCTGCTCCCCCGGACAACCGGCCACCTGAGGAGCGATATGAGCAACAGCTTCATCAACTGAATGAGATGGGATTCTTTGAATTTGAGAGGAACGTGGAGGCTCTGCGCCGCGCAGGTGGAAGCGTCCAGGGAGCTGTGGAATATTTGTTGAGCAACTCTTCGTAAGCGTACTGTGATTCTCTTCATGCTGCATCTTATTACCTCGATTTGGCGGTGTTATTTTTATTACCCTTCCTGTGAACTAGTTGAGCTAGTGAACGTATCAGAACAATAGCAATTGTGTACGAATAATACTACACCTTCCATACATTTTTGTACGCTGTAGACTGCTCTAATGACAATACTCAACCTAAAACTGGAATGGGGCTATCCGAACCCGCAAGCGGAAGATATATATATAAAAAGCCGCATTTTGCTTCTTTTCTTTTCTCAACTGCTTTAAGACACTCCGTTGATCGTGTATTCTGCATTTTTAGGCACTCGATTGCCGATTCCACTCGTTCTGGAAGTGTTAATCGGATTGTCGCATTCTGGACCCGGCGCGATCGGCACTTCTTCGACAGTGCTTCGACAATCATTCTCCGTTGATCTCGGTCTTTCTTTCTCATTAAATTTAGAGCTCTTTCCACAATAAACCCGACTATATTGCACTATATCAGATCTATAGTGGCCTCTAGTTAAAGGTGCAGCTCCCTGAGAGGGCCGCGTACTGATCGTCCTTGTCTCGGATTCCGCCACGTCGAACCAACTTCGTCACTCAAAACCACCCACCCGCGCATGAGTGTTTCTTTCTGTAGCGTGGGTAGACTCCTCCCCCTTCCGCTACACACATGATGGCGTTGAAATGCTTTTTGCGTCCTTGGCAGTGGATGCTGTGGCTGCTGCTTGTCTCTTACTGCCGCGCATTCTACATCCCCGGTAAGCTTACCTCGCCCTGCGCCAGTCGCACCGCGGCACCACTCAGCTAACGACGTTTTTCTCTGCTATAGGCTACTCGATCAATCGGTATAACGACGGCGACAGCATCCCACTTCTCGTGAACAAGATCTTCTCCGACTTTACACAATTGCAATATGCCTACTTCGACCTCCCCTTCGTCTGCCCCCCGAGTGGGCGCACACACGGCGGCTCTCCCTTCGGCTCCGGACAGAGTCTCTCGTTGAACCTGGGCGAAATCCTACGCGGAGACCGAATCATGACATCGGACTTCGAACTGGCGATGGGCAAAAACGTCGAATGCCAGCCGCTCTGTACGCAGGAAGTCGGGCGGAAAGACGTCCAATGGGGCCGTGAGCTTATCAAGGATGGTTACGTCGCGGAGTGGATTGCGGATAACTTGCCTGGGGCTACGAGTTTTGTTACTGTCGATCGGAGTCGCAAGTACTATTCTACCGGATTTAAGCTGGGATACCAGGAAATTTCGCCTGAGGATGGGAAGCGGAGATATTTTCTGAATAACCATGTTACTATTGTGATTCGTTGGAGGCAGGCTCCTGATGGGCAGGGGAAGGTTGTTGTTGGGTTCGAGGTATATCCGAAGAGTATTACGGCTAGTGATCGTGAAGAGGGTGGATGTCCGAAGCAAGTCCATGATCCCCACGCTGGATTCGAATTGAATATTCCGCCAAACCTGGAGAAGTTGAAGGAAAAGTACCCCGGATCGTCGTATCTTCCCGAATACGATGAAGATTTGGAAGACGGTGCGACACTGAAGATCCCGTTCACCTACTCGGTCTACTTCAGGGAAGAGAACGGTGTTGACTGGAGCAATCGGTGGGAGCTCTATTTCAACAATCAGGAAGAAGGCTCGACGACCCATTGGCTCGCTATTCTGAACTCGTTGATCATTTCTGGAGTTCTTGGTGTCGCGGTGTATGTGATCTGGAGCCGGACCATCCAAGGCGACATCAAGGGCCGCGGAGATGGAGCAATGGACGACACGAAGATCAAACTCGGTAGCAAGGGTAAGGGCCAGGGCGAGGGAGTATTGGAGCAAGGAACGGACGTTGAACGCGACGCTGATGCTGGTTCTGATGACGACGAATCTATCGAGGACGTGAGCGGATGGAAGCTCCTCCATGGGGATGTTTTCCGCGTGCCTGAATACAGTGGGCTGCTTGCACCTCTCGTTGGCTCAGGGATGCAGCTTTTCTTCGTGGTCTCGGGATTGCTTCTGCTCAGTTGCTTGGGTGTGTTGAACCCTAGCTTCCGAGGCGGGTTTGTCAGTGTCGGTATGGGTCTGTTTGTGTTTGCGGGTCTCTTCTCTGGGTACTTTTCTGGCAGACTGTACAAGACGTTTGGCGGTTCGAACTGGCGCAGGAATACTTTGATTGTACGTTGTTCCCCTCTTTATTATCTTGTTTTCCACTAACCTATTAGACTGCCCTGCTCTTCCCCGGATTGACCTTTTCCCTCATCTTCATTCTGAACCTGTTCACCTGGGCCCAAGCATCCAGCACAGCCATTCCATTCGGCACACTAGTTAGCCTAGTCGCCCTATGGCTCCTCATCCAAGTCCCCCTAGTCTACCTCGGCAACTGGCTAGGCCACGTTCGCGCCTCAGCCTGGGAACACCCAACCAAAACCACCTCAATCGCGCGCCAAGTCCCCATCCAACCCTGGTACCTGCGCAGCGTCTCCGGCACCCTCCTAACGGGTCTAATCCCCTTCGCTGTCCTTTTCATCGAACTCCTCTTCCTCTTCCGCAACCTCTGGCAAGACAAATCTAGCTACTACTACGTCTTCGGCTTCCTAAGCTCCGTCTCCCTAATCCTCCTGGTCACAATCGCCGAAGTAACCATCATCGCCACGTACTCCCAGCTCTGCGCTGAAAACCACCACTGGTGGTGGCAGAGTTTCTTGACCGGTGGCAGCAGTGCGTTCTGGATCTTTGCGTACTGCATCTGGTACTATATGTTCAAGTTGAATGTGACGGGGTTTGTGTCGGGTCTGTTGTTTTTCAGTTATAGTTTCTTGGCGTGTGCAGTTTATGGGCTGTTGACGGGGACTGTTGGGTTTTTGACGGCTTATGCTTTTGTTAAGAGGATTTATAGGTGAGTTTCCTGCCTCGGGGAGTTTATATATGTGGAAAGAGAAGCTAACTATTGGAATAGTTCTGTTAAAGTTGATTGAGTGGCCTGATACGGGTCAGGTCGAGTATAAAGTCATTATAGTTAAATATATTCCATTATTACTTTATACTGTATAGTACTACACTGGACAGGACTAGCAAGCTTGCTGGATAGAGATATTATAGCATCGTTTTGTATGCAATCAACTGTATTGTTTTCTTTGCAGTGAACTCACCCCTTACAATATATTTCCTCATTCCAGGATGTGAATTAATCTTCAATGCCTCTTTTCTACCAACAGCGTCTTCTGGTCATACAGCTCATACCTCTCATAATTTTTGTAATCTTCAGGTGCGCTCAACATGCATCTTGATTGGGGATTGGTCGGGTACCGATATATATAGCAACGCACCGTATAGGGATCGAATCTAACACATACTAATACCATGAGAGGCTTTTCCAATGGGATTCTTCAGAAAGCACCTTTTCTCTATTCCCTTTTGACTGGAATTCTCTGTTCATTTTCAATCTCAACAACGTGGACGAGGATAATTATATCCCCGTGCAGGATTCGTTTTTTGATGAGCGAGAAGACGCGGGCACGTTTCGACTCGTGCTCCTGGGATTCTTCATTCGAGCCTTGAAGAGACACCTTCCGGAAGAGGACGTTACCATGTCTATGTGATCTTTTGTATGGCGGCACACGATGGTGAAAAGGTGCTCTTTTTTGTCTTATCTTTCTTTTAAAGGCCAATGATAATGGATGAATCAAGTCTTAGGGTTGAAGTTGTAGTTGTAACTGACATTTCCTCGCGTCCCGTATAACAAGAAACCATATATTGACGGCACCCCGAGCGTTTATTTTGGTGAGCTTTGCCTCGCTTACTTGATAAGACATATGTACTCGCGTTACTGAGAATATAATGAGCTTAGTGCTGTGATCGAGGATAGGGAATCTTTTCCCCTACATGAATTGAATGATTAGGAACTAAGCTTCCCCAGAAGAGTCCTGGGTATGTACTACATATCTACCGCTAACCCGCTCAAACCGGACAGTTTGCGGCTTATTCGTCAACCATTTTTTTAACGACCTACCTCAGACTCTCTATTGAAGGTTTAATGGGTAGATTGCTGCTGTCAAAAATCGATCCAATATTCTATATGACGCGTGCCATAGACCACAGAGTGTGGAAAACAGGGTCTTCAATGGTTGTAGAATGTGAAAAGAATATCATCTTTAAGCATCAGCAACCAATACATGATAGATTGTTGCATGCTACCTAAATTCGTACTAAATGGCTCATGGCGGCTAGTGAATCAAATTGGATTGGCGCATAAGCACCGCACAAAAATCACAATGACTCACTATCATCTTCCAACGACTACTTAAAAAGACGGTACCCCATTTCTTGAAACCTACTTACTTGGAAACAAAATGCCACCCTCAAAACAATTCTACGCCACAACCTCCCCCTTCGAAGATAAAATCGGGTACTACCGCGCCGTCCGGCACAGCTCCCAGATCTTCGTCTCCGGAACTACAGCCGTCGATCCCAAATCTTCACCCACCGCACCTCAAATCCTCTACCCTGGAGATGCGCGACAGCAAACATGCGTAGCGCTGAATGAGTGCATCAAAGCCATTCAGGCGCTGGGAGGCCAAGGGGCAGAGAGCGTTGTTCGGGTGAGGATGTTTGTGGCGCGTCACGAGGATTGTGGGCCCGTTGGTGAAGGGTACCGGGAAATACTGGGGAAGGAGAACGGGGAGGGGATTGGGGCTGCGGCGACGATGGTTGTTGTGGGTGGGTTTGTGGATGAGGGGATGTTGGTTGAGGTTGAGGTTGATGCGGTTGCTGGGGAGTAGAGTGTTTACGTTCGCAGAGAAAATCTACGGAGTATAAAGGACTCAATGGATTTTCTGCACAGAGCAGACTATCTCTGAATATAGCCGTTGACTTCTTATAACCATATCATCTCCTGTCACCTGTCAACGCCGCTGTCATTTATACTTCCGCCCCTTCTGCATGTTCCGCTGTGCTGGGCCAAGCCAAGTCGATCTACACGTTCTAAACCCGTTGCTTGGAAATATGGAGAAAAGCTCGGCAATCAACAGAAAGTCATTGATTCATGGTGCTCCGGCCAGAGCCACTGAAATGCATTGCCTAACACAGAGGTTGGGTGAAACTCAATTGCCGAGGGTACGATGATATCAGACTAGGAGCATGGATATGACATAGTATACCTCTGTCATATTTAAGTATACCCGGCTATTCCCCCTTTCAAATTACTACAACATCAATTGCGCAAAAACACCGGCACTCCGTACACAATGGCCGAGAATCCCGGCCCCTCCACTCCACCCAACATTCCTCCACCATCAACCAACACCCCCCCGGGCCCAGATAGCCAAGTACCACCCGAATGGAAAGAGCAGAATAGAGGTCAGCAGCAGTATGGCCCCGCGAATCTGCATCCGACCCAGTCTTCCCGCCATGGAGCGCTGGTGTCGCAGGTTCCGGCGCCTCAGTACATGAAATTAGCCAACCCCGGTCCATTGGGTTTGCTTTCTTTCGCGCTTACGACTTTCGCGCTGGGGCTGTATGAGTGTGGGGCTGGGTGCGTCTTCCTTCCCGTACATAGCTTGTCATTGGTAGGGACTGTGCTAATTGAGTAGACTCCCGCATTCCAATCCTCAAGGAAACGTCGGTCCTAACCAAGCAATTTTCGGTCTCGCGGTCTTCTTTGGCGGTACAGCTCAGTTAATCGCAGGAATCCTCGAATTCCGCGTCGGAAATACCTTCGGTTCAACGGTCCACTGCTCCTATGGCGCCTTCTGGCTCAGCTACGCCATGTTCCTCCTGCCCTACCTCGGTATCGAAGCAGCTTACAAAGGCGACCAGAGGGCATACACGTTCGCTCTAGGTATATTCCTAATACTGTGGTGCATACTGACACTGTTATTCTTTATTGCGGCTTTACGGACGAACGCGGCGATCCTGTTGGTGTTTTTCTTCCTGACGCTGGCGTTTTTCTTCCTCAGTTTGGCGAATTTCTTGGCTACGGAGCATCCTACTGCGAGTTTGAGGATCAATAAGGCTGGTGGCGCGTTTACGGTTATTTGTGCGTTCTTTGCGTTTTACGCGGGTGCTTCGGGGCTTATGTTGCCGGAGACTACGTTTGTTAGGTTTCCTTTGGGTGAGATTCCGGTTGGCTAGGGTGAGAGTGAGGCATCCATGGATGCCCATGGACAGAGGATGCTTCACATTGGTAATGTACTCAACGGAAGTGCAGGGGGGGCAACAGCAGAGACTGACCTGCTCCAACAGCTCAAGACAAAACAACTTGTATATCCTAGCTAAAGGGCTAGTTAGCATCCTCTTTTTCCTTTATTCTTAAGCGTTTCGAATTAATCTTAGACAAACAGAATTTATCTGCTTCTAATCGAATCCTTGTTCCCAATTGACGCCCTCCGACCACGGGTGTTGCCGATTTAGTCGTACGCAGCAGACAAGGCAATGGACTTCCCTACATCCTCTGCTACGCGCCTGCCATGACATACATTAATCCTTCAACAGATTTCACACAGCCAAATATAGTATACCCATCTGCCACTCCGTCAGAAAAAGCAACGATATGAAAATACGAACGGCACGAAGCGCGCCAACATAAGTGATTGCCCTGTGATAACCAGAAGGCAACCAATGCATTTCGGGCAGCAGTCCCTGGAACCCCGCAGAAAAAGCTGCAGTGAGAAGCGCGAGGCCGAGTCCAGCCCCGGACCGTGCCGCAATCGTGAGCATCTCGAACCCGGCGCTTTCTTTCTATCTTCCCCCAACCAGGCTATCTTTTATTTGTTGGTGTGCTGGGATTAACTAATGGGAGAAGGGTGTCTGGACCCGCATATTGGCTGACAAAAGCGATTGGCAGACGCTGTAGAAGGGCCGATAAGTGAGGCCATGGTGTGTTACTGCGTTGAGGACCGAGCGCATTGATGTGCCTACAGCCTCGTGCAGTCCGGATAATCGACTCCCCCGACTTCCCCGATAGGGCTGATACGGAGTCTTAACCGCTACATTGGTTTATCCGTTTCAGCGGCCCGGCACCGTGACATTCACCATAGCTAGTTTGCTTTCTACCTCACACTAACCATTAATAGGGGGAGCTTGTACGTTTCATTTCATTATCAGATGATGCTAGGATTGTTCTTCAGAATGGTCAACATCGCGTCTCAGCTCCCAAGAGCCTTTTGGAACAAGCCTTCACGGTAAGATGGCTTGATATGCTTCCTCAGGTGTGATGGGAGGAAAGGGTAGAGTTGCATCTGGATTATCTCTGCAGTCTATGAGGATATCCTCCATGCAGGCAGCCTTCTGGAGGAGTGTTTTTACCAGAAGCTCTGCTTTGATGTCAGAGGAGGTGTGGGCTGTCTCACTCTCTCCATCTTTCAGTGGAGGGGTTGGCAAGGATCCCTCTGTCCTATTCCACTTGACTGTTCTGAAGACATCTTGGCTGTCAGTGAAGTTGTCTATTTTGTGTACACCAGAATTGCCATTTCGCCCGGCGTACTGTACAGTGGAAAATTCGTTTTGCTGCTTCTCTTTCAACTGGGGAGGGGGGTGTCTGCATCCTGTGAGGCTCTTCAGAGTGCCAGAACAGCCTCCTGACAGTCCTTGTTCCACCATCTGTGGCCTGATGGGTGTGTATGGGACCTTTTCGTGGATGCTTCTAGGGAATTAGTGATTGCCTGGGTGATTGTGGCGGTGTATCTATCCAGGGCTTCAGATGGGAGGCATTGTGACGGTCTCGAGCAATATGAATCTATTGGTAGACTATCTGACGAAATTCTAACATGAGGAGAGAAAGGAAAAAGGCAGGCCTGCCGGCGACGAGCTATCTAGTGTGTGCGATGGGTTTAAGCGAATGCTCAGTGAATGTCCTACGCCAAACAGGCCAAAGTGATCAAACATGCTATACAGCTCGTGAGCATCCCTGTCCCGTCACAGGCATGGTTGGACTGGTGGGGGTTGGCCCATGGCTTCCACCTCTTTGCAGATGGCAGAATGGAAGATCAAAGATGTCTTCCTGCAGTGTAGCCATTTGGAGGGGTGGCACTGGCTTTGCATTGTTGACAGGGTGCCAGTGGATTGTTGTACAGAGAGCTATGTGGTCTGCTATAACTGGAAAGCCAGGTAATGAGGGGTCTGTCGGCCACTCGGCCTCGGTAATCGGACCAACTAACTATTAATCCACATCAGATGCTGTTACTGCATTCTTACATGGTGACGTAGACTCGTCCATCTACATGGAGTTGCCCGAAGGCTTCGAAGAGCCAGGATATGTTTGCCGGCTTTATCGTTCCTTGTATGGACTCAAGCAGGCCCCGCGGATTTGGTACCAATGCGTCCACCGCGTCCTGGCCGCTCGTGACTTCACCATGGCATGTTGGAGAGCCTCAGGATCCAATATGCCCCACTCCTAATTGGCCCGCACTAGCGAGCCCACACACATATGCCAGATAGAGGAGATCCACCCTCATCCATCTAGACAGCTACAGAATACAATAAGTATCGTCAATGCCTTTCCTTGCCATAGCCTGACTCACATGGCACAATCGGACAACTGCGTGTTCTACAAATCCAACTGAGTGATCTGTGTCTACGTCGATGACTTTCTCGTTGCTGCAGCAAACTCGCACGAGATAGACCAAGTGCAACAAGCATTGGAAACAGAGTTCCGACTGAATGATCTCGGTACCCCACGCTCGTTCCTGGGCATCCAGTTTGACTTCCAGGCCGATGGATCTGTGTCCATCCACCAACACCAGTACATCCAAAAGGTTCTCTCCGACTTTGGCATGGAAACCTGTCAGACGAAGACTACACCGATGAATCCCAAGCAAGTCTTTAATCGTCGTCTAGATGAAGGACCCCCAGGCGAGGAAACAAAAGCACGATTCGCAACCGTTATCGGTTCATTGATGCATCTGATGGTCGAAGTGCACAATGCACGAAGAAGAGACACTATGGAGCTATGGGAGCATAGGGTTTAACGCCTCCATATGATGTGCATGAAAACAAAAAGAATTACGACAAGAGTCAGGACCGAACCTACAATCTTGGAGTTTTCGTGGTTTGTGAGGGCTCGTGTCTGGCTGTTATAACGGTGTTTGGATGGCTTCACCCATGACTTGAGGTCAAAGTCACTCCGAGTATTAATCCTGGCTTTTGCTCATGATCAAAGTAGGTCATGCCCTGTGGCAAGGCGTGACCCCACCAAGTTAGGAATGGCAGAGTCGAAAGTGGACGTGGAACACCCATGAGTAGCCTTGTATTCTGACATAGCGTCGGAAACCGCTTGAACTAGAGACCCATACCGGTCTGGGATCCTCCTTGCCAAGAGGATTGTGGACACCTTTTTTTTTTTTTTGAGGTTATTCAGATTGGTCTTTTGTTCGATATTCTGCCTTCTCGTGGTTCTTTTGGAGATGAGGCTCACCCCTTTACTTCACAATACTGAAGCTATTCCTCACACCCATCGCCTTCCTCCTGATTCCACCACGAGGATGATATTCTCTCCACCTTCGCTTTGTACCCCTGTCTGCATGTGAGGCTATTTCCACTCCATCACCTTTCCTTTTGTCAACACCCAAGTATCTCTCGACGTGATGCGGTTCCTGACCTGCCTACCTCCTACTGATCGACCCGTCCTCCACGAAGCTCATTCACTTACGTGTTTGATTACCCAAACACCTCTTGTCCAGAGGTTATTCCCAACCAGCCTCCCTCACCCCATCCTAAGTACCACCTGAGTGTTTCACGCAGCTATTCCCAAAAAATCTGCCGAGTCCCCCTTTTCCAAAAACTTCATGACCTTCCATCCCGAACCTTTTGATGGCTCCAAGTCACTACCCAGGCACCTAACCAGGCACCTAGGTGACTAGGATCACCCGGTACTATGTCTCTTCCTGTGCTTTTGAGTCACAACACTTTCCACCAGAAGGCGACCCAAAGCGTCAAGTTGATATAACCTAAAAGTACAATACAACATTGAATAAATACGATGAGATTCAAATCGGCACACATAGGGACAACATAAAAAGAAATATATGCTCGAAATGAAAGATTCTATACAAGAAGATCTCAATTATTTGAGGTGTCACACCCAGTGACATAGTCCACCTTCATCTCACAGCCATTATCAAAGTACGCATGACCGCAAGCGTGATCACAGTCATAGAAAATATGATCGTAGGCCCTGAAATGAAGTTAGCATCAATGAATTTTGAGTTTGCTGAGCTCGAATAAAACTTACGCTTGCATGGTAGTGCCCTTGACTTCACAGCCGTCGTCCTTGATGAAGACGCCACAGCCATTCGAAGCGTGCTTGCCATCCGTATAGCACTCTCCAGTCTCCAGTCTTCTTACCCTTTGTGGTACTAGTTTTGAGCCATGTCAGCATTTCAGACCAAGACGTTGAAGGGAAAATAACTTACCTGTAAATGGTATCACCTCTGATGTAGCTCTTGGCAACATCACAGAATCCATGCAAGTTGCTCACGAAAAGATGACACGTGGTTTGGCCGTGACCGCATGTTGTTGAGGATTCAGACGGGGTGTACTTGTTGCTTGTCGTCGTTGTGGTGGCTTCAGTCGTGGAGGTAGAGGTGCTAGTGCTGGTGGCATAGACCGAGGAGAACTCTTTGTCAAGGGAGTTAGCGTCACTAGTAAGAACGTTGTCATCAACATCCCAGCTAGAATATCTCCAAGCAGCTTGTGGCGAGATGGTAGTGCTAATTGTGGAAGTTGTCGTTGTGGCCGTGGCGTCACAGGCGGTGATGGTTTGACACTTAGTGGAGGTCTCCGTGCTGTAGGTCGAGGAGATCTTGGAGGAGGTGATGTACTCCGTACAGGTATCTGCCTCCTCAGACTCACAATCATCATCCTCGGACCACAACATTTGTGCCCCAACTCCGCTAATTTCATCCTGCTCTGATCAATCCTCTATATCAGGACTAATCCCATGTTCTAAACAAATATCGATAATGGGTTGATACCCAGAGTTGATCCCCCTCCAAGCGACGGATATTCCACGATAATCCGCATCTAGACTTGCCCCATTATTTATCAGCAATCGAAATTCAGCAGCTTTCTCATATTGTATTGCTGTGAGTAATGCCAGGCTTTGTTCGTCTGCATCTGCACCGTACTGTATCAGCAGCTTAATGAGGTTAAAGCTGTCATCCCTTGGAATAGCCAGCTTGAGTGGTGCCTGTGTTCGTGCTGGTCTTCCTGGTTGATAATCCATGGATCGAGAAGCCTCCCTATTCGGGTCGGCCCCGACTTCCAATAGAAGTTTGGCTGTGCTTAATGGAGATGGGGCATATTCGAGCGCGCCACATAGAGGGGAGTGACTCTCTATGGGCAGTTGAAAGTTGACATCAGCGCCTTGGGAGAGAAGGTATCGTATGCGATCATCATCGCCGCATTCTGCGGCGTATTTCAACATCCAGTAGAGGTCCAAGTCAGGGCTTGTTTTGCTGTAAGGATATTGACGTAGTTTTTCAAAGAGGTAATCTTCAATATCATGATGGCCCTTTGATGCCGCCTGAGCAAGTGGGTATTGACCCATAGTGTCGTGTGACAGTTGTTTTGCGCCTTGATCAATGAGTGCGCGAGTCAGAGCAAAATGACCTTCACGTGCTGCGAGGGCAAGAGGGGTTAAGCCATCAGCGTCTCGATAATTGATATCCACGCCTAGATCAAGGAGATGCTCCATGATATTGAGGAATCCTTGCACTGCTGCATATGATATTGGATGCTCCTTCATATTTTCTTTCCAGATAAGGGGTCTTAGGCGTGCTCCAGGCCTTTGTACGGAGCAGGCGAAGTATGGAGACTCCCATTGGACATTTGCCCCAGCATCAAGAAGATGTTGAAGGGTACTATCAGATCCAGAAGAGGCTGCCCAGTACAGCGCAGATGCATCATGATGCTGTACATTTAGTTGGTACAGGGAATCATTGAGTGTTTTGTAGAGAAAAGAGTGGCATTGAAGAAGCGCATTCAGATCACGACATTCCGAAGATTCTGCGATGCTCATGAGGAGCTCGGGGGGTAGTTTGAGGATAGACATGGTAGTTGAAAAGGAGAGAAAGCGATAGAAAGAACCATGTCACAATGTGACTCAATGATCCAAGGAGATACTGTTTCGACCCCCACTATCTGAGCCATTTCCCTGTATTTTATTTCCTCGGTGTCACTGTACGTTACCGACCTCAATATCGTGGCTGACGATCGCTCCCCACTGATGAGTTCGGACCCATTATAATACCTGACAATACCTTACTGCTTGCTGAGCGTGAACAAACCTTCAACCTGAGTGCTGACTGAGTATACCCTGAGTGTTCTCAATGAGTGGGATCAGGCTGCTCAGACAGCTAGCGACTCGCTGGGATATCAGATGATGCTGGCACAACAGTCATGTGATCTAAACGCCAAGACTCGGGCAAGGGCTCGCTATCGGTATACTATCGAGACGCTCAGGTACAAATAGACTATTGTGCTCATAGATAGAGAATCAAGCGATTCGTTCATTACCCTACATAAAACCCTTTTTGCTTACAGGTATATCTACGATAACGATCCGATAACGATTCGTAGCCGAAACGGTCGTTTAATCATATAAACGCCTAAAGTCCTACACCCCGGCGTTTACAGTGTCTGAGCAGATACAGAAGACTCAAGACCAACAGAAGAAGCAGACTGATAAAGACACCCCATTAACTTTGATGTGGGTGATAGAGTGTGGTTATCGCAGGTAGCCCCCGGCGCGGGGGGCTGCTTGGGTTTTCATGACTGTCAAACAGCAAATTGAGCGTATTGGTTTGAAATGAAAAGCAAGAACGCGAACAAGAAAGGCAGAAAGTAGTACAATGAAAGGGGAAATAAAGGGAAGAGAGAGATAGAGGAAGGGAGACCAGAGGTAAGCCTGGATGTCCCTGGATTTGGCGAGTTTTGATGGCCTAATGGCGTCGGCAGATGTCTGTATAGAACTTGGATTTTCCCAGCCAGCCTACATACGCAGTGAATCCTGATTCCTGCCTTTGTGCGGAGGATATCAGACACTGGCTGGCGGCCCCATGGATGTGCTGCTGCTTTGCGGCCCTCCCTGCAATGATAGAAATGGGATGGCTCCTTTCTGCAGCCGCATGAGCATGTCAGCAGGGACCCCTTTCACATGCACCCTGTCTGCCTGTACGCCTGGTGTTCTAATGCAGTTTGGCCATGTCTGGGCAGTTTCTTGGAGACTCCTGAACACTGACTGACTTGATCCTGTGGGCTGGCCTTAGAGTTGCTGTACTGTTTCAAGGTTGTTCAGACAGATGTGTATGTCTATGGTATGCCAGGCTCTGGGGTCCTTGAGGGCAGCATGCAGGCCCTGCAGGGCAGCTCTTGCCTCTGCGTCAAAGACTTCCTGATTGGGGAGCTTTGTATGCCCACAGAAGACCTTAATCTTGCTGATGCCCCAGTAGCCCACCCAGCCTGAACCTGCAGCTGCGCACTTTTTTAACCTTTTTCTTTGGATCTATCTGTGTAGACCACCATTGATAATCTTGGCTCGGTTCTTCACAGCCAGGGCAAGTACAAAGAGGGAGAAACCATGCATCGGCGAGCCTTGAGAGTCATAGAAAAACTGCTGGGGCCGGAGCATCCCTCAACACTGACCTGTGTCAGCAATCTTGGCATGGCCCTTTGAGAGCAGGGCAAGAATAATGAGGCGGAAGCCATGCATCAACGGGCTTTGAGAGACAGAGAGAAGGTTCTTGGGCCAGAGCATCCTGACACACTTGTTAGTTTCAGCAGTCTTGGCTCAGTCCTTTCGGGCTATACGGGCCTTATGCACATTGCTTTAGGCATTAGAGTACTAACTAATGTTCGATGATCATGTAACGCAGATCCGAATTATGAACTCTCTGTACACGGATAAGCATGCATAAATCCGCTATGCAAACCCTAGCGCTCGGAATTATCCCCAAATATATGCTAATTTATGCCAACGTCGTTCTTCATAGTCTACAGAGTAACCTCCTCGAATCATTCGAAGGAATGCGCGGGGTTTTTGTTTTTTAATACTTTTTTTTTTTCGCTAGTCTTGTCGATCAACCCCAAAATTGTGCTACCGTTAGCTGGCATACACCCAACAACCCCATGCACAATTCAGCATCGACATCGATTTTGTGTGCCGCTCCATCCGGTGTTATACTCTGGATGAACATTGTGCAGGCTTTATGGCAGGTCTGTCAGGAGTATATATTGGTGCCTTCATCCCACCGCCAGTAGTAGTTTTCTGGTTGCAGAACATTCTCTGCCGTTGAAAATACCCTTTGGACAGCAGATTCTTATCGATTATTGTCTCCTAAAAGGCCTTCTTTATATCTTATATATCACAGGGATGGCGCAGGGTGACAATGGCAGATCTGGCTGGCGCTGTGAACTATACCGCATGGTGGATTGAGAGAACCATCGGCCGGGGCAACCCGTCCGAGCCCTTGGCGTATATGGGAGCAAGAGATCTCCGTTACACCACTTTCGCTTTCGCATGCATGAAGACCGGGCATTCAGTTAGTGGTCGTCTGTATCCTGTGTATTGTCGCCTTGGATATTCTGACCAAATCACAGGTGCTCTTCCCCTCTCCCAGAAATTCCGAGACGGCATTTCTGCATGTCCTCAACGCGACAAAATCTTCAAAGTTTTTTCTTCAGCGCAGAGCAGCAGAAAGTCGTTGAACAACTCCAGCAAGCCAATAAGAACTTGCAATCATGGGAGGTTCCTGGTCTGTGGGAAGTGTTCGACAAGAAGGTCGATTGCTATCCTTTTGTCAAACAATACGCGGATGTCGAGGATGAGGCACCGATCATCATCCATAGCTCGGGCACAACCGGTCAATTCAATATATTTCTAAAAACCCCCTTTCCAACGCTCTTGGCTGTTTTTACGCAGGATTTCCCAAGCCAATTTACTTGACCAACGGATTCTGGTCTGTTATGGATAATAACTCGGAGCTACCTGTTCCTGAAGGAAGAAAAGAAGCTCTGATGAACACTGTGAAGCCAGGAGGGCTCTTCTTCATGATGGCTCCTTTCTTTCATTTGATGGGCCTTGTTTGTTTTGTTGAGTCCATCTGCCACAACACCCCCTTTTTCTTGAGCCCAGAGAAGCCGATGACGGTCGAGTTGCTGGCTCGGATCATTGATGAAAATCACCCTGTGACCAGCCTGCTCACTCCCTCTGTCATAGAGGACATTGGATCATCCCCACAGGGCCTGGACCTGTTGAGAAGATTTGAGGTGATTTTCTTCGGCGGTGCGCCGCTGTCTCCGAAGATTGGTGGTATATTGTGACAAGATATTATGTTGCAGGCCATAATTGGCTCTAGCAAAGCTGGATTCGTTGCAAGCCTAGCACCCGTGGACAGGAATGAGTGGGCATGGTTTGAGTGGAATCCGTATGCTGCCGTCGATATGCAATATGCTGTAGATGGAGCATACGAGCTGGTGCTCTGCAGGACTGAAACCCGCGATTTTAGTGCCATTTTCCACACGTTCCCTGAGCTTAAGGAGTATCGGGCCAAAGACCTTTTTGTTCCATACCCAACGAAAGCCGGTCTGTGGCGATACCACGGATGATTTGATGATGTGATCGTGCTCAACAATGGCGAGAAATTCAACCCTACTGAAATGGAACAGGTCATCGAGGGACACCCGCTGGTGTCCAAAGCGCTCGTCGTCAGCCAGGGAACATTTCAATTGTCACTTCTTGTCAAGCCAAACTGGAACAAATGGACAGAGAATCAGGCTGAAGGCTCACTCATCAACAAGATCTGGTTGAGTGTGCAGGAGGCAAATATCATTGCGCCAGGTCATGGTCGGGTGCTGAAAACGAAGATTGGCGTAGCCTCCAAAGACAAGCCGTTCAAGAAGACCTCGAAAGGCTCGATTCAACGCCGACTCGTGATCAATGACTATACGGAGGAGATCAATGCGATCTATGACCGCCCAGATAAAGAGTAAATGGATGAATTTCCCCAAGACGCTACTCTTGAGAACATAACCAAGTATGTCCAGCAAGTGGTATCCCGCTTGCTTTCAGTAGAGCAAGTACCGGAGAAGAGCGATATTTTCTCCATGGGTCTTGACTCGCTCCAGACACTTCAGCTGTCCAAGATCCTGCAAGGGACCGTTCTTTTTCTTCGACCGGAGGGTGCTTCGCTGTCGATTCCTACCCAGAAGCTGGACTCATATCCATCTGTTGGGCAGCTCTCAAACTACTTCTACGGCCTCGCAAACGACGGGAGCGTTGGTGCAGAACTAAACGTCGAGAACGGTTCAGCAAGATCCGAAAGAATTACCGCCCTCATTGAGGAATACACCAAGGATCTGCCAGGAAATCAGGTCAGCACATTCAACTGGGACTGCCAACACGTAGCTATTTTGACTGGATCGACCGGCTCTCTGGGCAACTACATCCTCAGCGAACTGATTTCCGACCCGGCTGACTCCAAGATCTACTGCGTTATAGCGAGGTTTTACAGTATTGGCAAGTTATTTTACAAGATAAGATAATAGTGCCTGCTTATCAGAGGCAAAGAAATAATATGAAAGTTAAGCGTGGTGTGGTTTGCCACTGGGAACCATCTATAGTGCAGAAAGGAGCTATTCAGTTTATTTAGGTGTAAACTGCTTTGGACTTGCCCTGGCTCTCAAGAACTGAGCCAAGATTGTTGACACTCTGGCGTGTGTCAGGATGCTCTGGCCCAAGCACCTTCTCTGATCCTTCCAAATCTCGTCGGTACATGGCTTCTGCCTCTTCATACTTGCCCTGGCTGGCAAGGACTGGGCCAAGATTGTTGATGCTGCTGAGTGTGGAGGGATGCTCTGGCCCAAGCAAATTTTGGATGCAATCCCGCACCTGAAACTTGAGTGCCTGGTGATTTAGGTATCGCTCAGTCGCCGCCTTGATCAATCCCTGTTCCTGATATTCTGCCAGCCCAACATTCTGCAGGCCCTGATCAATATTGAATCGGAAGTACCGCTTCTCATCGTAATGCTGCCGCCATTTGGCGATGAACTTTCTCTCAGTCTGCTCAGTCTGTGTGGCAAGCTCTGGTAGGGTTTTGGAGACAAATTTGAGCATGTTGTCTTCCATCGCCTTCTTTCCTGGGTTGCCCGTTCCAATTGAGATAAAGCACTTCACCAGCGGTTTCAGGTCTCCAGTCTCCCTGCACCAAGTATCTGATGCTTCGCCCTCGACCTCATTGACGGGATTATTGGCCCCCAGCGCCCCGTCAGCGGATTTCCGCGCTCCAATACAAACCGGGTCAAGGAAGGATGTGGCTGCTGATGTTGCGCAAGCAGCCTCAACAATGGTAACTGGGATCTCCTGGTTATCAGGAATGCTGTAGCTTCGAAGACGCAAAATCTCTTTCATCTCATGTGCAATGCTGCAGACAAATCTGGTCCTGTTAGAATCATTTTGGTCTGTCTTTCAGTTCACATACTCACACTTGGCAGCCGCGATCCACCTGGTCATTAAAAAGATCAGTCGGGTTTGCACCATGACTTGTGATCACCTCTTGGATCGCTGATTCAAGCTTTTTGGAATCAAATCGCGATTCAATTTTGCTAAACAAGCCTGTAATGAGTTTCCGCTTGGATGGCTTTTGAAAGATAATATGCATCAACCTCGTATAGGCCCAGAATCTTGTCGAATTGGTATGCCCCAAACAAAACAAAACAGAATGTCTCAAGCTAATACGCTATAGCTATACAACCTCACCATCAACCGGGATACCCTAGTCTCACTAGAAATAGCCCAAAAGAACGGAGACATTGCTCGAGATGCAAAGAAAGACAGCGAGTCAATGAATACCATTGCCATTATTACGCTGTTTTATCTGCCCACGACATTTGTTTGCAGCTTTTTCGGGACTAATTTCTTTACGTTGGAGGTTAGTAACGATGGGCGCAAGTCGCTGTTTGTGTCTGAGCTTTGTTGGATATATTTCATGTCTACCCTGATACTTACTGGCTTTACGGTTGCGGTGTGGTTGAAGTGGTTGAGGAAGAAGAGCAAGCATGATGCAAGTGGCGATGCCTAGAAGGGTTTATACTATTCAGCCATTTTTAAAGAATCCGTGGTTTATTCTTGCATGATTGAAAAAGATAGCTCTACGGCCGCAAAACGTCTAGTACACCTCCAACCAAGAACAAACTACCCATCGCAAGAATATTCGCACCACCTTCTTGACCACTAATCTGTCTCGCACGTCGTATAGCCCCCTCAACAGATGATGCAGTTGAAACAGCAGCCCCAGAATCAAACCCTTCCCAAAAAGAAGAGAAACCTTCAGGGACGTCGGCGATCTTCCCAGCAGCAGGATACATGGTGAAAATAACATGCTGCGACATCGCTCCAGACCTCGAAAGAGCATGCGCCAGACATTCGACAAGAGCGGGCCCACCATGTCGCGTGGATAAATGGGCAAAGATAAGGATGCGATGCTGACTACCATTCATTCCGCACACGTTGGATGGCCTGCCCTAAGCAAGGGATGTCATATTGTCAACTCGCCTATCTCTTCCCTGACGTATGGAAGACTGTCGGTAAAGACGAGAATTGTCCCTGAAAGAATCATGATATCATAATATCAAATCTACATCTTATCAATCCCAGCCTCCAAAACAATCAACATTCAAAACATTTCCCGCGAACCATTATCCATTCCGGTTGATTGTATTTACGCAGGATCTTCTTCTACCTTGACTGGCCATAGCTACTGTCGGGGCTCAAGATGAAAATGACCGTAAATAGATCATAGCAGTGACCATGTATTACATATAACCGCGTCTGTTTTATGAACAAGCATGATGAAGAAGCATGGGCACCAGTGTCAATTGCAATGGATTGAATTGTTTTCTCTATTGTCTACACACATCATACTGTGCCTATGTGTCTTGATTTATTGTTCCAACGTATCTAGTACACGCTGTCTAGTACACTAACAACTAGTACACTTTCCCAGCCCAGCACAGCTACAAGCTTCCTCCAGCATCCGGACTTACTCCCTCAAACTCTCCTCCCAAGCCCCCCTAACCCCCTCAAACCCCTTCCCATCAAGAATCATCTCCCGCCCCACCAACCCAAGCACCCTCCCCACAGTCACCGCCTCCCCAAACGCCCCTTCCGTCCCCGCCGCCTCCGCAAACCGCGGATGATGCATAAACACGCCCTCATCCGCCGGAATCGCAAACATGGCGTGTAGCGTCGGCACGACGTAGCTTACGTTGCCGATGTCAGAGGAGCCGGTTAGAACTTTGTTTGAGGGATGTGAGTGCAGGATGTCCCGGTTGTAGGACGTCATGTGGGTTTTGTAGAGAGTGCAGAGGGGGGAGTTGTTTTTTATGTCGGCGTAGAGTTCTTTTCTGTGCGGTGTTAGCATGCTGTATCATATGATGATTATAACCAGATGAGATGGGAAAAAGGACATACTCAACAATCTCAACCCCACACCCCGTAGCCCCCGCCCCCGCCTCAACACACCCCCTAACCCTCCCCATCAACTCCTCCAACCCCCTCAAACTAGGACTCCTAACCTGCCAATAAGCCCTCGTCCTACCCGGAACCACATTCGCCGCACTCGGCGTCTCCAAAAACGCACAATGGATCCGCTCATCAGGCTTGATCTGCTGCCTCAGGACAGATACGTTGTTGTACGCGCAGACCAGCGCGTCGAGAGCGTTGACCCCGTCCCAGGGGTTTCCACCGGCGTGCGCGGTGACGCCTGTGTATGTTACGTGCAGTTCTTTGCGGGCGTTCATTAGGGGGCCTGCTATTCCGTCTGATATTATGCCTGGATAGAGGTCTTTTGGGCCGGGGTGGCTGTTTTTTTTTTTTTTGTTTTTTGGTTAATAAATATCACTTTTCTCAGAATGAATAAAAAAAAAAAAAAAAATAGAGATTGGAAGAAACGGAAAGGAAAGGGGACATACGCCATCAACGAAACATCAACACCCTTATACGCCCCCTCCTCCACCAACCTCGCCTTCCCACCCCCATTCTCCTCCGCCGGCGTCCCTAACAACTGCACCCGTCCCTCACCCCCAAACTTTTTAAGTAGTGCCGCAAGTCCCAAAAACCCAGTCATACTACTCGTGGTAATCAAATTATGTCCGCACGCGTGTCCAATGCCCGGTAGGGCATCGTATTCTGCGTTGAAGTTTACCAGTCGGCCTCCTGTGCCTGCGGTGGCTTCGAAGGAGGTTTCTAGGTTGTAGGCGTGGCGGGTTACGGTTATTTCTGGGAAGATGTGAGAGTTGGGGTCGGTGGGGGAGTTGAGGGATTCGAGGAATGTGCAGATGGTGTCGTGGGCGAAGTATTCCGTGTATGCTGTTTCGGGGTTGGAGTAGATTTGGTGGTTTAGGGTGCGCAAGAAGGGGGTTAAGGTGTTGATTGCTGCATCTATGGCGGATTTGATATCCTCGTTGGTTATGGAGGAGGTTGTGGTGGCGGAGATTGAGCGGATTGTCATGGTGACTTTTGTGTATAGGATATTGTGGGTGAATTGTGTATTAGGGATTGGTGATTGCGATGTCTTTATAACTTTCAGGATACAAGTATGCGGGGGCTCGGCTATATGAGGGGAAATGCAGGAACTGTTATCTTGATAAGGTTTATCGGCTGTTGGGCCTGTCAGGGTTGAGAGTAGATGTACATCTCGGCACTGGATTAAATCTGCGGAAAGAAAGGAATGGTTCCGCGGGTTGGGTCTCTGGATGGTTTCATAGTAGATGCCTATAAGAGATTATGATCAAGATGAAAGTTGTTGTATACATTCGAGTATATTCTCAATACGGTACACTAACATGCAAAAGTACAATCCGTATTAACTCATTAATATTCCCCATGAAATAAATGCTCGCTAGCAACGCAAAGATAGCTGAATAAGACAAATCAACAACGCAATTCTTTTAACCTATCAAGTTAAACGGCAGTCCCCATAGCGTTAGCAGCCTGCTGCAACACTCGGGGCCACCGCGAAATCAACTCCACATCGTCAAGAGCTCCCTGGCCCTGGTTCCGGATGTAGGTTGTGCTGGGGTCAACGCGCGGCTCGTAGTCCCAGATGGATGGTGTGCCCTTGAGGAGCGCGGAGTACACCAGACGCCGACGGCGCTGAGAGCGCAGCACATCCTCCCTGATCTTCGTCAGGTCCCAGCGGGCGTGCGTTTCTTCGCTGAAGTAGGCAAGCAGTCTGGCTGGGTCTGTGGTGTCGGGCAGCGGCCCGGGAATTTTGGCGGGGCTAGGAGTGCGTGGTGGAGATGGGAATGGGAAGGAGGAAGTGTTGCGCTGAGGAATTGGAGAGATGTGAGGTGTCTCGTCGGGCGTGGGAAGCGTAGCTGCCGTAGATTCGGCGAGTTTAGCAGGTTTGGGGGTGATGGATGGTTCGGTCATACCGGCCACCAGGTTGACCTTCTCGTGAGGGTCGGATTCCAGGTCAAAGAGCATGGGAGGGTCGATCAAAGAATAGACAAACTTCCACCGGCCGCGACGGATCATCACGACGGGTGACTGTGTGCCCTCACCCATGTATTCGCCAAGCACGGTGTCGGTCTTGGGACCGCTGTGGTCATCAGTGAGATGAGGTAGCAACGAGACACCGTCCAATGGCAGCTCGTGTACAAGCTCCCCACCGACGAAATCAACAAATGTCGGTAGAAGATCCATAGTGGAGACATTCTGCGACACGCGCTTGGGAGCAAACTGCTTGGGGTAATGCACAATGAAAGGCACACGAGCGGAGTTCTCGAACCAGGTCATTTTGTACCACAACCCGCGCTCGCCAAGCATGTCACCGTGGTCACCGGTGAAGACAATGATAGTGTCATCGCTCAGACCGCAGTTGTCTAGAACCTTGAGCAGCTTGCCAACGTTGGTGTCAACGTAAGTGCAAGCAGCGTAGTATGCACGACGAGCGGCCTTGATACGCTCCTCGGGCATCTCCTTGCCCCACAGGTCGATGCACTGCAGCACGCGCTGCGAGTGAGGATCCTGCTGATCCTGGTCAAAAGCGGGGGTCTCGGGCAGCGGAATGTCCGCATTCTCGTAGAGATCCCAGAATTCCTTTGTCATAGCATAGGGGTCATGCGGATGGGTCATGGAGACGGTCAGACAGAACGGTTGGTCCGTTCGCTGGCGGACATGGTTGTACAGGTATTGCTGGGATTTGTAGATCACCTCCTCATCGAAATCGAGCTGGTTGGTGCGAACGACAGGACCGGCCTCCATAACGGAGGACATGTTGTGGTACCAATCGGGGCGGATTTTCTGCAACTGTCAGCACTGGCCCATTTTCGCATTCTAGACCGTGGTCACATACCGGCTCATCCCAGTTCACGGACCAGCCATAATCGCCCGGGTAAATATCACTGGTCAAGCGCTGCTCGTAACCATGCAACTGATCCGGCCCGCAGAAGTGCATTTTCCCTGCCAGCGCAGTATGATATCCTTCGCGACGAAGGTAGTGAGCGTAGGTGGGAGTGTCGGCGGGCAAGTCGGCGGCGTTGTCGTAGGCGCCAATCTTGGAAGGCAACTGGCCGGTAACCATCACAAATCGCGAAGGCGCACACAGCGGCGAGTTACAGTAGGCAGAGTCGAAAGTCACACCTTCTTCCGAGAGACGGTCGAGGTTGGGGGTTTTGATGGGGGAGTTTTTGTCGTGGAAGGCCAGGAGAGGCGCGGCCATCTGGTCGGCCATGATGTAGAGGATGTTGGGTTTTTTGGTGGCCATTTTGAGTCACCTCAAGCACCGGATGCGATAGATACAGTAAACAATAGCAATAGAGGATAGAGAGAGAAAGGAAGTAGAGTAGAGTAGAAGATGATAAGGAGAGGTGGCAGTAAAAAGAGGTGGAAGAAAGGCAGCGACTTTAACTTTCCGCCGAGGACAGGCCGAACTTCTTATAAAGACTGGTGGAGAAGGGAAAAAAAAAAAAAAAAAAAGATTATTAAGACCGCAACAATGGAACCATCTGTGGCTCCAATGGTGTGATTTGCTTCGATTCTCCTTCCATCTGTCAGATCGTCAGGAGTTTACTATGTCTTGGAGTACTCTACAGAGTAGTACTCCGTATGGGGTCCCAGATTGTGCCATCTGCAAGCGAATGGCAAACCGCGTGGGCGACCAATGGCGTTACATATTAGATATCCCTATATGTATGGAGTACTGCATATCTACAGTATTTTAATCACTCAAATCCCTCATTATAACATCTTTGCTATAACACAGTTAGAGTATGTACCGCCATCTGTCCTCACCGGAGTACTCTATAACCCCATATTCACTAGCCGCTAATCACGCCATTCCCGACTCGGCAGTCATTTCCCGCCGTGCCATCCTATTGGTTTGTCATGCAATATCCTTCCCAATTCGGTGTTTTGCTCCACTTTCTTATCGCCTGTTCGGGTCATATTAGTCATTTTTGCCACTACGTTGGTTGGTCCGGTTGAGGCGGATGCCAAGAGTCACGAGACACCCTGGCATGTGAATTCAGTACCCCTGTACAGAGTTGAGGGATACAAGTACAGAGTACATAGTTATGTTGTGGTCAAGGCATGCATTGCAAGTTCTACTATGGAGGCACTCTACTGTGCACTATGGTAACTGGTTGGAAGCTAATCTGATACTGATCTTCCTCTCCGCATATTGAGCAATTCGCCCGTTTGAGCACGCCATTCGTCTGACGTATTCCTATCCCAGTCCTGTTCGCACATACCAATCCACCAGCCATCGACACGCCATCGCATCTTCCACACTGTCATGTCCTTTTCGCCCCTGTTGAATCTGCGCTCCTAGTATCGTTTCCGTCAGGTGCTTCAGCGATCGTCCGCCGGGGGTTCCGTCCTTCTTCTCCGGCTCTGCGGTGTCCTTGTTCGCATCGGCCTCTTTCTTAGCAGCCTCCTTGGCAGCAATAGCATCCCGTCGCCACCCCTCTACCACAAACGTATCAATCACTTGATCATGAATCCATCGTAACGCCATCATATCACTCTGACCCCCATGCATCACCACGATCGTCTCCCGTCCGACATACCGCCACACCTGCGCTCGCGCCGCATCTCGCCCGCCCATTATACACTGCTTCCGTTTCCGCGCCGTTTCGAGCATCTCCCGGGTTACCCCGGAGTACCGGGTGTTGAGATGTTGCAACCGTACACGCGGATACACCAGCGAATCTATCAGGATCTCGCCCGTGAAGAAATCCACCATGCTGATCCGCACTAGCTCCGGCTCCCCGTAGATTGATACCCCCATTTCGCAGTCCAAGGCCACCGCCATCCGGGGATCCTGCCATTTCACCGGCATTATAGGAGTAGTGTAGAGCATCCATTCTATTTCCAATTCTCCCTGGGCGTATTCCATAGGTGTATGCCGTTCCATCTCGACGCAACCGGGGGTTGAAACGTGCTTTTGACAGCAGGTAAAATGCTATATCCGAGATTAGATACGTCAGCTCCGAACAAACAAACATTCCAGATTTGATTGATAAGAACTGAACCTTGTCCATAACCCGACCAGTATGAAACTGGCAGACGGCTGTTTTCTTTTTCTTGCCTCCTTTTTCTTTGCCCTGTTTATCTCTGGCCGCTTCACTTTTCTCTCCCTCGCCCGTCTCGTCGCTCACCTCTCGCACGGTCACCGTCGTCACCGGCACACCCCCATCCTCCTTATCCTCGTCTTCCTCGTCATTCTCCGCGTCATCTGTCTTTTTGTCCGTAACGGTCGATCCATCGATTTTAGCATCTTTTCCCTTTCCCCTGCGCCTTCTATTCCTCTTTCCGGTCCCTTCACCCTCGCCGTCCCCATCTCCATCCCCATCAGCTTTCTCCTTTTCATCCCTCTTCACCGACTTCCTCGTCCGTATCCGACCTGCTCAGCATCAGCTCCACTCACCACCACTCACCCAATCAAGAAAAGAAAACAAACCGTGACAATCCCGACACCTCCTAAACCCCAAAATTTCATCATTCCCCAGATTCTCCAATTTGTATCCCTCGTGCTTTAGCCTCTCGGGAGTCATGACAAAAGCACGCATTTTCGTAAAGTAGGCATCGGAATAGACGACTGGTACGGTCGCTGGAGTTGGAGTTGGGCCTAGGGTGTTGGAGTTGGTTGGTGCTGTCTTGCGTGGGCGGGACATTATTGGTGGTAGTGGTGGTGGTGGTGGTGGTGGTGTTGTTTTGGTGTTGCTGTTTTCGTATACGTAGTGATCTGTAGGAGATGTGGGGTCGTGTTCCTTATAGGCGGGGTCTTGTGTTTATCGTTTATCGTCGAAATAAACGGTAGTAAAGAGTAGATGTCAGTGTTAACGTTTGTAGACGATGGGTTTGAGGGGTAAATATAAAGGATCGTGAGGCTGAGTAGTTGAGTTGGTGGCAGGTGTAGTCGCCTGATTTGGCAGTCACGTTGCATCTAATACAACACACCTCGTTATACATATGTATATCTGTTGACCCCGCCGCTTTTACATTCTAGTGTGCATGAACCAAATCTAGAGTAGGAAGAAATACATCTGGATGTTTATCAAGAGCCAAACGTTCATCTAAAGCCACGATGACATTTTACGCAGCTGGTCATTCAAAACCCAGAATATTCCTAGCTCCATGGATCAAGATCCAAGAAAGGACGCGTATCCTTCGTTTGGGTCCAGGGATTCAACCTAACAGTCTCATCCTGGTAATCCCTCAACGCCCTCGCATTATAACTCCCATAAGCATACTCCTTAACAACCGGTTTCAACCCAATCCGTTCTTCCAAATACGCCGGCCAATGCACAGCATAAAACCCTTCAATCTCCAGAGACTTGTGTACCTTCAACCTCGCCACTCCCCGGATAAACACCACGCTCTGTCCCATCCCGTAATGCATTGGGTCCTCAATATCCCACGGTGGCTTAGTGCCCCATGGTCCGTCTGCATCGAAGTAGATTCTTAATGTTTGAATGTTTGTTTCTTCGCGGCTGAGTCTGTCGAAGAGCGGGCACCATTGTTGGGCAGTTTGGGGACGGAATGGAAGAAGGAAGAGAAAAAGATCGGTTATCAGGGAGGCGTCGTTGTTGTCGAGCCAGGCTAGTAGCGGATCTGGTCCTGATACATTGGCGGTCAGGGATGGGAGGAGGTCTTTTGGGGCGTCATTAAGGGTCTTGAAGCTCTGTAGTTTGGGATCGGTTCCGTCACTGAAGCGGTGACCGAAGGCATCGAAAAACATGTATGGCGGGTCATACATGGTGGCAGATGAGTGAAGAGGAAAGGTGAAGAAATTCAGTGAAGATGGGGGGTTTGTGTTAAGTTGCCTTGTACAGGTGAATCCATTGCCCCGCTGACCAAAGTACGTAACTAGAGAGTACGGAGTATATACTTACGGAACGTCCTATCTCTGAGAATACAATATGGCAAACACAGCCATATTCATACAAAGACATTGCACCGACTGTGTAATCAAAAGACGCGATCATTCCAATGTTCAGGTTGCGGCAGGAGAGGCTATTCATATGCCCTAGCTACTTACTCTACCGACTCACTAGCATAATGCACCGGCCTCGAAGCCCGCGTATCAGCCCGCAAGCTCAAAAGATCCGGCCTTGAATAATGCCCAACAAGGTCCAGAAACTGCTTTGCCTTCAACTTCCCCCTTAAATCAACATCCGCATACAAAATCCCCTCCTCCCCACCCCCCAGCATCTCACACAATGGCTCCCCCTCGAACCCAAAAATCTGCGAAAACCCACCCCCAGGCAAACTCAGATCCTTCAACCCCTCAACCCCATTCCTCCCCACATTCTCCGCCCTCATAACCTGACTACAAACAAGCACACAGCACGCCCCCTCAAACGCCATCGTCTGCGAAATAGTCCGACTCATCGTCCCGCTAGCCTGGTAGCTCCACTGCTGCTTCAGGGACTCCGGTGCGTCCCACATAGCAGGCCAGCTGGCGACGTGGATGTCAACGTCTTGCGAGTATTCGTGGTAGCGGAGGAGTGGCTGGGTGTGTTCCCAGCAGTTTAGGGCGCCGATTTTGCCGAGGGGTGTTGGGATGACGGTTTTTAGGGAGTCGCCTTCGCCGGTGCCCCAGTAGGCGCGCTCGATGTGGGTTGGTTTGATTTTGCGGCGGTTGTGGGTAATTTCGCCGGAGGGGGATATGAAGGCCTGTTTTGTTTTTAGTAAGTGGTTGCTGCACGTTGGTATACGTATTATCCTTAGTGGTGATTGATATGTACCTGAGAGATGTACATAGAGCACTTATCCCGCTCACTATACCCCAACACCACAAATATACCAGCCTTTTTCACCGCAGCGCAGATCCGTGACATCTGCGGAGAATCCCTCGCCATCGAGTTCTGCATGTATTCAAGCATAAAACCGCCATTTTCAAACGGCGATTTAGCATACATGCTCCTTTGTCAGTCAGCCAACCTTATCTATAAACTAAGCCTAAGCCTTAGACCGAGGAACGATATACCAAGGATACCCCGGAATAAACACCTCAGGAAATCCAAGCACCTGAGCCCCATTCGTCGCTGCCTCTTCGATGATAGAAATGACTTTCTGGACACCACCTTCGAGATCGTTCCAGACGGGCTCTGCTTGGACGGCGGCAACGCGTACTTTTTGATTCATGGTTGTCGTTTATGTATTATAGTTTTTTCCGGGGTCGTGGCGTAACAAGTTTTGAGGTTGGATGGACTCTGGAATGGCAAGGGTGAGAATTTATATGTGCTGTCATGAGGACGATCAGTGGGGTTATGCAATTTGCCGCGGATGAGCATTATTTCTCCGATGGTACTTTTGTTCGGATAATATAATTGGGGGTTAAGGTAGGCACATATGTCTGTATACTTTGTTCCCTGAGATTCCCATCTCATTATGTAACTTCCAATGAAAGAGAAGTCCCGAAAGGTTACATTGCCAGATATTTGAAACCAAATAGCAGTCACCAAAAAGGCCGATGCGGGATTTCTATGCATGCATCGAGTTCCTGGCGTTACTATCGCTCGCAGGGCAACTCCCGCAAAACACAGTTATCACAACTGTAGTCCAATATTGTATAGAGCTCTTAGGTACAAATCCACGCTTGCGGGTCCAGATACTACTCATTCCCGCGCAGTTGCTACATCTTGCGCCGGTCCCGATTCGGCTCGATAATCCTCAGGGAAGAAACATCCGTTGCATACATAGCTCTCTTCTGTAAGGTCTAGTTGGGAAATATGATTCTTTCCGTTGTAACTTTGGATATGCGTATGATTTCCCAGAACCAAGAACCCAAAGCCGGGGAACATTTCCAAGTTCGGGAATAGGTCATGGTGGGTTCTCTCTGAACAGTAATTGCTTAAGCACCCCTTTGCTTAATATGTAGGTACCGCCGTACAAATCGGGCGCGGCTTACTAGTTAAGGAGATCCTCACTGAGCGGACCTACGTATGTCCTAATTATCACTGCGGAGCCTGCGGAGGTGCGCCGATGGGTGCGGGTCAGTCCATATCATTCTCTTCGGGTTGATGCTGTGGAAATCGGAGAAAATGTATGCGCAGAGTCTGCAGCATGTTCAATGCCCGGTGATGTTATGTACTCCGTTACTCGTTTTGTCAAGTGTCCGCGACGCCCTAAGCCAAGAATTACCGGATTTGGCAAGCGCCGCCGGTGTTTTGCCCTATGGAGCTGACGATACTGTACTTCGTAGGATGTTTTCTATCTCCTGGAGAAGGATAAATAGCTCCAAGATTCCCTTGAGAAATTTGAAATCCATCTTCTCTAAGCATCCAGTGCATCTTACCATAAACACATCAACCACCCCCCCCACCCCAAAAAGCATCATGACCATGGACCGCCGTCTGAAAATCGGAGTCGTTGGCCTAGGCCGAATGGTACGTGTCTTCACTCATCTACCCCGGCTCCTAGTTTAACATATTTTCCGTTTCAGGGCAAGCGCCACGTCCACACCCTGCTTTACCGCACTCCCCGAGCGCAGGTGGTGGCCGTGTGCAGCACGACCCCCCACGAAATTGCCTGGGCAAAGGAAAACGAGGAATACAAGGAGTTTGGCATTGAGGCATACAGCGACTATAACGAGATGCTATCTCACCCAGGCCTCCAAGCAGTCTGGATCTCAACCAGCACTGACGTCCATGCGAGCCAGTCTTTGGCGGCAATTGAAAAGGGCGTCCATGTTCTCTGCGAGAAGCCGCTGAGTACCGATCTTGAGGAGGTACATCACCCCAACTAGCCACGATTCAGATACTTTGTGCTAACCGTGACAGGCGCAATCCGTCGTCGACGCGGCCAAAGACAAACCCTCCCTCAAAGTAATGGCCGGCTTCTCCCGCCGCTTCGACGCCTCCTACAGAGACACCAGCGAAAAAGTCTTCGCCCAACAAGCCATCGGCTCCCCCTTCATGGTGCGTTCCAACACTTGCGACCTCCGCGACGACTCCGGATTCTTCGTGCAATACGCCTCGCGCAACGGCGGAATCTTCGTTGACTGCGCTATCCACGATATCGACCTGTCCCTCTGGTTCTTGGGAAACCCAGTCCCCAAGGCCTGCTGGGCTGCGGGAACTCTACAGCACCATCCTGAGCTCAAGGATTTCTCGGACGTGGACAATGCGGTAGGAATTGTGGAGTTCTGGGGCGGCAAGATCGCGTATTTCTACTGTTCGCGCACGCAGGCGCATGGGCATGACGTGTGTACTGAGATTACTGGTACGGAGGGGAAAGTGATGGTGAATGTGGTCCCGCGGAAGAACAATGTAGTTCTTGCGGATAAGTTGGGGATGAGGCATGAGGTGCAGCCGGAGTACTGGGAGCGGTTTGAGGATGCGTTTGCGAGAGAGGCGAATGAGTTTGTGGATGCGGTTGTTAATGATGGGGTTGTTCCTGTGCCGCTTGAGACGGGGATTACGGTTATGAAGATTGGGAGGGGGTTGCAGCAGGCCTTGTTGACGGGGGAGGTTGTGAGGTTTGATGAGAGGGGAGAGCAGGTGCAGGCTTCTAGGCTTTAGGGAGCACAGTTAGATTCGATCTACTGTTCATGCTGTTCTCCATATAACTCCAAAAATTGACTCTTTGATTTGAGACAGTTCCACTATGGCGGGGATTCCTACCGAATGTAGCAAAAACGCGGGGGTCTCCACCTCCGCAAATACCATAAGCGACAACCATCGCCGGCGCAATCCCAACACTGATTCTCGATAGAAACGAAGAACATGCCAACAGCCAAAACACCTTGTCTCAATTGCCGCGGTACGAATCACAGCACCCACACAATATACCTTGACTAACATCCCAACAGAAAAGCACCTAAAATGTACGCCGTAGTATCAACCACCCCCATCGATCCCATGCTAACCGAAATACTCTAATACAGGCGACAAACAAAAGTCAACATGCAAACGCTGCAAGACAAAAGGTCTACAGTGCACACACGCTCCCCGAAAGATTAACTTCCGGCATTGGTCGACGGATAACTCTGCTGCGAGCTTCTCGGGGGATCAGACGTGGGTTAATAGTAGACCCAAAGATTGGAAGGCTCCGGTGAGAGTAGAGTCGTCGTCATCATCATCATCATCAGGGTTGGAGAGATCTGCAGTTCTGGGTTGGACGGATGGACAATCCTCTTGTCAGGGGGTGTCTGGAACTTCAGGGAGTGTAACCAGTTTGGGATGTGTCGATCCGTTGCTCGTACCTGCGGGGGAAGATGATCATTCCTGGGCTGGGGGTGTTGATCAAGCACTTCATATTCGCGATGAGAGCTCAGGGTTGCAGGAATTAAATTCGACCAATGTATCACCGGGAGATTTGTCGAGTTTGTCTTTCTCTTTTTCGCCCGGGACGAGTGGTCAAGATGTTCACTTTCCCCCACCTGTTGGGTTTGATGCTGGTCAGAAGAACAACTCTGAACATGAAATAGTTGAATTTCCATCATCCTTCGAGGAGGAATCATATTTTCCGGCTCATGCCAGCATCCAAGAATCATGCCTTCTGCGATATTTCATCGAAGAACTATCTCCACTAGTTAGCCAACCCCTTTCAATAATCTACCACAAACACTGACATGGGTTTAGTTCGACCACTGCGACGAAAGAAGGCATTTCCAACTAGTAGTCCCCTTCCGAGCGCAGCACTGTCCAACGCTCCGCAATGCACTCTTCGCAGTATCATCCCGCCATCTCGTCCGACGGCCACAGTACATGACACCACAGGGTGTGCTATACCATGCCCAGCTACTTCCCAATCTAAAGAGCTCTACTGCAGTAGAATACATGCTACAATGTATCCCTGGCCTTGTGCGATTCCCTGAGATTCAGGGCTTAGTGGAACAAGAGAATATCATGGCGGCTGCGGTTATCCTTCGGCAGTATGAGGAGATAGAAGAAGACATGGGAGACGATGATGAGGCAGGATTGGATCTTCGTGAGCAGGTTAACTTTCTGGCTATCACGCAGACTATTATCGATTCGATGATATCTTCTCCACTACATCAATCTCTTGCGACGGCGGCTTATTGGATTGCCATTCGGCAGGAGGTATATTGTGCTTTGACGAGGGAACGGAAATTGAGCATGCGTTTTGGTGTGGAAGATTGGCAGAATGCCTCTGTTGCGAATACCTTGATTATGCTTGTTGGTGAAGTTGCTAAGTGGTGCTGGGGGGAGAAGTCTCCTGAGGAATGGGGTATGACTTTCTCCTATTCTTCTATTCTCTATCGCTTGACAGTAAAGCTAATCATTTTCATAGAAAAACTCAACAAACACCAACAACAACTCATGCAAACCTACAAAACCCACCTCGTCCCAATCCTCTCCCGAAAAGCAGACAAATCAAAAGGTGAAATCTTCCCTACGGTCTGGTACACCTCCGACGCCCAAGTAACCGCAACCCAACACCTAGAACTAGCCAGAATGATTCTCATCGCTGAAAGCCCACACCTCACGTAAGTCCCTTCCACCCTCCCACTTTCCATCATATCATACTAATCCATAAAACTGGTAGGGACGCACCCCGCTCCCTCCACCGCAAAGCTGAGTCCCAAGTCCGCTCCATCGTCCTTAACGTGTGCGGCATCGCGTTAAGTCATCTGCGCTGCCAGCCGGCGCTTGTGAATGCTGTAATTGCTATTACGCTTTACGGGGAGTATTTCACGGAGCAGGAGGAGAGGGAGGCGCTTGTGGGGATTGTTGGGCGGACGAGGGGGTTGCGGGCTTGGCCTATGGAGAAGCCGTTTTTGACGCTGAAGAGGAGGTGGGAGGTAGCGGATTGTGGGGCTTTATGATGGTTACTTTGTGGGTATCTCTAGCAATTGCCGGGATGATGTATTGAATGAAATTGATTTTGATTTTGTTATATAGGTTCATTTCTATTATATTCTATTATATACAAGCCAGCTGAAACCTAAGATGATGATGATAGATAACTCAGGCCTCATCACCCTTCTGGTTAGCGGCATTCTGCTCCTCGGCAATTACATCGGCCGGAATACGCTCTGGCGTTGAGTTCACGAGCATGATCATAGGGAGTATAGCGGCTCCAAGAAGGGCGAATGTCACGCAGCTGGACTGAAGTTAGTACAATGTTCTGGCAAAATGATATGGACAGGGTGGAGCGTACAATCCAGTAAGTGGGTCACTTTCTGTCTGAGTGTTCATGCCGTAGGCAACAGCCTGACCAACGGCTTCGATACATCTGAATGCAGCACCGTTACGAACGTTTTCTAACCATTCTCATTAGCATATCCTTTCACCCATCTCCAACCAAGCCAAATACTCACCCTGCGCATCCGTCGCAAAAGACGACAACAGCCAATACATATACGACTGTGACAACGGACCCGTAGTCTGCACAAAGAAATATGGCAAAAATGACGTAGGGTACAGTCCGTCGTCCCAGTCAATCTTGCCGGGATCATTGCGCCTGAACTTGGTCTGCATGACGATGGACCAGATGTACACGCCGATGTTGAGGATGACGACGATGTACAGACCGACTTGGGCGCGGCGGCGCTGGCCGAGGTATTTCAGGTCGAGGATGTAGCCGAGGCCAAAGCAGCCGATACTGGTGAAAGGGGGAGGTTAGTTGAAGTAGATAATGGTGAGGCGACGGTGTTGGACGTACATGCAGAAGAAAGGAGAGACCAGAGAGGAGAGGGCGCGGGCGCGGACGGAAAAGTAGGTTCCTAGGTAGGTGCTCCAGCTCCCACTGCATTCGTTAGCTCTTTGGTTCCTGAAGCAATGGCCCATGAGACTGGTGGTATGTACCTGTAGAAGAATGACCATAGTGCCCAAAGGGCAGAAAGGACAATGAGCTTCGAGGTTATCGTCTTCGCAATGCGCCTGACTTCCTTCTTGGTGGAAAGGGTCTCTGCCATGACGATTTGCGTACCATCATTTCGGACAACGCGTTCAAAAGGGGTAATCAAGAGCGCAAATGGAAAACTGAGCAAGAGTATTAGTTCCATTACCTGTTTAGTTCCTCAGGGTACTCACGCGATGCACTCGATAATCACGAATGCAATGTAAGTATCCGGAGTGACACTGGCACTGGCCCCTTTTACATGGTTCTTCGACAGGCTTCGCTGGTTATTAGTCAAGTACATCCATCGCAGAAGCCGAGAAACTCACTTGATTGCACCTCCAACCAGCTGTCCGAGGTTCCGCGCCACAATCCACAAAGCCAAATACTTTCCACGAGCGCCCGTAGGTGCAAGCGTCATGATGGCACCAGCTTCGGCGACATACCAGCAACCGGTGCCAATACCAGCAATGGCACCACTGAGGATGAGATACTGCAGTCATGGATATTTGTTAGCTGCGTACTCTGGAAAGCTGTCTGTTGCCGGCGGAAACTCACCCATTGGTTTCCAAACTTGCTGTTGCAGTAGTACGCAGACCCCTCGATGGGGAAGGACATGGAGCCGATGACCAAAGCCCACTTAACACCGAGCTTGTTCACAATGGGACCGCCGAAGAAGCAAACTGGGACACATCACCCCATTAGTACACAATAAGTCGGTGATGAAGGCTGCTGGGATACACACCAAGAGCAAGCATGGCATATCTGATTGCGTTTGCAATGTTCGACACCTGGGGAGTTGCAAGTCCACCACCACCGAGTCCTGGCAATGATTAGCTGCGTATTCACACGATTTCAACCCTGATCGTGCACTCACCAGTGATCGCGTCAGACATGGCTGGTCCACAGAAAGACTGGACGCTCAGGATTATCATCTGCGTCAAGCTGTGCTGCCATACCCGCTTCCACAGCGGGACACTCGCCCTGTATAGCTCCATGTCGATACCCTGGCCGTGATTCGGTGCATTTTCTGACGAGGCGGGAGGATCATCATGCAGATTGGGAGTGGCTGTCTTTGCGTCAGTCATCGTGAAAATACCATACAAGCACAGCGTATACTACATATTGAGGGGCTTGTTGGATGCCGGTTTATTTATACACACAGCATTGGATTCTGGGGTTCAACGTATACTTCCCCGAAGTGCGGAGATAAGCTCCGCACTTGAGGTTCGGTTATTTCGAAGCTGTTCCTCCAGACTTAAGGAAGGTCCACACGATCCTGCGCTATCTTGGCGATAGCTTCGCAAATGGTGATTGGTCGGGTTTTCGTAACCGACTAGTATCTGATATCTCGATCAGAACTGTGCACTATCGGAGGTGTTCTCTTCGCGAACTACTATCCCGACACGCGCTTGGGATCCGATGTTGATAGCGGCAAAAGTCCGCGAGATCAAGTTCGTATGTCTCTATCTCTTACGATTCACCGATATAATTGAATTGTCTATCGATATCACGCAATTAAAATCTATCCTAACACTGTCTGTCTCTGCAGAACAGCATCAACAATATCCTTCTTGATGATTTTGTGGCTCGAATTCTTCGGCCAGTCTGACCAGCTCAAGTCCGAAAAGAACGCAACCCCTCCTAACGTGTACTCCGGTCCGAGCGTCTGAATGATTTGCTGCTTCACTTTTTGTCGAATGTCGGGCGGCTGCTCTGTGGTGGTTCCTTTCATCACGGCAATGGCTTTGGCGCCATAGCTTGGGTCTGGTATTCCCACGACTTGAACCTGCTTTGCATTAGTATAAAATAGACAAAGTCCAGGAAAGAATGGCATACCTCATCTTGAAAAGCCTTCTCAAGACAATCCTCCACGATCGACGGCACAATCCCGACCCCTTTACACTTGATTATATCCTTGCTTCTTCCGACGATGAAAATCACCCCAGAGTCATCCATATACGCAAGATCACCGGTTCTGAACCATCGCCTTCCAGATTCATCTTCCAAAAATGCCTTGCTCGTGTGTTCCTTGCTCAGATACCGATTCACAAGACTGGTTGAATCGACCTCCAACTCACCAACGACACCACGGGCCACGATGTTATTGTCATTACCGCTTTCGCAAATCCGGACGGTCGTGCCTGGCAATGCGCGCCCCAGACCGGGAATATTTCCCTGGCCGGTAACCGGAATCGGTTCCTCGCCCAACCACCCAAACAGCGGCGCGCCCTCCGACATACCCCAATGAAACACCAATCGCCTAGTCTGTAAACTCCTTTGTCCGTGCTCGATTACATCCGCGGGACACGTATCCCCAGAGCAAGTCACAAACCGCAATGTTGAAGGACGATGCGTGGTCAGCGTCGAACTACTCGACAACGACCGCACTTGACTAGGAACCAACATCATATTGGTAATCCGCTGCGAAACGACAGCTCGAAGAGCAACATCATCACTGAAATATCTGCTGGGAATGACGATGCAGCCGCCTCCTCTCCATGAGTTGAGGCAGCCGAGATAGCATATCGGGCCGAAACACATGCTCGTGACTAGGAACCGCGCTGTGGGGTTCCATTGGCTGCCGTAAAAGGAATGGTAGCCGGTAATTTCTGCGCTGATGTTCTGGACTGTTAATGGGCAGCCTTTAGGGAAACTGGTCGTTCCGCTTGTAAAAAGGATGTAAGCCACCGCGTTGGGATCGCTCTTGGCCGGTGGAAGCGTGATATTGGTCGGAGGGATTAGGTGAGATAGAGACAGCCAGCCCGGAAGAGTCCCACCGTCGCAAACAAGCTGCAGCATAATTTCCCTCGAGCAATGCTGATCATACGCTCTGGCAGCCGTCTCATCGTTAACCACGATAACTTTCGGATCAAGCGCCCCAACCAAATACTCCAATTCCTCCGCTCGTCCAAGAGCAGTCGGATAAATTGGCGCGAAAACAGCACCTATACGAAAACACGCCCATAAAAATACACCCCATTCCGCAGAATTGGGTATAAACAGCGCGACCACATCACCGGGCCGCACGCCTGCATCTAAAAAACCGGCAGCAACTGATTCCGCTACTTCAATCAGTTGGCGGAAGGTCCAGCTAAAGTGATCTCTAGATGCGGTCTTGGTTTTGGCGAGGTTGGATAGGTGGTTTGCCGGCTGGTGCAGTGCAGCTAATGCTTCTGCATCCGGTCTCTCGGTGCCAGCTGATGATAGCCATTGCCAGAGACTATCCGGGGTAGCGGGGGCAGGACCACCGGCGAGATAAGAGGAGGTTTCGGAGGATGACATTATTTACAGCAGACAGAAAGGCAATGTATGAATGAATGTAGAATGACAGTACCACAGGGAATTGATTGGGTTGAAAGATGTTAACAGTGGCGAACCTCAGTACAGAGATCTGAATGAGATAAAGTTACGCTGAATGATGCAACCCTATACAAATGGTGGATCCCTGAGGTGCGGTCAGGACCATGGAGTACCTTCATAACATTGCTCTCCGCAAATCATGGACTATGCATGAATAAGTCCTGCATATAAATTGTCCACCCCAACAACAGTCAACTCCATCAGACACAACCTGCATGGAGTGCACATGTAGTGCGTACTCAAAAATAAATATAAACAAAGCAATAGCAGTGATCATAATCATGCCAAGCACACCAACATCAAATCCACATTTGCATGGTCCATATTTGACATTGTTGTCTCCAAATGCCTCCACACTCCTTCAACCCATCTTACTGTCCTTCGGGGTGGGGCGGGGCGGGGCGGGTTTTGGCCCAAAACCCCGAAGCTCTCCGTACTATACCTAATGTTGACCTCCATATACGCTGAAGACTGATTGATATGCTCGCTGCTCCGACTGACCAATCAGAGCCTGAATTGCCCGTCTATTTACGACGTACTTCCCTGCCCATGTCTAATCGTATCTAGGACCGGGGATTACGGCTATGCAGCCAGCATCCTTTGACTATGGCCACCGCATACACGCATTATGCACTTTGTACTCCTTTTGTCTCTTTGAACTTCTTTCGCAACGACCTTCCCTTTTGTGCTTAGTTGACGGCCGCCAGATTGTTTATAAAAAGGCCGTACGATAGATAGATATCTAGAATCAGAGTTCTTCCTCTATTCACTCCGAATAGTGCCTATGACATCCTTCCGAGCATAGTAGTTGACAGAAAAACTCTGATTGATCCACCAATGATATGATGGTTGCCTTGATGATTGTGAGGCCTGCTTTGCTGAAGAAGAACTTAATGGCCAAAGGAGGGACAGAGAGCTTGCCCTTCTGCACTGTGAGCTGGAAGAAGTGAAGGAACAACCACAGAACCAGGTTGATGAGAGTGTACTCACCTCTTTGCATTAGGAGATGGGAAAGGTAGAAAGGCAGCTCTCTGAGGTCAAGATAGAGCCTTATCAACCAGACTACCACAAGTGATCCGAAAATAGCAACCAACTCCACGGCTATCCGAATCAAGTCAAGAATACGAATGCGAGCTCAGCCCTACGAGATACGTACGTAGATCACTGGAAAAGATTCTTAAAATCTCTGCCTATATCCATAAAAATACTCTAGAATAACCAGGCGGCAATTATTATACGAGTACGAATATAGTCCTCCATGGAGTACATAAAAACCCCGTAACCTCATACCTACCTCCACATATACATACAGATACAGCATACCTTATACCCTTTATCCTCTCTCTATCAATTACTATCCATCAGATTCACACTCACACTCAATCAACAAGATACAAGATACAACATGCACCTCCCCTTCCCATTACCAACCCCCACCCCCGCCCTCAAAAAACGCCTCTACATAACAATCGCCTCCCTAATCCTCCTAACCTTCGTCCTAATCATCGCCCGCATAGCCGACAAAGGCACGCCCTCGGCCAGGACGAATACGTGGGGTATAGCCGTCGTACGTCCCCTCCTCCTGATACCCCCCTTTACTACATACCAGCAACACTATACTAATCTGAAGATTGGTGCAGTGCATAAAAGCAGCCTTCTTCCTAGCCTACCAAGTGCTTACAACGTACCAACCCAAGCTCCAAAAATGGGCGAGTCTCAAAGTGAACATGACGCTCGATATTATCGATACGGTGTTTTGGTTTGCGTTGTTTGTTATTAGTATTATGGGTGCGGCGGAGGGGAAGAGTACTAGTAGTCAGGCTTTGGGGGCGGTTGTTGCGGGGTTGGCGGTTGTTCTTTGGTGAGTTCCTTTTTTTTTTTTTTTTTTTTTTTTTTTTCCTGGGTTTTGAGATTGAGAATGGGGGAGGTATGGAGGGTTGAGCTAATGCTAATGTGATGGTGGTAGTGCGATTGTTGGGTTTTTGGCGGTGGTTTGTACAAGGGAGTATAGGGCGTTCAAGAGGAATGCGAATGCGAATGCGAATGCGAATGTGGATGTGGATGTGGAGGCGGGTGGTGATAAGGGAGATGCGGTTTGAAGTCGTTTTGATATAGATCTACTTATGTGCTACGACTAGACGATCCAAGGATGAGGTATTAGGGTCATGATCATCATTCCAACCGTTTTGTACAAATGTCATCAACTTTATGGAGTACGTATTTGCAATGTCAAAATAGACAAACCCAACTTGCTGTCCGCCTATACAAAATAAAAATCACTCAAGCGCATAAACCGGTGCCTTCACCAAAACATTCACCGGCCCCTTCCCTCGCACTTCAGCGCTCACAAACGATGCAAATCGAATTCGCGTTGGTCCCGTTGCGGGACCACTCGTATTTTCATCCTTACTCTCCTTGGCTGGTGTAGCCAGCGCGGCAGGTGTATTCCGCTTCCCCATCAACGACTCAAGCATCGACATCTTCTTCTTCTCAGGCCCCGCTATACCTGTCCCCGAAGCCGGGGAGGATGTAGGCGAGGGAGATTGCGAGGAGGGAGAGTCAGGGTCTGTAGCCGTGGCTGGATCCGTGTCGGTCGACTGGCCCTGTCCAGCAGGGTCTGTGGACTCTAGATCGGGACGGCGGACGTTTTCTGGTTTCACGTGTGTTAATGGTGGGACACCTGCTTCGGGCTTCATTTGTCGCTCGTCGAGGATGGAGCCTGGAAGTGGGTATTCGATGCAGACGTCACGGGATTCCAGGGGAATTTTCTCTGCGATTCCGACTGCGTTTTCGACGATTAGGCGTGCGCCGTTGTCCATGCCTACGGGTGGGGGAGTGTTGAGGTGCATTTCGAGAGAGGCGATGAGTTTGGTGACGAGGTGGTCGACAAGTTTTGCGCGGTTCTCGTCGGCCGTGGGGCCGTGGAGCTGGGCATCGCCGAGTCCGTCGAATGTCGTGCGTCGCCAGTTAGAGATTTTAGCAATGGCGTTCTCTTTATCCTCTTCGGTGATGACGGGTTTGGCGCCGTGCTGCTGGCGGAGGTTATTCTCGATGTTCTTCAATTGCTGGCTGAAGTTTGATTCCAGGGATGGGTGGAAATGGCGATGGAAGATCTCCTCGACGAGCCAGCGGCTGATGAATGCGCGTCCGATGGCTGTCATCTCTTTCGTGCCCATGGTGTGGGCGTCGTCGTTCACATAACCGATCAACCAAGGTGGGAGGCTCTTCCAGTCTTTGCGGATGGAGAATGCAAGGTCTTTAATGGCACCGTCGAGACGGCCAAAGCGGTTGGCGTATTCGTTGTCATCAAGAACGGTACGAGAGACAGCCATGCGTTGGTGAGCGACGGTGTTCTGGAGATGTTGCACTTGGGCGTCTTTCTCGAAGTAGTAGCGCTTCACCTTGGAGTATTTGGCCACTGTTTCGTTAGCCAGCGTACAATCAATACTGCAGAGCACACGTACAAAGTTCATCATGCTTCTGCACCAACGACCGAACATCACCATCCTCCTCTCGTCTCTGAGCCGGACCCGGGGTACTGCGTCCCTGGTCCTGGCTGGTCGACGAGTTATTCTTCGAATCAGACGGATACGGCGATTGGCGACCGGTCTGATTCGATTGACCCGTGGGTCCAGCACGGTCGGCAGCCATGGCCTGCACAGATGCCGTGTCGCTATGAGCAGATATCAACGAGCTCGCTAGAGACAGTTGAGAAAGTGGCCGTATCGACTGATACGGTGCTTGTGTTTGTGTTGGTGTTTGCGTCTGGTTCGACCCGTGGTTGCTAGGATGTACTTGTAGTTTGTCCGAGTCGGCGGTGCTCGTGCTCGTCCGATGTTGAACAGATACAGTATCACCCTCCCGTGTGGCTGCGGCTAGCTGCTGCGAGTGCGAGTCGGTTGCTGGCGTCGAAATCTCTGGGATTGATTGAGAATTCAATGACACATCGTCTTTAGGCGCTGATCGTCGCGCTGCTTTGGGGGCGGTTGTTGTGGTTGGCCGCGAGCGGTGCGACTTGGACAGGGTTCGGCCCAGAAAACCAGGGATGTCTTTTGCGGTGGACGAGGGAGGGGAGGACGAGGTAGACGAGGGTTTCTTGGTTGTCTGGTGTTTTTGTAACTTGCGCCGGTCGTCTTCGCCGTTGGGGCGCTGGTCGGGTCAGCATTGATTCGTAGTATAAATGGTAGAAGAGGAGCGTACTGGTTCGGGGTCCTGGAGGAGATGAGCGGTTTGAGTACGCCGAATGGAGGCAGGTTCCGGGATTGATTCCTGGGGAGCTTGTGCTTGAGTGTGAGATTGGGATTGAGATGGTCGATGGAGGGGCTGTTGTCGGTCGGTGCGGAGACCACTACGGCGGTCGGAAAAACGATGGAAGTCGGGAAAGGAAGACCCAGAGTGAGTGTTGTTGTTGTTGATGTGCTGGGAGGAAAAGGTTGACAGTTGCTCTGCTGAGTGAAAGGTCAGGGCAGACGCGTTAAGCTTGTCTTTTTTTCTCCTGAAGAATGGCATGTTGAGGAGAGAAAAGAGGAGGGGAGGTGGACGGAGAAAGAGGATGCGAGATGATATGTGTACACGGGGAGAGGACGGAGCGATGATGATAAATAATACACGACGATCAGACAATTATATCAGACACGATTCACAAATGTTAAAAAAGATATAAATATAGTGGCGATGGCTGAGGCTGAAAGTATAACTATTCCTTTTACGAGTACGCCTCGCTAGCTAGGCTTTAACTATTTAAAAGCTGTCCTCTAGCACACCCCGTGAGTCTTTCCCGTCTGGCCCTGCAACGAGTGCTTCTCGCCCTTGTATTCCGGGTGGTTATGCTGCGACTTGTGCGAGTTTGTCCGGATGTACCTGTTTATGTCAGCGCTGAGACAGTTAACTACGGTACTAAAGGGAACATACGAAGTGTACGTGTCCAACATCTTCTCGTCCATCTCCTGCAACGTCTTCATACCCAATTGGATATCCGTCAACAGCGCCTGGCACCGTCCCATGGTGAAGTCCTCGCGCACAACCACACGCATCAACTTGAGCTTATTGCTGTTCGGCGCCATCGTGTACGCCGGCACAATCCATCCCCGTTCGCGCAGCTGGTGAGCCAACGCGAACTCATCATAGAACCCAGAGCGATCCGAGGGTAGACAGAATGCCACGACGGGCAGTCCGTTGCCACTACGCTGGCTGATGATTTTGAACCCTTGCTCTTCCAAACGCGCGGCAAGGAAGTCCGCGATCTTGGTGATGTTGAGCATGATGGACCGGTAGCCGTGCTTGCCCAGACGAATCATCTGGTAGTACTGGCCGATGACCTGCGAAGCACCCTTGGAGAAGTTGAGGGTGAAACTGGCCTGTTCCGCACCCAGGTAGTTGATGTTAAAGATCAGCTCTTGGGGAAGGTATTCCGGCGAGCGCCAGACGACCCAGCCCACACCAGGGTAGACCAGACCGTACTTGTGGCCAGAGACGTTGATTGAGACGACCCGTTCCAGACGGAAGTCCCAGACCAGGTCCGGCTTGACGAAGGGAGCGACGAAGCCACCGCTGGCCGCGTCGACGTGAATAGGGGTGTCCAGTCCGCGCTCGATCAGGAGGTCGTTGATGCCCTTGACGTCTTCATACTCACCAGTGTAGGTGGTGCCCATGATGGCACAAATACCAATGGTGTTCTCGTCGACGAGATCCACAGCCTGCTGGGGATCGATGACGTAGCGTTCCTCGGTACAGTAGACATAGCGCTCTTCAATGTCAAAGTACCGAGCGGCCTTTTCCCAGCAGACCTGCACAGCACTATTCATGACGATGTTGGGCTTGGAAGTGTCCTTGCCCTCAGCCTTCCGCTTGTTCTGCCAGGCCTTCTTCATGGCCAACGTGCCCAGCATGATGGCCTCGGAGGATCCGATGGTCGAGGTACCCATGGGATGCTCGTTCTCACTGGTGACGGGAGCATTGAACATCCGGGCGATCATGTTGACGCAGCGGTTCTGGATCTCAGCGGACTGGGGGTATTCCTCGTAGTCGATGAAGTTCTTGCTGAAGGACTCCGACATGAGTTTTTCGACTTCATCTTCCTGTTTCTGTTAGCCATTTCCCCATATCCAGGACAATTCCACTGGAACATACCATGTATGTGGTGACGAAACTCGCCAGGCTACAACATTAGCCGGGTCCTCAATCATTCTCAGGGGGGGGGGGGGGGAACATACTTCAGCATCGGGTTACCATCCAGACTCAATTCATCCTTGATCAACCGATAAGCGACATCACGAGGCATCTCTCGCTCCGGCATCTCCAATCCTGGCATCTGCTGAATAGCAAACCGACTGCCATACACGCTGGAGGCGTAATTGTCACCATCCTGCACGGGAGTATCGAGCTGAATGGCCGCCAACCGGTCGGCAGCGTCCTGGTCAGAGGGCTGGTTTTTCTTAATCTGAGCGAGGTGGACCATTGTGTACTGTAGAGAATAGAAATCTGTATGAGAAGATGAGAGAAGGGAGGAGAGATCGAGGGGTATCAAGGACCCCTCAGTCTATACTTGTACTCCGGAGTATTCAGCTGGACCGGCCCCTCCGGTCCAGACTTGGCTTCAAAGCTTAGCCTTGATTATCGACAAGTGAGCAGTAGCCACGAAGCAACTTGGAACTCCACTGATTGCTTCATTCAATTCCCGCAGTGGATTCCATTACATAGTGTTTTGGATATAAACTGCAGTAACCAGTCAATATCAAGTATCCCGGCCTGTGTTTTCTCTCCGAGCAAACATTCTACGTCATGGCCCCACGGCATGTGGGGTGTGGCTGGTGGATGGTGGCTGGCGGCTGCCTGAATTTGTGGCTGAGCGTATACATCGTGATGAATACGTACCTCTCTCTACAACCGTGGATAACACAACGAATTACGAGAAGGGATTGCTGCGTTTGTTAGAGATGTCAACATTTTTAAAAGAGTCTCCATATTCTCAACGCCAGTCAAACCGCCAGTTAATGGGAGGAAAGAGGCCGCTTGATGAAAGGCGCAACCTGATTCGTGGGAACAATAAGATTGTTGAGAATGGTTGGCTTGATCTTGGATACCTTGTTGGTGGCCTTGAGATTTTGGTGCCTGGAAAATATCTTGAGTAACAGTGACGGCTACGTTAAAATTTATGTACAGGTGCAATTAAGTCTCTTTTCCAATATACTCTCCATAAGGGTGATGGGTTTCCATCTGGTACAGCTGCTTACTGCCGTGTGTGCTTTGCATTAAGTACCTATATCTTCTTGCTACAATATATGGCCATCCATAATGGAAGCTATGAAATGATACGAAATTCCAGCGTTGGTTTCTTGCTAATTAGGGATAGTTAAATTGATGAAAAGCCTGGATTTAAATTCATCCACTATAGCTCTACAACTAGAAGGGACTTTTTCCTTTACCACCCTCTCAGTAATAAATCACAGACTCTACAAGTTTCCAAAGACCTCGACTCCATGAGCTCTCTATAGTATACCACGATTTGAATTCAACTAACATCATGAGAGAATAGTCAATCGTCACCTCTGAGTTTGGTTAACGTCATTGCTTACTGCCTTTCAACCACCTTTCTGCTTCTTCATATCAAGTCGGTGCCATCCATTCATCTTAATCCTATAGCATACGCTTAGCCCGCCTCGCGAGAATAATTGCTCTGGCCAAAATTCCAACCGGTGTTTCCGGAAGGATGGAATGTCTAATACAGGAGCGTGTTCCTACAGTAATCTAGCTATTCAGCGGTAAACAATGTTATCGAATAACTATGTATCAAGGATGAGTATCATTGATCTCAAACTGTACATTCTGTGTAATGGCACGGTAAAGACTGTCTTCAACGTGTTCACAACTCAATGCGGGGCCATGAGAGCCCAGCATTGAGTCTTGCTTTACACGACCTTCGGGCTATGAATGCTCAGTCTTTTATAGTATCCTTCTCACCACATTGAGTCCATCTCTGACTACGCATTCTCAGCTTAACCCTAGCCAAAAATTGGGCGGATGGGTCAGTTGAATTCCCTACATGTCAAATACTTCTAGCTAATTCATCCAGTCAGCGCTCCGCCAAATTATAAAGAAACGGGAAGGAGAATACACAAATCAAATATTTTGTCATAAGTCATCACTAGGATGCAATAAGAAGAGGTTGCTGGAACCGTTTCATTTCAGGGATGATAAACACCAGGATTTGGCTCTGAAATTTGGTCATATCTTGAAGCCGTTCACATCTTTTCCCTTGAAAATCTGGGTCTGGCGTGGATACAGCAAGTACATAACCGACATGGACCATTCCATTGGCCTCGCCAAGAACCCATTTTGGATTCTGCCAAAATACCTGAAATGGACCCGGCTCACGAAGCACAGACTTTTAGATTGATCCACGAACGACAAATATCCGGAAAACTGGAAAAAATCACGGTGCTGCCGTAGAGCACAGGATGACCAGGAAGAACTGTGATGTCCGCGACATCGAGGTGTTCCATGAGTGTAAACAAAGAACAGCGATGAAATTAACTAGATGATCATAGTTCTCCTATATAGCCCAGCGGAATCTATAGCTCCAATTACATAGTACCAACTACTGATTAACCTCATGATACCTAATATCTCGTCTCGCACCAACATTAAACCAACCCGAAGGTCCCAATCGCTGATTCAAACCCAAGCCCACCTCCTCGTACAACTCTGGTGACTTCAGCAGTCTCGCTGATTCCGGTGTCTGCGGCGTCAAAGGCATTTCCAATTCCTCGACATTGAAAACCGCCTTACCAGGGCTCTGGCCCTGGTCCCGTCCATCCTTGAAAGAGATGTCTGCGTCATTGATATGGTCCGGAAGAGGATCCAATCCCTTGACGTCTTCTGCGTTGAAGACTGTCGATATATTGGCGATCCGGGTTGTTCGGAGGATGGTGGAGAATTTGGTGCTGTAGGATCCGTGGTTGAAAAAGTAGATTATTACGCCGAGGGCGACGCTGATCATGGAGACTCCGAGGGCGATGCCGTAGGCTGTCCAAAGGATGCGTTGGGAGTAGGAGTAGACGTTGTGGTAGGCGGTCATAGTCACGTTCACATCTGGCATCGGTGAGGTGGTGTAGTTCGGTCTTGTATCGCAGTAGTCGGTCAGTCTTGTTTTTCAAGTGGTCGAAGCAAAGGGAATGGAAAAAACATACTGGAATCGGTTAGAGCTCATCATTGAAACTGTGATATTTTGAAACATTTTCTCCAGGGCATCGGACAAGGAAAGTGCCGTGCTTGCAGGCTGGCTCGCTGGCAGGCCATTCTTGGAATTGTTCCATTGATTGTTTGAGCTCATGGCTGCATAGAGAAAATTCAGCTCCTTTGTTCTTGCTAATGGAGTCAGCATGACATTTGTATTGTCAAGCTCTATTACTGTCTCATTAGCACCCCAGTTGATCTCGTTTCCGTTAGCTTTGAGAGAATCAAGTTGGCGAGTGGTTTTCTGGTGTATCTCTCCAGAAAGGAAGTCTCCAAGTTCGTCTATGATGGACATGTAAGAGTATCTCTCCATTTGGTCAAGATCTTTCGTTGAGGGATTTTCTATGTTCATCGTCTGCGACATGCCTATGGGAATCGCTTCGTTCGAGAACTGGATATGTGGTATCCGGACATCTTGCTGGCCATTGACGTAGGTAAAATTGGCCTCGTAAGATGCGTTGTACAATTTGCAATTCAAAATCACCGCATCCAACGTTGTGCCATTCAATTCATTCTCTGTGCGGTCACCCTGTTCCGCCATATGAGGAAATGTCGCTATGAACATGGATATAGGGTCGGTTGGGCGCTCATCGGTCTCGGGCGCTCCCGCGGGGTTTCCTTTGTTGATGCGTAAACTATATGTGCTATCTACATTGTGCTTCTCAAACGGCAGGGTTTTATTCGTGGAACTAGTGTCGGCTGGCCATGCCAGGTACCCAAAAGTGTAGGCCACGCGAGCCAGGTCTTTTCGATCATCAACACCAAAGGTGCTGATATTGAGTATTGCAGACTGCACATTCTGCGTAATAGCGCGGTGGGTATCGTCGTCGACATGCTCACATTTCAGTGCGGGGCCATAAAATTCCAGTGTCCACGACGAGTTGATTGAAGGAGGCTTGATTGGCATAATATTCCCCTGAACGGCTGTATTGACCAGGATACGCTGAACTTCTGGTTTGCTAGTCTCGTACATGAATTGGGGACTATTGGCGTAATCCATCAAGGTAGCAAACTTGAATTGCCGAAAATCAACACGAGGAACTCTCATGAGCGTGGTGTTCGAAAAGGATGCCATGTGAACGCTCAATGTCGCAGGAGTAATAACAGTCGCCACTGGCAAAAGCCATGCAATGCAGGCAAGCAACATGCTGAAGGGGTAATGCCGCCATAAAACATAATCAAGCACCATGAATCCATTCTTCAAAGTAGAAAAGAGGTCGTCAATTAGACCAATGCTTCTCATGCGACCTTTGATTGCTTTCCATGCAAATTGATCGAAGACGGTTGAGACAGCGATTCCAAGAAGAGACTTGACGAGCAATGCGAATAGAGTGCCAATTGAGACGTTGAACTGCTGGTCCGAGATACTATAGAAGGAAGCTATCGAGGACAAGGGGTCGCTGTCGAGGACCGGTTCACCGTCGAGGTTATCGTAGAAAAGATGGTGCCCGATTGCAGAGCCAAGAGCTGCCAGGAGGGTCGATACCATGATAATCGGCGCGGAGCATCGTAAATTGAGTGGGAACCACGCCATGCTGCGTTGTTGAAAACAGAACGACGAAGGGAAGAACCACAACCCAGCAAGAAAGAAGAATTAACTATCTTGTGGCGTACATCTCGAGGGGATAGGAGCGTTTGTTGAGTCCGAAATCCAAACAAGGCTGAAGCACATGATAAGCGCCAGAAAAAGAAACCACAGAATGAGACTTGGCTGCATGGGACAAACATACAGGGATCAAAGGACAGCTAATCGTATCAATTTGGGACGATGGAAAAAGGCAACTAGAAGAGGGGGGTGGAGATGAAAATAATTAGACGTCGGCTTCATCTACTTTGTAGTAAATGAATGGTACACACCCTCTTTCCGGAAGGGGGAAAAGGAAAGACTGGTCGATATTGGATGGATACATCGAGTCTTTTCGACTTCTTTGATGTCCAGACCCTCGAACATCATCGTTAAACAGAACCTCAATAATTCCAAATACACCGGCAGCCACGATGCACCGTGCGTTTTTCTACTGTTACGGGTCTAACCGTAATTTTAATCCGCGCTTTCCTTATGTAGCGCATTGCAGAGAATCAGCTGGAAAAGGAAATATTCGTGATTATGGACAATCCTTCCAAATATCGAACTTGCGGGGTATCATAGTCGTTGACCGGAGCATCCGTCAACTTTCGCTAATTACAAAATTGAAAAAAAAAATCATACCAAGCACAACATCTTTTTCCACCAAAGCACAAATGCAGCCCTCCCCACTTCTAACTCATCCTTATCCTCATCATCTATAGGCTCCGGTAACGACTCCCGAACCACAATCGGCCTGCGCAAGTGGTAGAATGTCTCTCGGCAAAACGGACAACTCCCATCTTTTGTACAGAGCCATTTGTCTATACATTGTTTATGAATGAGATGGTTGCAGGGGAGACGTCGGAATATCGAGTCGTGGGTCATGTCGTCGAAGCAGAGGGGGCATGTTTCGGGGAGGTGGCCGTCTTGTTTGGTTAGCTATCGGCTGCGGGTCTTGAAATATGTGGTATACTTACTATCATCTGGATAGTCAAGGCCCAGGAAGCAGGGCATCCGGGCTTGTTCGACATCTCGGGCATGTAATGGTCCCTTTTCGGCTTGTGAGGGGACATAGATATCGGGATCGGACATGGTATATACTGTGGAGACAACTGATAAAAGAGGATGCATAGAGAGGCCAGTAGGAAGGTTTAAATATGTGGGTATAGAAGTAGCAATAAGACTAAAATAATGGTTGAATCGAATGACGTCTGAAGTTGAAGTTATCGGAGTTTCATAGATCGTTTCCAACGGGCACTTGAAACCTTTTATTTACATCGGCAGCATCGGGTTCTAATGACCTGTTTATCAGTCTCTCGAATGAGTCTTTAAAATTTTCCTGCCGGGCTTCCGAATATCGCGCGTCCGTTCGTCGAGATGACTCGTATGGTACGCATGGCGGCGATCCCTCGGCCAACTTTCGGCCAACTGGCTCGCGGTGGCCAGACTTGTCATTTACAAATCGATTGCACTTTAAATATCCCGGAGAATAAACTGAGGCATTAAAAGCCAACAAGAACGCATGTGAGGTTTATGCACGTGTAAACGGCACGTCAACCATTTTGCCGAATACTTCGAGGGCTGTCAAATTAAGCTCCCGGGCGATTATCTGAAATATTTCTATTTATTGCTCCATCATTTCCGATTAACTCCCGATTCCGGAAGTGAGAATAGCAATGGTTTGTGCAGTTCGCCTTTCGCATAGGAGCGGTAAGGGATTGATCTGAAGATCGCGATTTGAGACTGCTAGATTATACCCCTATATTCCCTCGCAGGATCCCTCCTAACCCATAATGACTGTGAATTACAATACTTAGTCAACCCAGCCAAACCATAACTACTCAACTTCAATCCCACTACACTTATATCCGCCAAACGGGACAGTCGGCCCCAATTCAAAATGCGTATTCACCCACACTGTCCCAGCTTCCAATTGACTCGCCATAGCAATTGCTTTCTCAATGTCTTTACTCCAAACTGAGGCACTCAGTCCCGTATCGGTGTTATTCGCACGATCGATCACGCTGACGCTGTCCGACTCGGACCACTTTAGGAGAGGGAGGATGGGAGCGAAGGGTTCTTCTGTTACGACTCTTGGATCGTCGGGTGCTCCTCACAGGCGGTACTGGTTTGATCGGAGCTCATATTCTCAATGAGCTCTTTGCGCGCGGGTATGCTTCCTCAGTTTCTCGGTTCCCTTTCGGTTCCATGTCCAATATCAATCCAGGCACACGGTTGTGGCAGCCGTCCGATCTCAGCTCAAAGGCCAGCAACTTCTCCGCCAGTATAACCCCGACGTGGCAAAACGGGTATCTACAGTGATAGTAGAGGACATCAGCAGAGAAGGCGCCTTTGATCAGGCCATCCAAGCAGCTCCGTTCGACTTCGTGATCCACTCCACCAGTCCCCACTACTACCGTCCCGGTAATCCCGAGGAGGACATGCTTCGACCTGCTATCCGTGGCAAACTATCTAGACTCACTGAACGATGTCAACACATCCAAATCACGGATCCGGGACATCATCCTCGGCAAGTTCCGCGCTGCTATTCCACCGACTGAACTGTACTTATGGGTTGATGTTCGCGATGTCGCACATGCCCACTTTCAGGCTATCGATGTCCGGAAGCGGAAAATGAGAGGTTTATGGTGACCTCTGGGCACTACAATAACAAGGCAATTGTGGAGATTATCCGGGAAGAGTTTCCGCAGCTCGAGGAGAGACTTCCGTAGGAAGATCTGGTGGGGGATTTGCCGGCGGATGTGTATTATTTAGATAACTCCAGGTCTGTGGATGTTTTGAGTGTTGAGTATCGGGCTTTGCGGGAGTTTGTGAGAGATACTCTCGCCCTCATAGTGCGTCCTCATAGTCCCTGGGAGCCACAAGGATTAGCAGCATCGGAGAATTTGGGACGTATCAGACGATCACAGAGTCCGAGTTATATTCCCTGTGAGAATGAATTGCAGCAACCCTGTGACAACTGATTTCACGCACACCAAGCATACACCATTTCACGTGGAAATCGGATGGTCAGAGTCTCCCATTACCGGCCCGAACCCTGAGCAGCCATAGTCATTCCAAGCCCCTTTTATGTGATGCAGCAATCCAGAAGGATCTACGCATGTTCTTGACCGGGGAAAGTCGATCATTGTCTACGAATGAAGCTAGAGTAAAATAGTCAAAAGTCAAGTTTTTCTTTTTTGAACTCAGAGGGCACCACAGGCCCTAAAATCCATAGTATTTGCAGCACGGTCTATATTTAGTCATAGTTGAAGAAATAGACGAAAAAGCATTCTAATTTTCTCCCTCGTGCTCGCTCTAGGAGGGAGGTCAGAGCAAAAATCGTTCTGTCCATGAAATATAACAAAAGGCGAGATAGAATCTAGTTCTCAGGCTCTTGAAGGAAACCCTTCACCGCAGCCTCTTGAATGCTATTGAACCAAATCCAGGCCATCTTCTTGTATCCCACATCGCCAGGGTGCGTGCCATCGACAAGATCATGAATCTCAGGTCCTTCTCCAGTATACATGTCCGCAAGCACAACCCTCTTCTGACTGGCTGACTTCTGCTCAATCAAGGCCCGAATTTGGTCATTGACGCGTAAAACCCGTGAGTCGACTCTTTGGTCCGCATTGATCACCAGAGTCGATAGGATAACGGTTGACTGGGGAGACGCTAGCCAGAGATATTCAAGCAGGTCACTTGTGCGTTTCCCGAAAGCTTCAATTTCAAAGCTCTGCAGGCAGTCATTGGACCCAGCATTGACCGTGAAGATGTTTGGCTTGAGCTTTGCGACCGACTTTTTGGCTTTTTTCTCAATCTCATCGATTCGGAACCCACGCCACCCCTCATGGTCGTTAGCTTCCATAGAGCCCGTCTTTCGTGATCCCACCATGCGGATATCACAGTCGCAGGACTGGAGCAGCTCTAAAAGGGATTTTCTATAGCCGTTTAGATCCGACGATCCAACGCCTTGCGTGATCGATCCGCCTAATGGCATTAGGCGCAACGAAACGCCTGCCAAAGTTGGTGGAGACTCGCCTACACAATCGTGAGTTAGCAGACTGCGGCTAGTGAGAGTAGTTCAGCAAATCAAATTCTCTGACGACTAGACTATGGCAGACTGACCATGCGGTGTAAGGGATGAATAGCTGTGAGCCCTCTCAGGTGTCGAGAAACGAGTCACCATGTTTTTCAAAGAAGAGCGGTTGCAGAACAGAATGTCTAGGTTTGGAGATAGCGCCCGCTGCCAGGCAGAAGACAAAGCCAGCCGTAGCATTTTGTCTAGATGGTAGACGAGAGGGTTAGCTGGGCGAAAAGTGAAGAGGCCACGTCTCGGACCTCGGCGTATTGTTCCAGCCCCCGAGCGGAACAGGAGATACCAGACCGAACTACGTATTTTAAGCTGATTATTGCCACGAGGTCGAATGAAGTAAGCTGGTGAGGTCCTGATCAAAAGGTGGCCCAGATTCATTAAAATTCAGCCTTACGATCTGCCGTCCGGTCAAGGTGATCATAATATACAATCACGGCCCCCAAATGCCCTAATCATGGATCATCCCTCAACTTCCATAATCAAAATCAAGCTGATAAAAGCTCTGTGAGTCATTCTCTCTGACGGCATCTTCCAAAAATTGTGTGTCGAGCGCTGGTTGGGACAAGAGCCTCTGTAGCGACGAATCGGCCCACGCCATGGCACCCGTCAACTCCTCTCGCGGTAAATTCTGGGAAAGCTGAGACATTGTTGGTTCTGGAATGATCGAGGTTTCGAGAACACTGAGCGTCTCGGGGTGCATCATCATTTTAGTATGCGCATTCAGCGCTGCTTCAATCGCATTGACATGATGACAATACTCGTGAGCGACATGGCTCCCAGCGTCCTTGAGCTGATTTAAAAGTCGCGAGGCCTCTTCGAATGAACCGCGAACGGCCTGGTCGTCTTTTCCATCTAAGATGCTTGAAATTGCCAGGACGGTCAACGAAGAGAACAGATATTGCGTGAAAAAGCAATCAAATGTAACGAAAGAGCCGTCAATCCAAGCGTGAGTCAAAAGCTGTGTCGAATGCCGCGCACACCGAATACAGGCTTCTGACAACGCCGATGCCCCCGCAGGCACTTCGGGCGCTGATGGGGGTTGACTAGCTTCCCGCGAGGCCGCAACCTGGACCCGCAACATGTGTAGTAGAATTGGACGGGTTGCGAGAATCACGCACTGCGGAACTGTGAGTGGAAGGATCAAGATGCAGATGAAGAGATAGGGGAACAAGATAAATGCAGACCTGATGAAATGAGAGATGTAGCGAGACCACTTTCAGGTCATTTGGTCCCTCTGATGACTTGTCGAGTTGTAAGCTGGGCGGTAGCTGATCCACCCAGGCTTGGAGATCTTGCAGAGCATGGTGCACGCGGGTCGAGAATTGCCTATCCTGATGGGGTCGGCGGAGGCTGTATACAGACCGGATGACACTGGTAAAATGGCATGCCAACTTGACGCTGGCTCTCTGATACTCGCAATCAGACACATCGCTGGCAGAGTCACTATTTGCAGCCTGATCACTGAGAGATTTCTTTGATGGAAGGTCGATCTCAATCTCGTCGTCCTGGATCGCGGCCGGGTGGCCAAGATTGGCTCCCCACATGCGATCAAAGATGTACACGCTCCAGAACAAGCGTTTTCGGTGCTCCCGGGCGCTGGGGTCCGAGAGCTGTGATTCTGAGATATTAAGATGTAGGCCCGTGACTATGGTAGAGCGCATGGCCGTACCCGACAGAATGTAGGCACTATACCGCCGATTGAGTGCCAGGGAATATATTGACTTGATCACAATTAGCAGCAGATTAAAGAGAGAGAAAGACCACATACAAGTAGCAAAAAAGTCTCGATAGAGTCCATTCCAGGGCGCTCTTCGAAAAAGCCGAGCATTTTTGATGCCTGTGCAAAGTATGCCATGCCCGGGTAACCCTGGATAGAGGCAACTTTCGCTGCATAAAGCTCTCCAATGGCGAAAAGCGCCCAGAACTTGCAGCGAAGCACCGGCCCGCCCCATGTAGGATCAAGAAAGATTTGAGTCAGTTGTTCGATCACCGTACCTGGGTGAACAATGCAATAACAGCGACTGATGTACTTCAACGAAGCTTCTATCAGGAACCTTGCTCTTGATTGACTGGGCCAGGCGGCCCCCGACTCCCCCACAGCCATCAACGTTTCATTGTTTGCGTAATTGACGCGAAGAAGATGAGAGGGCTCGGGGACCCGGGGATCAGATATGACCTGGCGAAACCGGGTCGCAAATGCCGTGTCGGCAGCTTCGCCGATGAGTATCGGAGTATGAAACACATTTCGATTATCAAACCAGGGTCTATAGCTGAATGTTGGATTTATTCCCCGTTCTTCATGCTCGGCTGGTTCGAGATCGGGCCCGGGTGGTAGAGACCGTGGAGTATGTTCGATATGACTTTGGCTCGGATCAGGGGGATGGCTGTCCTGGGTGTGCCCGGCATTCACCTGCCCCTTGAGACGGTCGATCTCCTCGAAGAGCCCATTAATGAAACTGCAACCCGTCAGTACTATTCCATAGCGCCACATCTGTACTAATCGCTGATTGATCGACCTTTCGGTAACTTTGAGGGTCCGGTTGCGCTGAGGGTATGAGCACAAGGTGCCTTTCTCGGCCTGTAGGCAGTTTTGGCAAGGTTTACCCCCGGGGCACTTGATCTTCTTCCCATGGCATCGATGACATCTGTATCCATGGGGGGGGTTCGTTGTGTCAGTCAGCCACAATGCCAGAATTCTACGTCACTGCAGGCCAGCACACTGAAGGAGGCTCTCACGCGATGATTCTGTTCGTTGGCAGGAAGCTGCGAACGTGACCCGTTGCCCTGTTGTCATTTCTTGACTGCGAACGTCTCTGCATACTGTTGCAGAACGTATGCGGGTGAGCAGAGTCGTGGCCGGAGAAACGCAGAACGACCGAGATACAAGAAGACCGGGCTGTTCCATTTTATGGACCCAATCGGTCAGTAGGACAAATCCCGGGGTGGACTCGGCAGAGAAGATGCGGTGCCGAACGTTGGACCCCACCCTTCGGGATCGATGTGCAACCTCCGCCGACACAGACACAATAATAGTCATGTCGGAGAACCAAGTTCAGGAACAAATTCCATGGATTCGTTTCATTCCCAATGTCCAAGAGCTGAGCCGCGTCAACCTCTGGCAGCACCGGTCTTCGGAATTCAGCCGTTCGCCTAGTTGAGGTTTCAACTTTCAACGGCCGAGCAGCTTTCGCCCGAGGTGGATGCGATATCAAAATGCTTGATATTGACAGTGTCCTGCGCGGACGCCTGCGTCAATGTTGTTCAACATCCCCTTCGTCAAGACTACCTCTGACAAGCCTGGCAAAATGGAGTACTCTCATCACCTGAACTCTAAACGTTTTGACAAGAACGCCGAGTCCGAGGCAGCTGTGTGTATGCAAAACCTTGCCAACTGGGCACCGGCTGTCGATGAGATTCGCACCTGGCCTGAATATACTCCTCAGTCCCTACATGCACTCCCTGGCCTCGCCAAGAAAGTAGGCATTGGCCAGCTCTTCGCGAAAGATGAGAGCATGCGATTCGGCACGGCTCTAGGGTCCTTCAAAGCGCTGGGCGCACCTTACGCTGTGTACAGAATCTTGGTCGACGAAGTCTATTCGAAGACAGGAGTGCGGCCATCTTCTGCCGAGCTACGTACTTCGAAGTACCGCGATATCACTCAACAGGTGACCGTTTGCGTCGCCACGGATGGCAACCAAGGCCGCGGCCTTGCTTACGGGGCTAAGACCTTTGGGTGTCGCTGTGTTGACTATATCCACGGCCATGTCAGCGAAGGTCGTGCCAAGATTATGAAGGAGCTCGAGGCAGTGGTGATTCGGATCGATGGCGAATACGAGGCATCCGTGGCTCGAGCCAAAGAAGACGCCCGTATGAATGGATGGTACTTTGTGAGCAGCACATCCTGGTCCGACTTCGACAATGGCATTCCTCAGCACGTCATGAATGCGTACATGGTGGTCCTCGAGGAGGCACTGGGCATGATCCCGTCGGTGGACAAGATCACTCACGTTTTCGTTTGCGGCGGCGTAGGAAGTATTGCGGCAGCGATCTTCCAGGGGTTTTACCGAAGTTTCCTCCAAATTTTCCAGACAACCATCACCACCCCCTCTCACAGCTTCCCACGGTTCATCGTCGTTGAGCCAAAGGAGGCGGACTGCCTGTTCCAAAGCGCTAGGAATGGAGAGACACGCCAGTCTGAGGGAACACTGCACACTGTTATGGCTGGTTTGGCCTGCCGCGCACCGTCTCCTGCCGCCTGGAAGGTACTCACTTGGCTCGCTAGCGACTTTGTTGCAGTACCTGATTCCGCTGCGGTGGAGGGCATGAAGGCGTTGGCGAGTGGAAGCGAGGGTGATGTTCCAGTAGTTTGCGGAGAATCCTCGGCGGCTAGCTTTGGCGTCATGCTGGAATCAGCGACGGATACAAATTTGCGGGAGAATCTCGGTCTGGATGACAGTAGTCAGGCCATCTTTTTCGGGCTGGAGGGGGCTACCGATCCGTCGATTTATGAATATCTTGTCGGAAAGTCTGCTCAGTCTGTTTTTGAGTCCCAAGGACGCTTTTCAGCCAGAAACTCGGACTACACGTCCAGTATCTAGGCCAACCACACCGTTGTTTAATATTATTGTTAGACTAGCTATAATAATTTCGATAGAAGTATTGAAATACCTGGCACCAGAAGCCAGACCACTCTTCCCACCTACATTGGTCTTTGATTGCGAGTGTCCGCTATACATAGTATGACGACTGCAGAACTTGGTCAATGTAAAAGTGCCCAGAACGGAGAGACTATTTGCGTGCCTAAAAGCCCTAGAACAGTCCCCGGAGTAGACTCTCGGTGAACGTCCGCCGGAGCCGGCAACGGTCACCGACAAGGTTGCCCTTCCTCGCTATCAAGAAGATGTCTGTCCGAAATGGATCGCCTTTCAGTTCTGAGGGTATACCAAATGCCTTGGAACTGGAGGTCGCAAAATTCCAACACTCACAATTCCTCCCTTTTATCTGCCCTCCGTTGTCTGACAGGGAAGGAGTTCCGATCCTCGAGCAGTTGATTTCTCAGAGCCTCGTTGAAGTATCGCATATCACCTATCAGGATTTCTTGCCATTTTCCGCCGCGGGTATTTTTCAGTCTAAACTCCAATCCGGCAATGGAATCGGTCGACCGATGGGTACGACAGAATCTTCGTCAAACCAGAAAAGGCTCGAAGAAGCGTTAGGAATGGAGTTATTGGACCTTGACAACTGGTATGCGTGTGCTCAGCGGCAAAGCTTGGAGACGGTTAGTAAGGAGCTAGGGTTCGCTCTGGGGGGGTCTTCTGTAGCCTTCAAATGAAATGCTTTCCTATGTAGATAGATGTTGGGTACCAGACTGGCTATACATAGCCCTCTACAGTCAAAAGCCTTTTCAATTAGAGTTTTTCCTCTATTGTTAGCCATGCCAGGTCCCAGAACAAGTGTTTAAAGTGTTACACCAGCTATGTCTAGATGCCCGCAGCATATAAAGAACTTAGATAGGCTGGCACATGCTGTTCTGTAGAAAATAAATCCATAATGAAGCCAGCAAGACATTACTTGTCACTTTCAAAGAGGAACTACCAGAATTCTGCTAATGTTAGACACTCATGCAGTGGTAGTACAAGATGCATAATTTGGCAATTCACTGGAAATGCAAGAATTTTAAGAGTTCAAACACCATGTATCAAACATACATGTAGTACTAGAGCCATGAGACAGGTGATGATTGATCCTTCCATTTTCCAAGTTGACATCTCAGATCTCTGTTCAACCCCAGAGCTCAATACTACATACACATTTATAAAGACGAACTGAAAAAGAAGTTCGTCTGAGTTTTGTCACAGTGGATGCAAAAGTCTTTGTCGACAAAAATCAACAACGAGATGCCTAAGAAGACATTAGGGAAGGGGGAGACGGAGGAGGAGTCTGTATTTGGAAATGAATCAGCGCCCTCTGTCTCTTTGGTCCTATAGACGTATTTCCAGCTTTCGTGGGGGTTTAGGTAACTTCCCATCTGTGTATTGAGCGGGAGAGCACACAGTGAGCTGCCAGCAACTTAGGATGAATATGGGCATTGGTGTAAGTACTCCCGACAGCTTGATTTCTCTCTATCTCAGAGACGAACTATTAATAGAGGGGGTTTGCGCTTTGCAGTTCACGAGACCACATAGTGTCAGATGCCGTTGAACAAGTGATTTGGTCGATTTGTCGAATCTCTCATCGAACCTCATCCAAGTGTTCTTCTACGTTTCTCACCCGATCATCGTTCCATATTCGACGTCGGTTGGTCACGGTGGCTGGTATCCAGTATCTAATGCTGACAATGGAGACTACACTTCACGATATCATGATCTATTCTTCCAGTCTCAAAAACACCAACCTCAATGGCGTGTCTTCGATCTTCAACCTTGCAAACAACAAGGGTGCGAATGATACTCAGGATCACCGACAAGGTTAAAGCAACCATTCGGCTCACAGTGTCGCTTACAGTACCATTTTCTCTAGAAGTAGATCGAGCTCGGGACGAAATCAAGTGTTCTAAAATCTCGGGGAACAGTTGTTCTCGACCCCGGAGCTAAGTTCAGGCGATTGTGGTTGTCTATGGTTGAGATTATCGCGCGAGGTGATACCGCTGTTTATTTCTGATCACATAGAAGCCAGCGTTAAGTGGTTTTCACGACGCCGTTTTCTGCTACGATATCCATTCTTCACCAGCCTCATGTCTACACCCCTTCTTAACTACAGATCTAACAGAAAAGAGAAAGGAAAAAAGTATTCCCAAAATAATAGTGACACTGAGCAATTAAACAATAGCACTAGAACCTAGTTGTGCAACGCACACCAGCTCGTATAGGTACATATATATTCCATTCCATCCAGCCATATCATACATCATGTCAGTCAATTCCATGCTCGTGTCGCAGTGTTTTTCTGTGTCTTTCTGTCTTTCTTGTAAGTCTTCGTCGAATTAGGTAAATCAAAATCAATATTTTGCCATGATTATAACCTTGGTATCATAACCCCGGGCAGTGAGTGTCAAAATAAAAGCGCAAAAAGCAAATAGCAAATCACAAAGGAAATAACAAAGGAAATCGAAGATCAAAGGGGATTGGCTTATTTATCACCCTTGACCTTCTTCTTCAACCAGCCGAAGAACCCGCTCTTGCGCTTTTCGGCTTTCTCGGCCTTCACCTGTTCGGCCTTGTCCTTGCCTCCTTGTTCGACCTTGGCGAGGTTGTCGCGTGCGGATTGCTCTGCCTTGCCGGCGGCCATCTTGGCCTGTTCGGGCTTTTTGATGACGGGTTCGGGTGATTGGGCAGCCTCTTGGTCGGCTGTGGCGGCCTTATCGGCGGGTGCTGCTATTCCGGGTGCGGCGGCACCGGCGGCGGCTTCAGGCTTAGTAGGTTCAGGTTGAGCTTCGGGCTTAGGCTCGGGCTTAGTCTCCGGCTTGGTTTCCGGGACAGCCTCCTTGGGAGCCTCCTTAGGCGCCTCAACGGCCTTCTCCTTGGCAACCTCAGGAGCGGTCGTAGCAGCAGGGGCCGCGGCAGGCTCGACAGCCGGAGCGGCAGCGACAGGAGCAGCAATCTCTGGTTCCGCCACCTTTTCAGGCTGGGCGGGAACTGCTTCCGTCACTGGGGCTTCAGCAGCCTTGGTCTCTGCTGCAGCCGCAGCAGCGGGCTCAGAATCGACCGGCGCAGCAGCAATCTCTGGTTCCGCCACCTTTTCAGGCTGAGCGGGAACTGCTTCCGTCACTGGGGCTTCAGCAGCCTTGGTCTCTGTAGCAGCCGCAGCAGCGGGTTCAGCATCGACCGGTGCAGCAGCAGGGGCAACGACAGCGGGGGCCGCGGCCGCAGCTGGAGCCTCCTTGGTAGCGTTTACATCGGCCACTTCCTTGCCACCTGTAGCAATATCCTTGGACTCCTTGTGCAAGTCCTTGGTCTCATCCGAATTGAGGCCAGAAACGACCTGGCCAGCAGGCTCAGCCTCAGCCGGTTCACCCTCCACCTTGGGCATCTTGGGAGGCTTCTGCTCCTCCTTGAAGAACAGAGGGGTCTCGTAGGGGCGCTTGGCGTGGATAGCCTCGACGTTGTCAGCGGGTGGCTGTGTGGTTTCTCTAGGGCGTTCAGGAAGCGTTGTAACTGGAGCTGTCGTCTCCTCGACCGCCGGGGCAGATGGTGTCTCTACTGTCTCGGTGGGTTTGGTAACGATCTCATCAGGGGCGGAAATCAATGTCGACTCCTTGGCAGTCGCTTCAGGAAGGATGACTGTTCTCCATTAGTATAAGCATGGCGCGAATTCCAAGAGGCTGTCTCACCTGCACCCTCCTGGTCCCCTCCATCGAGAATTCCAATGTGACCCTCCTTGGAAGCCTGCACCTTGTCCACAGCCTCCTGCACACTGTCTTTCTTGACCACCTCTGCAACCTCTGGCTCGGGCTCTGCAATAGGCTCCGGCGCAGGTTCCGGCGCGGGTTCCGACACGGTCTTCTCAGCCTCCTTCACCGGTTCAACCTCCGCGGACTCAGGCGCGGCCGTAGGAATTTTCGAAGTGGTATCGGGAGCAACGATGGCGGTCGAGTCAGCCGTCGCGGAAGCAGGCGCGTCCTTGGCCTGGGTTGTCTTCTCAACTTCGCCTTCAGCCTTTGCGACATTCTCTTCGACCTGGTGACCGGGGGTTCTACACGAGTTTGTCAGCTTCTGTCCGCTAGCGCTTTCTCTCTAGAACCACAGCGCATAAGCGCAGCATGCGCGCAACTTACAAAGTCTCCTTGACATCAGTGGCGACGTTCTTGGGGGCAGCCGCCGCCGCGGCCTTGGCTTTGGACTTGGCTTTGTTCTTTCCACCTTTCTTGGGCATCTTGCTTGAACTGGGAGCTGTGTCAGTTGGAGGTCTGCAGTGATAACGCACGGACACGACAGCGATCAAGGTGGCTGTCAAGTTGCCACGTATGGGGGTGGTTTGTGTGGTGTCGCGTGGTGAAGCGCACAGAAGAGAAGGAAGTGAGATCCGGGAGGAAAAATGCGAAATATGCAGGACTTTAAGGGAACGGGACGCGACTTACTCAAAAGTGACACGCAACGGTAGGGAGAAGGGCGTTGAGAGCAAGCTGGGGAGAAGAGAGGAGGACAGAAAGAAGAAAAGAAAGGGATGGGGTTGTTTGGTTTCTGTTTTCGGGGAACGTTAATCCGGGGTCTATGCTGGATTGAGCAACGCTAGGTGTACTATACTAGTAGAGTATATAGACTGAACTGTAGGACTGTAAATTGTAGAAGAGTATCTTTATTCTGAGTGTCTGGATACAATAAAAATAGAATCTATTGCAATTATCGCCTCCATTGTGTCTTTTGAGTCAGCGCGTCCAGACCAAAGGGTTCCAACGGTTTGCCAGGGCCACAGGGCTGGAATGTAGGGACATAGTGGGTTCTGCAGTCTGCTTATGTCTACTTGTATCCGTATCTGTGTCTGCGTCTGCATCTGTGTCTGTGTCTGTGTCTGTGTCTATATATCTATCTACTGTACAAGTCTGGGTATGTCCTCTATCAATCTCTGAAAGTTCTGTCAATTTATGCATCCGGCGATCCGGTCGCGTGCCTGCAGCAGCACGAGGAGTATTCATTGGTTGTCCACGTGGGTCATGCCAGCTATACGAACCTATCCGATATATATCTGACTTGTATACACTGTGCTAGCGTTACTATATCTATTCCATACAGGAACATATTACTCAATGGGGAACCCCAGGAACGCTGTCAGGCGGATTACATCATCCTTCCGCGTTCAGGTCGATGATGATATTGAGGCTGAATAAGGATAAAGTGATGACAGCTGCCAAGTGCTTACCGGTGCATCTCTTACCTTACCAGTATTCTTGCATAGGCTGAATATATACCGACACGCAACCCTATAAAAACAAACATATAAGTGACATCATGTCTCACGTTCACCGCAATCAGAAGACAGGTCATATCTGGAGTACCCCAGATGGAGTTACAGCACTGTTCTCGTCTACATGTACAGCTACTCAGAATAATAGTAAAATAAATACACAGCAAAAACAAAAACAAAAACAAATGACCGACGCAGGGGTCGAACCTGCAATCTCTTGATTCGTAGTCAAGCGCCTTACCATTGGGCCAGCCGGCCTTATTGGTACTTCGTAACCCCAATTTAATATATGTACCAATCACAAAAAGAACCACCGGAAGAAGCGTGCCGAGTGGAGGCGCTGGCGGGGCAGAGCGCATTGGCACCCACCGAACTAAGCCGGTTTAGGGTGGAAAAGTGACGTTGGAGTTCTAGTCCTCTTCGACAAACCATGGTCCGTATTGTTACGATAACGTACGGTACCTTGGATGTTCTCTGCTGGCCTTGCCGATCGGAATGCGTTGGCCATTCTGGAATTCTTCTTTGCATTGCCACCTGTTCTCTGTATCTGTTATCTGTACGAGTACGAGTACGTACAGTCAAGTCAGATCTTATTCTATAATTACTTGTAGAAATATACAGAAGTAGAATAAGAACATCTTCTAGTACCCGTGGTATCGGTATCATATTCTAGAACCTAGTGCAATTGCAACATTGTGGGATGTTGCATAGGGCGTATTGTAACTTTGGCCGATTACCCTATGGGGCAGCACGGATACCGTACCATACAGTACGTAAAGAGTAAGTCCGGAATCTCCGCCCGCTTATCGAGGATAATGCGGGATTATGACTACGCTCGATTACTATTCTGATTCTTATTGCCCAGATTTCCTCTTCTCTTCCTCTGTTCCTCTGTTCTCCTCTCTTCCTGTTCCATTCACTCTAAAGACACTCTCCTCTCCATATTATTATTCTGTATACTCACAGCGATGATCCCACGGGATTCCCGCTGCATCGTTCTTCGCCTGTGCTTGCACACCCTCCCCCGCGTCTCCCTGCTTGGGACTCGTCTGCTTCCGTAAAGGGCTCCGACTTGACGCTATTCGTTCTCGTCTCGATTATCTAGACTCGACTCGCCCTGTATCCCTGTCACCTATCATTCCTTTCCACCATATTCAACGACACAATCAGAATGGCGCTTCGAGACAGAGTTAAACGAGTTTTCCGCCGCTCCTCCCTCACGGCCGCCCCCAAGACCAACCGGAATGGCATCAAAATCGAATACTACCGTCGCAATGAGGTTCCCAAGTCGAAATTCAAGGGGCCGTTCGATCCAGAGCACCAAAAACAACTGGCAGCATGGTCTTTCCAGACGGCCACGGCTGAGCGTCCACGTTCGCAAGATCTTTCACTCTCCCCGTGTACCTCGTTACCCGACTACATGAGACCGCCGCAACAAAATCGACCCCAGGAGGATGAGGAGGTTGCCCCGGATCAAGTGACAGAAGAGCCTGCTCCGGATGCAGATGTCATGGACAGTAAGTTTTCTATGTACTTGGCTTTGTTTATCAAAAATATTGACCAATTAGCCTCTCCTACTGTCACTCAGGTTGAAGACACCCAACGCCAGGCGGATGGGGGTTCGCAATCTTCCACCATGGTCAATCCCGATAGTTACAGCGGTTCGATGATGACCCTGCTTCCCGAAAACCACCGAGACGGTTCGATATGCAACATCAAGGAAACCGTTCGTTACACTTCTCCCGTCTTACGAACCGCATCTCCCCCGCCCATGTCGCCCAAGAGTGCCGCCTACATGCCATTCTCTCCTGACGATCTGGCACGAGCGTTGAACGCAGTGCAGATCTATTAACCAATTACATCCTTTTATTTGTGACATTATCAACCATTGGCATTCCCGCGGACACTGGTGTACGCTGTATTCCTTTTACGACTGATCTGTCCGACTTCGAACTCTGGGCATTATTTTTTATGACTTACTGTACCGCTTCAGATCCGGTAAAGGCGTGAACTGGCGTTGCTTGCATTGTTTGTCGTTTGACAAGCACCCCTTGGCTTTTTGTTTGCTTTGCTTTACTTTGCTTACGCATGCATTCGAGCGTGTATACCCGTGATGGATTTTCTTTTTGTTTCAGTCATGCATGCATGGTCCGAGTCGACCACTGCCACGCAATTCTCTTCGCTGTATCTATGCTGCTAGAATTTAGATCGTACTTGAATTTACACATATATCTTCAAGAATTAACATTACCCCATATTACTCCGTACTCGTACTCCATATCCGTGCACAGATAACTAGCAGATAGTACTTTGTTAACCCGCCAGCACCGACCATTCTCTGCCCCGGCTAACACCCCCATTCTCCATTCTTGGCAACTATCACCCCCGCCAAGACGATAGCAACCCTCGTTGGTCGCCTAGCACCTGACGTGCCAATCGCGATCGACCGGGCGAACTTTGTCGCTAGGAGGCATAGTTTATTTAGTACCTGATAGTCTAGACTTAGGGGTTGTTTGGTGGTTATAGGTAACTATCGATGGGTACTATGTACGTATTATGTATGTGTACTGTGTGTAGAGAGGGGACGGGGTTCGATGGGGTCCTACGAGTATGAGGGAGGGGTATCGGGGTCGAGGCTAGTTGGATAGTTGGGGATAATACGAATACGAAGACGGAGGGCTTCCGAGGGATCTGATTGTAAATACTATGTGGGAACAAAATGAATTGAATGGATATCTAACTTTTAACCAATCATGACTCTCATCGGATATATACCCAGCAGCTCTATACAAACAGAACACACGGTACAAGCAACACAGAGAAAATGCGTGTTTACTCCTCCTGCGTAACAGTCATATCCAGAACCTCCACCCTACCCCTTCCACGAGTCTCATTACTCACAAACTCATTCAAGCCCTTGTAAGCACCCGGATCCGCGAACCCCACGACTTCCCATTCATCACCACCGATGACCTCTTGTGTCTCGACGGATTCGATGTAGCTCAGGATCTTGTCTTTAACGGTGCCGGGCTGTTTTGTTGGTGTTTCTGCGTCGGAGTCTTTTGCGGATTGTTTCGATTCCTTTGCAGGTGGTGCAGGTGGGTCGAATTCATCGTCGGAATCGCCCTTGCGTGATTTCTTGTTGCCTTTCCCGCCCTTCTTGTTCTTTGGTTTCGATGATCCTCCGCCGCTAGATGGCTCTTCTTTCTTGTTTGCGCCGCCGTCGTTGGCCCCGGGAGCAGCCTTGATAGCTTGCTTGAGTAAGTTCACAGGACAAGTAATCCGTAGACGCATACGAGCCCGCATAACAGGAATCGGCTGCCACGCAATAAGCGCCTTCATAGCCTCCAATGCCTGACTCTTCGCCGACTTATTCGGATCAACGCCCCTCCACAACGGTTTCCGCGGCGCCGCCGGCCTCCCCTCCTCACTCGCAGCTTCCGCCTCGGCACTCTGCACCTGCGCCTGCTGCCCACTCGCCGAACTTAGCTGATCCAACGCCTTCGAAATCATCCCCGACGTATAAACCCTCTTCGTCCCCGGATCGACTAACCGCCCGGACACAATATCCAGCATCTCCTTCTCGACGCGCTCTTGGATATCTTTGCGCTCGCGCTCGCCGACTTGCACTTCGCCTTTGCGGAGGATTTCTTGCCGGATTTCGTCTTGGGGGACGGAGGGGCCGAAGGATTTGGATAGTTCGGCGGAGGGGGCGGTTTGGGCTTTTGAGACGGAGAGGAAGATTGTAGGGACTTGGAGGACGTTGTCGAGGTCTTTTTCGGCGCCGGAGCGGTATTCTAATAGTTTGTTTTTGTAGCAGGCGAGTTCGAAGCGTTTTTTGCCTGTTCATTCAGTTAGTATCTGATGGGTATAGTAAGAGGGGAGAGGTGGGCGCACCCTTCTTCAGTCGCACGACTGAGACGTTGGTGAATTTGATCTGGTTGGAGGGTTGGTTGATAGGCATTTTGGCGTTTAGAGACGTGCTATCTCTCTCTGTTGACAGTACTTCGTAGAAGGATACCTGCTCAAAAATCAAAAATCATAACTAACTACAATGACGCAGGCCTGACTCAGCCGGATGCGCTGTTTATCCGCCAGCCACCGTCCTGAGCGCTGATTGGCTGCCTCCCTATCACCTCGGGCATTTTGTTGGAGTCGTCATATCCGATCCGGCGTCCATCTCATCATCTGACCTCCTCTTCCGTCTCTTCTATTTCACCCTTTCCTCTCTCCCTCTTCATCTTCATCTTCCATTCAGTCATTGGATGGTTCATCAATCAACTATCTATCTGTGATTAACTACACTGTATGTTGCCTACCCATCTTCCCTAGGTTGATACAGATACTGATAAGCTGCCTACGATCTAGACCGCCAAGGTCCCTTCGTGCCTGGTTTCGTGTTATCCAGCCAGGTCATCATCCTATCCTCACGATCATCAATAATCGAGTCAAGTCCACACAATGAGACTCCTCCCAGCTACCATGCTGGTCGGCGCGGCCACCGCGGCTGCCCCCTTCCAGCAGATCATCTCCTCGCCTAAGAAGGCCTCGGAGAGCCTCTCCGAGAGCCTCTCCAAGCCGCTCCACAACTTCCAGGAGCAGCTGGAGAACCTGTCCGACGAGGCTCGCAACCTCTGGGACGAGGTCTCGGCCAAGTTCCCCGAGACCATGGGCCACAACCCGCTCTTCTCGCTGCCCAAGAAGCACACTCGTCGTCCGGACTCCCATTGGGACCACATTGTTCGTGGTGAGGATGTTCAGGGTGTGTGGGTTACTAATGAGAAGGGTGAGAAGGAGCGCGAGGTTGATGGGAAGCTTGAGGCGTATGATCTCCGGGTTAAGAAGACGGATCCTGCTTCTTTGGGGATTGATCCTGGTGTTAAGCAGTACACTGGGTACTTGGATGACAATGAGAATGACAAGCATTTGTTTTACTGTGAGTGAACCGGCCATCCTATGAAGTTGTGCAGTACTGATTTGCCAGGGTTCTTTGAATCTCGCAACGACCCTGAGAATGACCCCGTTGTTCTCTGGTTGAACGGTGGCCCTGGCTGCTCGTCTCTCACTGGTCTGTTCCTGGAGCTGGGTCCTAGCAGCATCGGTGAGAACATCAAGCCGATTTACAATGACTATGCCTGGAACTCCAACGCCTCCGTCATCTTCCTTGACCAGCCTGTCAACGTCGGATACTCGTACAGTGGTTCGCCCGTCAGTGACACGGTGGCTGCTGGCAAGGATGTCTATGCCTTGCTCACTCTCTTCTTCAAGCAATTCCCTCAGTATGCGAAGCAGGACTTCCACATTTCTGGAGAGTCATACGCTGGTCACTACATCCCTGTCTTTGCTTCCGAGATCCTGTCTCACAAGAAGCGTAACATCAACCTTAAGTCCGTCCTGATTGGTAACGGTCTCACCGATGGTCTTACCCAATACGATTACTACCGTCCCATGGCTTGTGGCGATGGTGGCTACCCGGCTGTCTTGGACGAGTCCAGCTGCCAGTCCATGGACAATGCTCTGCCCCGCTGCAAGTCCCTGATTGAGACGTGCTACAACACCGAGAGTGCCTTCCTGTGCGTACCCGCTTCGATCTACTGCAACAACGCCCTCATTGGCCCTTACCAGCAAAGTGGACAGAACGTCTACGATGTCCGCACCCAGTGTGATCCTGGGACCGACCTGTGCTACAAGGGCATGGACTATGTCTCTGAATACCTGAACAAGCCCGAGGTTCGTGAGGCCGTCGGTGCTGAGGTCCAGGGCTACGACTCGTGCAACTTTGACATCAACCGTAACTTCCTGCTCCACGGTGACTGGATGAAGCCTTACCACCGCCTGGTCCCCGACCTTCTCGAGCAGATCCCTGTCCTTATCTACGCCGGTGATGCTGACTTCATCTGCAACTGGCTGGGCAACAAGGCCTGGACCGAGGCTCTCGAGTGGCCCGGCCAGGAGAAGTATGCCGCTGCCTCCTTGGAGGACATTGAAGTCGTGGACAACGAGAACAAGGGTAAGAAGATCGGCCAGGTCAAGTCCCACGGCAACTTCACCTTCATGCGTCTCTACGGCGGAGGCCACATGGTTCCCATGGACCAGCCCGAGGCTGGCTTGGAGTTCTTCAACCGCTGGATCGGCGGTGAATGGTCCTAAGCTGGTCGCAGTACAGCTAGACCACGGCATTGACAATGTATTTTGACATTGTCATGCTCGCTCATGTGTACACATTGAATTTGTTTTATGGTTTGCAATGATGGCTTACTGATATGGTTGAATGTCATTACTACAGATACGTTCGGATTTTCATAGCTGCAATGAATGGATGGATGATAAGATTTGATACGTGTATCTTGTACTATGTAATTCGTAGTCGGCTGTATTGGATTGATCGGAGTCTTCCGACCGGGCTAGACTTGATATAATCCGAGCGTACTATGGCGAATGTAGATAAGATGCCGACTTCCATGATATCGACTGGCATACAGGTATCTATATTGTAAGATGGTTTTACAGAGGTCCACTCGGCAGGGCCAGACTCATGGCTAGTAAAGCTCTAGACTAGATAGAGTCGAGCACGAGACCATCGTCTGCAGTGTACGTAGCCATGCTACAGCGTCCATACCGTAGAACAACAAGACAATAGACAAAGGAAGCGTATTTGAAGATCTTCATTCATAAAGGTATGCTTTTCGCTTTTTGACCAGGTCATTAATCCATTCTACAGATCCCAGTCCGTCCCAGTCCCCATGAAAACCGTCGGCACCAACGTACATAGTCCTGTAGCCCATCAAATAACACCGACGAGTGACAAAATCACGAAAAGGAACTTGATATTGAAAAAAATTGAATTGTTTTGATATGACCCTCTCGAATGTCGTACACAAAAAAAGAATAAAGCGAAATAATTTAGCCCTTCTTCTTGCTGACACCGACGGTACGGCCACGGCGACCGGTAGTCTTGGTGTGCTGACCGCGCACACGCAGACCCCAGTAGTGACGCAGACCACGGTGGGAGCGGATACGCTTGAGACGCTCGAGATCCTCACGGACCTTGCTGTCGAGGGAGTTGGAGACGACCTGGGAGTCCTTGCCGTCGGCGATGTCGCGCTGTCTGTTCAGGAACCATGTGGGGATCTTGTACTGGGTGGGGTTCTGGAGGATGGTGACCACACGCTCGAGTTCTTCGGTGGTGAGCTCACCGGCGCTGCAATCGTTAAAATTAGCCTTGGTCCCTCTGCCATTCCCGTGTTGTCCTCGTATCAAATTCCCGTAGATTTCAATCTCGAATTCACGTATTCTGTATCGGAGACGACGTACCGCTTGCTGAGGTCAACATCGGCCTTCTTGCAGACCAAGTTGGAGTAACGGCGACCAACACCCTTGATCTGGGTCAAGGCGATCATGATCTTCTGCTTGCCGTCAACATTGGTGTTGAGCAGACGCAAGATGTACTGGAAGTTCGTCTTCTCGTCGGGCACGAGCGCTGTCATTCAATCCGTTAGCTTCCCTTCCTTTTTCGATATCAATATCCCCATCCAAATTCCACATGTCCATAATCCCACAACACAACAAAACACCCTCCAAATTCCGCGACAAAAACACCAAATCCAACAACGGCAAAAAGGCGAGAGCAACGAGAGCAACGTACACATGATGGGCGATGGGCGCGACGGTACGCGATGGGTTGTCGACAGCGAGAGGGATGGAAGGAGAGGAGGTAAAAGTCGGCCGCTGGGCTTTGCCAACTTTGCTTTCCCCGATTGTGGGATCGGGTAAGCAGCTCACTAACCGCATCGGGAATGGTGCGCTGAGGGCTCGCTTGGAGGAGCGCTAATACCGAAAGGGTTAAATTGGTGGCCTGGTTAGTCAGCGCACGTGACTTTGGTGCCCTGCTTTTGGTCTCGTAGAACAACTGGTTATTGTTGTTCTTTCTGGTCTCGTAGATGGTTATTGTTGCTTTAATCTAGCTCCTCATTATTCCCTACAAATACATTCATTAATACTGTTTGTTTTGGATTGCTTTCGGCAGAACTAAAATCAAATAATATCATTGCTCGTGTTTCAACAATGCAACAAAGCAATTACCGTACAATGAATCTCAAGTGCTGTCTTTTCTTTCAAGAACGAATTGTCGACATAATGCTTCCATCGAACTCGTTGTTTCTCTTATTTTGGGGTAGAAACAATAACAGAACAAAGGCTTTCGTGTCCTGAAAGACGTGGCCCATTGCATACTTCCTATGGATCGAGATTCATCTGAATCCACTGATACTTCTTTCATGTCATTTCCTTGTCTATACAATAGCCTGGTGCTAGTCATTGAATACTTAAGTATCTGATATCTAGTGTCACTGCTCATCGTCTTTAGAAGTCTAAACTTGCTGGTGCAAAACACTCTTCTACAGATCATTCTCAGGCTTGCTGTGCAAACAACAATCGTCTTAACAAACGCCAAACTATCAACTATCAGCTAGCAAAATGGATCCCAACGTCCCCCTAATCCTCCACCGTGACCCACCCCTCAACTACCCCCCCCTTCAACCTAAACACCCTCCCCAACCCTCCCCGCCCAATCTCTCTTTGGGGCCAAAGCCCCGAAGAAGTCGCCAAAGAAATTCCCCGCCCCGTCGTCGACGCAATCTTCACCTTCCACTTCTGGGGCATAACCCCCTGCGTCTACGGCCGCGTGACCAGTGCCCGGATGCTACGCGCGTTGATGAAGCTGTTTCATCATATGGATGAGATGCATAAGCCGAGGAGCTGGGTGGAAGTTTGTGATTTTACGAGGGATGCCGGGCCGAGATTGCTTTCTTGTGCTGTTGCGAGGGGTGTTTTGCCTGTTAGTAGGTGGTATTCGGACCCGCCGGTGCTTGATGTGGGGACGGGCGTTGGGTTTGTGAGGCCGGGCCATGCGTCGAAATTGCTGCCGGATGTGTATGTGGAGAGGATGTTGTTGAGTTCTTCGGTTGTGCAGGGTGATTCGACAGATGCAGGCCAGGATGGTAAAGGTGAGGAGAATGGAAATGGCGACGCCCAAATGCAAGATGTGACCATGACTGACCCTACATCCAGCTCCACCGATGTCGGCAGCTTCATCCATCTCCCACCCGTCCAACACCATCCCGTGTTCGAAGCAGTCGAAAGAGCCGTCATGCAGTTCGCCTACGCAGACCTCGAGCGCGATCCCACCGCAGCTCCTAGATCCCCTCGTCCACAGCTCCTCGCTACATCCGAAGACGACCTCTACAAATCAATCGTCTCCTCTGTCCCCGCTACATCCAAAGTAGCCATCAGCAACACAATGATCAACAAGGTAAGTTTCAGCCCAACCAGAAACCCCTTTCCCTACCGCGGCCGCGGCCCCGTATGGCAAAACAACTCGTGCGCCGTTGACTGCAATCGTCGTAGGTAGGCTCCTCGACGCCGGATCTACAGTCTACGACCGCAAAGAACCAGGCTGGAACATTCGTCTCTCCCGCGCAGAAAAGACCTTCATCGACGCCACAGACGCAAACTGGGACGTGCTCTCCCGCGACGAAAGCACCACCCTCCGCGATACTCTCTGGAACGTACTCGCTGAAGAATCCCCCGCGGTCAGAGTCGGCCGGTTCAACTCCGTCTGGAGCGTCTGGGCCGCGGCCACATCTAACATCCGCCAGTTCCAGCTCTCCTGCGTCGAGACGATAATACACTGTTCGTGTCGCCGAGCATACCAAGCCCCATCGACATCGACTTCCTTCCAGTCATCCTTCGTCACGCCACCTGTCCACCCCAACGACAAAGACGGCGTCTCCATCCAAGAAGTCATCTCCCGCCCCTTCGCACCGGGCTCTCTATCTCCCTGCCGCGACTGCTCCCTCGAAGACGCAGTTATCCGCGAGCGACGAATCACATCCCTCCCGCTCCGCATGATCGTCACCCTCGACGAGCACGTAACCGTCAACAACCACACACAGGACTTTTCCTTCTCCTACCTCGACGCCAATGGTGTGCCCCAAACCGCGACTTACCGCTGGCTCGGGGGCGTGTACATGCACAACAACCATTTCCGCGTATGTTGGACGGATGAAGAACGCGGGGAGGCTGGTGAGGGTGCGGTGAAGATGTACGATGGGATGCAGAACGCGGGACTTATTGTTGGTGGTGTTGGGCCTTATCGGGCTGATGAGAGGGTGCCGCCGAATTGGTTCTGTGGGAGGACTATTCCGTTACTTGTTTATGAGAGGGTTATCGATCCGCAGCCGGAGGTGTTGAATAGTGCTATGCATGCGGTCTGTGGGATGATGAATGCGTCTGTTGCGGGCGTGCCGGTTTTAAATGGTCATGTTCCGTGGGCTGCATCGGGAAAGGCTCAGGTGCAAGGTAAAGTGTGGAATCCTATCCTGCCGACGTTTGGAAATAAGTTCCAGGTTATTCCTACCCCTTACAACCCACCCGTCACCATTGACGACACCACTATCACATCTACAGCTGATTTCCAGACCCTACCCCAGATCCAAGACCAAACCCACCCACCAATCCCCTCAATCGAAAGCTCCCACACCCTATCCCTATCACCCCCCAACCCCTTCACCATCGACCCCCAAGCAACCCTAACCACATCCACCTCCCCATTCAAAATCTCCACCACCCTACCGGTAAGCATTCCCATAACCCAGCGCCTAAACCCCAGCAACAGCGCCTTTCTGCCCAGCGCAGACCCCGAACTAACAGGCATCGCCGGACCAGCGAGTATGACTCCTGGACCTAGGTGGTACGCGCCGGGTGGGGTTTTGTGGATTCCGACGCCGCCGGAGCGGGAGGGACAGCAGGAGATGAAGATGGAGATGGAGGGGCAGGAGCAGGAGCAGGACAGGGAGGAGGTGTCGCCGGAGTGGGACGCTTGGATTAGGATGTCGCCAGATGTGCAACTGGGGGTTGTTAGGGTTAGTAGCCCTGGGAGGGGGAGGAGGACTGGGGGTAAAGGTGGGAAGGATAAGGATTCGAAGGGGAAGAAGGTTGTTCAGGGGAGGGTTGAGAAGAAGGGGAAGGCTTAATTGTTTTCTGTGCTTTGCTGTTTTTTTTTTTTTTTTTTTTTTTTTTATATATATATGCATTTTTAATTAACATCGTAACTAGTTAGTACATATATACTTAGGTAAATAGACTGGCAGATGATTATATTGTATAGCAACATGGTATTCTAAATTTAACGTGTATCCCAACCTGTACATCTAGCATTACCTCTAAAACCTGAAACCCAAAATAACAAAGAAAGATTATAACTTGGCGCGCACCGGCCCTGTAGCAGTATCACTCTTCTTCGGAGCAGAAAGATATCCACCCTTGACATTGTCAGTGTTGACAACAGCATCCTTCTCATCCCGCCGAATACCAAGCTCAATCAACTTAGCAAACACCTTGGCGAAATCCTCAAAAAACAAATCCTTATCCTCCGCATACTTCTCAACCCACGTCCTAAACGACGGATCCTCAATCAGCGCAACATCAGTCGGCAACATCATCAACGGCTCCTCGTCCTCCTCCAGATCCGGATCCGCATAAACAAACTGACTCACCCCATTAGGCAAAGTCTTCCTCGTCCACTTCAACTTCAGCAACAACTTGAAAAACTGATTCGAAAACCTTGTCGGATTATTCACCCACGCCCCATGGAATCCACTCCGATCAATATGCGCGCGCCCCAGATTATGTGCCCCGGCCAACGCAACAATCTCCCGATCATCAAACCCCATCCGGTTGAAGATAAACCGCAAATGCTCCGCCCCCTGCGCACCATCAGGCAGTCGTCCACGAGGCGGGACCTTGGCGTCATCGACTAGATCCGTGCGGCCGGGCTTCCATGGGATCTCGGGCCCGCCCATCTCCTGGATCGCCACGGCGCCGGATAGTGTCCATAGGTCGGAGTATGTGATCCAGGGGTGTTTTTGCTTGACGGGTTCGAGGAAGGCGCGGCCGTGTTGGAGGCCAGCGTTGGCTGGGTCGCCGCCTTCGGCTTCGTAGCGCATGCCCGCGCCGTTGGAGCCGCCTGTGTCGGTTGCGAGGTCGTAGGTGCCGGAGGAGTGCCTGTTGCGATTGTCGCGTTAGTGTTGATTGGGTTTAGAAGGGGGGATGGGATGGGGAATTACCAGGCCAGGCGCACGAATACGGGACCGGTGCTGCCGTCATCGTAGTCTGGTTTCTTGAGTTGAGCGACGATGTCCTTGCGGACCGCGTCGTAGTCTCCGGGGGTGCTCATATCGGCCGAGAGATAACAATGAGATAGGTGTCTTTAGTTGAACAAGAGAGGTGAAAGAAAACAGAATAGAAAATGGAGGATATATTCAGAGAGATTCTTCAGTTAAAAGAAAAGAGAGGATGAAGAAAGGACAATTGCCATCGATAACTCTTTTCCCTTTCTTCCACATGAAGCGTGGATCCGCGGGTCTCAAATGCCGAGGTACCGGAGTTGCTACTATTACTACTACAGTGTACTTGCACTATGCAGTACTCTGTAAATGCAGTTGATACAATAAAGGCACAGTATTGCTAATATAGAATTCTAGATCTATTAGAAAAGCCTAATCATATGCTTCTGCATAATCCCTGTTCTTGCAGGGTTCAAGCGTGTTTCTCTGGTACTTTTTGTATGACCAGAAACCGACGCGCTCTGATTGGTCGAGGGGACCTCGGTAATCGGGTTGCCGAATACGGATATCACGGGGTATGGGGTAGCCCCATACAACTACGGAGGAATGGATAGCGTAGAGAATTGAATAGGATAGCAGGTTTTCTTTGCGTATTAACGCTTGCTATGGTCTATAGGGGCCACAATGGTGGTGAAAAATGCTGTATCGTCTCCGTATCTGCTACTACGGAGTGCCCGAGATATATCCCTCGCCACTAACCAAACCCTGGATATCCACGGATCCTGCGACTCCAGATTTGCTTAGATATAGTTCCGATTCATGTGACTAGCAATCGCCGGGAAGCAAAAGCCGGAAAAGAGACCACCGTATGGGAAATCTATTGTATAGTATCCGTACATCCCTCATATAGCCTTTATCGAAGCACTGGGGTTGTCACGGAGGCCAATCATTTGCCCGGCGAGATAAATTCCAAGTGACAGGAAAGATGATATTGAGTAGCATGTAGATTCCAATTTTGCGATTTCAAAAGTACTATACAGGATTAGCAAAACACTTTATAAACCTTTTTCCATACCGGCCACGCCGCCTGCTCAGCACGCTCCTCCTCAATCAAATACTGAATATCCAAATCTCTCCGCCCAGTATGCAAATCCATATCCTTCGCGCGAATAAACGGCGTGCGATAATATATCTTATAAGGAATATAAAACGCCAACACAACTGGTGCAGCTAAATACACGGAGAAGAAATTATAAACTCTCTCCGAGGCAGTCATCTCCCCATACGCAACCGGCGCAAATCCAACCCAGAACTGCGCGACAAGCACCAGGCAATTCAGGATGAATCCAGCATATGAACCGACGATTCCTGGTTGCGAGCGGAATGGTAATTCATTTAGGGAGTGCCCTTGTAGTTTCCAACTGCGGCGGAAGCGAATGTGGCATAGACATACTGAGGCCCAGGTGAAGATGGAGGAGAGGCCGGAGATGGCTAACATCCATTCAAAGGCGACGGCCTGTTTATCGGAGGCGGCTAGGAAGGCTAGGAGGCCGAATGCGGATACAACAAGTAGGGACCATAAGGGACGGCCCTTGCGGTCGATGTATGCTAGGAATCGGGGTGCTTGGCCTTGCTCTGCTAGGGCTGCGAGGGTTCGTGAGGATCCGTAGACAGAGGAATTGCCGACTGATAGGACTGCGATCATGATTACAACGTTCATGATGGAGTCGAGGACTGAGATGCCGGCGTTCTTGATTGCAATCACGAATGGTGAGGCGCTGGCGTCGGCATCGGAATTGCCTGACATGAGTTTCGGATCATTGTATGGCACCAGAAGGCCCACAATGGTGAGAGATACAAGGTAGAACAGAATAATGCGCCAGAAGACCTGTTTAATAGCCGTTGGAAGAGCTTTGCGTGGGTTGGCAGTCTCAGCGGCGGTTAGACCAACAAATTCCGTGCCTGCAAATGCAAATGCAGCTTTGGCAAAGACACTGCAAAGACCTTTGAATCCGTTGTTAAAGGCTCCTGGGTTCTGCCAGTACCTCCCACCAATATACTCACCCTGAGGACCACCGCCACAATTAAGAACAATGCCAAGGATGCTGTCGCCCTCTGTCAGTCCAGGTTATATCCACAACATAGGGCAAAACTCACATAAAACCAACCACGGCAACAACCTTGATTAAAGAAAAAGCAAATTCTGCTTCACCATAGCCTTTGACACCAAATAGGTTAATCAGTATAATCAATATCCAAAATATCGCAACCCATGCAGCATTCGACACGTTGGGATGCCAGTAATCGACAGTTATTGAAGCAGCAACGATTTCCAACGGAAGTGTCACGAGCCATTGCATAACATAGTTCCATCCCATACTAAAACCCCATGCCGGATCTATAAATCGCGTTGCATAGTGTGAAAACGAGCCGGCGACGGGGTAGAGAACGGCCATTTCACCTAGGGCATGCACGGTGCAGTACATCATGAAACCGATCAATCCGTAAGCGATAAGCGAAGACGCCGGACCTCCAGTAGCTAGAACAGACCCGGAACCCACAAATAGGCCGGTACCTGGGCAGAGAGTTAGTCAATTGCTGATAATGTCGTACAGAGGTATACCAGCAAGCCGCGCAGACTTCTGGTATAATCCTCCGCACAAAAGCTCATAATCCCTTATTTTTGATAGCTAAACGCACCAATGGAACCTCCAATAGCGATCATTTGCATATGGCGACCTTTGAGGCGACGCTCCAGTGGAGAATTGGCTGTATTTTCCGCGGCATTTTCAACGTCCGCGCCGGGAACGGTGTTGGTCAGGGAATTTGGATTAGGCTTGAAACTGTCCCATATTCTTCGGCCAATATTTGATTGGTGAACTTTAGTCTCGCCGTAATCTGAGGCAGACTCGCTGGATGATTTCGTCGTGACTTTGTGAATCGTGTCGTCTGCCATGATGCGGTTCGCTTGTGATAGAGATGACAATAGGACGAAAGTCGGCAGTGGGCAAAGAGAAAGAGAAAAAAGGGGAAAAAGAAAACATAAAAACGGAGGTACCTGGGGATGAGGTGATAAAATATCTGCAAGAGAAACCTCCGGGATAAAAGTAGTCTGGCCACTACCCATGCGCGGTGAGGTAACACATCGTTTGAACTTTCCTCCCCTCCTTCAAACATGCCGTATTACATCTCTAGAAATTGATGCGATCAGCAGTCAAGCTCGTACCCCTCTCAGAGCAGATATCCACATCTGAGACTATAATCCTCGAAAGGAGGAATGCAGTGCTGTGGAGGATGTTCTTGCTGCGGGAAAGAACCGAGACTCTGCGGCTATTGGATAAACGAAGTATGGCCGGGCCACCCCGGTACGGTCCACCAAGAGAGGAACTTAGGGCATCCAGCAAAACGATGGCAGACCAATGGTCTTCTCATCTTTACCGGCCCGGTGACTGATCTGAGCGTGTTCGAGCGAGGTCACTATATGATTTTAAATGCCTGGTATGATAATGACGCACGTAGCATTCCGCTGTTATTGTCATAGTAAGTACTCTGACTTCAAGAATACCTGGGCTCTACCCAGTCCTTATTCGAGAGAACGCAGCCCGGAAGTCCCTGATGTGAAGCGAAGAGGGCTGGCTGCTCTCTTAACATGGCCTTCACCACAGCCATACCGGCATCAGCACAAGTCGGGATACTATTGATCGGTTCCCCGCATTAAGACGCGGAGAGATCTCCACATAAAAAGGTACATAGATAGGCATCTAGCTCATCTCTTAGAATTACCCTTTACGGAAGCGTATCTCACCGCCTTCTATTCCTGTCTTTCTCTCCTCTCTTTCTCACTGTCACTCTGTGCCTCTCTACTCCATAGATAGTAGTCTGTTTTCTTTATCTTGTCCCATCTGCCTCTAAAATTCAATTGATTTTACGTTTCGATTCTCTAATACTTTCTTAGACGCTCGCGTATTGCTGCTGCTTGCCGCGCTCATTACCCCGCCTTCCGCCGCCAACTGTCGAAATTTGTACACTTGCGATATCAAAGTCACTTTCCAATTTCCAGTACAATAATGCCGTCCCTCCAAGAAAGCAAGCTCGCCTTCATTGGCGGTGGTAACATGGCCTCGGCTATTATCACAGGTCTCGTGGGCCAAGGCGCCAACAAGCAGAACATCACCGTCTCGGAACCATGGGATGTCAACCGCGAGAAAATTGCAACCATTGGAGTTCAAACCACAACTTCCAACGTCGAAGCTGGAAAGGAAGCGGACCTTATCGTCATTGCCGTCAAGCCCCAAGTCGCCAAGGGCGTGTGCAAGGAGCTTGGTGAGGCCTGGTCGCAGCGCGCAACTCTGCCGGTTGTTGTTTCCATTGCTGCGGGAATCACTCTTGGAAGCTTGGAGGAATGGCTTAAGACGAGTGACGGAAGGACACCGCATGCTGTTCGTGTCATGCCAAACACTCCTGCGCTGGTTAATGAGGGCGCTTCGGGTGCTTTTGCTAGCAAGGATGTGACGGATGATGAGAGAGCGCTTGTTGATGCACTTCTCGGAAGTGTGAGCAAGACCATTGAATGGCTGAGTGACGAGAAGCTGCTGGATGTGGTGACAAGTTTGTCCGGTAAGTTGAAGAATCGCAATAGCGGGAAATGAGCCAAGCTAACGCTGATCAGGATCGGGACCTGCGTATTTCTTCGCCATGGTTGAACATCTCATCACCAGTGCCACTCAATTGGGACTGTCACAAGAGCAGGCCACTCGGTTAGCTACGCAGACATGTCTTGGAGCCGGCAAGATGCTTGTTGAATCTTCGGATGAACCTGCCCAGCTGCGCAAGAACGTTACCAGTCCCAACGGCACCACGCATGCCGCGCTCCAGACGTTCGAAGCTCTGGGCTTCAAAGATATCGTGGATAAGTCTGTCAAGGCAGCAGCGGCTCGGGCCGAAGAGTTGGGGAACTCTCTTGGGTAAATATATATGATTAGTTGATCCTGAACTATCATTCTGTCCATCAAAATGTCTGTGCCTGTCTTTCTTTCGTACCTTTGGATGCCTCCACTCGGGATAAGGACATACCCATCTACTCAATATTGACTCTTTAAACATATTTCCATTACGCGGCTCCAGCCACGTGTGAAATGTAGCCACCAGAGGGCCCGGACCCCGCAAAACAATTAAATAGACTTTATTCCCTAGTCACGCATTACCCCGGACCGGTCCATATCTAGGACCAAGGGACAGGTTGGCCGACTCGACTATACGATGCGATCTGCCACTCGCATTATGGAAGTTTTTCAAGTCCTCAAAGGATGAAGAGGAATTAAACAGAATAGCAGGTAACATTTTGTAATTTCAATGCTTGCTATATGATCATACCATGTATATGACTCCTCGAAGGAAAAAAAAAAAAAAAAAAAAAAGAATCAATCAATCAAGGTGTACTCCGACATGCCACTGAACAACCAGACCCTCAGCACCCACGAATCCTGTCAACTCCAGATCTATTACCCAACACTGAAAAGGCAAACCAACATCCCAAATCACGCCTTATCCTCTCCCCCCTTCCGCTCCACCATCTCCCCCTTCCTCCCCGACGCCAACTCCCTCTGCAATCCCTCCACCCTCCCCCGTAACCTCTCAATCTTCTCCTTCCACTTCCCACTAACCATCTCAACTCTCTTCATAACCTCTCCAAACTCCTTCTGCATCCACTTCTGCTCCCTCTTCAACATCCTAACCCGTCGTTCCGTCTTCTCAAGTTTCTTCTCCAGCATTCGTCTTTCCGAAACAGCCGTGTCTCTGATCGTAGCGACGACGTCGTCTAGAGGCGCTGTATTGTGGGGGCCTAGGTTTCCGGCTTCGGATTGCTTGGCGATGTAGATGAATGTGGCTTTTATGTCATTGGCGATGGAGGATATGAGGGCGGCTTTCTGGGATGGGGGGAGGGTGGTTATGTTGGTTAGGCGGAGGGTGCAGCTTCCCGGGGAAAGGGATTTTTGGCGGGGCATTTTCGGCTTGATTTTTGAGGGGAGTTGATTGTGGATGTTTTATAGGATTGTAGATGAGATTGGCAGTTGTATTTAGGGTATGTCGGGAGGATGGGATGATGGCCTATATAGGTCCTACGAAAAGGTAAATACCACGGCCAGTTCTTTAACGGCTAAATGCCTATAGCAGAACATTCTTTACTTTGACATATTCTGATAGCCCTCCTTTCTTTGTCTATAGAATAAGACCGCATTGTATGCAGACAAAGACCTGTGCATATGCCTATTGCCGTCTACAAACTACACGGGTTTGTTCTTTAGAGATCTCCGGATACATCATAAAGAAGAACAAAATCAATTAAGAGTATACAAACAACAGAATACAGGAAACTACTGCAAAGCAGCTACAATCGCATCCCCAACCTCACTCGTACTAGCCTTTCCTCCCAGATCCCCGGTTCGGATCCCAGAGTCCAGCACCGTTCGAACCGCATTCTCAATTCTCTGCGCCTCTGCCTCCATGTTCAGCGAGTAACGGAACATCAAAGCCACGCAGAGGATCATGGCGATGGGGTTGGCGATATCTTTGCCGGCGATTCTACATAATCAGTACAAATAATGAAACGGATAAAAGAAGGGGAAGGGTGCTTACGTCGGCGCCGACCCGTGCGTCGGTTCATACAGCCCGTACGACTTTTCTACTTGTTTATCGCCGGGTAATCCATTCAAACTGGCACTAGGCAATACACCCAGTGTCCCAACGATAGAGCCCGCCTGGTCAGAAATCATGTCGCCAAATGTGTTATCGGCCAGAATAACACCGTTCAAGACACGCGGGTTCGTCGCTAGGATCAACGAGGCCGAATCTGCTAGCTGGTGCACTAGTTTCACATTCGGGTACTCCTCCGTCATGGTCTTCTCGACCACCCGGCGCCAGAGTCGCGATGATGCTAGAACGTTGGCTTTGTCGAGGGAGATCACTGGCCACGGGGAGTCATGACGGAGGGCTACTTCAGCGGCTAGACGGGTGATGCGTTGGATTTCGTGTTCGGAGTAGCCCCATTCGTCCATTGCTACACTTATCAGCATCCACACATACCAAAACGAAGGGGTCAATAATACCATAATCACTCTCCTCAACCTTCCTCCCAAAATATGCCCCTCCACAATTCTCCCTAACAACCACAAAATCAACCCCCTCGATAATCTCCTCCCGAAACGGCGTAAACTCCCTCGCAACAGACCGACTCGGCGAATCCGCCGAACAAGGCCTCAAATTCGCATAAATATCCATCGCCTTCCGCAACTGCAACAGTCCCCCCTCAGGACCATCAAGGCCCCTCCGTACATGGTCCCATTTGGGGCCACCGACGGCTGCGAAGAGCACGGCGTCTGAGTTCAGTGCGGCTTCCTTGACGCTGTCGGTGATGGATTTACCGTGCGCGTCGATGCTGCAGCCACCAATTAGTTCGTTGCGGAGGGTGAAATGGGTAGTTGGGGTTTCGAAGGCTTTGAGAACTTTGATGGCTTCGGTCATGATTTCGGGGCCGATGCCGTCGCCGGGGAGGACGAGGATGTTGAATGTTTTGGACATGATGCTTTGAGCCTTGGTCGGTGTAGTGTTTTACTCAAACTTTGGGTTTATTGAGGATGCCGTCTAGATGATCTTGCTAAAGTATACTTTAAGTAGCCGTGGTATGTCGGCTTTATGACCGACGCGCTGCGGGGTTGCATGTTCATCCCGGTGTTGGCCCGATGTCAGACCGTTATGGATAGTCAATAGACTGGTAGTAGAGTGTGGGGTAATTAACAAAGTCAATTATAGAACAACAACCTAGCGCCTGTACGGGGTACATATACGGGGTACATAGTCTTGCAGACATACATACTTCCCTATCGGTCCAAACAGGGCTAGTCCTACCCCTCGAGTTTGCACTGTTTGCACCGTGGGCTGTCAGATCAAAGGCTTCACTTTCACCTCCCCATACCCACATCCAGCCAACCACACCAAGTACAGCACATTGCACACCATGCCGCAAATCGAAGAGCTCCCCGACGACTTCGATGAGTCCATCGACCTCAACAAGCAGCCAAAGCCCGCTGCAGACCTCCCCGGCATGCCTCCCGGCGGGGACCAGATTCCCTTCCCGATCAATGAGGAGCGCATGAAGGAACTCGAGGCGATGGATCCGTTGGCGCCGAAGATGCCGCCGAATATGGCGTCGGTCAAGTCGCATACGAAGGAGGAGTTGTTGGATATGATGAATAAGACGCCGTTGTTTATGACGGATATTAGCCAGGCTGGGGATGAGAGTGGGTTTCTCTGCTCTTCTTTTATTGCATCCTGGGATTTAATAGAGTTCTAATATGTGATCTTTATAGACGGCGAAAATGTCATGCTCGACGCCCTCTACGCCCTGCAGAACGAAGGTACCCGTGGCGACGTTGCGCAAAATTTTCGCGAACAAGGAAACGAAGCGGCCAGAGAGAAGAGATGGATTGACGCGAAAGAGTTCTATTCTAAAGCTATCGCGGTTGTCCTAGCTAAGGAGGACAAATGGGATAAGCCAGAGAATCCTGAAGAGGACAAAAAGGTGCTGCGCCAGGCGGAGGAGGCTTCGTACATCAACCGCGCGCTGTGCCATTTGGAGCTGAGTATGGGTGATCGCGCTCCGTGGGGAAGAATCGCCGGCTAACTGGTATGCTATTTAGGAAACTACCGCTCGTGTACTCTTGACTGCGCGTCTGCCCTCAAGCTCAACCCCGAGAACGTCAAGGCGTTCTACCGCTCCTCGACTGCGCTATACGCCCTGGACAAAGTCCCCGAAGCCGAAGACGCTGCCTCGCGCGGTCTCGAACTCGATCCCGAAAACAAACCCCTCCAAGCGACAGCTACGAAGATCGCAGAGCGCAAGGCCGCTCTTGAGCGCATCGCAACCAAGAAGAAGGCCGAAGCCGACAGAATCCGCAAAGAAACACAACTCCTCACCGTCGCACTGAAGGCCCGAGAAATCCGTACCCGCAAAACTGGACAACCGCCGGAGATGGAGGATGCGGGGATATGCCTGAGCCCTGACCCTCTCTCGCCTGATAGTACCCTTGAATTCCCCGCTGTGTTCTTGTACCCCACGGATGCGCAGTCGGATTTCATCAAGGCGTTTTCGGAGATGCACTCTATCGAGGACCATTTGGATTACATCTTCCCGTTGCCGTGGGATACGAAGAAGGAATACACCATTGATAACGTGGAGTGCTATATGCAGACCGTTGCCGGTGGGTTGATCAAGGCTGGCAAGAAGCTGCCTCTTCTGCAGATCTTGAGCGGAGGCAAGGTCGAAGTTGTCGATGAGCTGGTGGCGATCTACGTGGTGCCATCGTCGAAGACTGGGAGGTTTATCTCGGAGATGAAGGCCAGAAAGGAGAGTGGAAGCTGAGCCCGTTGCTCTTTTGTGCCCTGACACGACATGATGAAACAATCCGATAGGGAAACTACATAGCAGCCATATTACCCGCGATGGCGATTAGCCGCGCAGGTATGGGGTATTATCCGGCAGCACCACGAGTCGCGGCGATTATGCCGCGATACGGTTGGCACTCTGTGTCACTGCGAGCTGCAGATTCGTGTATATAAACATTCGACTGAATTATGAATGGATACCCTGCATAGCTTTTGCTACACTATTGAAATGATACACAGTACTACCTCGGTTTGACCGTGCTTTTAGGCAAATTCGGAGATGCTCCTCGAGTAGACTCAATTCCGATTCGACATGCTGAAATGCACCTGGTTAATATCATACAGACATTTGACAGAAATAAGGGACAAATATAAATCAAACTCCCAGGTGAAAGCTGTCGCGGTTAAAGTGGTTGTCCTGCCATTCTATACTTGAAACAGCAGCGAGACACGGTGGATCCCCCAATCAACGTCATATCTCTGGCGCACCGGTGTTTTCTATTCTCGGAAGAACATCTATATTGCCTTTATATCCAAAGGGTTTAGCCTGATACTATAGTATGTTCTGACAGGTTGGTCCGTGGTTGTGTGGATTAAATGAACCTGCCCATGTATATGGAACAGGGTCAGTTCACCATGGATGTCACCTCTGGTGTATATAAAGGCCTATCCTGTATGCTTTATAATGTCTTTTCTCGCTTCTGTTCAAGCATAGCATACATCTGAAGTCGCGAAAATGGTCCATCTTTCTTCCATCGCAACAGCCCTGGCGGCTGGTCTCCTGCCCCAACTGTATGTCCTCTACTTCCTGTCAGCCCTGATGCGACTGCAATATACTAACACCCCCTATAGCGCAAATTCAGCCGGTCTCAACACCGCCGCTACAGCCAAAGGCCTCGACTACTTCGGAACAGCCACCGACAACCCCGAACTCACAGACAACACCTACATGACCCAACTCAACAACACCGATGACTTTGGCCAGCTCACCCCCGGAAACTCCATGAAATGGGATGCCACCGAGCCGTCCCAGAACAGCTTCAGCTTTGAGAAGGGAGATGCCATTGCTGATCTGGCTGAGGCGAATGGGCAGAAACTGCGGTGCCATAATTTGGTGTGGTATCAGCAGTTGCCTAGTTGGGTGTCTGGGGGTTCTTGGACGAATGAGACGCTTACGGAGGCTTTGAAGAATCATATTACGAAGGTGGTTACGCATTATAAGGGGAGGTGTTATGCTTGGGATGTTGTTAATGAGGGTATGTCTCTTTTTCTGGACACCGGATAGCGATTCTCTGTTTACTGACGCTGTCAGCCCTCAACGATGACGGCTCATACCGCGAAAATATCTTCTACCAAAATATCGGCGAAGCGTACATCCCCATCGCCTTCGAAGCCGCGGCGGCCGCGGACCCCGATGTCAAGCTCTACTACAACGACTACAGCATCGAATACGGCGGTGACAAGGCAAACGCCGCTGAGAAAATTGTCAAGATGGTCCAGTCATACGGCGCCAAGATCGACGGCGTTGGTCTTCAGGGCCATTTCACTGTCGGCCAGACACCCAGCAAGAAAGACCTTGCTAGTACTCTGAAGTCGTACACCGCGCTTGGTGTTGAAGTCGCGTATACTGAGATGGATGTCCGTATGGAGACGCCGTCTAGTAGCGATAAGTTGTCGCAGCAGTCGACGGACTATGCGAGCCTTGTTGGGGCTTGTGCGGAGACGGAGGGATGCGTTGGTATTACGATTTGGGATTGGACTGATAAGTACTCGTGGGTGCCGGATACCTTCTCTGGCTATGGTGATGCTTGTCCTTGGGATGAGAACTATGAGAAGAAGCAGGCGTACAATGGTATCCTGAATGCGCTTGGGGGTTCGTCCAGTGCTAGGAAGAGCAGGAAGAGTATGTTCCTTTCTCCCCTGATTTTGACTCATGCTAATGAAATGTAGTGCGCCGAAGCCTGATCAATCGAGGCTACTGAACTTTTTCCTAGTATTCCTATAGTTATTTAGCTGTAACTGTTCAATGTATATTTATTCCTCAGGCATCAATACTTTATATGTAAGGTCATGTTATATACCATACCATACCGTAACATACCAGCATCTACCAATTCTTTCACCAGTAAAACACATACAAAACCATACAAAACATACGCAGACCTTTCGACTTCAACCTCTCAGCATTATCACCATCACCACCGTCTCCCATTCTCCTACTACTCAGTCATTCTTTACTATTCTCACTTTTCCCTAATAATAACGTCTCCTCCCCGACCACGGCAACCGATACAGTAATTGATTGATCCAAAGCAACTCCACCGCCCCGTTGATCGCGTCTGTCCGAATCTCAAGTCGATCGTGATTATTGCCCAGATCCAGCGCGCTACAGCAGCATAACTCCTTTTTTGCCCTTGCTCTCTTTTTGCTCTAAGCCAATCACGGGCTCTTTCGTCCCTCGTTATTTGCTTGTCAGACAGATCTCTCGCTTTTGCCCTGCCGGCGTCTCTTCCGACTTGGTCACCCCTGAATTCCCTTCCGGCGAGTCAGCGTTGAACATCGGTCACTGTGCGGTGTGCAGAAACACAGGCCTAAATTTAAAAAAAAAAAGAAAAAAAGAAAAGAAAAGAAAGAAAGAAAGAAAGAAAGAAAGAAAGAAAGAAAATTACAGAGTAGTAACGGGACTGGGGCGTCCCACTGGAAGATTATTGCTGGTTATTCATTTCTGTCCTAGTCCGGGTTGCAATCAAAGAAAATGGATCCCAACGCTACTACGACATCGGCCCCTACGGCCACCAACACCGGCTATCCCGTCCTACAGAGCCACCACCAACAACAGCCCCAGCACCACCAGCAGCACTACGGCCAGCAGTTTCCTTTTCATCCCGGCGCTTTCCCCCAGACCAAGACCCCGTCCCAGCAACATTCTTTCGGTGCGGTACCTTTTCCGCAACCTGGCGGCCCCGGTGGAGCTATCATGCCAGCCGCTGGAGGTTTTCCCCAGCACTCGTCCGGTACGTTTTGGGATCTTCCTTTTGGCTTTCCTTTTTCTGTTGTCTTGTCTTGGGTCTTTGGCCTGTTTTTCCTTTTTCCGCATCGGGTGCGGTGCCAGGATGTGCCCTGCGGGTGGTCTTGAAATCGGACTAGCATGGTGCATATTGCTGCTTCTCCCCCTCTCTTTTATGCGCGCAGGCTATTAGCATCATGTAATACACACCGTGCTTACAAGGATTACTACTGGGCACTGCGCGTGAGAGGGTCGATATGTCGGGCGTTCGTGCCGTGATTATTGCAGCTGTAACGCTCAGAAACGTCGGACTCGTGGAACAAAGACGCTAACGCGGATTGCCCTTTAGCAGGACCCCACGCGAACTTTACAGCACCTTTCATTCAACCTTCTGTCCCCTCGAGCATGAACCATTTCCTCCCACCTCAGGTTTCTTCGACACCGAATACCCCGTCGACCGTAGCGCAAACATTCTCGCAGAATATGGCTTCGATGTCGGCGAATAATATGCTTCCTGGGCAGCAGCAGAGACATTTTCAACACCAGCCGCAGCAGTCGCAGCCGCAGCAGCAGCAACAGCAACAACAACCGCAACCGCAACAACCGCAACAACAGCCCCAACCGCAGCAGCAGCAACAGTCAGCGACTCCTTTCCAAGGAACCCCCCAGCAAGCACCGACTCAATCCGGACCAGCAGCGGCCCGGGAGAAAGCGCGTGTCTCCGTCCTCTTGGAGCTTAACTCGATGCTGCTACAAGAAGTGGTGAACCTCCAAGCCGCAGGCAAGGCCGGAGCACCCCCTCAACAACAGGGTTCGCAGGAGTCGAACCCCTCCCCCGGATCCGACCAGGGTGCCAGCCCAGCGCAAAAACCCAGCCCCGAATATATTGAGTGCATGCGCCGGTTACAAGCAAATCTTGCTTATCTCGCGACTATCGCCGACCGGGCGAAGAAATCGGGCGGCGTCCCTCCGCCGGCGCCTGCTATTATGACGCCGCCTCCGAATATACCGTCTATGGTGGAGGTTTATAACAAGCTTAATGAGTTGTTCCCAAGACCTAACAAGGGTGGGATCGGGACGCCGCAGCCGAGTCCGCTGGGTCTTCCTGGGAATGGGAAGCCTAGTCCGTCGCCCACTGAGTCTGTGGTTTGAATGTCGCCATGGAATCATTTTGTCTTGCAATTGAGGATTGGAGAAAGAAAAACATTATACAATCTTGCCGGAACGACAGGACATTTGCGGCCATATGGCCAGTTAAGGGACATCACCCATTGCTTATTGTCGCGCTTCACGGCTCACGGTTGGCATCTAAGTCAGCGGCGATGGTCATGACCTACGATTTTGTTGCTGATGCTTCTGCGATCAAGATTGGGATCGCACGAAGTCCATCAATCTTGGACTAACACCGAATGGTCTTGGCTTTTCTAATTTTGGAATTACTGGTCGCTAAAAAGAAGAACATCCCATGTACGATTACCATGATGAAATTGGTGTGATCCTCGTGGAGATCAGGTCCAGTGATCGCGTGCCACTACAACCGTGAGGAACAAGGATTGGACGTGTGTCCGTTGTGTACTATATTGTATAGATTGAATCGACGTCAAGAATATATACTGATTACTCTATTTGTGTTGTATGAGGCAGTCCAGTAATGTCGTCACCACCGTAATGATAACAACCCCGAAAAAAGAAAACACAATAAACCCTGACTGCAATGATCCGAAGCGCAGGCAGTGCTGGATCCCAGTCGTGATTGCTTTTGGGGCATGTCAGAAGTGGTTCCGAGCACAGTCCAGGCCTCGAGTTGTTTGCTTTCATCTTCCCTTTTCAGACATTCCGGGACCCCATCCTGGCCACCCCCTCAATAGTCTTACTTTCTGTCGCTCTCTTATATATAGCTCCTCCTTTGCCTCGCAGTGGACTGCGTGTGAATGTCGTACACCCTACTCTCGTCGTGCAGAAGGAGTCTCTCAGTTGCTAGTACTGTGCCGCAGTCTTCTCCTCACCACCGACACCACCACCTTAGACCCCTCCGTCACATCAACAACTCCCCTCGTTCGTTTTCCCTTTCGTCTTCAGAGTCCTCCCACTATTCGTCCTATTCTTCCGCCTTTCCTACCAATACTACCCCATCGTGGACATTCCCCCGGTCTCCCCGTCGGCCGCTTACAAAGAAGAAGATTCTGCGGTCGACCAGCTACAACTCGAGCGCGTCCTCGTACTCTCTGACAACAGCTTCCTCTGCTCGATATTCCAGTGCTCTCGCATACCCTCCTCGTCGTCCTAGTGCGCTATCCTCTACCGCTCCCGCCAACCGGCTCGTCCCCCGTCCAAACCAGTTCCAAGCTATGAACGGCGCCGATGACGCCAGCGCAAAACGCAAGCACAGCTCCGCCGCCGCGCCCACCAGCGCAGACGCAGACCACCGACCCGCAAAGCACCTAAAACCAGAGCTCTCTACATCCCCAGACGGTGCGCCGCCAAACGGGACAGTATGCGACTACGAGACGGAAGAAGACGCGAGCCGGCTGCATGCAATTGGGTCGACGCCGGCGGATTCGCCTGAGTGGCAGGCGACGATTGAGAATGTGGTGAAGAGTGTTGTTTCGATTCATTTCTGTCAGACTTGCTCGTTTGATACGGAGTTGTCGATGAGTAGTCAGGCTACGGGGTTTGTGGTTGATGCGGAGCGTGGGTATATTTTGACGAATCGGCATGTTGTTTGTTCGGGGCCGTTTTGGGGGTATGTGATTTTTGATAATCATGAGGAGGTAGGTTGATTTATCTGTGTGGTTGTTGGTGCAAGAATTGTGCTAATTGTTGGTAGTGCGACGTCCGTCCTGTGTATCGAGATCCGGTTCATGACTTTGGGTTCCTCCAATTCGACCCCAAGAAGATCCGTTATATGAATTTGACAGAGCTGAAACTTCAACCTGCCGCCGCTCGGGTAGGTTCTGAGATCCGGGTTGTGGGTAACGACGCTGGTGAAAAGTTGAGTATTCTTTCTGGTGTGATCAGTCGACTGGACCGGAATGCACCCGAATATGGCGAGGGCTATAGCGATTTCAACACGAATTATATTCAAGCAGCAGCCGCTGCAAGTGGTGGAAGTTCAGGCAGTCCGGTTGTCAACATCGATGGCCATGCGATTGCTCTGCAGGCTGGTGGTCGCGCAGATGGCGCGGCAACCGATTACTTCTTACCCTTGGACCGTCCTCGTCGCGCGTTGGAATGCATCCAGCGAGGTGACCCAGTCTCTCGCGGCACGATCCAAACACAATGGATCTTGAAGCCTTTCGACGAGTGCCGTCGTCTGGGGTTGACCCCAGAATGGGAGGCTGCTGTCCGTCGGACGACACCGTCCGAGACCAGCATGCTGGTCGCTGAGATTATCCTCCCTGAAGGACCTGCCGATGGTAAGCTGCAGGAAGGAGATGTGCTCCTACAGGTCAATGGCAGCCTTCTCACGCAGTTTATCCGGCTGGACGATATTCTTGATACGAGTGTTGGGGGAACGGTAAAGTTGCTAGTTCAGCGAGGCGGGCAGAATGTGGAGCTCGAATGCGGAGTAGGTGACCTCCATGCCATCACTCCTGATCGCTTTGTGTCTGTGGCAGGTGGTACCTTCCACGATCTCTCCTACCAGCAAGCTCGTCTGTATGCCATTGCTACTCGAGGCGTCTACGTCTGTGAGGCAGCCGGCTCCTTCAAGCTCGAAAACACCCTTTCAGGGTGGCTCATTGATTCTATCGATAAACAACCAACGCGAAACTTGGATGAATTCGTCGAAGTGATGAGAAACATCCCCGACCGCTCGCGTGTGGTCGTCTCTTACCGCCATATCCGGGACCTCCACACTCGGGGGACCAGTATTGTATATATTGACCGACACTGGCATCCCAAGATGCGCCTGGCCGTTCGGAACGACGACACTGGCCTTTGGGACTTTTCCGACCTGGCAGAACCCATCCCAGCCCCTGCACCTGTTCCCAGGAAGGCTGACTTCATCCAACTCGACGGCGTGAAGCAACCGGCTGCGGCGGAGATCGTGCGCAGTTTCGTGCGGGTAACATGCACGATGCCGCTCAAGATCGACGGATATCCGCAGAGCAAGAAGACGGGCTTTGGATTGGTGCTTGATGCTGAGCGCGGTTTGGTTCTTGTTTCGAGGGCGATTGTGCCCTACGATCTGTGTGACATCAACATCACTGTGGCTGATTCTGTTATTGTTGCTGCCAAGGTTATCTTCCTACATCCTTTGCAGAACTACGCCATCATTCAGTACGATTCGAAACTCGTGCAGGCGCCGGTTAAGAGCGCCAAGCTCAGCACTGAGTGCATCAAGCAGGGACAAGAGACGATTTTTGTCGGATTTAACCAGAACTTCCGTATCGTGGTGTCCAAGACGACTGTCACCGATATCACGACCGTGTCGATTCCTGCCAACGCCTCTGCACCGCGGTATCGTGCCATCAACCTGGACGCCATCACCGTGGACACGGGATTGAGCGGACAGTGCACGAACGGCGTCTTGATTGGCGAGGATGGAGTGATCCAGGCGCTGTGGCTGAACTATCTCGGTGAGCGCACGGCCAGTTCACACAAAGACGTCGAGTACCATCTCGGTTTCGCGACGCCATCGCTGTTACCCGTTACGAACAAGATAACCCAGGGAATCATCCCGAAGCTGCGCATCTTGAACATGGAAAGCTACGTCGTCCACATGAGCCAAGCGCGCATCATGGGGGTATCTGAGGAATGGATCCAGGAAGTAACCGAGACCAACCGCTCGCGGCATCAACTCTTCATGGTGCGCAAGGTAGACGTCCCGCCACCATCATTCCAACCCCCACCGGGTTCCGAATCGCTGCAAGAAGGCGATATCATCCTAACCCTAGATGGCCAGCTCATCACCCGCGTCTCCGAGCTTGACATCATGTACGACAAGGAAGTCCTAGACGCACTCATCGTGCGGAACGGCCAGGAACTCCGGATTCAAGTCCCGACAGTCCCGACAGAAGATCTCGAGACTGATCGCGCCGTTGTTTTCTGCGGTGCTGTGTTGCAGAAACCGCACCATGCTGTCCGACAGCAGATCTCGAAGCTACACAGTGAGGTCTACGTTAGCGCGAGGAGCCGCGGCTCTCCATCGTACCAGTACGGCCTTGCGCCGACAAACTTCGTCACTGCGGTAAACGGTATCTCGACACCCAACCTTGATACCTTTGTGAAGGAGGTCAGCAAGATCCCGGATAACACATACTTCCGGCTTCGCGCGGTGACCTTTGATAATGTTCCGTGGGTGGCTACTATGAAGAAGAACGATCACTACGTACGTTCCCTCTTTCCCCTTACTATCTTTATAAATCTATGCTAACGACGACAGTTCCCCATGTCCGAATACATAAAAGACCTCTCCACACCAGCAGGCTGGAAGACCGTCTCGCATGATAAACACAAGCACAAGGATGGTATTGCGCCTGATTCATCGAATCTGAACCCCGATGCTATGGATGAGGGGTTGGAGGATGTTAGTGATATTGAGCCGGATGAGTAGAGTAGAGTAGAGGTGTGGGGTTTGGTTAGTGGTGGTGTGATTAGATGAGATGAGATGATAATGTAATTGTTTGAAAGTCGTTACTCTCCTGTCTTTTGCTACAATGTGTATAGAGGCTTTTGGGTCTGGGATTGCTACTGCGTCTATCTGTATAATGTGTGAAAAAGTTGTTGGATTTGTAATTATCCTATAACGACGGTGTCGGAGCGACAGCCTATTAATCTTCGGACATAGGGCTGCGCTTATGGTTAACTGCATATATAGTCATAATCAAAGCCATGTCGGTCCTGAAATCCGTTGATCTTGCGTTTGCCCTCTTCCTTCAGTTTAGATATGCGTTAGCTAGATGGTACTTTGTCTCGTAATACTAATGCAGAGATCATGCTAATATGCCACTCTTTAATCTTCCGCAGCCTGCCGTAAGCATTCATCCGTGATGGTTGAATACATAGCCAATCCATACTTATTCTCGCATGTGGCCCAAATTTCGAACATAAATAGTTTGTCCTCCATTTGTTTATCCCGATCTGTGTGTGCAAAGTTGGAGCGACAGTTCGTTAATGCAATAGTAGTTTGGTTTGATCTTCTCTTTCCGAAAGGCACTGTAGTCTATGCCTTTAATAGACATAGACAGCGCACGAGAACTCTTTGCGTTCGCGTGGCATTGCTTGTCACCCTCCTTGAAGCCAACAGGTGTTGGATAAAACCCAGAGCAAGTCAGCCCTGATCGAGCTTTTTAGCGCTTCTGGCCATCTTTTAAGATATTTAAATGTTGAATATTAGCGTTCGTTATTCCCTTTCCGTGCGTTAAAAGAGATCAACAGGAACCGAGGGATCAGCATGTACCCTTGAAGAAAAGGGTCGAGTCCTTCGGTTTTAGAGTAATACACCCTGCCTTCTGTGGGCATGATTGCCTGTCGCGCGGACGAATCGATCACGACTCCATTTGCTGATATGGCAGCCTTGTGTCTGTCACTATCATAAAATGACCAATCGCCACCACCCTGCTAACGAGGGACAATCCTTCAGCGCAAGACCAGCCAGTGCTTCCTGACGTTTTACGCTGTAGCGATGGTCTTTTTAGAAGAAGACTCTCACTCTTTCAGACATTATAACTCCGGCGGATCAACTTTTGCGAACTGCTAATTCGACTATCGATCTGCGATATCTTTGCAGACCTTATCGCATTTACCATCCTGTCGAGATACGGATCGCATCTCCTTCAATAGGTCATCGAGTGCTCGCTTCAACTTTTTTCTGTGTCGCCTGCTGTGCACCTGCCATGTTCGAACTCGCTTCTATGTAAGACCCGAGGTGCCTTGTACTCGAGTATTTCGTTTTTTAGCAACATTGTGCCCTTTTTCTCAAATTTGACCGTCGAGGACTGACTTCTGAATTTAAGGCTTTACTTTAAGACTCTCTCTTTGAGGCGTCAGAGCTTGGTTCTTTAGAGAAGATGTAGACGCCGTTCGGGACACTTCCAAGCGTCTGCCCATTCGGGAAGCAGGCGAAAGGTCACGATGTCTTTATCTTTGATGCCTGTCAGTTAGATCAAATCAAGTCAGAAAATGGATTAGCTTAATGGCCCTGCAAATAAGCTAGTCAATATCTCTTCTAGTCCGACCACTATAAGTCCAGACTCAGAAACACCTTATGGCCGCCGCTGTCGTAAAAACCAACCTAAGACAGAGCAACTGGCCCCCCCCCCCCTTTTTTTTCCCCCAAGCCGCTTCTAATTCATGGTCGTTGGTTGAGTACAGAGCACGCTCTAAATTTTTTATGCTCGCGGTAGCGCCTTCTAGCTAGTCTGAAATGTGTCTTTTATTCAACACCCTTCCGCTGGAGATGTCAGCTGCGAAGGCCATGCTCGATGAGATTCACGAAGCCTTACCCCTACAACCAAATGACCACAACGCATATATTCTCGGACGTATTGGGAAACACAATGTTGCCATTGCAGGTCTACCAAATGGTGAATACGGCATCGCCTCAGCCGCCACCGTGGCCATGCAGCTACTATCCAGTTTCCAGTCGATTCGGTTCGGCTTGATGGTTGGTGTTAAAGGAGTTGTACTGAGCAGAAATACAGATATACGCCTGGGTGATATCGTGGTTAGTAAGCCGATGGATACGCATGGGGGAGTGGTGCAGTATGATTATGGAAAAGCATTAGATGGCGGATATTTTCAGCAGACGAGAATGCTCAACCGTCCGCCCCAGTTTCTTTTGACAGCTCTTACCAAGCTGTAAGTGGACCACTTAACAGAAGATAGCCAAGTCATTGGTTTTCTTGCCGAGATTGAGCAGAAAATGTCCAAACAAGCTGTCAACCTTGCTCGCTCCACACAGGAAGACTGTCTATACCAAAGTGACTACAGCCATGTTGATCCCGACTACCAAACCTGCCATGACTGTAATACAGAAAGAACTGTCCCCCGGCATTCTCGAAACGACGATGACCCTTTTGTTCACTATGGACTGATTGCGTCCGCGAATCTAGTGGCGAAAGACAGTCGAGTACGGGATCAACTGAGTCGTGAACTTGGTGCTTGTTGTGTGGAGATGGAAGCAGCGGGACTGATAAATAACTACCCATGCTTGGTGGTACGAGGGATCTGTGATTATGCGGATTCCACAAGGACAAAGAATGGCAGGGATACGCTGCTGCCACTGCCGCAGCATATGCGAAGGAACTCCTCTCTGCAACTTCAGTTGGCGAAATTGATCAAACCCAGACGGCACAGGATACCCTATCTGACTCTGATTCTGGTAAGTTTGTCTAGCTCTCTGTTCAAATAGAAAATTCGTGTATTGACAAATATTCTGCGTTTAAGCTAGCAGGTTCCATGTTCCATTTGACCTTACTGCGATGCCCGTAATCAAATATTTCTTGGGACGGCAAGATAAACTGGTGCACCTATGGGAGTATCTACAGCCGGAAAGCTCTGAGTCACGAAATGTCGCCGTTCTTCATGGACTAGGTGGTATGCGAAAGACACAACTAGCAGTCCGCTTCGCACGAGATCATAGAAACGACTTCATTGCAATCTTCTGGTTAGGTGCCAAAGATCGAGATACAGTACTGCAGTCATTGAGCTCTGTATTGTCGCAATTACCACAACCCAATACTGAAATGGTTGATGAGGAGAAAGTCGAGAAACGAGCTAGGCATGTGCTGCGGTGGCTAGCATTAGAGGGAAACTCGCGCTGGTTGGTCATTTTTGACAATGTCGACCAATACGTCGATGGTCACGACGACAATGCTCAGAATTGCTTTGATATCAGCGAATTCTTTCCCACAGCGGACCATGGCTCTATTCTTGTTACCTCGCGACTTCAGGCATTGACTGAGCTGGGAATGTCTTTTCCAGTCCCGAAACTTGAAACCTTGGAAGCAATTCAACTACTTCTGCAGAGCAGTAGCCTCCCACTCAACGATAACATTGAGAAAAATCCAGGTACGTACTTGGTTACTTGATTTGGGAGTCTTGTGAGTAATACTAACGCGCGCAGATACCCTTGCTCTTAGCGGTCGTCTAGACAGACTACCACTGACAATCATCATTGCCGGATCCTTTATTCGAGAAACGGGAACCAGCATCTCGGAGTACTTGCAGTATTACACGGAGAGTTGGGATGAACTACAGTCACAATCGAGACCTGGACGTCATTACCCACAAGGCAACATACTACAGACATGGACAATCTCATTCAACGAGATGAAGAAGCGGAACCCAAATGCGGCAGAGCTACTACTACTACTTTCTTACTTTGACAACCGCAGTATCTGGTATGGACTAGTCAGATGTTGTTGCAACTCGTGCAGCTCGGATGCCCTGGCCTGGTTTCAGAAAACTGTATCAAATGAACTCGCCTTCAAAAGCACATTGAGACCTCTCATCAAATTCTCTCTCGTTGAGCCTGAGCGGCAAGAAGGAAGTTACACAATACATCCAGTTGTACAGAATTGGTGTCTCCACGTTGCTAGAGAAAGAGGGGATGAAGAGTTTGCCTGTTTCCATGAATGAGCACTGATATCCCTTGGAAAAACGAGTCGTGCTCACAGGAAGTTCCCAAAGGCTTTGCAGCGACTTCTTCCGCATGCGGATCACATAGTTTGTGGGGATTGGTCAAGCAACAACAATACCGCAGTGTTTGGAACACTTAACAATATAGGGCTTCTCTACTCTAAGCAGCATAAGCTGAAGAAGGCAAAGGAGTTGTTCTGTCAGGCATTGCCCGGTGCAAAAGAGATACTAGGTCCAGACCATATGGTTACCCTTACAACAATCAGCAATATTGGAGATGTCTACTATCATCAGGAAAAGCTGGGCAGGGCATAGGAGATGTGCCATCAAGTACTAGCAGTCAAGAAGAAGCTGTTGAGACCGAATGACCCATCTACCCTGGGAACAGCTAACCAAATTGCAACCCTCTACTCCGACCAGGGTAAGCTGAAGGAAGCAGAAGAGATGTATTGCCAGATATTATCAATCGCAGAAAAGGCACTAGGTGCAGATTATCCATTAACCCTGGACATTATCCACAACCTTGCCGTCACTTACGCTGAGCAAAAAATGGTAAAGGAAGCAAAAAAGAGGTACTGTCAAGCTTTGGCAGGTCGTATAAGAGTTGGATTCAGTTCAGATGAATCGTCTTCTCGAATTACAGTCTTCACTATCGGGACCTTCTACATCAAACAGGGCAGGCTGAGTGAATTGGAGGAAATGTACTGTCAAGTACTGGTGAAAATGGAAAAATCACTTGGTCGAGATCATCCAACCCCCCTAAAGGTAGTCGATGTCCTTGATGGTGTCCGCGAATTCAACACGTTGGAGGACGAAGAGGATAAGCGGCATCAAAAATGGGTCCTGCTTAAGAAATTAGATAAATGAGGTGATCAAGAACAGCCAGGTAAATGGCTTTCAGTTGAAAGCGATGGTAAGACTCAACAAGCTGCAACGAGATCAGATGCCTTGGTCAAGCTCTCAAAGTTTCGCACATGGAAAGTGGTACTTTGTGCCATCTTAACCGCTTTAACAGCTTGGTTTCTTGCATACATTTTCTGAAGCACGGATGCAGCAAATCCAGTTGCATCTGTAGTTTGCCTGGATGTCCGGTCTCGCGATATACAGTGATTGCTCGCCGGATGTTTGTTTGGTGGCAGTTCCTGTCAGCATGACGAGTCCAGTGGCCACCATGGAAACTGGAATTTCCCTGTATATAGACTGGAGCGTGTGGCTCCCAAACAAGGCTTAGCCTTGATTCCGACAAGATTTATGAAAAAAAGGAACCGTATGATATGAGGCTTCCCGGTGGCTTACGCGCAGATCGGAAATGCATAAAGCACACTGATCCAATCATTCTAAGTTGCTGATCTCAATACTTGTACACATGGAAATGGCCGGATAGTCAACCCCTCTGGTTCTCTTCTTCTTTTTTTGGTTGGAATCACAGTCTTATAGTTCAATCAATCAAGACAAATAAAATGCCTGTAAGTACGACTAATCAAACTACTATGTAGACTGGTTTCGTGCGTTTTCCATCCATCGCCCTTAATAGTTGACCTCTATATAGATTGTACCGTGATACTGACCGTGCCCGCTACATTAGATTATCCACTTTAAAACCCAGGACGCAGGCCCTAACCTCGGCGGTGATACAATGATGTGAGTATTCTACCCTAACTCAGAGAAGAATCGTCTGACCAGCCCTCAAACATAGTGCGAGTCCTGTTATCGACACCGTCAAAATCGCAGTCTATCATGAATGCCACGTTGGAGAATGCTATCAACGCCCCAGCCCCAAGGATTTTCCCTCCTTAGTATGTCATTTTGTAAGTTACACGGGCAATTCTAAGATGATTATGAGGGATCTTTGGCTAACATTCTTGATTTCTGTTTTTATCTAGGGCGAAAACATCGGAAGTTGCAGAATATGATTTCAACAAAGTACTGGAAGTTGTTTGGCCTCACACCGAGTCTCCAGAGGAATGGAAAGATATTCCCAAGGCAGTTGAAGTTGAGGCAAATGATGATCTAGATCTGTTAGCATTTGGTTGATAGGCTTGGTGGCCTTTCGCCCACTAGGATTATGTATGGGAGCGAGGTGACTATACATGTAGTAGCTTAAAGCTTCCGGGGAATAACAATCGTTATACCGCGATATATATATCTGCTCCCGAAGTAACAACACTTCGGACCCCATAACACACTTTCTGAGCCCACCAGACACGTAAAGAGAAACATTTCTCATTCACTCCGATGAATTGGTTGGCCACAATATTATTATTATGCGCCTTAGTCCTTACCTAGAAGCGTTATAGACTTTTGCTGTCAATAAGCTATTAATGACATAGATATTATAATAATACTGGGAATAGTATCAACTAGCATCATTGGTCTAGTGGTAGAATTCGTCGTTGCCATCGACGAGGCCCGTGTTCGATTCACGGATGATGCATTCTTTTTGCTTTTTTTTTGGTCCACCCACTTTTTTTTTTTTTTTTTTTTTTTTTTGTTTCTCTTGCTAGCTCAATCCATATTTACGTGTCCAGAATGAAGTCGGATAAAGATGAATACAATGCACTGTAAATATCATCTAAATTATAGCCCAATAAACAATGCAGTGACCCTAAACTGCAAATACAACGCCAACCAGCTATGCCCGGTATAATAATGTAACACATACTCCAATCCTAAGATAACACGCAATCAACCGAAAAAAAGAATGCAAGACAAGAATCCGTCAAATCAATTGGTATCAAAAGTCCACCCCCCATTCAACCGCAACCGCTGCCGCTCAGAAAGATCTTTCCGAATCTCATCCTGCGTCAGACGATCAGCACCAGACCAGTTCGCACTACTAGTCCGTTCGCGGAATTTCTTGATCTTTTTGTCGGCCTTGAAGGTGTCCTCGAGCGAGAACGGTGCGACGGGTCCGAAGATCGAGTCGACTTCCATGCCCTCTTGTTGTCGAAGGAGGTTCTCGAGTTCTTTGGGCTGAGCCCACTTAGGCACAGGGAGCATTTCTGCGTCGGAGTCTTCGTCTTCGCTGTCTGTGGCGATTTCGGGCAGGGCAATGTTTTCGCCGCTGGGGTATTTCGGCGATTGTTTCGTGGCGGGCTTTTGAGCGGAGCTTTGGCCTGGCTTCGGTTGTGCCGGGTTCGAAGGCTCTGCGAAAGGAATCTTGCCGCTAGCATACTTGGACATGTCCAGAGGATGCACGGGTCTCTGCGGTTGGGCGGTCTTGAGAATGGAGGAGCCGGATTGCGGTGCTGTAGACGTGCGTTGTCCGTTGAAAAGAGAGGGCTTGGTGGGTTCCTGAAACCAGTTAGCATAATGATTACCAATTTGGCACATTTGTTTGCACTCACTTTGCGGATATTGGATTGGCGGATCGGAGGGGCCATGGCCGGACGCACAGACGGAGGGTTGTGTTCATCCTCGGTCCTTCTGCGCTTAGAATCGCCAGGCTGGGGTATCACACTAGGCTTGGGAGGCGCAGGACGGTGACTGGCTTCGTCATCCATGGCCCGCTTAGGTGGTTTGGCGGGATTTGGCTGCGGGGTGTTAATGGACCGACCAAACGGCTGAATCGAACCCAATCGCGAAGCCGACCTGGACGCTTGCGAAGCTGGTCTCTCGGGCTGGTGAAGCACGCTCTGTAACAAACGAATCAGCAAATTGAGACTACTCTCAAAGTGAAGTGTATTTAACTTACCGTATCACCGGGTTGTTGGCTGCCCTGCCTTTCGAGTCTCCGTTGATTCTCCAACCTTCGCTTTTCAATTGCCTGCATATGAGCAGCCTTCTTGGGGTCCACAGACGCCTGGCGTTCCCGACGCTCAGTCTCCGCACGGCTCCGAAGCTCTTGACGACGTGTCTCTTCCTGTTGTTGAGCGGCGCGTTTACGTTCCAGCTCACGCTTCTGCTCCTCTTTGCGTCGTGCTTCACGTTCCTCCTGTTCCCTCTTCCGCTCACTGGCAAGTTGAACCTTGCGTTGCGAGTTACTGGAAACCGAGCTCTTAAGGCTGTTGTTCGAAGATGCCGTATGTAATGAGGTGTTGCTAGCCTTCTTCTTGATAGTTGACGGCTTCGAAGCAGAGGCGGGAGTGGGCGCAGCGGCTGCTGATTCTTGGACGTTTGAACCGGACGCCATGGGGATTTGCCGAGAAAGAGCACTACCGACACGGATGGAAACTGGTTGAGGCTTTGGTTTCTGGAGGGTCTCCCGAGTGGGCTTAACGGGACGACGCTCATTTTGCTTTTGTTGGGGGATGGAAGAAGGCGCTGCGGGCTTGGAGGCGGTTTCGTAGGCGGGTTCGGGTTCCTTGGATGCGTATTTTTGTGGTTGTGGTATTTTCTTGGGACTCGGTGCAACGGAAGCTGCGCGCTCTTCACGCTCAAGTGAAGCCTTCTCCCGGGCGGCCTTGAGTTGAATTGCCTTTTGCTTCTCCTGTTCTCGAGCCTTTTCTTCCTTTTCTTCCTTTTCTTCCTTTTCTTCCTTTTCTTCCTGCTCTTCCCGCTCATGTTCCTCAATCTCCTGCTGTCTGCGCTTCTCCTCTCGTTCCGTGGAGCTGCGTGTCTTGCGACCTTCCGGCCTTGGTGGTGTTGATTCCTGAGCGGGCTGAGGTTCCTGGTGGTTCAGACTCTGAGGCTTGACGCGCTCCTCGGGCTGTTTTCGCGACTCGGTTGGCGACGAAGCCTCGACCCTCGCTGCAGCAGAAACACCGCCGGCTGTAGAGAATAGACCCTTGGCAGATTTCATGATCGATTGTAGCTTCCACTTAGATGCACTCACTGGCGCATCCTGTGGCTTGGGAGAACCTGCTGGAGTTGTCGACACTCCAGCGGTCAAGTTCGACGCGGATGCACTCTTCTGGTGACTTGGTTGTTGCGGTGGCGTGTACAGCGGTGTCGTGGATTTCGGACGGCTTATCTCAGCACTGTGATTCTCATTAAGTTTCGCCATTCGGTTTCCACCCATTTCAGGGTTACGGGTCGTGTCATCCTTTTCGGGGGCCTGGTTAGTCTTATCCATGATGTCCATGGTCCGACTTTTGGCCATATTGGGACGCTGAGGAGTGTTCATAGAAGGCTTAATCCATTCATCCTCGTCAGTTGTCATGGGTTCAGGGGCCGGGGTCTCGCGTGATTTCCGATCCGATGCCTCAGGTTTTGCCTCTGCCCTCGGCAGGTCAGGGTAAGTCACCTGTGCCGAGGACAACCCTGACACGGATGGAATTGACTTGGTGGGTCGTGACGGCTGAAGTTTGCCTAGCATGCTGATCTTCTCATGGAGTCTTTGCGTGGACGACTTGTTGTGTTGCTTGCTCGATCTCGTCTCAGCATCTGGTCCATCGCGAGTCGGTTCAGCATCATCGTCAACTTCCATTTTATCGCCTTGAGCCTGAGATGTGTTCTCCTCCAGAGTAGCTTGAGTTGTCCTATGTCCTCCAGTTTGCCGCCCAAGGAAGCCAGTGCCGATATGGCTCGTTCTGGAAACCCTTGTACCCCCCAAGCTCTTCTTTGTCAAAGGTTCTCGTGCAGGGAGCGAGGCGAATGTCAAGCTGCTCTTACGGATCGGTGGTCGTTCGGGAGTCGAGCCATCTGAAGGCGATCCAATATCATCATCATCATCATCATCATCATCATCGAGATCATCAAGGGCCACATCCTCTTTCTCCATTTCAACGTCGTCGCCTTCGTGTACAGACTGCAGTGGCTGCGTTGCAGGGGTCTGCACAGGCGACGACGATTTGGTATTTTGAACTGGTTCGGGTTGAGGTTCAGGCTCAGATTGTTTTTCAGGTTCCGGCTCCTCTTCTGATTCCGACTCGATATCCTGTTCGAGTTGAGGCTCACGCTCCTGCGTCGGCTTCGGCGGCTCGGGCTTCTGATCGGGCTTCCGTGCGGTCTCTTTAGCGACCTTCTTCTCGGGCACGCGTTCAAAATCATGTTTCTGCTCAGGTTCAGGCTTCCTCAAGACTGGCTTTTCTTCCGGTTTCTTGTCCTTGAGCTGCAGTTTGGGAGGATGCACCTCAACTTTGTGCACTGTCTTCGGGGCATCGTTCGCAGGTTCCACCGTCTCGCCGCGCTGGTGGTTATCCTCCTGCGCCGAATGGAACGAAGATTCTGTTGTACGTCGATCGGCCGGGTCATGTGTCTGGGGCGGCTCTGGGGTAGGCTCCTTTTCTTCCAAAAGTTGTGTCGATGGTTGTGTTGATGCCTGCGACTCTGGCTGTGTCTGTGTCAAAACCACATCGTCATCATCGTCACCACCATCGTCTGTCATGCCTTTATAGCCTGAGTCCGTGTTATATTGGGGGAACGAGTTCAGGTTCTGACTCAAGTCAGGATAATGGGGTTGCGGCGCATTCTCTGTTGTGGGCTTGGCGTTTGTCGTTGGTATAGGAGCAGCAGGCTTCGCGGGCGACCGTTTGCCTGTCGGGCTAGCGATGAACTTATTCTCTTTCTGGTTGTGGGCAGTCGAGAAGATTTCGCTCAATGGCTGGGCGGAGACGTTAATCCACATAAGAGGCAGTGGATACCAAAGGGAAAGGGACCGGGCAACTTACCACTCGAGATTCCTCGAAGTTCCGCTTGCGCGCAGTGCGAGGCGTCTTACCCCGTAATTTTCCAGGTGTCTTGAAAGCCTCTGTGAAATTGCTTTTCGGCAGTCAGCATAAAATCGCGAAGACATAGGAATCCGTAATCGCAACGCACAATTGGTTGTTGTCAAAGATCTCTGCCATATGCTCATTCAACCAATCCATCTCATGGCTCACGGGATATTCCACTTCCTCCAATTCCTGCTCCACAAGTTGCGAAACATTTTCCTTCTCCGTAGAGATCCATGCCGCAGAGCCAACGGGCTTCTGAGCTCTCGCACCACTAGCCATGAGATATAAACAACGCGATTTCGGCGGCGGGCGATTCGTTAAAGAGCGTAGGTGTAGATTCGGAAAATTCAAGGGCAGACAAGCTGTCCTTGCGAATTATTGTCCCTCCGAGACGACGGGGACATTGAATTGTGGCGGGTGTGTCGGGTGCGAAGTTGTCGTCGAGTGTTGGTGGGCAGTCTTTCCGGAGTTGGAAGAGCAAAACAAACGCGTGACCGTGGTCACGTGAGAATTTACATCACATCATCAACTGACACCTCAGGCAAGAAATGACCACTTCGAGTCCGCCTATATTTTTTTAGACGACACATATTCATATTTATTGTCTTCCGAGGAGAATAATCGATGTAGACGCAATGCTACAGGCCGTCAGCTTATGCGAAGTAACTTCACATAGACTGAGACACACACATGTGTTTCCAGCTGCATCGGAACTCCCTGCATTCCTACACATGTCTGACCTGATTTTAGTCTTGAGTCTATTAAGTGCATTATTTACAAGGAATTTAAATGTGTACACGATATCTATGAACAAAGGCCAACGCCAGTATAGCTTCCTTGGTCGTGCATAATGACGGTCTTCCCCTGCCCAACACAGTATACACTTCCTCCCAGATCTGCCACGATAACCTCTTTCTTTGCATTCAATTTCAACCCGATAGGCTCATGGAATTGACGTGCCATGATCACCTTACCTTCCGGACGAACCTTATCACCAGCAACGCTGATGCAATTCAACGAACACCCGATTGGATGCTCGCCCCGATCAGTCCAGTACAGTACCTGGTTCTCCTGGTCCAGCTCAAGGTCAATGGGCTCAGGCAAATTCTCCAGGAGCAGCTTGATATCAGACCGATTTACCGCCGCCTGACCGTCAGGAATGTTCACATTTGCGCGGAAGATCCGGCCTTTTCCGGATTTGCTGGGACCCTTTTGCGTCCAGTAGATGTATCCGCGGGTAGGGTCGATGGTGATACCCACGCACCACCGAGTCATGTCACCTTTCTCATTGGGGTCTGACAGCGATCCCGTCTGCACGAGGACGCGGTGGTCGCTGCCGTCGTAGTTGCACCGGTGCACACCCATACCCTCGCGATCGCAGAAGTATACGTGCTGGTTGGTATCATCGACAACCAACTGCTTCGGGGTATGCACGGCGCCAGAGGGAATAATGGTTCGGACGTCAGAGCCGTCAAGATTGGCAGAGTGGACCGAGCCGTCATACGTAGATGTAGCGCGGCCCATGTTTGTCCAGAACATGCGCGATGTGCGCTGCGAGATGTCGATACCGTCCGGCAGGGATTGGCCGCTGACCAGTGTCTCGACAGAGTTGGTGGTTGGTGTGAGCTTGAGGATCCGGCCGGCTGTTGGGATGGCGCTGATATCGGGGTTGTTGGCGCCCAGACCGACGTCCAGCAGGTATATTGCTTCACCTGCTTCCTTGTTCTCTTTGCCTGCTGAATATAACCCGCCATTCTCGCTCTTGAGACCCAATCTTTCTTGTTGGATATAATTCTCCCGTAGCCAGTCGACGGTTTGTTTGCCTTCCAGACCTCGTTCTTGGATGTAGTTGTCTTCAATGAAGGCAACCGTATCCAGCCCGATCTGGTCCATCAACCGACATGGCGGCTTACTCGTGGGCAACTGGAACATGTTCTCCCACAAAAGGTCAATCTCTTTGGGTGTACTAACATCCTCAGCGAGAATAGTGAGGATCTCTCGTTTCACAGCAGCCCAAAGACGATTAAAAACGAACCTACTCAATTAGCAATCCGCATTTAGCGAGAAGAACAGCAAAAGGAACATACCCAGTAGACTCCCTCCTAGCCGTAACAGGCACCATTCCACACTCCCTCAACACCTCACTCAACGTCCCAAATAATTCCTCCTTCGTCTCACCATCCGTCATCAACTCAACTGTCTGAATTGCCGGCGGCATAGTAAAATGCATATTCAGCGCCATTTCCCTCCTCTCTTTCTCCAAATCCTCCACCATAAACCTCGACTTGAACGAGCTACTATTCGACGCTAGGACGCAATCCGCTGGCGCAGATGCAGTCACCTCTGCAAACGTTTCCCGCTTCAACCCAAGCTTCTCCGGCACGGCTTCCACCACGAGCCAGGCATCCTGCACTGCGGGTGAAATCTCGGTGAATGTCTTCAACGAGCCTGGCGATGTCTTTTCTTGTTGCGGGAGGATGGCTGTGAACGAGAGTAGTTGCGTATGGATGAAGGATTCCGCGTCGGATAGGGCTTGCTTGCTGGGATCCCGGATATGCACATTATACCCCCCGGCGAGGAAAACGGCGGCGATACGGCGGCCTAGTACCCCGGCGCCGAGGAGGACTATTGGTCGTTCTTTGGATGGGGTAGTCATTGTTTCTGCGAAGGATGATTTCGTAGATAGTGGATCACACTAAGAGCGCTGATGCAGGGATATCCTGCGACTACAAGGGTCCTGCTATATATAATCCATACACAGTATGCACCGTATACGTCCCGACTATCCGATGCCGGTATCCGGTTTCCAGACATCGACATCGACATCATGGTTACGGCGTCGGACTACTTCGGACTCGGGACGGAGACGCCTCGGAGCGGATCAAGTGGAACTGGCACCGAAGTATATTCAGCATGATGTTTCTATAAACGTGTTTATAATGGCGTATAAGTCTACCGCTTATTTATTTATCACTAGGTCCATGATGGAGGGTACATAGTCCATACAGTGTATGTGCTTTCAGTGTGAACGCTAAAGAGTTATGTGGCAAAGTTTACGACGTAGACAGACAACATCCGTGAGAGTAATATACAATTTTTCTATCTCTAACAGTCTATTCTATACCATTGTCTAGAACAAAAACACCTGATCACCCCCCTTAGCCACAGCCCCCGGCATCCTCCATCCCATCCCCTGCAACGCCTTCTTCATAGCCGCCAACATCGGTGGCGGGCCACATAGCAACACCCGATTCTCTTCCGCAGCAGACGCCAAATGTTTCTCAATCATCTCCCCGTTGATGAATCCCTTATACCCTATCCACTTGTCATCAGCGTGGCTCAGTACATAGCGTACCTGGAACTTCTCCGGGCATTTCTGTGCGAACGCATCTAGTTCCGTGCGGAGCAGGATATCATTTTCAGTGTTGTTGGCGTATAATAGGGAGATTTGGGTGTTGTCGTTGGGATCCTCGCAGATGGCGCGGATGAGCTGGTACATAGGCGTGATACCAGTCCCGCCAGCAACCATACCGATGTGAGTCGCGTACTGGCGGGAATATTGCATAGCACCCTTGGGACCACGGATTTCAATCGTCTCACCGATTTTCATATCCTCAAGATAGCGGGTCATTGCACCATTTGGGTAGACTTTGACCAGGAGCTCGATGCGGCCTGCATCGCTGTTGTTGGAGACGGGGGTGTATGAGCGGGAGACGCTTTGGCCGTTGATGGTTGCGCGGAGGGCGATGTGTTGTCCTGTAGGGAGACCCAGGACGTCGTCTGTGTTGGGGAGGGCGAAGATAAAGCGATAGACATGAGGTGCGACTTCGTCTTTGCGTGTGAGCGTGAATGGGCGCCATTGACGGGGATCGAGTATGTTGGGCTTCTTCAGGGGCACGTTTGCTCGAGGGAGCTGAATGATATGTGCGGGTTGTGCGTGACGTCGTGGCACGTAGTGTGTGAATTCTTGCTGCACGTCCAGCTTACTGGAAGCCCAGACTCCTAGCCCCAGGGTGATGGAGAGCTGTGCGACGGTGGCAATGCATGCTCCGGTCCAGAACTGTCCGGAAGTTGTTCCTGGCGTCCCCTTTGGCAGGGAAATAGGTAGTAGCGATGGCAAGATCTTGTCGAGTGACCATCCGTTTTGATAGCAGGAAACCGCAAGGGTTCCGACAAGTCCTGTTAAACCAAGTCTCACAATTGCGCGGAGTATTGACGATGCGGAGGAAGACTTGTTGACGTTTATAACGGCCGATTGCGAGACTTGTTCGAAGTTGGGACGGTAGACTTCAACGGCTTCGGCTTGTTCCTACGGAGAAAGATCTGTCAGAGTGCTTCATGAAGGAAATCTGCCAGGAAGAAAGTACCTCTATCGGGAGATCGCCTATGTAGTACGGCTGCAGTTGTTCCCTCGCTTCATCAGAATGGCCAATTTCTTCGAACGCCTCTGTGGCATTGGTACCGGCCACTTCTAGGAGAATATCTTTGCCTCCGGGGTGATCATCCAGATATTTTGTCACATCGTAGACTAGCCAAGTAAGCAAAAGATGCCAATTCACCAGCAATGCGAGAACAAACCTTTGTTATGAAGGACAATCCAGACATCGTCTGGTTTGGTGTGCCGTTGAACTTGCTCGAGAGTAAACAACGGCATAATGTCTGCAATTATCCCCCTGAAGTTGCAGTCCTTTTCCTCTAAGAGGCTCTAGGCCATTATAAAACATTTATATACTGTCCCGAGTAACGTTGTTAACGGCTTGCCGATTTATCGGGCGTATCTCGTACGAACTTCGCGCGCTGTCATATCGAAGAACGGAGAATTATCTCGACTCCGATTGGATACCAAGAATATTTGCCGAATTACTGTTGGCTGAAACGGCTCTTTGATCTACCGGACGAGATTCGTACGAGTCTCGGATATCAGGGCAAATGCCATGTCGGGTGGCCGATGGGGAACTTGTTCGGATGAAGATGTTTTATCCCGGTACTCCATTTTGGAGTATATAAACATGTTGTTTTGCAATATGTGGGTTGATTTTAGAGTCAAGAGGTGACAAAAAAAGTGATATATCATCGTCATGCAGTGTCAATTTTACCTCGTGGGCGACGACATCGCCACGGCAAAGATACTCGAGATAGACTCGCGATGGAAATTCGAAGACTTGCAACGAGCAGTCGGAGGTGTTTTCAATATCGCACAGCCAACAGGTGTGTTTCTTGTTCCTGACCTCCATATTGTTGAAGATCGTAGCTAACCCGACAGGCATCTCCTTCCACGACATCCGGAATGAAACCCTCACTTTGGTACAAGATGTCCTTGCAGCATCAGCACCAGTCGGCCTTCGCATAGACGGCAATATCGCACAATCACCTCAAGGACCACCGGGCCTTCCCCTCGTGGGTAGTTACTATGAGATCTACCCCGACCACCTGGGCAACCATTATCGGCTGTTCCGCAAGTACGGCCCTGTCATCAAGACCACCAACATGGGCAAAACGATCTACCTCACCGATGATCCGAAAGTAGCTGCTGTCGCCTTTGCTGAATCCGCGTACATGACCAAGAAAATCAATGAAAATCACCCGCTTTGGGGTGTCAAGGATAACACAGCTATCTTTATCGGGGATACTGAGACTGAGAACTGGCGACTAGCACATAAATTCTTGCCTCCGGCTATGGGTCCTAAGGCTGTGTGGCACTATACCTCGCTCATGCAGAATTGTGCGCGCAAGTCGTTGCCGGTCTTCGACGAGCTGGACTCCCGCGGGGAATCTTGGAACGTGTACCAGTATATGGTGAAGTTGGCTTCGCAGACAATCAGTTCCTTCTCACTAGGTACTGATTTTGGCCACTTCGACTCTGTCGATTCGCCGCTGCATCCAATTGTCACCAACATTGCCAGCCTACTCTCCCTGAATAAGAAGATCACTTCTCGTGGAGAGTGGTACCGTCATTTACCCTGGGGAGATCCAGCACGCCTGCGCCAGGTTCAGCACACGATCTATTCGCTTTTGCAAGAAGCCGTCGACGAGGTTGCCGCCACGTCTACAACCAAGGACGCTCCTATGAACGAAGCCGCATTATCTGCATCCTGCGTGGTCGATTACTTACACCATGCCCTTGATGAGAAGGGTGAGCGTCTCCCGAGCGGCCTGATTCTGGCAAACATGCTCATCGTCACCGGCGCCGGCTTCACCACGACTTCCGCCCTGATGTCATGGCTGATATACTGCCTTGCCACGTATGAAGGCACACAGGAGCGTCTCTATCAAGAACTGGTTGAATTCGGTATCGTCGGACTAAACGGGGCGCGCAACAAGACGAGTTGGACCCCCGACCTCGCGCATAGCATGCCATACCTAGACAAGTTTGTCAAAGAGACACAGCGCCTGCACAATGCCTCATTCCAGCCGGGCCGCACGACGAAAACAGAGGTTGTCCTGCCAGGCGGTTACCGGCTGCCACCAGACAGCGTCATCGTCCCGGCACTGTATGCCATCCACACGAATCCCAAGGTCTGGCGCGATCCGCTTCGTTTCGACCCTGATCGATGGGATACGCAAGAGACGAAAGACCGGCATCGGTGTGCGTATGTTCCGTTTGCCACGGGACCACGGGGCTGTATCGGGTTTAACTTCGCGTTGTTGGAGGTTAAGGTTTTGCTTTCTGAGTTGGTGAGTCGGTATGAGTTTGTTCGGGAGGGTTTGGATGCGGTCGATTATGACCCTGAGTTCCAATTGATCCGGCCTTTGAACTTTTATGTTCGGGCAAAGCGCCGGGTGTAATGATTAGCCATGTAAATAGAATTGATATAAACCGAAAAGATGCAATTATAGATAATAGGGATTATAGAATAATGATTCACGTTTCTGTCTCGTGATAGATTTCTCTCAACGCTTTCAGCGCCCGCGAATAAGGTCCAAAATGTCGCAGGTTCGTATCTGTGTCAACCCACTCCGACTCCCTTTCTTCTTTCTCCAAAACTACGATAAGCCGTTGAATAATAATCTCTGACCTGTTCGTCTCCTCTGGTAGCATCTGCACCGCGCTCTTCAAGGTAATGGCACAGCTCACTGCGTTATGCACAAATGCCCAGGACCGACACACACTCGAGGAGAACCGGTGTAAATCCAAGAAGCTCTCGACTGGCCTTATAGCCTGCTGCACAGCGTGTTCAATGGTATCAGGGAGGACAGTGAGCTGCTGTCTCGCGGAATCCATATACATCCAAGTAAATCGGCAAATAGCGTAGCCAAGGTGAATTCCCAGGGCTAGCCGTTCGAGATGTTGCTGCAACGTCGTGCAGCGGCTTTTATCTCTGAGGAACGGTGAAACAGTATGCCAAATGGCTTCTAGCTCTCTTCTGGACTCAAGTGCGCTTTCCATGGGAGGCCGTGAGTCCCCTGAGTTTTCCAGTTGTGTACGATCAAGAATAATTTTGCAAATCGTGAAAACTGATTCTTGGAAAGTGAGACCATCTGTGTAGGGCGTAAGAGGAACCGGGAAAATCCCAGTTATGGCACTTGGAGGACGGTCGTAGGTTAAGGATAGGAATGTATCTTGCCAGATGAGCATCCACCTATAATAGTCAGCGGATGTTGGCCTTTGTTTGGTGAATATGTCACCCTTGTTTGGCTACATGACATACCAAAGCCTATTTCGTTGATGTTGTTCCGACGCCGACAAAGAGAGTGATGGTTCATGAAGACCAATACTCTGAGCCAATCGAATCGTTGCACCTACTATTGTCAACCTTTGTACAGGGAATAGACCAGTTGACTAACCCATTAGAATCCAAGCGCTATTAGTGTCCAAATTGTTGCGCAAACAGTGCCCAATCAGAGCCATGGCCTGGATCTGGTCAAGGTTGGTATTATTGAAGAAGTTGGACAAGCGTAAGCACTGAAATGATGAACAGACTTCTTCCGTTAGATTCTAAATTTCCTTTGCTTCGAGCGGATACGTACCGAATACCCTTGACCTGAGATCCCTTTCTTTGATCGAATCGTCCGAGAACTGTACACCGCATGCTAGAACGGCAAATAGCAAAGCCAACCAAGAGCTGTTGGGTTCCTCAACATGTCGGTTCATCTCCCTAGCAGATGCTCGCTGGTCCAGAAACCCAAATAGAGACTGACTAAACTGGTCCGCTGTTACCAAAGTCGGGTAAAAAGGATACACAGCCGACTGGTAAGTTTGCCAGTATCTAATTACCCGATCAGCACATGTATCCCTCATGTTACTCACAGTACAGCAACGCGTAATATAGCATACCGAATTATATCCGAATCATCCGGCAGAGTCTCACATACGTTCTGCGCCGACGCATCCATTCCCCAAAGATTCGTAAATGGATATGCTCGCGGCACAAACTGATCCATCATGGAGCTTTGTAGCATTGCATCCCCTGTCGTAGCAGGCTGTCTACAGCCCAGGACCAGCGGGGCATCCGAGCGGCTACCCAAGTAGATAGTGGCGCCTGTCGCGTCTTCAACATAATAGCGCCCAGGGGATTTACTTGCCAGTCGAGTTGAGGTAATACTAGATTGTTGTCCTTCACTGGATTCACGGACTCTTGATGGTGCTGGTGCCGAGGCTGTGCGGAGATCGGCCTTGATTGAAGAGATCTGCTCTTCGATCTTCTCCAGCCGGGAAATCAAGAGATTATTGTCTGTTGACGATTGAACTTGGGGATCCTCAATTATGCGGTTCCTATACGAAAGGACTCAGCAAAGCATGTCTACCACTTCCATATGACCACTAACAGGGATGCCTCTATATCGAGCCTACCGCTCGGGCTTGGCTGTTGCTGAGTTCCTTCCTCTGACCCAGCATTCGGTACGCGACACAGCTCTGGATGATTGCGTTTGACGCAGCTAGAACAGGGCACCTGGCCATCGCACCGGACCTTCCGATGGCGACATGGAAAGCAGGAGCGGATGCCGCGGACCTTGCGTTTGTTCTTGAGCAGTTCGCGGATTATGCCGGTATCATAGGGGTAGGGGTTATCCGCCATGATTCACAGATCCAACTATTTCATGATATACAAGGGCTAAATTGGCTAGTGATAATCGACTAATTTCCAGAATAAATCGAAGAAATTGATAGGTTGTCGTAGATCATTGAACGCCAGATTAACACGTGATAATAATCTGAGTAATCAATAAGCTAACTTAAAGCGGAAAGAGCAGGAGGGCTTAGGGCCAAGGCCCTATTGAATATAGCACGCAAGGTTTCCTCCGTTCTTCTCGCGGATGGTTCTTCCATTTCCCATGAATCGGAATCGATTGGGACTCCGATACTGAAGAATAAAGTCTTCGGTGCGGAAACTCTCGAGCATCTCCTTGTAGTGGATTACACTGCCCGCATACATGGCCATCACCCTGCCATCTATCTTACCATTCTTATACCACGAACGGCAGCCGCTGCTCCATGCGGTGCCTTTCATAATCTCCTGAGTGTAGACATTATAGTCATGAGTGGCATCCGAGCGGACTTGCACAGACCTATGCTATTGATTAGCTAGTTGTCAGGAGGCCGTGAGGGTGACCACATACCGTATATCTTCCGTGGCAATTTTCCGACACCAGCGGAGAATATAATCCGCCATCCAGTCTATGGGAGACAGCACGCTTCCATGGCCGATGGGGCAGTTGGGTCCATTGAAGATGAAATAATTGGGCATGTTCGGGGCGCAGATGCCGAAGTATGCCTCGGGATTCTCTTTCCATTGGTCCGCCAGACGGATTCCATCCTTACCCACCAACTCCCAGAACGGGGAGAAGCTAACATCGAATCCTGTTGCGCAGACGATGATGTCGAATTCTTCAGTGGATGCTTCACAGACAACTCCCTTGTCTGTGATCTTCTGAATGGGACTCACCTCAATAGTCACATTTGGCTCCGTAAGAGCCTCCAGGTAGCCGTCACCGGGAGTCAGTCGACGACAACCAACAGTCCACTTTGGGATTAGTTTCTCATGCAAGTGCGCATTCTTGTCACCTCCGAGTCGTCTCTTCATCTCTTCGGTGAAAGCCGCCTGAGCAGCAGCCTGTTCGGGGCTGTCGTTGAGAATCACGTTGCCAAAAAATGAGTTGAGTCCGTGCTCAAGGGTCTTGCGCAGCGTATGCAGCTCATCGGGACTCTCTCGAAACCGCTTCTTCTCTTCCTCGGTGTAGGTGAAATTCTGCCCACAGCTCGAGTCGAGCTTCGTCGTCTCTAGGCTGGGAGAGATCCACGTCGGGTTACGGATATAGGTCACAATGTGCTTGGCTGTACGCTGCATCTGTGACAAGGTTTGAATAGCAGATGAGCCGTTGCCGATGATGGCGACTCGCTTTCCAGCCCAGTCGAGATTGGTATCCCATGCCGCGCTGTAGACGAGGGCTCCTTTGAACGAATGTAGGCCCGAAATGTCCGGCCACCGCCAGCGGTTCAAGATACCCGAGCCATTGATGAGTATGTCTGCCGTGTCCTCTGCTACTGTACCGTCTGGTGATTGAACTTTGATCTTCCAGCGGCCAGTAATGTCATCCCAGACGGTCGAAGTGACAGTCGAGTTGAACCGTACGTGTTCATCAAGATTATATTTCGTCGTCGTTCGGCGAATATACTGCCAAATCTCGGGACCGGAAGCATGCAGTGCACTCCAATCAGGGTTGGGTTCAAACTGGAACGTATAGATGTGTGCAGGGGACTATCTCAGTTAGCCTTGCTCCCCTCTTCTTGTAACACAACGGATAGAGTAGACATACGTCACACGCAAGTCCTGGATACCGATTCTCAAACCACGTTCCTCCAACATCGGAATTTTTCTCATAGATGGCCAGATCAACATAGTCGTCCATGTGGTATTCGTGTTTGTATTTGTACGCAACCATCAGACCCGCATATCCAGCACCAACACAGACGACGCGGAGTTTGCGCGGTGTAAAGACCGGCTCATTGGCTATGGGGACCCAGTTGGAGGCCTTGGGGGGATCATTGGCTTTGTCGTTGGATTGAGAGGTCTTGGAGATCTTTTGGACCATTTTGTAAAGTATAGTATATCCGTCAGAAATGTATGAAGAAACGATGTTGCTGCCTGAAGTCAGGAATACAGGCCACTTATGTCACACAATCTACCCTGATCAGTATCACTTGTGAACGGCTTCAGTGCAACCGCTCCAGGTTGATCCCCAGGGGGCTAATGCATCGGAGCACTCCTTTTTCACTTGAAACAATCATCATCTCGTATGATTGTCATGTTCAATCCGAGAATCCGAGCAAATAACATACAATTAACTTTCGTTGCGTATCTCTACCGGTAAGGTTATAATCTCCACATGCACCGCTTTGCAATGATGTTCAATCTCTGGCTAATGAGGAGAATGGCAGATTTCTCGGGACAAATGAGCAAGCAGAGAATTTACCTAAAAAGGAAAGAGGAGAGGAAAGCGGGGAAGCATATGATCTTCTTGAACCCGCTAAATGTAAAGAGGCAGCCAAGCCTGCCATAGGGGCTCTCAGGCTACTTAACACAGAGCACTAGAGCTCGAATGGAAATATTTCAAACACCTTCTACAATAACTCCCTTTTTGCGTGGCCATTTTGCAGATATTACCAAAGACTGACGAGCCTGCGCAGAGCACCATTCTTTCTTGTTTGTTTGTAAGTCAAGCGCCTCTGATCGGCGCACCCACAGTTTTTGGTACCTGCGAATTTCAGGCTTTTTACGCTTCCCAGGTATTCCCTCATAATATAGGCAGCGGGAGCTTTACTACCGTGCCATGGACACTTACAATGGAGACTTTCTGGTCTACTCATGTACTGCTGCCAGTCTGTTCCATCGCCTGGCCCAGGAGTTCTGCTACTTCTTGGGCCAAGATCCCCCGTTCTGATCTGCATGGTGTCCAGAAATTTTGCATGACGGCGTTTAGCCTAATTCCAATGTCAGCTTGAGGACATGTGAATTGTAGCGATATGATGGATGTAGTCCTATAGTGGTTGGAGTTTATTTGCTCCTCTTGCCGCATCAGGCAAACGTCTGGACCATTCAGGGTGATGCGTTAAGTCCCAGTTATGTAGTCATATTTCCGACATAATGTGTTCCTAGCTCTCTTACTGTCTTGCAAATGAAATCTGGTATCCCATATAAAATTGCCATAGAAAAAAACCGAGAGCCGCAAAAGCCCCTCCCCAAGGCGTGCAGCATTGCGTTTTACCTCAATTCCAAGGGAACCTTTCAAAGCCCTTCGAAATCAGGAAACTGGATAGCAAGTTGAACAGTTTTGTTTCAATCCGTATAGAGTCATCTTCAGGCGACCACACTTCCCTGTTGCCTCGCAGCCTTCGAGCAAGTGGATAAAGACCTCTTCTTTCAATTTCGCGTTTAGAAAAACTCCAACTATGTCAACGTGCCAAAGGGTCCAAACAGAACGGGTGGCGAGCGCCATTAAAAGCTTGAAGCTCATCGGTTTAGCCACAGTGGCGTAGATCTCATGAAAATAACGACCTTTCTTTTGTCAAAATCCCTTGAAAACAAAGCGAGCCTGTAGCGGCTATCGAGATTGATTTTCCATACCCAGCTGAGTGGGATAGGTCTCGTTCCAGGCTCCGGTCCGACTTCCCATGTGCCATTGTCCATACGCTTTTGTAGCTCCTTGTCGCGTGCAACCTGGGAGAAATTCTGTCATTATCCTGTGTTTGACTGCACACTCACCAAGTTCATGGACGAAGATAATGCGGGTTTCTAGGGCGATAGGGAGAACACAAACTGCCCGGCCGATAGGAGTAGAGGGTTGAATGATTGTAATTGACTATCTTCACCATCAGCTCATGAAACATAGGGAGATACCGATATTACTCACACGTTTCGCAGTTTTAATACGCTGCTTTGGGAGTCAGGGGTCGAAAATTTCTGGTCAGCTACGCCAGCTGTCCATGCATTTTCGTCTCCCACATAGTCACACTTCGTTGTTAACCGAAAACGGGGAGCAGTTGTTTTTCGTCGGTATAACACCACTCGAAGAGCCTTGTCTGGCCATGGCTGCTGGATCCTGTTAATTACCTATACATTTGAGAATACGGAATAATGGGATAGCCATCTTGTATCTCTATTCTTGGACTGTACCAGTAAGACAGTTCTGTCAAGAAAACAAGTCGTTCCTGTCTTTGACGGGGTTTTCGGCTTGTGTTTATCATCGGCAGTGATTGATTGCCTATTCGACAAGGATTAGGCGCTTGAAGTACTGTTGTTTGGGGTGCAGCTTTCGCGGTGAGCCCTTTCTGGGCATTGTTGGCTGGGGTTTTGGAAAGATCTTTATGACCGATATTGGTATTGGATGATATAAAAGTTGTAACGGTATAGTTGTACTTAGTTATTACAGGGAACTTTGATTATATCGTAATAGATAGAGAAATGAAGAGGAGGGAAGAGAAAAGGGAAGATGAAGTCTAGCCCAGAAATATGCTTTGCCTCCCAGAGACCAATCAAGAAATTTTAGAAGCTATTCACAGTAAGCTATAGGACAACATCACATAATGATTTTGTTCATTTGAATAAAGGAATAAAACTAATCTACAAAGTAGACACAACAGGCCCATCAGTCTGTTGCTGTACACCATCCTGCACCTTCATAAACGAAGAAAAAAACCCCTCCATCTCCTCATAATCATCCACCTCCCCAACCCAACTAACATACTGATCTGGCCGCACAATCACACTAGCCCCTTGCCGCGGATCAATACCATAATTCTCATACACCCTCCCATGACCCTCATGATACGACTGATCATCCGCAAACACCTTCCAGTAATCCCACCCCATCTTCTCATGATACGGATGGAAAATATCTGGTAAATCCAACAACTCGACATCCCACCGTGGCCCAACATGGACAGTAAGAACCTCGATAACGCCATCGATAGACAAATTTGACGGCGTATATCTCCGAAGGAAAGAGTTTGCGTTACTCAATTTCTCGCCCAGTCGCTGATAGCGGGTCGTGTTCGTCTGATTTGTTAGGGATCCTGGGAACACAATCACACGCCAGCGACCATTGCTCTTGAGCAGCTCTTGTAGGTGCCATGGACGTGCGTCGGCTTGGTTGAGGACTTTGTGGCTGGGGATACGTTGTCCGACAGGGATGGTCCTTGCGAGGTGTTGTTTGCTTAGAACGCGGTGTTTGCTTTGGCTGGAGACATCGGTTCCGTCGCCTTGTTCGGCGGAGGAGCCGGGTTTGGCGACGATGAGACTGGCGCCGTAGTCGACGGCTGTAGTTTGTTTGTTAGGATTGTACAATGAGGGATGTGCTTGTTTGGGTTGGCTTACCGATTCCGCTGGCGAACATGTTGCCTTTTTGGAAGGCGGTCTTGAATTCTTCCATGCTGATGCCTTCTTCGTCCATTACGTCCATGGAGGGGCGGCCGGAGAAGAGGCGTGAGAAGCGGTAGTCGAATGCGATTAGGTCCTGTGCGATTCGTCGTCTTTCGGACTGGTATGTCTTCAGGATTGAGAGGTCACTGTATCCCTTGACGACGTGGGCTAACTTCCAGCCCAGATTGTATGCTATCATTTGTTAGTCACCAATATTAATTCAGATCTGAGAAAGCAACTTACTATCTTGCATGCTAACGTTCATTCCCTGTCCAGCCTTAGGAGAGTGCGTGTGGACCGCATCACCAGCCAGGAACACCCGTTCCTGCAACGAGAAATTACTTCCAACGCGTTGGCCAATTTGGTACGCCGTCCACCAGTCACAATACTCATAAGTAAGCGTATACGGATGCAAGATCCGCTGCGCAGACTTGAGTATCATATCGGGGGTAATACTCGACCGGTCTGCCTTCCCTCCTCCCACCTCCGTCGACTGAAGCTGAATATACAGCCGGACAAGCTTATTCTCCCGCGGAATCACCATGACGGACCCAGCATTGGCCGAATGAATAGCACACCGCATCCGGATATCAGGGAAGTCAGTGATGGGGACGATATCAAGCACACCCCAGATATAGTCCGTCGAGTCGCCCTCCAGACTGAATCCAAGTTGTTTCCGGACCCAGGAATGAGCGCCGTCACAGCCAACCATGAACTTGGCCTTGACTTCTTCTGTTTGGTTGGCGCGACCACTTTGCTCCGCTGATCGAATCATGTCTTCTGTATCGTCTGGAGCGAGGTTGCTGCGGAAGAGTCCGTCATCCACGACGGTACCATTGGCAGACTTTTGCTGTTGCTGGGGTGTGGCTTCTTCGTCTGAAAGTGTCTTGAGGGTCACGGTGATGGGATAGTCGATGGGATCGCGAGCCTTGGACTCGTTAAAGTTGAACGAAGTAGGCAGTACTCCCCGCTCAACGGTAATATCGCTGTGCGCCTTGATAGAGTCGAGGAAGAACCGCTCAATACGGCCTTGGTGTAGGACGACTTGCTGGAATCGACTGATCCCGGGGATTGTATCCGCAATACGGTCTGAGCGGCGGAGGGTACCGTTCTTGTCTGGATTCCAGAGACAGATCTCCAACATGTGGTTTGATTCCTGCCAGACACGTTGGGCGAAGTCAAAGGAGTCGAAGATTTCTAATGTTCGACATTGGAGGCCGTCTGCTTGGCCGTTGAAGACCTGCATGCATGCGGCATTAGTATCCTGTGATAAGAAAAGAATGACAATGAGAATACCTTGGTACCCCGCTTGTCTACCACGCGTGTCTTGATACCACAGCGGCTCATCCAATTCGCCAGCATGAGCCCTGCCGGGCCAGCGCCGACGATGAGGACGTCAACATGGGTGGTAGGTCGTGTCATGATACTTCAGGAAATGTATGAAAAATAATTAAAACATGCAAGATAATCTGGACATCCAAATCCTTGTCAACGCGTCTACACCACCAGCTATATAGTTCCCCTTCCGTACAACACCCGAAGACCATATCCGCGGATCGACTTCCGAAATGGGGGGGGGGGGGGGGGGGGGTGTCAGCCCCAAAATTCCCCGTCAAAAGAACAAAAGCACGTATGAGAGTACTCCCTACACAGTACGTACTGATCCGACATTCTGTGTTGGTCCGTGTTGGCAGTTTAACGGAACTGAAAGATTCGAATTGACCAATGCTAGTCCGGGGACCCCGCGTTTCGGGTCGGAACGATATAACGGATGTTGAGTAATGGCGGGCAGTTAGGGACCACTGGAAGATGAACTTTCAAGAAGCCAAGAGGATTGTGCTGGCTATGGAGGGGTTGATTGGTTAGATATGGGGTTCCGGTTTGAGAATTGGCGGGATGTCTATAGGTTTAATCCGTATTTCCGTCGACGGGAACTGAGGAAGCGATATTCTGATTAATCTGTACTTTGGCTGTAGATCTAGCCAGCGAAAGGCGAATGGGATAAGTGCATTTAATTCCGGACGTGCCTGGTCTTGACTGGTTGGGTGCTAGATCTGTAGTAGCGAGCCTGAATATTTAAATGAAATGCAGACAGTCTCGTGAAAATTCTACACCAATCGTTAAATTGTGTATAGCATGTTTGCGACGCTGTAGTTTTGAGTACTCCGTATTCCAGTACATAGTATGTACTCCGTAAATATCGAACTCTCCGCGAGATAGCTATTCCGTCATTGTTTATGATTTTCCGCATTAGTGCAAGTGCCAGATAACCGAATGAGCTGCCAGAGAATAGCCATTAATTATCAGCCATAGAAATTGACGACTTTGATAGTTAGTTAATACGTGCCAATTAAATAACCAACCAATCCCACAATAATAAGGTTCTGAAGCTACGATGTAACATTCCAATACCGACCATCGGTTATTGGATAGGCCGAGGATCATATGCAAACAGACATAAACCTGTCTGATAAGGCATTGATTCAGCTGAACTCATTATCAGAGCATCCTGATGTGCTCTCGTTCTCACAGCCATGGTACTGTATAAGTAACACTGTACGTGTCATTGCGCTGTCTCTCTGCAAGATCGAATCGCGGATGTGTGCTGTAAGGGTCGAGTCAAGACCTATAAAATTAAAACAGTAGAAAATTATGCACAAGAATATTCTGCGTATAATAATTCAATACTATAGTAGCTGTGTCAATTGCAGTGTACAAGAGTGAGCACGCGACAGCGGACGGATTGCATCACAAAAGGTCACAGCGCCCCTAAGAGAACAATTTTCCCTCTTTCCTCTCTCAACTCCTCTTCAGCCGCATCTCACTGCGTCCCAATCCTTTTTCCTCTTTTCTTTTTTTATTTTCTCTTCTTACGCTCTCTACTCTGTATTCACTTTCTGTTTTACTACGTTCTTCTAATACTAATTTCACCGCCTTCGAGTTGGGCAGCTTCTTGTTTTTTCTCCTGAACCTCCGCTCTCTCCGACATCATGACCAGCGCCGGTGACGTGAGCTATCCCAACCCCAACGGGAACAGTAAGGTATGTCAGGATCCTTTATTGCAGGTTAAATCTACGTGCTGACTGAAGTTGTTTGAACCACAGTAAACTACGTCCCAAATCGAACCCCAACGTCCTCAACGTCCTCAACGTCCTCCGACCTCGCGTGTGAAGTGACACAAGCTGACTGAATTCAAGACGCGAAAGACATCTTCACCAACGGTAGGAGGCAAGGATAAGGGACTCTGCGAAAACAAATCTGACCATGGTTGTAGGACCCATCATGGACAACATCAAGACTGAAGCATCCCGCACTGGAGATGAGTTCCGCGACCTCAAGAACTCCAGAGTGACTCCCTCGAGCACTGCCTCGACCGGACAACCCTTGACCTGTATGTGATGGAAGGGCACCGCTGCTGCAATGGTGTTGGCTAATCATCGCGCAACACAGACTACCACTCTCTGCTGTACAGCCTGTTGAGCGTAGGTGCTCACATGTGATCCGTGTCAAGTACCGAGCTAAACCATGTCATGCAGTGGGAACAACCTCGCGCTACGGCCACCTCGTATATCAGCGTTATCACCTTCATCTTCGCCGCTCGTTACCTGCCTCTTCTTCGCTGGGTCTTCAAGTTGGCCTACGTCGTTTTGGGATGTACGTGGATACCTTGTCGTTGTGTGTTGGGTTCAGTTACTGATAGGGGCTAGTTACCGCGGCATTCGAGATCGGTGGAAGATTGGTTTTCGGTCAGGGTCTTTCGAGCTCGTTCCGTCCCCGCAAGTACTACACTGTCCCCAGGGAGACCATCGAAGCGATCCTGGAGGACCTCGTGCAGATCCTTGACTTTGGACTGCTCGAATTCCAGCGTGTTCTGTTTGTTGAGAACATCGCTCACACGGTCGCTGTATGTTTCTATTACCCGGGGTATCCAGTGTGATTGACGTTCTGACAATTTCGCAGGCCTTCTTCGCTGCTCTGAATGCCTACTGGTTGATCAAGTTCCTTCCGTTCTGGGGCTTGTCGTTCATCGTCGTCACCATTGCTTACTTCGGTCCTCTCACCTACATGAACCACAGTGAGGTCATCGACGCCCATATCGAAAAAGCCCAGTCGATTGTCGAATCCCATGCCAATCAGCTGAAGGACCTGGTCGAAGAGCGAGCAGCCCACGCGACAGGTATTGTCAAGCAGTACTTGGATGACTACAGCAACAAGGCCTCGGATTTCATTACTCCCCGCCCGCGTTCCGCGTCGCCCGAGTTGAGAAAGGTGTCTAGCCCTGTGATTAAGAAGGAGCCCAGTACCGAGCCCGAGATTAAGCCATCCGCCTTTCCCCAAGCTCCGAAGGAAGAACCCGTGTACGAATCCATCGAACCTGCTGACCAGAGAGAGCCTCTCTTGGCAGCCTAAGTGGCATGCACTAAACCTGAAAGGTGCTAGTATTTGTTTGACACAAATGCTGGGAGATTGGACGGTTTAATGACAGCACTATGTGCGGTAGGTCAAGAGTGTCCGAAGTGGTGCAACATTTCCCTTTACAGCAAACCGTTCGGAGATATTCGTGGTCTAAGGAGGGACGGCCCCGGTGTGTGTGATGAAAAAGAGGGCTTTAATTTCTTTTGTGTCCTTTTCGTTTACTCTTCTTGTTTCCCTTTGCTTTCGCCTCTAACTTTCTCGTGTGTATGTTTTACTTCCTTGTTTATTGTTTCCTATGGGGCCTTTGTTATGTGTGAATTTGCTTTTTTGTCTTTATTTCTTATTCGAATGTCAGCCCTCGAATCCCTTTATGCAAAATGCCCGATTGGGTTTCCGATTGAATGGCGGGGATAGTGCAGGAAAAAGCCAAAAGAATGCAGAAGTTATTCTCAAGATCATACCAAAAAAGCAAAAGACCTGCTGTGATTATATGCTAAGCTCTAGAACCTCCATCAGAATGGTGTCCGGGGAGGTCACTGGGATGCCCGATTTGAACCTCGGCCGACACCATCAGGCTGTGCGAGCTTCGAGGCTGTCACTGATTTCGCCGACGGCATCGTCGTAACCGCCAAGTGTCATCCAGCATCCCTTGCGGCACACAGCTGCGCATTCGTTAACCCCGATCTGTCTCCGGCGTGATTTCGGGTCCACCAGGTCGGATAGCGTGAGAACGTGTGTACTCGTGTGTTCCTGCGTCCCAGCAGCATCGTCGAAGATGACACCCCTATTCCCCATGGAGAGAGTCGCACAAGTGCTCCCAGCTGTTTTAGGAACCCGACAAAATAGCAAGGATAGATGGAGGGCCTGTACTCCTGTGTATTCGTATAAGCGATTGTTAGCCTCCTTCTGATCAGTATGATCACGGTGCTCAGGGGTACTCATTGATAGGGTAGTAGACGTACTGTAGTATCGGAATCGAAGCAAGGACTGCTCCGAGAATCTGTCCGTAGAGATGTGCACGAGGTGTCTGTATGCATGTTGTGCGTAGCTGACTAAGTAATTTATGCGTGGTACTAACTAACTAGTATTATCCTGGTTGGAGATAACCACCTGAACCTGACCTCCTATCCTCCTCCCGATGGTCAAGTCCACCCGGCCGAAATAATTTGCTTCCGCCGTGGATGACGTTCCTCGAGAGGATTGTCTCGATTAACCTAAACAGGAATAGCTGGCCCTAATGAGAATGTCTCTGGTGGTCTTTTCTGGCTGGCGCTTCTTGTCCACCAACAGCATTCTCTCTTTGACTGGGTTGATTTTGGAAACTAATAATAAAGAAATCTGAGAAACAAGACGAGCTTCTATTTACCGCAAATTCACGATCGAAGACATACTAAGAAAAATAGAATGTCTCGGGTACCGGGCTTCTCGCGCTTCTGGACGTCCGTCTGTCTCAATGTTGACGCACCCTACCTGTCTATCAACAAAGACACTTTTTTACCGTTTTCTTACGCTGATTGAAATGTCGTATGTGCACGTTTTTGTGTGATTGCAGGATAGTCGTACTTTGGACAACAGTGTCACTCTTACACGCGCCGTTTTCTGTCCTGCCCTTCTGCAGATTGCATTGCATCACCAAGAACCAAGAAGAAAAACGATGGTGTACTCCGTACACTGAATAATAAATGATTCAAGAAATTACTATTTCCGGGTAGTCCACATGATTGAACCCAGTCAAAAAAGAAATCATGGTTCAATCGACGCACCAACGAACGTGTCGGACAGCTGCAGAGAAACCTGTATGGAAGGTTCTTTCTTTGGCGCCTGTTTCTTGTCCTCGTCTGCACTATTTGAATCTGTTTGCTTTGGTTTAGGCGGTTGGACTCGTCGAAGAAGCGGTATATTGGGCAGGAGACGTGGATCAATGGCGCTAACTAATGGTTGTCTTTCCTGAAGAAAGAGGAGAGAATAATGACCGCGTGGAATTGCAATAAAGCCCGATGGAAAAGAACAGGCAGTGATCTCTACTTTTCCTCTTTTGGGATGGGGCCATGTAACGTGCATGCCGTTTGAAAGTTCGGATGCTGTCCAACATGAGATAAATGAATCGGGAAAGGCTTCTATCACTATCATCGAACAAGGGGGGCTTTCCCCGGCCGGGGCAACCGGATTTTCTCATTTCCAACTCCTCCGTCCCCGCTTTCGCTATCGGAAGTAAATCGTCCCGTTTCGTTGGTAGGATGTCAATCGCGGTTCCCGTCATACCAAGAAAACAGAGCGCCATGCAGGTTGCCGTGTCTAAGACCTCTTTGGAGCCTGGATGCCTGTATTATTTCGAACGAAAGGCAAGCGCCGTTTTTCCCGTTCCGTCCGCCTATTACGTGCCTGCGTGCTCGGGTGAAAAGGGCCAATATGTTCCGGTCTAACAGAAACAGCTGGTGCTACTTTGATCGAGTTTAGACATGGTGTTACGGGAGATCTATACCAAAGGGAGAAGGCGAAGACGAGTAAGCGGTGGGAAAATGTGGTAATTGCCAGGAGAACAAGGTCACAGGATACAACGATACCTTGCGATACCCTGTCGATTTTGACACCCATGTGTCCATCGTCCATGGTCCATTATGTGCTCATACACAGCCTTTGAGACTAGCTTGCATCTGCCAAACTGATTGCTGCATTTGTTTGCATCTGCGGGTCGTGGATCAGCTGAATCAGAATCCGACTTTTGAGTCATGCAAGGCTCCACATGTTTGCAAATGGATGCAAGAGTCCCTAAGACGATGTCTCTAAAAAGACGTAATGTTGTATTCAGGTCGTGGGTATCTGCAGATGACACAGTGCAACACAATTAGGCCTCGAAGTTGAGGCAATGGGTGGCTGTCCCGCCGTCATTGAGGGGAGGGAGGATAACGTTGATGACGACCAGCATTTCGGTTCAGCGTGCACATGGTTCAGAGCAATCTGTCACAAAAACCGGTATTGTTGAACATTGATTGAGTTTTGATTAACTGAATAAACTCCTGAATGGGCGTTGGACCAAGGTAGGGCAAGGACTCGTTTTGATTTTCAGGAACCTCGTGATGTCTTGTTTGGTTCAAGGACTGATTACCGGTGAAATGAGATTGGGCTTTCTTGTTCAAGACATTTACACATTTGCATTTGCACATCCTGGTCGTCTCCAACCAGACGGACCGGGCTCGATGATTCACCGCAACCCTGTCAGTGCATTGCCTCGAAGAGACTGCCTGCACTCTGTTTGTCCAATGTCTATGTGCAGAAAGGAAACGCCACCCAGAGTACCACCGTCTTTTTAATTTTATTTTGATCCTGCCAGATACTATCACAGATCCACTTTTGGAGGGGAAGGCCTGTTGCCCCGTGCAGGTGCAGGACCATCTTAGAATCCTACCCTGACAAAAGCGAGAAGAACACAGCCTGGAGTGACTACCCCCAGCACAGTTTGAAACGGTAATAATTAATGTCCTGTCTTTTTGGTATATTTACAGTCCCGGTAACTTCTCGGTCTTGGTACAAAAGTACATATCTCGTGCGGTTTTCCTTCTAGACCTTTTCATCTTTCATCTATTCATCGTTCTTGTTCGTCTTGTCTTGTTCGTTTTTGTCTTTAGTCTTCTTTGACGCTTTGTTTTGTCTCTGGTCTTCTGGGAAAGCCTTTTTAGTCTGTTTTAGGTGTTAAAACGCTCGCTCGCTCTCTCTTCCATCCCAGCGTCCTATAATCCATCTTACCCACCTCTTCTAACACCTCTACTCGTTGGGCATTCGTTACTCTCACAACACCACAATGTCAACAATCCAAGCCCTCCTAAACCCCCTCCCAGACCAACAATTCCCCTTCACCCTCCCCAGCCCCCGAAATCCCAGACCCGACGCAGCGCCCGCCCGCAAAAAGCAAAAGTCCAAAGGCCTCCCCCGCAAAAAAGGCCCTATCCGCGGCGAACTGCGGTATCCGCCGTACGAAGAGCGCGATGACGGGTTGGCAAGTATCCATCGCGAGTTTCGGATGAATCCTATGGGTAGCGGTGATATTAGGGAGAGGCCGTGGCATGTGCCATATAATAGTGATAAGAAGACGTTTCAGGGTTTGACGGGGAGGGATTCGCTTGAGGGTGAGTTTGCTTTCTTATTTGGTAGTGTGGTGTGTGCTGACGTCGATGGTGATAGTGTTTTATTATCAGTTCAAGTTGCCGGGACAGGCTGAGAGTGAGGAGCCGTGGTGGGTGATGTGGGATTACAATATTGGGCTTGTTAGGATGACGCATCTATTCAAGAGCAACGGTCATTCAAAGGTATGCCACCCATCCATCCCATCTAATGACCTATATTAACAGTTACAGACAACAATAGGCAAAGCCATGAAAGCCAACCCAGGCCTCCCCGAAATATCCCACAGCATCACCGGCGGCGCAACCGAAGCGCAAGGTACCTACTCTCCCTCGATCTTCACATTCAGCACTCAATACTAACGCAACCAGGCTACTGGGTCCCCTTCGACGCCGCCAAAGCCCTAGCCGCAACATTCTGCTATAAAATCCGGCACGTCCTCGTCCCACTCTTCGGTCCTGATTTTCCCAGACTTTGCATCCACCCGCACGACCGCACACGTTTCAACCGCATGATTATCGATCGGGCTGTTATTCAACGGGCGACGCAGACGGCGAATTATTATCGTGGTTTGGGGCTGCGGTCTTCGCCGTTCAGCACCAGCACTAGCACAAACTCCAACACCACTCCCAGTCCTAGCCGACCTACGTCTTCGTCCGGTGGTAGTTTTCTCGCGAGGAAGAAGGCTATTCCACGGTCTAGGAAACATGCGAATAGTCTGAGTTCAAACGCGAGCATTACCTCTGGGACGGCGAGTAGTGAGTACGGCTCTGGTATCGATGGGTACTCCGATACATACTGCGTATCGCCGGTGAGCGTGGGCTCGTATCGGGGTGGGAATACGTTTACGCCGGTGAATACGCCGCGGAGTGTGGATGTTTACACTAGCACTTCTTCTGATGCTGCCTCTGCCCCTGGCACTATTACTGGTAGCATCCCAACTCCACAGCAAGTCCTCGCCTCCATCTCCGCCAAGGTCAACATAAACACAAACACCGACGAAACCTCCAACTCCACCGGTACAAGCCCCAGTCCCAGCCCCGGCATATCTACCGACGAAGAAACCTCCTCGCCATCAACAGCATACTCCGAAACCAGCAGCTCCTGGAGTGACTATTCGTTCGTCGATATCGATAAAGATGATCACGAGTACATCGACAGTCCGACTAGTGAACCCATGCCCAGCCGGAAACGAAAGGCTGATGGTAACGTGCTACTTGTGAAGGAGGTTAAAGCTGCGCATGCGTTGCTTAGTTTGCATATGCAGGATGCGAGTGGGAGTGAGTGCGATGAGGCTGATGAGGATGTGTCGCCGCCGGTATCGTCATTGGTGGGTGTTTATCAGCAGCAGCAGCAGCAGCAGCAGCAGGCATACACTCAGGGACTGAGTCGGAAAAGAAGACGGGCGTCTACTTAGATCGTCGGCATTTGCTTGGCTTGGTGTTGTTGGGCGGGTGATGTTGATTAGGATAATGTGTTATGGTAATGTTTATGTTGTTATGATTGATTACATGGGTATAGAGGCGTTGTTGGCTTTGTTTTGAATGATTTCGGTATTATTAGTTAGTCTAGTCTAATTACATTGGGTTTATATCTATCTATCGTCTAGTCTATGCTTTTATCCCGCGTATTAGTCTGACTCTGTACTCTTTACGGATACTCACTCCGCACTCGCACTCTATACAGACACCCAATCTGTACCCTGCCTGTATCCCACTCCGCACGCCATACGCCGCAGGATCACTTATTAACAGCATACCGACTCCACCCTCGAATAACATGTCCCCACCTATAAAAAACATACGGCACAACCGTCATAACCGCACTAATACACCCCAATATCGTAAGTGTATATTGCACCCCCATATTCTTATAAAACGGCACTCCCACGACCGTCATACCGCCCGCCGCCGCGTACCGCGATACAGTCATGAAACCGAGTGCGGAGGCGGCGTAGATATCGTAGGAGTCGATAATGTACATGTAAGACGAGATGAAGACGGTTATGGTGCCGAAGCCGAAGATTGTGCTGGCGAGGATGGGGGACCAGATTGAGATGTTGCTCTGTGTGTTTTTGTTAATATTTGGATTGAGTTTCAAAAAGGGTGGGTGGGGGAAAGGGAAAGGGACAGGGAAAGGGGGCGTACATAGTCCGTCCAACCCATCCAGAAAAGACCAATGGGGATAAACGGTGCACCCATCATAGCAAACCAAAGCCTATTCTCAGGCCTCGTATGGACCTTCTTCTTCCCATCGACCCCAGGCTCCGCCTCCGCCTCCGCAGCCTCAAACTCACGCTTCGTCCACCGATAAACCAACGGCACAAGCAGCGCAACCAGCATAATCCCGCAATACATCGCCACCCAGACGATATTCGTAAGGCCCTGCGAGAGATCATGCACATCGGTATAAATATACTCGTATCCGTCGAAGAAGGTGAACAGCACGATGTAGATTATCGTCATGTATAGCGATATCAACAAAATGATAGGTTCGTGCATGGTTAGTTCGAATTGCCGGAAACAAGCGCCGGTCATGCGTGTGAATAGCGCGGTTTTCTCGAGTTCCATCTCCGCGTGGAAGCGGTTGTCGCCTGTTCGGAGGCGGAGCTGGTGGGCTTTCCATTTTAATAAGAGGGGGGAGTACGTCTCGGGCTGGAAGAGGATGACTGTGGCCATGACTAGCCCCGACGCAATGAGGATAATCCAGCTCGTCCACCGCCACGACAATACACCCTGTCCCATCCATGACGCGATTACGGGGCCAAGTATAGGTCCTCCGAAGGATAAAATCGCATACATAGGGAACAACAGCGTTTTCTCAAGCGGATTCCACAAATCAGCCACCGTCCCCCCCGCACAAGTCAATGGTGGACACCCGAATATCCCCGCTAAAAATCGAAACGCCAATTGCGCACCGATATTCGGCGCCAAACCACTCGCCATTTCCCAAATCATAAACAGCGTCAAAGATCCCGCATACACGGCATTCCTCCCCAGAACCTCAGACAACGGCCCCGAGACCAGCGATCCCGCCGCGAAACCTAGTAAATAGATCCCCGTCGCCAGCGAAGCAACGACATCGCTAACACCAAACGCAGCTGCGTTCTGCGGTAACACGCCCGATTCGATCGATGATGCTGCGCCGACGATGAAGGCTAGGGCTGTTACGTTTAGGGTTGCTGCGAGGCGAGAGGCGTGGGTGTAGTTCTGGGGGTTGAGGGTGTCGTGGTCGTCGGCCCAGGTTACTAGGTATATTGTTGATTGTTTGCCGGAGGCGTCAGTGTAGTGATGGGGTTGGATGCCTGGGGGGATGGTTGAGAATTCGGGTTTCTCTTGCGTGTCTGGTGTTTGCGATGGTTGTTCTGGGAGGTCTGGGACTTGGTGATGTTCAGGCAGATGCGCTAGTTCTGGATAGTCGTCGAGTTGCTTCTGCACGGCTTGGCCTATGCGGCGGTATTGGAGGTAGGCCTGCATTCTGCCTGCCTGTCTGTCTGTACCTGAAAGACAAGATAGACAGCAGACAAAGAGGAAAAGAGAGGGAATAAAAGACCTGTCTGAAAGAAAGAATTCTCAGCTGATTAATGATTAATGGGTACCGGCGCCGACTCGGACGAGTTCTTTATCTCGGTGGACCGAGCCCTGACCTGTTGTTATTCGGATTTGGGTTATACTTGGAAAAGCTTGTCTGATCTCCGTCTCCGTTTGCCTCTTTGGGTACTGTACTATGTACATCACCGAATTCCGGTTTTTTTTTTTTTTTTTTGTTCAACTTACAAATAGACTTGACTGTCAGTATGGTGTAATCTAGCAAATAGCAAACACGCATAAGAAAAGAAGCAAACCCGACTCGGCTCGGACTTCTGGCCGATTCGGGTCGGAGTTCGAGGCTCGGGCTCGGGGTGTCTATCTCCGAGTTATCGCCGGAGTAGGGCAAGCACTCCGATACTCTATACAGTACCAGTATAGAGGACAGATCAATGAACAGTAATGCAGATTAACACTAAGTACAATAACATGATGATTACATATAGACAAAGGAAACCATAACACGATAGTGGTAAATAACATAAAGGTCACACATCAAACACCTACTCGCTATCCTCGTCAAAATCATCCGCCGAATCTCCGTCCCCTTCATCGCTAAACGGATCAACCGTGTACGACTTCTTCGTAGCTGCTGTACGTCGCGAAGGTCGAGCGGCCGGCTTGCGCACAGGTGCCTCGTCTTCCTCCGACTCCGCGTCCTTTTTGCCCGCCGGCGAGTCCAGAATGTCATTGGCTATGGCGTCAATGTCGTCGTCCGAGTCGTCCGCCAGCTTCTTCTTGGTCGTCTTGGCCTGCTTGGCCTGGTAAGCCTTGGCGGCAGGAGACATTGTCGTCTGCTTGGTTGCGGGCGCCTTCGCGGCGGTAGTGGCATCCTTTTTCGGTCGGCCACGAGCCTTGGGAGCAGCAGCCTTGGGAGCAGCAGCCTTGCCCTTAGCGGCCGCTCTGCCCTTGGGTGCAGGCTTCACGGGTTCCTCCTCGTCTTCCTCATCGCCATCCTCGAGCTTGGAGGACTCCTTGGGCTTGACCTGGATCGACCGGTGAGGCGAGTTCTGAGGTACCAACTTGCTGTAGTCCGTCTCATCCGCATCAAATTCGGAAGACAGTCGTCTGGGCGAGGGCTTCGCAGTCACCCCCTTTAAACCGGAGCTGCTAGTCGGACGAGACCGCTCGGAGAAGAATTGACGAGAATCGTCGCCCGCCTTATCCCCGATGCCCTTGACCATGTTGCTGACATCGCCAAGCATGTCGTCTCCGAAGTCACTCTCCGAGTCATCTAGACCCGCGTACTTGACTGGCTTGCGGGCGGCTCGGCTGGGTTTGGGCTGGGTTTTGGAGGCTTCGGACTTGGTGATCTGGGCGAAATCATCGTCGTCCAAGTCGTCATCATCGTCATCCTTCGGCTTGGGTTTGGCCTTGGATGCCGCACGACCCTTCTTTGGCGGTTCTTCTACCTCAAAGACATCGTCTTCGTCGTCATCATCGTCGTCCTTCGGCTTGGGCTTCGCTTTCGCTGCCGCACGACCCTTCTTTGGCGGCTCCTCCACCTCAAAAACATCATCATCATCATCATCTTCGTCCTCATCATCCTTGGGCTTGGGCTTCGCCTTAGCTGCCGCACGACCCTTCTTAGGACGCTCCTCTACCTCAAAAGCATCGTCGTCATCACTGGCCGCCTTCTTGGCCTTGGTCTTGGGCTGTGCCTTGGACGCAGCCGCACCCCGACCCTTCTTAGGAGGAGCTTCCGGTGCATCGACAAAGTCGTCATCCTCATCCTTTTCGTCCTGAGGAGACTTGGACGCAGACTTGGACGCTCCACGACCCTTGCTGGCCACCACTGGCTCATCATCCATGTCCTCATCCTCATCCTCGTCCTTGGGCTCCGGCTCCGGCTCCGGCGCTGGCGCCGGCTTAGCCTTGGGTGCGGCACGGCTCTTCTTGGGCATTACCTCCATGGCAAAGTCATCATCAGAACCCTCGTCATCGGACTTCGGAGCTGGCGAGGGCTTGGCTGTCGGCTTTTGTAAATAGTTCATCAGACCTCCCTTGGGCTCAGCCTTCTTAGCAGCAGACTTCTTAGTCTTAGGAGCACCAAAGTCTTCATCGTCGGGATCATCGCCAAGGGCCGCCTTGCGCTTTCTGGCGGGAGCACGACCACCGGTCATGAGCTTCATCGATGTGCGACGGCCCATGCCAGAAATCTTACGCTGGCGACGGTCTGCGTCCTCGAGCTGGAAGCGCCACTCGTTGATAAAGTCTTCCAAGTCTTGCTTCCAGATGTCCTCCTTGGACAACTTGATCAAGGCGTCGATCTCCATCTCCTTTTCGCCAATCTGCTTACGCAGCTTGTCAACGCGTTCCTGGGTCAAGGACCAGATAGCCATGCCCAACAGATAGTCGTAGGCGTTGGAGGCAACTTCAACGTTCGCCGCGTCCTCTTCTCCTCCTCCTTCTTCTTCTTCTTCCTCCTCAACCACAGGCTCTGCCTCGCCAGCCTTGACCGCCTCTGCGACCTTGGGGAAGGGCTTGAATCCACGACTCTTCAATTCACTGATGAGAACAGCCTTCTTCTTCTTCGAGACGACTAGGTCACCGTCGATGATCATCTGGACAAAACGTGCTTGGTTGGTGAGCTTGTCCAGCTCTCTCTGCATCTCTTTCAGCTGGTATTGCTTGCGACGCTCGTAGTACTTGAGACGGATGGTGTAGAACTCCTTGAGAATGTCATCGACTGTAGCGTACTTGGTGATCCGGCCCTCGGGATCGAAAGCGACCAAGTTGGTCGTCGCAAGGGTCTTGGAGAGCTTGAACTTGTCTTCCAAGCCATGATTCACGGCGGCCTGCAAGTTCTTCTCATCCATCTGGATGACAAAGTGGACCTTGGTGTGCGTGTTGTAGTCCTTGTAGTCCTTGATGAACGACGGAGTCTTATCGCCCTTGATAATTTCCTCCAGCTTGTCCTTGAAGTCCTGGGTCCAGGTACGGATTGGCAGTTCAGTGATCTCAACCTCCTTGTCTCCGGCCTCCTTGATGATACCGCTGAACTTGTACCGGTCCCCGCCAAGCGGGGTAATTTCACCGTTAAAGCCCTTGAACCAAGGGGTCATGGGCTTAATTTCCTCGCCCTCAAGCATCCGCCTCAGATTGTCGACCACGTCCTCGGGGTTGTAGTTCGGAATGTTGGAACTCCAACCGGTACCGATACCATCCGAGCCGTTGATCAAGATCATGGGCACGACTGGCATGTAGGTCTCGGGTTCAATCTTCGCACCATCATCCTCGTTATAAGTGAGCAGCGGCTCGTCGTGTGCATGGAAGATCCGCCGGGCAAAGGGCGACAGGCGAGTGTAAATGTAACGAGCGCTGGCGGCGTCGGAACCACCCTGCAATCGACTACCGAAGTTTCCACTGGGCTCCAAGGTGTTGATGTTGTTCGAGCCGACAAAGTCCTGGGCAAGGCCCACAATCGTCTGTTGCAATGAGACATCACCGTGATGGTAGGCGGTCATACCCGAGACGTGACCCGCCAATTCGACGACCTTCATATCCTTCTTGAGGTTGCGCCGGAAACAAGTATATAGGACCTTGCGCTGACCGGGCTTCAGACCATCCACGACCGAGGGGATGGACCGAATGTTATCCGCCATACTGAACAGAATCAACTCCTTGTTGATGAAGTCGGTGTAGCTGATCTTGGCGACGGAGTGGTCAAGGTAGGTACCCGGCCGGAACTGGCGCAGCCATTCCTTACGCTCATCAGCCTTTTTCTTCGAGAAGGCCAGTTCAATGAGCCCAGCTTCGTGATCTTGCATGGTGTGGAATTCCTTCAGGTGGCGATCCAGGTCCCGGAAGTAGACCTGAGCATCCTCCGTGCTGCTAGTACCCAGACCCTTGTAGTACTTGTGGTCCCAGCCACGCTCGTGGCTATGCTCTTCCTTCCAGGCCTCATATTCGGGCATGGTAAAGAAGGAGCGCTGCTTGGTAGGACTCTTGGGGTCTCCCTTCCAGATCTTGACAATGGGAGTGATGAATTCAATCAAGAATTCCGGAATCTTCAGCAAGCTAGGGAACTGTGCCTGAAGGAAGTTGATGAGCAGGCCCTTGATGTGACTTCCATCATGATCCTGATCAGTCATGATCATCAGGTGACCGTAACGAAGACTGCGAGTATCGGTGTACTCCTTCTTGTGCTGCAGGCCGAGGAAGTTCTTGATGTTCTGGATTTCCGCGTTCTTCGAAATCTGGTCGAACGATGCATCACGGACGTTGAGCAGCTTTCCACGCAGGGGGAAGACACCGAACAGATCCGGACCGACAACGGCACGCCCAGCCATGGCCAGACCCTTGGCTGACTCACCTTCTGTCAGGATCAGCGTGCAGTGATGACCGTCCTTGGTGCCAGCCTTATTGGCATCGACCAGCTTGGGGTTGTTGATGCGAGAACGGCGACCGCCATCGCTTTTCTTCAGCATCTGGTCGGCCTTTTGCTCGGCGAAGTGCAGGATGTTGGACATGACTTCGGTTTTTAGGATCTTCTTATAGAACTCTTCCTCAAGAGGGCACTTGCTTCCAAATTGCGACGCCTTGGTGGTGAGCTGTTCCTTGGTCTGGGAGTTGAAGGCTGGGTTGACGATCAATGAATTGACAAAGATAAAGATGTGGTTCCGGATCTGGGCAGTCTTGAGAGTGGCACCCTTCTTGTTCTTTTTCTTGACCTCGTCGGCCAACCGGTTACAGATCTGGTCCGCGATGTAGTTTACATGGGTACCGCCCGAGGTCGTAGCGATGGAGTTCACAAACGAGACCTGCTGGAAGGCGCCATCTGACACGGCGAAACCGATCTCCCAGCGCGGATCGGGGCTGCAAGTGATGATCTCATCCTTGGATCCGGGGCCATCGTCACCACGTTCTCTGCGGATGGCCTTGGTGAACATTTCCATGTACTTCTTGAAAGTGCGGATCGGGATACGGCTGCCGTTCAACTTGACGCCCACCTTGGCAGTTCCCGCCAAGTCATAAACACGACGCATGACAAGGGCCTCAAAGTCGTCGTCCATGCCCTCCATGCCGAATTTGGGGTAATCGGGCTTGAAGGTGACCTTGGTGTAGTCCTCGCCTTTGGAAGCGTCCGTGATCTTGGCCTTGCCCATCTTGGTCATATTGGAGGTCCAAGTCTGCTTGTACTTTTTCTTCTGGCGTGAATCCTGCGTTTCAACGGTGAATTCGGTGGAGAAGACGTTACAGAGCTTGGCACCGAAACCGTTCCGACCACCGGTCACCTTCTGCTGGGTATCATCGTAGTTGGAAGAGGTGAGGAGGTGACCGAAGATGAGTTCGGGGATGTGGATTCCTTCCTTGGAGTGCATTTCGATGGGGATACCACGACCATTGTTCCAGACACTAATCTCACCGGACTCGCGGTCGACGGTCACGCGCATTTCATTCATGTTCTTGTCGTTTTGCTTGTTGTCGGCGGCGTTGACGACGATTTCGTCAAAGATTTTGTAGAGACCCGGCACGAACGAGACCTCTCGGTATTCCATTCCCTCCGACACGGTGCTGTATACCCACATGTGCTGCGTAGTACGTTCGACGGACCCGATGTACGTATCTGGACGTTTGATAATGTGTTCTAATTGTGTAAGCTGCAGATTGTTAGCCATGCAACTTGACGAACCTCAAGGAACAAACAGAAACACTCACTTTCTGGTACTTCTCTGATGAGTTCTGGTCCTTGGGGGCGTCGTCATTGCCAAACGACTCATTCTCGACGTCGGCAAGCGGCTTGGATCCACCCTTCTTCGCAGCAGGGGCCTTCTTTGCTTTCTTGGGAGGGGTCTGCGACATGGCATCGTCATCATCGGAGGGTAGGCCGTCGGACATGTCGTCGTCGTCGTCGCTGTCTGGCTTGGCACGCTTTTTCGAAGCGGTCGATTTGGCGGCTGGTTTCTTTCCGGTGAGGGTGGACTGGGTCATTTTCTTTTGGGCAGGGGCCTTTTTGGGAGCGGGCTTGGCTTTGGGTTTCTATCGCGACAACATCAGTATATGGCTATGGCACGATTCACATGATATGTTGGGTTACTTACCGGCGCGGGCTCCTCAAACTCAGATCCTTCTTCATCATTCAAGATGGAATCATCGAACACTGAGTCATCATCCATGGTGAAGGATGATCTCTAGGGAGAGACGGAGGGGTAACGAGGAGATCGTAGGCAAAGAGAGAATGATTTAAGGGGATAAAGACTGTATGGTTAGTACCGTTCTGATGGGTTAAGAGACGCAAACAACGCTCCACATGCTCAGCAACAGAGTGAGCAGAGCGAAAGAAGCAAAGGAACTGGCGTTGAAAGTCCAATTCCTCAGCAGCGCGGCTGTGGATGTTGATTGTTGATCGCTTTGGGCTGCGACGCGCCTCGAAAATTGCGGGCAAGCCAGGCGGGGTCATGTTGTTCCGGGCCGCTGTGGCGCTTATTGGCCAGATGGGGAAATCTCCAAACAGTGTGGCCCGAAGAGGAAGGTGTTATCAAAACATCCCCGTATTTCATAGAGATAAGTGTCGGTCCTCAACACAGTTATTATGTGGGATGATAGTTAGTTACTGGTAAGGCTATAGAGTAAGGGTAGTGCACATTAATTGAATAAAATATACGGAGTACTCCATACTACGCATGCGATTAGTCGAAACGACGCGAGTCAGGATATATAACTATCCAGTGTTATGGATCAGTCAGGACCCTACCATTCACTATTAGGAGTACAATTTACTGATGGAGCAGCCTAGCCAGTACATACATTTATTCACTGCTCTGACACTAGTTACTATTATTGTAATTCATTTATGTTCTACAGAGTACAGTAACACACTGATACTAGTACTCCAGAGTAAAGGTACGTACTTCTGCTCGACCGTTGTTTTCTAGAACCTCCCGATCGGGCTAGTGCCTCACCCACATCTCGTGACTTTAACATGTAACCACCAATTAACGCACGGAAATAGAATGGGCCAATAAACGCCAATAACCGATAGTACTAATTTCGTTGAAACTGTAGAAGTTACGGTGTGAATAGTTGTAAGCCTAGACTGAGTACGGAGTATTTGTACTCTGTACATGAAGTGTGACGGAGAATATCCGCCTTGGCTCCCCCTGATCAGAACCAGAAAACGCGGTAGATCGACGTCCTCCGTATCCGTACTGTGTACGGAGACAAGTTCAGGTAGACACCAGTAGTAACTAGAAGTGCGAGTATAGACTATATACATACTTGTAGTATAGAGTAGCCCCGCCCCAGGGATAACGGCAGATATAATTATACCATGTACAACGAGTGAATGCACAGGCCGGCATTATTGACAGGATCGTCGGATTCTCGACTAGTAATTATTAGGAGGAGTCCCCATAACACTCTGTATCCCCTAAAGTCTATTGTCAGGAGGTGAAACCCTTCTTCTTTTCAACCGTTCTCTCTCTTTCTCTACTACGTACAAGTATATTGAGTATTGTTAATGCGCATCGAGAATCCTACAGCTATCCTCATGTTCCTGTTGTACCTGCGTCAACGTTAAATCACGACCATGGAATCCTCCGACTCCGCGTCCGCCGCGACCTCCGCGCCCCTCCAGCAAATTCCCACCACGACCACAACAACCGCTCGAAACAACCAGAACGATGGCGCGAATACCGATTCGATGGTGACGGTTCCTCTGTCTGAAGTGCAGTTTGATTCCGAACACACCCAGCCCGAATGGCGCTCGCTCAACATCCCCCAAACGCCCGCCGACCCCGTGTCACCAACCCAGAGCGAGAATGGCGCCAAATCCGACGCCGGGAATTCCTCCAGACGATCTCAATGTAGCGATCGAGGGATGGACGACGAGGTGGATTGGGCAGAGCTGGACAGAACTGAGGAGCAGGAACCGCGTGGAGAGGATGCGGACGAGGTGCGTTATTCCATCCAGTGTTCAATTCAAGAAAAATCGTACTGATGAAACAAGTCCACGGCTCTACTCTTAGCCCGACTCGAACAAGAAAATAACGCGTTGGCGACAAACCCCAAATCCGGCTTATCCTCACACACCAAAAAGCGATCGCAGTCCCTCCACCACATCAAGCGATTGATCAAGGACGATTCGCGGTGTTCATCCATCCGATACTCCCAACTTCCTGCCCCTCCCATGACCGAACTCGAGTTTTGGGCCGCCTTGGTATCCGATTACCATCAGACTGCCCAGCGACTCCCGACCTTGACCACCAACAAGATCCGGAGCGGAGTGCCACCTCCGTTGCGAGGGGTCGTGTGGCCCAGTTTGACTGGCGCGAGAGACCAACATCTACTGGCTGAGTACCAGCGACTGTGTGGCGAGAGTAGTCCATACGAGGGCATGATTGGGAAGGACATTGGCCGGAGTTTTCCCAATGTCGAGATGTTCCGCGATCCCAATGGTGAGGGTCAGCAGATGCTGGCGCGGGTGCTGAAGTGTTTCAGTCTTTACGACACCAAGATTGGATACTGTCAGGGTCTGGGGTTTGTCGTGGGTCCGCTCTTGATGCACATGACAGATGCAGAAGCATTCTGTGTTTTGGTTCGGTGGGTCGTCCTTCCTGAGTGTAATTGAAGCATGACTGACCGTCGCCAGACTGATGGAACATTACAACCTGCGAAACTGCTACCTTCCTGATCTCTCCGGTCTACATCTTCACGTCTACCAATTCCAGAATCTACTCGCCCGTCATAGTCCGACCTTGTTTGCCCATCTCGAGTCGCTCAATGTCGAGCCCGTTTACGTGTCGCAGTGGTTCCTATCGTTCTTTGCGGTCGCCTGTCCGCTGCCTATGCTGCTTCGAATCTACGATATCATTTTCCTGGAGGGAGCGTGTGAGACGTTGATGCGTGTCGCTCTATCTTTGATGCAGCGTAACGAAAAGAGGATCTTGGCTTGCACCGAGTTCGAAGACGTCATGCAGCTTTTGCTGTCGAGAAGCTTGTGGGATACGTAAGTTGTCTTATCGATTGAAAGGGAATAGGACTAACGTGCATAGATATGCTTGCCACGCGGATGATCTGGTCAACGACTTTGTCTCTCTCACCTCTCTGGTCACCAAGGAAAGCCTGCAGACCCTAGAAGCCAGCTACAACCAATCCCAAGGCGTCCCAACAGGCATCTCTTTCCCCCAAATGCAGCAGGCGGCCTCTCGATTCCTGGGCCGATTCTGGACCGGCTCCAACGGCAGCACGCACAACTCCGTCAAGCTCAGCCCCAACCGCATCAGCACCTCCAACTCGTCCATCCGTCGCTCAACATCGAAGCAGAGTATGACTTCCACTCTTAACTCAGTTGAGTCGGCATCCGATGCCAGCACAGCCCCGACAGAGCTATCCGCCGAACCGACGCAGAAGCCGCGTGCGAAATCCGCCATGACAGCGCCTCACAAGGACCGCGACTTGCATACGCAGATTGAAGACCTGCTGATGGCGCTCAGTGATCTGCAACGGCAACACGCAGACCTCAGTCGGAATCTGCAACTGGAGCGGGAAGAGCGCGAGGAGGACCAATCTCTAGCGAAATTGTTGTTGCGTCACGTCAAGGAGCGTTCAGGCGATGAAGAAGACCCCGCAGTCACAGAACTCCTCACCAAAGCAGAACAACGCTTCGGCGCAACAGACGATACCACACCCCAGCCCGAATCCGCAACAAACGACCAAACAAAGCAACAGCTGCACAATGATCTCCACCGCTGGAAAGAAATGCACCAAGTCGAATCCAGCCGCTGCCTAGACCTCACCCGCCGCATCGACGAACAAGAACAAGAAGGCTCCTCCCTCCGCGAACAAATCCGCGAAGCACGCAGCCGCATCCAAGACGGCTACCGCGACCGCCAACGCCTAGAACGAATGGTCCGCGAACTGCGCTCCATCAAAACGCCCGCTTCCGAAAAACCACCCGAGACACCAGTCGACCAAACACCCTGGTCCCCGTTAAGCGACAACTCCCCGACAAGCGGCGGCCTGCGCGAACTAAAACTCGTCCGTAGCAATTCCCAGAAAACAACCCGCCGCACATCAACATTCAGCAAACGCTCCAGCAGTCTGGGCCTGAAAACCGTCCTCTCAACGGAGAACAACGCCCCCGCCCCCGAAGAATCACTCCTCCTCGAACTCGTCAACGCAAAGACAGCCGAGGCCGTCGCTAAACAAGAGTTGGAAGAAGTCAAGGGCAAAATGGAATCTCTGCGGAAGATGGTCAGCGGCCAGCAGCGGGCATCTGGCGAGTCGCGCATGTCATTACTGTCGAGTGCGGGGACGGGGCCGGGGATTGCAAAGACGCAGACTGAGCCGGTGAATTCGGGGGGGTTCTGGAGTGGTTGGGGACGGCGTGCGGTGTCGGGGAGTCAGGGGGAGGTTGAGGCGAAATGACTGCAGTATCCGTTCATCCAGGGAGATATTCCAAATGTTGGTGTGAACCATCACTTACTTCCGTCGCTCATTTGTTGGTGTTTTCTTTTCCTCTTTCTTAAGATTCCGGACTATCAAATCTCTTGCGCACGTGTTGACAGCTCACCTATGTTTCACTTTTTACAAGCCGGACCATTGCATACATGCGGGGTGGTTGGTGATTGGAATAGCTCAGGTTTCGGAGGTATGATTTTGCTATGTCGATAATGATCTTGCATTAATGTACATACATACAACCGGGTCTAGATTTGGACTTGTATACCGTACTTCATAATTCCTTTTTCGCCTCTCAACCGTCGACTCAATAGGCTTCATTTTCACGTGTCTAATTCCCACGTGCCTATTTGTATACAATTATCTCATTTACTAGTTGTCATTCAATCTGCCATCACTACTATATCATTACGGGCGCAGGTATTTCCCTTTGTATATTGCGTTGTACTCCGACTGATCTTTGCCCTAGCTTTACGAGTCGGCCGTATGCATGTATGCAACCTGTTTGTATCCGACTGTCTGCCTATTTAGCTAGTTGCCTGACGCGAGTTTTTGTTATCTCTCCCACGAAATCTCGTACCGTCAAGTTTCTTATTTAACCCAACAGATATCACGGCTTCAGGGTTCGAATTTTTCTTCCTCACGCTGCTCTGCGTTGAAGTTTCGTTTCCATTGTTCTGCTCACGTTTTATCTATCTGCTCTTTTTGCCTCCCCTTTTTGCCTGCTTTTCTTTTCTTTCCAAAACTCCCCCCACAAGCCCTCCACCACACACCCATCAACCCTACAAATATCCCCAAAAGCCACAACATTCACCAACCGCACATACACCCAAACAACCACCACCTGGCCCAGTCCCCTCCCCATCCCACCCACCAACCACTCCAAAAACCTCCAAAATGGACTCCCCAGGGCACGCAGCCGCTGGCTTAAATAGACCAGATAGGACTTTGCTGTTTTGGGGACTTGGGAGCACCAGTTTGGTTCGTCTTCGAAGACATAGATGGTGTAGGGGAGGTTGTAGCGCGAGATTTGGGTGGTTGTTATGTAGGTGCTTGTGAAGGAGGTGAGGGAGGGGATTATCGGGTAGGTGGTTTTGAAGGAGAGGAGGGTTGGGGTTGAGTCATTTTGGTTTTGCTGTTGTGCTTGGGATGTTAATTGGGAAGGGGGTGGTGTGCTTGTTTGTATGTTAATGTATTTTGCGAAGTTCAAAGAGAGAAGTATTCTTGTTGATCAAGGATGGAGTTGGTAAATGGATCAGAGTTGAATGTAAAAGAATTTGAAGACAAAAAAAAAAAAAAAAAAAGGCAACCACGAGGTGATGGAATCAAGTTACAGCCTAAGGATGTCTACTACCAATGCAAAGCACAATATAGCAATCCATGCAGTATGTACATTAATGCAAGATCATAATCAACATAACAAATCATACCTCCCAAACATATCAATCTATGCAACCCACTCTATACACAGAGTTCTGTACACAAAAGAAATATCATATCAACGCCGTTTGCGATATATGCAAATCTAACTCTACACACAATGTCCCGCCTCATTGATTGTAGCACTGTTTACTAAATCTTAAACGCCAATCTCATTTTGACGGCAAGAACCAGGCTGAGGGGAATAATCTATGATCGAATTCTTCTACTAATGACGGGATTACGAGTATGCGCGGGATATAATAGACAAATCAATTTCAGTAACTTGCAAAAAAAAAAAAAAAAAAAAACTCGCGGCGAACCCGAGAGCGGATGTGAACCACTAACCAGCGTAAAGGGGATATAAATTTGATCCCAAATAGTAATACGTAATATGGGGGAATAATATTTCCATATTTTTACTTGCAAAAAGAAAGTTTAATTGGATGCACAGAGACTTCGGCCTAGAGGACGATTGGGATGACTCCTGAACACAATTACTGGGTTTTATTAATCATGTAGATGTGAGTCGTCGTTGAATGATACTGATTGGTGAGAGGGTAAGCCCCATGAGAATGAGTCACGTAGAGCTCTGTTCCTTGAACCAACCAGAGGGCATAGGGCTAGGTTATACTCTGTTACGACTCAGCAAAGAGAACTTCCTATCACTGTCTCGCTGGTAAGCTCCAACGTCTTGAAAGAGGACGAGGGCTCAGCATGGAGGTTCCTGGCGTTTTGGAGAGCACTCCAGCACCAGTCCAAAATCAATCCCATGACAGACTCGACGCAGTTGTTCGGGCTTCTCCTTGACACCTCATCCCGGATTTTCCGCCGCCCATAAGGAACGACCGTAGTGCCAGGGAGGCCAAGCCATTCAAATTGTATCCCCCAATATGGCGAATCAATACGAGGGATCTTTTTGCAGATGGTGCCATGCCGACGTCCATTGTCAAAGCCCGGGAAAGGCCGCGGTTTCAAGAAGCCCGTTGTCACGGTGGACTATGCAAGATTGTTCACCCTAGGTCGCCCACTCTGGGGAGCCCTTCTCCGCGCGGAGAATACTGGCCTCGACTATATCATCAGATTAGCCGAGCGAAAGATTCTCGATGCGAAGAGAAACTGGTCCCCTGAAGAAGGCCACCAAGTAGAACACTTGGCTTTGTTGTCGTTTCGCCTGAACTTTTATTGTCAGCGAACAACCCCTCGCAGAAAAATTGGTCTCGGGGTATTTACGGTACATTGTAAAAGTCAATGACCCGAGAACCCTCCTGAGGACTAAGCAGCCGTCTGAGCCGCTTCTTGCACATGTCGCATCACGCTTAATGCAGCGTGTGCGGCCCAACCTTTTTCCATGGACTAATTGTCAGAAATATCATAGGATGAGACCGCACAACCAGTGAGCTATGCCCGTTTTGGTACTCTGCAGGCACATCATCATTCTGAGATGTGCTCAGTTCCATTGGGTAAATTCATAGCGGCTAGTTGTAGGGCCGGTTTGGCTTCTCTTTTTTCGCTCGTCCGACATCGTATCGCCTTTCCGGGTCTTGATTTAGATAGAAACCAGGACATCTCATTCTCCGATATGAACTTATGAAGATCCCGGATCAGGATATTAGCCCCGACTTGAAGGGAACGAAATCGCCGTGTAATGTGCTTTCCGTCACGCTCTCTCCATGTAACATCCCCATGCCCATACAGTGTGATGCTGAATGCGGATACAATTGGGAGGATGTGAAACGAGTGGTGCTTTTGTCATGCGGTCTCAGTGCCGATCTAGTGCCAGGGCTTGCATCTAGAAAGGAGTGCAGAAATGAGAAGGATGGCGAATATGTGGGCGTGTTGAGGGATATGCTGGATTACACGGGCGTGGAGGCGACCACGTACTCTGTACATAGTATGAGAATGCGACCGATTGACAGGGGTTTATTTTATTTTTAATCTTCCGCTACAGCCCTGTCACAGCCTTGTCACAGCCCTGTTATTCCGCGGAATTGAAGTGTCAAACAAATCTTGATTTTGATGTGATCGTTAGTTAGTGCTGGTCAATGCACTTTGCCACAGCGGCATCGGCCTGGTATCCAGCAATAGGAATATGTACTCTAATAATGAGTGGAGTCAATTGATACCCGGCTTTATTCTCCGATCGGGAAATCCGTATGTACAGACAGGCCTGGCCTGGCGGCGATACTCTTTGTCGTTAGCTCGAGGAAGCGGGATGTGAAAAATTTTCAGGCAGATGACCGCGTGGTGAGTTTCCGAGATAGACTACTCTGTACAGAGTACAAATTCAATTGAGAAATTGTTATGGTTGGATGATATTTTTATAATTCGGGTAATCGGCTTTTAGTGTGTTTTGCATATCAAGTTTTTTTTTTTTTTTCCCTTCTCTTTTCTACAGAGTAGTACACTACTAGTAGTATAGTTCCCCTGACAGCCGATTAACCGCGCTCGGATACTCGGGTTTGGTCTGGACGGGACGGTGGACCATTCGATCGGGTGGGATCCCGAGGGTTTGATTGGCTGCGGGTGGGATGTGCCGTTATCATCGATTCTGATGCATAACCGGAAAGTTCTTTTGATCAGGAGATGATGAGTGATTTTTTTCTTTACTTGGACTCTGTAATCTATGGCAGGGTGGCGGAATGTGGAAGTGTCCTGCCAGTGATGTATAAATACGGTCATCGAGCCGTCATTTCAGCATTCTTTTATACTGCATTCCAGTGAACATTCTGAATACTCGTGCTTACTTTCTGCGATCTCTCATACTTATACTGAGATATCTCTCATCTTCTCAGACATACATACTCATCTAACACACTCAATTCCTCACCCTCAATCCCAAGACAATCAAAACAACACCAATAAAATGACAATCCCCTTCCCAATCCTCCCCCTCGACTACCGCCCCCGCTCCATCCGCCGCTTCACCCCCTCCCGCAAATTCCTCGCCTTCACCACAACCGCCGCCTCCAAGAAACTCGACCCTGCACAATTGGCCGTGGTGTTTGACCAACTCCTTCCCGTAACGCCTGAGACATTGACCCGCGGATCGGGGGAATGGCGCGGCATTGCGTTGAACACGGGCCATAAGTTTATGGAGCAGTTGGAGGGGTTGCATTGGCGGGGTGCTGTGTTTCACTCGACGGAGGATGTTGAGCCTGTTGTTGTTGAGAAGGGGGATGGCGAAAAAGCTGGGACGGATTTTGGAGGTGCTTGTGTATGTCCTGCCCCCCCGCCCGTCACCCTTACCTTTCCTATCCCGTTTACTATCTGTGTTGTGGGTGATGTACAGATGCTAATAAGAACAGCTCCGTCGCATGGAATACCAAACCCTCATCTCCACCGCTATGATCTTCGACGATCTGCCTGCGATCACTTACTTCCGTGCTGTCAATGATCGTATGATCGCGGGTGTTATGGAGAGTAAGGATTTTGGAAAAGAGGGTGCTTTTTACTTTTATCTTGTGCGGTGATTACTTTACGCACAAACCCGTTGCGCTGCGCGCGATACACTGCCACGGCACGACACTCGCTATTTACGAGATACGATATTAATGGTTGGACTGGATGGATTGGTTGGTGGGATTTGGTTGGATGGAGTTCGCATTGCATTTTTGCATTTCTCGTCTTGTCTTGTTTTGCATTGCATTGTCATCACATTACATTATAGTGCCTTGTAATAATAATACATAATCCACATACGCACACGCACACGCACACGCACACGAACACGCAACTCATTCTCTTACGCATGTTAGTTACCTTGGATACTTCATGACTCCACTACGGCAGAATTCTCCGAACTACTTGTACATATGTAGTGCTCGGAATTTCCCGATTAATGCCCGGAATTCAACACAAACATTCCCGTCGAGATCCAGCCAAGAGGCCAAGCTTTGACGTCTCAGTTAATTATGGATCGGCAGGGTTCGTGTCTTGGATTATGTTGGCTACACGCGAGACCCCATGTTTGGCATTCCAGACGTGCTTTGGCTGCTTTGGCGGGGGTGGATTGAATGGGATTGTATTGTGTTGTTGGGGTGTAGGTGGTAATGCAATCAATGACTTGTTTTGCGTTGCATATTCACGAGTCCTTGTATGTCGGTACGTGGGCGGGGTGTTGAATGATGTGGATTGATGTCACGAGTTATGCTCGGTAACTTTATCGTGTCTAGACCTTCATTTATTCTCCGATGTGGTGCTGGTTGTCAGGAACAAAGTCATTATATCATATCCTTACAGCTGATATCATACCTCGTTTAACTAATTCCAAAGCTCCGGTAAGCAGCCAAGTATGTATCAGAAAACTGGTCAAACAGGTCACAAGACATGTGCTAGTAAGCGTTGGATATAGACGGGGATAAGCATAAGCATTTAATCTGACTGGCTAGTGCTGACTTATTACAAAACCGGACTGGGTCGGATATTGAACTCCACAAATTAAACCGGACGACATGAAACTCCAAAACCATACTCCAAAGCGCAAATCGATATGTTGTTGAATATTTTTAGACGGCCACTGGGGTTTTCTTGTTTCCGAATAGGCCGAAGAATTTCTTATTTCGAGTGCGTGCTTGACAGACCTCGGTTGTTTGTGTTTGTTTGTATGCGTGGTTGTTGGGCGTAATTCGCTCGGGTTCGTAGCTCTTTCTGTGGTCTTGTTTCATTATAAAAGATATGGTTCAATATGGGGAATCGAAAACTTACCTTGTACTTGAGCCCGTGCTAATCCGGTAACTTCCCAAGCGGAAGTCTTTGATGAAGGACGTTTCGAGATAGTGTAGCCTTTACTCTTGCTAAGTGACCCCGCACAAGCCTGGACCCGTTCCCGAACGGCATCCTTTGCGAGATGATTCTCCGTAATGCCAACAATAAGATCGATCTTTGCAACTTTCTCAAGTCCAATATCCGCAAGTCCATCAGGAACGTTGAAACGGAAGTACCGATCATTCGCAACGAGATCCGAGTGCTCAATTGCAAATTCTTCCTTTGTATATTCCGTCTCCGTAACACAAGCTTTCAGCGTCTTAAGCCCGCCTATCCCCTTCGTTTCGTATCTCGTCACCTGGGGCACACCAGTCCCAATAGATACTATGCAACCAATTTGCTCTTCTAACGGCGCAGCGGACCAAATATCTTTAGCTTCCATCCACAAATGCCGAATCGGATTATTAGCCCCCGTCGCACCATCGAAAAACCGCTGTCCATTCGGACCAATCGTTATCGGATCGAAGAACGAAGACGCCGCAGACGTAGCACGGCCAGCTTCCCAGATTTTCACAGTGTTATATAGTTCAGAGCACTCCCGCTCATTGCAATAACTCCGCAGCGCGACAGTCGTACTCGTTCCTGCTCTGGTTGCGCAGAGGACTACTCTACATGAGGTGTCGGGGTCTTTTAGCAGTGCGTCTTGGTCGTGGAGTCTGTCTGCTATGGCTTTTTTGAGGGCGGCTTCTAGTTGTTTGCTGTCGAAGCGCTCTTTGACGTGGCCGGTTAGGGTTATGGGGAGGTAGGCTTTTCGGGTGAAGGCTTGGGTTGCGAGGGTGTTGTAGGCGTCGATGCATTCGTTGACGCCCATTTTTAGGCGGCCGAGCATGATGGCGATTAGACTAAAATCAATGTTAGTTTATGGAATGCGTAGCCCTACTAAGAGAGACTTACCCTCCTGTGCTGGTTCCAGCAATCATGTCGAAGTACTCGCATGGCTTTGGGGGATAGTCAGGGTTGATGGATTCCATGACATGTTTCAGGATGTAGAGGGATGAGAGGCCACGGATGCCTCCGCCGTCGAGGCTAAGGAGGTTGAGTTTCTTTTCTGCAATTGCCATGATGAATGTCTGATATCGTGAACTGAGTGTGAGTTGTCCATTTCCACCATGGTTGTTCGTCCTTTTATGTCCATTCCAAGACTATATTTGATCCTCAGACTATGTCCATACAGTCTCCTAAGCGCCAATTCATCGTATCAGACACCCCAATGCTGAACAAAATCATAAAATGCAATTAGAGACGCCGCAAGTCTGATCAGCAGACGGGTCCGATACTCCAAAGATAGCAGCACAGCCCAATTCCCAAGCCTAGGCGAGTCTAGATCTGCGAGAATGAGCAAAAGTACACAGCAGAGCCCCCAGATTGGACATCGTCATTTTGGATATGTCAGAGTGCCAATGGTTATTTTCGATACTGTGGATACGATCCATCCCGGCGCTTCGGGGGTCGTCTGGAGCAGAAATGATCCCCAACGTTTGAGAATCTATACACAGCGTTCTGCAAAAGCACTTTATATATTTGTAGAGAGCTCATTCTGATATTCAACAAGCTAGCTGATATTATAGCACAACTATACTATAGCCCTGCTGACCAGGATAGATGTTGTGCAACCAGCCCTGCCATTTCAGGCTTAGCGCCATAGTGGGGGATACCTCCGCAGATGCCATCTGAATCGGGAAACAGATCGGCGATATCTCCGGCGCACTTCTCCGCATACAACAGGCACTTGTACAGTGAACAACATGCTATGGATACACCGCGAGAGAATAGTACTCGCCGTATGGCGGAGCTGGCATGCCACGAATGTCGGCGCCGGAAATCTAAAGTAAATTCCTGTCTTTGTATTCTCCATCTCAGCGTTAACTGAATATCTAGTGCAATCGGATTATTCCCTCGTGTCTGCTATGCAGCAAATTTGACAGACGGTGTGTCTATGAGAGACAGGTTAAGACGCCTCTTACTAGACGGCATTTAACGGAGGTCGAAGAGGAGCTTTCACGGACAAAGGCTCTCTTGCGGCAACTGCAGTCGGAACAGGATGCAGGTCCTAGCTATCAGAAGCGTAGTTCTGAGGACTTACAAGGTACTCGATCATCTAATGATGACATGCGTGGGCAAAATTTTGGTACTTTAGTCTCATCGGTGGTTGTGTCCAGTAGGCAGGCCTCGACTGCAGATGAAAGAGATGGTGCTATTGATAGAACAGATGATCCACCATCACTTGAAAGAAACTTGGCGCAAAACTACGAGACTCCATCACAGCCCAATGCTCGAGCAAGCCCGACTGGACCCACGGCTTCCAACCCTAATCAACCCATTCTCTCTCCGACCTCGTGCAGAACGTCGTATCGTCGGGCAAATGATGGTCCCCGCGAGTCAGAGACGAATTCTGTGATTACATCCGGACTGTCACTGGAAGCGCCACCCTCGTCTGGTAGTTTTGAATGGGATGAGCGGACTGGGAAAGCTAGTGGGGACAGGTTCGTCGATGGGATGGCCAGTTTGACAAGTCGTTCGAATGAAGGGGGCTACCTTGGTATACTTTCCCGGGAGCTTGGTATGTACCAGCTTGCTGATCAAATATAGGCGTCGCTTCAGGGGCTGCACTACTTCGAATGACCGATTCACGATCTACTAAGGGTGTCGATACGTACTGTCCCGATCAACCGCCAGAGCCCACCGTCTACAGGCCTCCCGTATCTTTTGCATTGATTTCACTATCTCAGCTCGAGCCTTTTGTTGACGCATACTTTCAACTATATCACTGCTCTTATCCCATCGTTCACGAAGCTACTTTCCGTGCCCAGTTCATGGAGGTCGTTCCTAGACCCAGTGACAACGCATGGCAAGTACTGCTTTTTGTGATCGCCGCTATAGGCGCTTTTACAACAGCCACACAACCTACAGACGTCGACATTGGACTCTTTGAGGCAGCCAAAGCACGGCTAGCAATTGATGTCCTGGAGACAGGGAACTTGCTTCTCATCCAAGCTTTGACTTTGATTTCGAACTACCTGCAGAAAAGAAACAAGCCAAACTCGGGGTATAACTACATGGGTCTTGCCAGACGAATTGCTATGGGGATTGGTTTACATAAAGAGTTTCCGACGTGGGAGGCAAATCTGCTGATTATAGAGATGCGTCGACGCTGTTGGTATTGTCTGTACATTTTTGATGTTGGGGGGATTGTTACGTTTTCCCGGCCTTTTGACTTTCCTAATGATGGGATTGATGTTGAGTTGCCTATGAATGTGCATGACAGTGTTAGTTTTCTTCACTTCTTTGATGAATGAAAACACTGACTCTGCAGGACATCACGGCTGGTTCAAAACAACGCCCGAGTCCGGCACCAGAAACGACGGCCTACACGCACCTACGAGCCCAGTCTACATTTCACCTTGCGACAAGCCCGATTTATATTCGAATCATTTCCTCTCCATTCCCGTCCGCGACCAGCTTGATCGAAATGGATGACCACTTGATTGGTGATTGGATGGCCAGCTTGCCGCCATTCTTCGCCGAGGGCGCACCACAAAAACCCAAGTTCCGGCTCTGCCATTCCATCCTCCGATGGCGATACCGCAATTTTCGCATCCTCATGTTTCGACCGTTTCTGGTTAGCAGGCTTATCATACGGCCAGCAGAGGGCATCCAAGACAGCGACCCCTATGTCGACGTCGCCGTCCAACGATGCCTCAACGCAGCCCGTGAGTCCGTCGAGCTCATTTGCACATTCTGGATAGAACATGAGAAAAACATAATGGCCTGCTGGTACGGCCTATACTTCTTATTCCAAGCAATCCTAATCCCGGTAATATGCCTACGAAACGATCCCCAGAGCCCGCTGGTCTTAAACTGGCGGGACCAGATATTCAGAGCGATGCCTGTCCTCGAGTCAATGGGACGGCTTAATCCTACGGCTCTTCGATGTCTGGGTGTTATTCGTTCGCTGTGTGGGACGTATCTTGATCCGAGTATGGATGGGTGGGGACGGCCCACGGAGGAGTCGCCGCAGACTCAGTTGGCGAGTTTGTATCCGTTGATGTGGCCGACGTTGGAGATGGCGCAGCTTGATGGGGTGGATTCTATCCTGTATGTGCTTATTGGTGAGATGATCGTTTACGACGCTAACGCTTTACAGACAAGAATCGACGATTATGGATTTTATGAATCAATTGCCAGGTTTAGAATGATATGCGTGATTACACAATTTCATAATTCGAATACTACTACGGCAGTGTGTATCCACCATCAATAACAAGATCCGCGCCGGTCATATAGCTCGATGCATCGGATGCACAAAACACATAAGCCTATAGCAATCAGCAATTGTCCATAACCAACGAGGGATGCATACCCCTTTCAATTCATAAGACTGCGCCATCCGTTTTGCCGGAATCATATCAAACCACTTCTCCTTCCACTCCTGGGGATGAATATCAAGAATATCCGTCGCAATAAAACCAGGCGAGATGCAATTAACTCGGCAAAAGTCCACCCATTCAACAGACAAACACTTAGCCATCTGCACAACACCAGCCTTCGATGCATTATACGCAGCCTGCTTCTGCGGAACATTCACCAACGTCGCACTAACAGACGCCGTGAATATGACATTCCCATATCCCTGCTTCTTGAAGATCCGCGCCGCAGCCTGCGCGGTATAAAAAGCCCCGTCAAGGTTAATCTTCATGATTTCCCTCCATTGTTCCGTGGTATAATCCTCCGCCGCGATGCTGGATGTGATCCCCGAGTTTACGACGATGATGTCTAGTTTTCCGAAGTCTGTGGCGATTTGTTGGATTGCTTTTTCGATATCCTCTTGGTCACCGACGTCGGTTTTGTATGCGGCTGCTTTGACGTTGTTCTCGGATGCGATTGATGAGGCGGTGTCGGCGGCCGCTTTGGATGAGTTGTAGATTAGAGCGACCTGATCGTTAGCGTTTCATTTATCAATGTATGGTGTATACTTACATCGGCACCGGCTTCTGCTAGTGCTTTTGAAACTTCAAGGCCGATACCACGAGCGCCGCCTATCATTGTTAACATAGTCCAATAACATTGTGAGAATAAGATAATACCCGTAATAGCAGCAACCTTGCCGCTCAAGTCAAATGCCTTAAGTACGTGTTTGTTTTCAGGCTGATGGAGGACCATTTTCGTATACTTGTTTTTCTTCTTGAAAACGACTCGAATGTTTATTTGAAGGCTGTCAGTTCATGTCATCATATACTAGCCCCGCCTACCCGCCCCCGCATCAGACGAGCTCCGGTGGCAGAGATCGAGGTCGGACACGGAGACGGACGACCGTGTCCGTTTGTGCATGATTCAGGTAGTTGTGTTACTGCCGGGGGTTTATTTGGGTTATTCAGGACAACCTTCGTATTGGATCATGTGGTCATTAAAACTATACAGGTACTAAACAAAAACATACTATAAACAAATCAATCAACATACTCAGCATGCTCAACCCCCCTCTTCCCAACTTTCTCCTCATCAACCTCATCCCCCGTCCCATCAAAAACCTCCGCAATCTCCTCCAGCGAATGCCCCTTCGTCTCCGGGAAACAAAACCAAGTAACAACAAGCACAAGCACATCAAAACAGCAGAAAAAGATATAATACCGCCATCCAATTCGATCCAACGCAATCGGATTTACAAACGCCAATATAATCAACGATGAATACACAGCTAATAATTCCACCGTCACGCCTTTACTCCGGATCGAGTAGGGGAATATCTCAGTTGGATAGCCGAGGAGTAACGGCGTGTACGCGATGTCGTAGTGGAAGTAGAATATGAATACGAATGCGATGACAGCGCGGCCTACGGCTTGGTTGCCATCGTCCCCGTTGACAATAGCTGAACAGGCTGCCCAGATAATGAAGGAGATTAGCATGCCCAGCGCGGACCAGAGGAAGAGCGGACGACGGCCTATTCTGTCGACGAGGAGTGCGGCGCTTCCGGCGGCGACGAAGTTGAATACTTGTAATAGGCCGTTTATGAGGGTTTGTGTGTCAGGGTCTGTAATTCCGATGGTGTCGAGGACGAGGGTTAGGTAGTATGAGACCACGGCGACGCCCTACACTTGTTAGTTTCGAACTTGTTTACGACTATGATGGTGGGGGGACTCACATTCCACTGCGCAAACGTCCCAACACACACAGCGATGAACGTCCGTTTGCGATTCCCGGGTGTATCAACAAGTGCCGTCCAGCGCATTGTGGATGCTGAATGCTCGATTTCAATCGTCTGGGCGATTTCGGCCATTTCAAATTGAATTAACGGATGTGAGATATCACCAGCCGTGTGAAAGCGAGCGAGTAACTGTTCTGCCTGCTGGGTATAACCATTTGCGATGAGCCATCTAATAATTAGCTAGCCTTCTTTACTTCAAGTGGTATAGTGGATGTACCGCGGAGACTCAGGCAGGAACCAAAAAAGCGCAATCTGGATAATAGGAAACCCAGCTTGCACAATCGAGGGAATGCGCCATGTCCAATCGTCGGTTAGATGTTTCTGGGTGCCGTAGGATGTCCAGGAGGCGACTATTGCGCCGAGGTAGTACATTGTCCAGAAGGCGCTGCTCATTAGCTCAGGGATTCTCGATTTGTGGGGTGGAAAGATAGAATACCTGGTGTATTTCCCTCGATGCGTCGGATATGCTAGTTCCGTGATGAGCATTGGTGAGGGCTGGACGACTAGCATTGAGCCGATTCCTACGAGTACCCTGCCTATGATCAGCCAGGCCCATGAATGCTCATGAGAGACTTACCTCGAAAACACAAACATCCCATACTGCACCGATGCCGCTTGGATTGCCGAAGCAATGACAATGGTAACAGCCCCCGACAACAACGTCCACCGTCGACCGATCTTATCAGATAGAACCCCGACAACAGGAAGAGAGAGAACACTCCCAATGGATTGCGCTGCATTAACAACACCCAGGATCTCGCCGGATGGATTACCAAAGTAGTTCTGCCATTGAGTTATCGATTGGAGACCATTCATTAATGATCCTGCTTTGTTAGCTAGCATTCTGGGAAGTCAGGAAGGAGAGGTACCATCATATCCAGCAACCGCAGAAGACAGCAACGGAATTATCAAAATCAAATTCAATTGCAGTAAATGCGGAACCCGAAACCAAATCTTATTGTACTGTGGTAGAACAGAGGCAAGCGCCTCGCCGACGATATCTTGATCTTTCATGGTGACTCCGTTCAATGTTACACCATGCACAAGTCACTATGCATGTCGGAGAAATAAGCAGTATATATGGTGGAGCCTTTACCCCGTGGGGATTCGTGCGGATGCGGGGGTTAGCGTCATCTTTGTTGAGAATATGACATGATATGGCACGGACTTGCCGGGATGCTCGTTTTGATGGTTTGAGCATGGAGGGGGTTGTCCGTTGTCCGGACGGAAGAAATCGTCCGCTTCCACACGCTCTTTGTGATAGGATGGTAAACTATAAGTAGAACCAGAAAATGCCTGACAATCACGAGTATACCAGATCAACAAATAATTATATCCAAAACAATGACTACCATACGCCGTACCAATCCCCCCGTCTCCGACAGCATCTTCGAGATGTTCAACATGCGCGACCGCGTGGTTATTATCACCGGCGGCTCAGGAGGAATCGGATACCAGGTTGCTCGGGGGCTAGCTGAAGCCGGCGCCAATGTAGCCCTGTGGTATAACCAGTCCACGCAGGCCGAAGACCTGGCTGCTACTATCGCGCGGGACTTTGGGGTTACGGCTAAGGCGTACCGGTGTGATGTGCAAGACTTTAATCAGGTATGTTACTTTACTAGGTTCTATGCATGGAGTTAACGGTATACACAGGTGAAATCTACTACTGACGCTGTCGTTGACGATTTCGGCCGTCTCGATGTCATGGTCGCCAATGCCGGTATCCCCTCCAAAGCCGGAGGTCTCGACGACCATCTCGAGGACTGGCATCGCGTGGTGGATGTTGATTTCTCAGGCGCATACTACTGCGCCCGAGTAGCGGGTGAAATCTTCCGCAAGCAACAATCCGGAAACATTATCTTTACTGCGTCCATGTCGGGACATGCCGTCAACGTACCACAGCAACAGGTACCACCTCTTTCACTCCTAAAATCCACGCAAACTAACAAAGCAGGCCTGCTACAACGCCTGCAAAGCCGGGATAATCCACCTCTCCAAATCCCTCGCCGTAGAATTCGCCCCCTTCGCGCGTGTAAACAGCGTCAGCCCGGGGTACATTGATACAGCTATCAGCGGCGATTGTCCGGGTGCGATGAAGGAGGAGTGGTATAGTTTGACGCCGCTGAGGCGGGATGCGGATCCGAGAGAGTTGAAGGGCGTGTATTTGTATTTAGCAAGTGATGCTAGTTCGTTTACTACGGGGGCGGATTTTGTGGTTGATGGGGGGTATACTTGTCGGTAGTTGTATTTGTTGTATTGGATAGAGGGGGCGGAGTGGGTGCTCCGGACGGAGACGGATGTCCGGGGTGATACATTGTGCATGGTGTATGATATCTTCTTGCATTTTAGTTGGCGGGGTAGGAGATCGAGTGGCATACCACGGGTATTTAAATTCAAGCTCTCTTTTCTACAGTATGAGTCGTTCGAGCAAACATGACTGTATGTAGCCCAATTCACTGCTGTTTAATCACCGCTAAGCTGAATTATCAGGAAACAAATCCCTCCTTCGTCCTCCGTGCCGTCAAAGACGTTACCTTCGAGGACCGGCCAGTACCTACGCTCAGAGACCCATATGATGTTCGCGTGCAAATCGCTCAAACAGGCATCTGCGGTAGTGATGTTCATTACTGGCAACGGGGGAGAATCGGAGGTCTTCGACACCTACCCTACCTATACCTAAAACGAAACAATGCTGATGGTAACAGACTTCATTCTTGAATCTCCCATCGTCCTCGGCCACGAAAGCTCCGGCACAGTCGTCGAAGTCGGTCCGGCCGTGAAGAACCTCAAAGTCGGTGACCGGGTAGCCATTGAGCCTGGGGTTCCATGTAGACGGTATGCCCTCCCTCCCCCAATCCCAGAAACAAGTTCTAAGAAGTGACAGCTGCAACTACTGCCGCTCCGGCTCGTACAACCTCTGCCCCGATACCGTCTTCGCCGCAACACCACCGCATGACGGTACACTGTCAAAATACTACATCACGCAGTCCGACTTTTGCTACCCAATCCCTGCGCACATGGGCCTAGAAGAAGGCGCGCTCGTCGAACCGGTCGCTGTAGCCGCGCAAATCACAAAGGTTGGAAACGTACGCCCTAACCAGACAGTCGTGGTTTTCGGGTGCGGACCTATCGGGCTTCTCTGCCAGAAGTTATGCAAGGCATATGCAGCGAAGAAGGTTGTCGGAATTGATATCAGTCCATCGCGACTGGAATTCGCAAAGTCCTTTGGGGTAGATGATGTGTTTCTGCCGCCGAGTAAACCGGAAGGTGTGGATGAGTGTGAGTGGAGTGAGAAGGTAGCACGCATTATCAAAGAACAGTTTGGACTGGGCGATGGCCCGGATGTCGTGCTTGAAGCGACGGGGGCACAGAGTTGTATTCAGACGGGGATTCAGTTATGTAGGAAGGGTGGGATGTATGTGCAGGCTGGGATGGGGAAGGAGGTAGGTACCCCAATTCTCTATGTCTATATGGAGGCTAACCGTGTTCTAGAATGTCGTGTTTCCTATAACCACGGCGTGTATCAGGGACCTCACTATCCGTGGTTCCATCCGTTATACTACGGGCTGCTACCCCACTGCCGTGGACCTGATCGCCAGCGGAAAGGTCGATGTGAAGAGACTGGTGACCAATCGGTATGCATTTGAGCAGGCGGAGGATGCATTCGAGCTCGTGCGGCAGGGGAAAGAAAGTGTTATCAAGGTGATGATCGAGGGGTACAAGGGAAAATAACTGCATCTGCCATCCCGATTAGGCAATCTACCCGAACCTCGGTATTTAAATCCACGGTAGTCTAATCAACTTCAATTGCAACGTCAGTCTTTCTTCTATCTTACCTACAGTACTCCGTATAACCATCCTCTTTTTCAAAATTTGTTGTTCCAAGCATAATGTCCCTCAATCCCCTCAAGGCCACAGCCGCAGGCTGGCTCGCCATCGCCCTCGGCCACACAGTAAGCCGCAAGCCCCTATCCACCGGACCTATTACCCCAGTCTAACAATATCAGCTCAACGCCAAAGACTGGCAAACCCTCCCCCAATTCCGCCAACTCCCCCGTCTAGCCTACACCTGCGGGACAATCGGCTGGTACCAGGGTTCTCTTTTCTTCGTCATGAATGGTACTTCGCCTCCTTCCCAGTCCTTTCTATGGATAGATAGTCACTAACGGCAATAGCATTGATTAACTACACCTGGGCCGAAAACCCGGCCTTGCTGGATATCCCACTGAACAGGGTTATTGCGGGTTTGATGACGGGGATTATGTGGGTTAGCTCCGGGTGGTACGCGAAGAATGGGGTTTACGCGACTGGGGCAGTGGTTGCTGCTATGGGGGGTGTGCAGGCTTGGTCTGTTTTTAGTTGATTTCTGGACTCAGTGGTCTGGAGGTTGGGTGGGGGTAATTATATCTGCTGCGTGGGCATTTTGTCGCAGGATTAACAGTCGAAAATATATATTTAAACAGAGCGTTCGATATCGCCTTTGCGGCAATGCTTGACTAAAATGGAATAAAAACATTTGCGCCCATTTATCTCTGCTGTCTTTGTCATGCTTTATACCATAAATCATTTCATCGATACACAAATAACATGAATAGAATGAAGAATATGAATCGGGATGAACTTTCAATTTCAAAAACCACATCTATAGTATAGTCGTAGCTGTTATAACACTAAAGCGGTAAGTCATTCAAGGAACAGGTCCTGTAGCTCAGTCGGTTAGAGCGTGGTGCTAATAACGCCAAGGTCGCGAGTTCGACCCTCGTCGGGACCATTTTTTTGAGCTTTTTTTCTGCACCCGGAATTCCGATGCATCTTTTTCAATGTTTTGCAGCATCGGAAATCTTTTTTCATTCTTTACCTCCTCCCTCCCTTCTCTTCTTCCTTTTCCATGACACTTTTCTAGGGTCTGTATACACAGCACACTATCTAACCTCAAGCGGTTATGGACTTATGCCACATCATGAGCCGAACGATAAGAAGAATAGAGGATTATGGAGCAGCATCTCAATTTCATTCCATCTTCTATCTAGTTCCCCGAACTCAGCCTCGCTCAATGAGCAAGGCTATCAAAGCCATTTATAACCCTCCCAGACTGTCTCGAATCCGTACCGAGCGATGGCGTCCGCGAGTCGGCATGGTGTCAGTTGGACAAATACCCAATCCAGAAGCTAAAATCAGTGCGTTTTAGACAGAGTGGATCCTGAGCGTGTTTGAGCTGATTAGGGTTGATCGCGGAGATGACGTGCATCAGATATAATTCTGCATCCGGGAGATTTCACTTAAATCAGACTGGCCATTGGTCCAAATTGAGCAATTATCACGGGCATTAGATAGACACAACCCAATCAACATGATGCATTTCTTAATCTCTCACATAAAACATTGTCCAGAACAGCTCCGGTGGGCCCGAGATTCTACCGGTGTGGTCCCGCTCCGCCGCCGGCCTCTTGGCAACCTGCTTGGCATCCACCGGTGATATAACCGAAGTCCTTATATATCCAAGCGGGTGCGTCGCGGGTGCGAGACTTCTGGAATTCCTGGTTCAGTCCATATTCTCGCAATGCTCTCTCCCCGCCATGGCAGCAGCGGCTCCGGTGATGGTGTTATGCGGCACCACTGGGGCTATTTCACTCGGGAATTGCCGTGCACGAGTGACCCGGGCAATTGCGCGTATTTGGATGCTGTGTATGGGGGGCATGATTTGTCGATGATTTATAGCGCTATTCTTTGGGCGGTTATTGGGGGTGTTCTTTTGTTTTGCGCCATGGTTCATTATTTTCCGGTTTCGCGTCGAAATACCGGTGCCGGGACCAAGGAAGTCGAGCAGCCGAACGAGCGACAAGGCACGGTGTATCGCGTTTGGAGAACTGTTATCGCTATATCGAATCGCTATCTCCTTTCGGAATCGCTGACACCCGTGTTCGGACACACGACCCGACTCAACATCCTCGTCCTCGTTATCCTAAGCGGATACCTCACCATCTTCACCTTCGTCGGAATCACATACAAAACATGGTACAGCCCCATCGAAGGAACAAACCTGAAGATGACACGAGCCGGACTGGGTCCCTGGGCTGATCGGATCGGAGTCATGGCATACGCATTGACGCCGCTATCTCTTCTTCTCAGCAGCAGGGAGTCACTGCTCTCCTTGATTACCGGCATCCCATACCACCACTTTAACTTCCTGCATCGCTGGCTAGGATGGATTATCTATATCCAGTCCGCTTTGCACACGATTGGCTGGACCGTCGTGGAGGGTCGTCTGTATCAGCCGCAGCCGCAAAAATGGAACGAGTTCATATCGCAGCAGTACATTATCTCTGGGATTGTCGCGATGATATGCATTACTTTTCTTGTGCTCCATAGCACAAAATGGTGTATCAGATTGACTGGGTATGAGTTCTTCCGGAAATCGCATTATGTGATCGCCATGGTATACGTTGGGACTTGCTGGGGACACTGGGACAAGCTGAGATGTTGGATGATTGCGTCGCTTATCGTCTGGATGTTGGACAGGACTGTACGATTCGTGCGTGTTTTCGTTGTGCATTGTGCGGGTAGTGCGGGGTCGAATTATTCGTTATGCGGCAGTGTTCTGGTCCCCAAGGCCAAGATGACTTCTTTTCCTAACGGTCAGGATGGAGATGTGGTCCGTTTGGATTTCCAGCATGATTATCCATTATGGGACATCGGTCAGCATTTCTATTTATGTTTCCCCGAGCTTAGTGTCTGGCAGTCGCACCCGATGACACCAAGCAGCGTTCCGGTACCGAATCCGCAGGACCAGGGCCAGTCGCATTCGTACATCATCAGAGCGAAGAAGGGCCTGACAAAGGACCTGGCAAGAATTGCCCGCGAGACCCAGACGGAATCAGGATCGTCACTGGACGGAGCAAGAACCACAGAGGTTCTTCTCTCGGGCCCGTACGGACAGTCTATAGTTGACACTGAGCTGATCCGAACAGACGACATCAATCTCTTTTGTGTCGCTGGCGGCACGGGGATAACATTTATTCTTCCGGTGTTAATGTCGCTGGCGACAAGCAACCAATACTGTTGCAGAAAAGGGCTGACGGAGCTTGTTTGGGTTATTCGACGGAAGGCGGATATGCAATGGATCAGCACGGAACTTGACACTTTGCGCGAAGCTGCGGAAATGTTCCCCTCATTGCGCATTCGCATTTTCGTCACTCGAGAGGAACTCTCGCCAGAAAGTGATGATACATCATCTGGATCTCCTGACGCCAACCCGATCGACAAAGGATTCTCTGACAAGACCGTTGAGAATTCTTGCTGCGGGCAACCGTCTCCGAACGAAGATGACCAGCCATTCATGGTCCAGCATATCAAGAATTCCTACACAGCACACCCTAACCTTGCGCCAATTCTGTCCAACTTCGTCTCTAGGACAGTTGCAGGACCGACGAGAGTGATGGCCAGTGGGCCTCCGGGAATGATATCGGACCTGCGCAAAGCGGTGGCGTTATCGAACGACCCGGGTCGAGTGTGGAAAGGAGACGAGAGATGTGATGTACAGTTAGTGTATGATGACCGTGTGGAGTGGTGATTACCAGTATCTGGTTGTGTTTTTGATATGCATTTTCAACGGACCCATGCTGGTCATAGAGATTAGATTAGAATAGAATAATATACCCCAAGTTGCGAACATTGATTATGAAAATTAAACAATAACGTTATGAAAGAGGTAGATACACCTCGATAGTGGTATCTTGTGATGATTAACGATTCATCGCGAGTACGGTCGTATGGTAAGATGGTAGACCCCAATATAGGGGCTAAAGCAAGTCCATTACAATCCGATCCCATGACTTCCCACTCGTATCTGCTGCCGGTCTTGGTATATTTGGCATTGGAGAATTGACTGCAGATTCATGCGGTGATCTCGAGTGTGCATGAACTCTGAGTTCTCTGTTGACTTGGTGCAGACGCATATTCTCTTCCTTCAATTCTTGCATCTCCTGTAGCAGACGTTGCTGAGATTCAAGCTGCTCCATCATATCCGCTATTCGATACAGAATCATTGGATTATGCTCTTGGGAGGCCGCACCGTTCTCGATAAGAAAGGATCGAGCCTGAGATAGAGCCCGAGATAGATTATCGGATTGTTGCCCCGCACTGTGCGCACCCTGCCATTCCATTGGGGAAGTATGGCCTGACGAGCCAGGAAAACGAGTCAAGGGGGTTCCGGATGCCGTTGGAGATATGTGATCACTAGCCTTGGCCAGCCGCGAAGGACTATTCCACCTGCTCCTATCCCTGCCCGAAGGAGTCGTGCTTCGGGAAACATTCGGTGATGACCGTCTTGAGAATTGAGGTGGAAGACGATCCCAGCTCTTGTCTCTACACGAAGGACAGTGGAAGTTCCCTGGGAATGCAGTGAATTCGCTCGATGGAAGACATCCTGTATGGTAGGATCTACAGCATGTCTCGCAGAACAGTAACTGGCCTGGCACCCGGCATTGTGAACAGACTAGGTTATGAGGTTTTCCAGCCCCTGCAAGTACGTTAACAAACAAGTACCTGCAAGAATACTAAGATAGGTGACTAACTGATCCATTCGTAGTAGATGTTACTCCGATCTGTCTCTGAAAGTGTCAAAGCATGTGCTGGATCCGCAGACGTTAATCTTGACGTCGCCAGTCTTGTCGGGTTGTCCAACAATCTACCCCGGCCTGCATGACCGGGGACATTAATATTAAGATTAAGATCGGTAGGAGTTCGAAGCATTTCGCTCAATAATGTCTTAAGACATGATCGATGATGGCGGAAGAAGTAAAGAAACGGCAACCGAAGTGACAGCCGAGATTACTCCGAAGCTAGCAAGTCCCGTGACCTCGATCCCGTGATCGACGCCAAGGACGTCCAGACAGGGCAACATCGCATTTTCTGGTTTCTTCTTTTTTCATTCCCGAAGGTCTTGGTCTTTTGACAGTTTGACAGTTCAATGTCTGAAAGTGGTTGAGTGGAATGATGGTCTCTGGCGTTGACAACAGCAGTGGATATACCCCTCCATAACCTCAACGTCATTGTCGATCGGTTTGTTTATCACCCAGGAGGATGCCAGGAGTGCCTTCGAATAAAGCATGCGAGCGATGTAAGAAGAGGCATCTCAAGGTTAGTCTCACTTCATTATATCTAAGGACTGTACTGACAAGACTAGTGTGATGAAGCTCGTCCAAGCTGTCAGCGCTGCGTCAATGCGGGCGTAGAATGCCCGGGCTATGTCCAGACACGCAAATTCATTGACCAAGGTGCTACGATAAGGCGTCGATATGCTCCATATCAAGAATATCATCCAAGATCCGGCGCCCATAAAGTGAGTTATCTTGAACGGAAAAATATTCCGGGCTTGTCTAATGGCAATAGGAAAACGATGTCCCAGCAGAAAACCCAATACAGGAACAGATGCCAGTCGACCAACACGGAAATGATCTACAGACAATAACCCCGGTGACTGAAGTGCACCGGGACGAGGGCCGTGACTCGGATGCCTCACAAGGGGCACAGGGCACTCCCGATGCGTCAAGACAGGGAATCGTGCAAGATCCCCAAATCCAAACTGGGGTAGCAGTTATGCCCAGCCGTCCAGCTGTGAATATTCCAAACATCGATCAAAGTATCCTGAACACAGACTTCTCTCCTGCTGGGCAAGAGCTTAATGCGAGGAGCCTGCTTGAAAACCCGAATTTGCCCACTAGTGGGTCCTCTCATCCTTCAAACACTCCGGATACAGACTTCAGCCAGGCACATCGCGGTCCAAGTTCAGAAATGCATGAGAATTCGACTCAGAACGATGCGGAAGAATTCAGCGACGTATTTTCTGAGCTCATGACAGGAACGGAACACGAGGTTGCGTTTCTTACCAGATACTTCTCGGAGTACCTGGGTCCTTGGTATGTTAAAATGCTTTGTGTTCGCGCGATACTCTGTTAACGGCATTTTAGGCTGGACTTATCGGATTCATCCAAATTCTTCACTGTCTACGCACCCATTCGTGCACTCAACAAATACTTCTTGAAGTATTCCATGGCAGCTCTTGCGGCAAAGCATCTGGGTAAAATGAAAGGACAGAGACCCGCGGCTGGAGGGATATTCACAAGCCCAGCAACCATGGAGATCTACCCGAATGCAGCACAGACAGATTGGACTCTCAAAGGAGCAAATTATTATTACCTTGCATTTGCCTACATGAGACATTCAATCACCGTCAGCTATGCCGCACCGTCCAGCTCTGCGATTTTGGAATCTCCCATTGAGATGGTTAATGGGTACTTGGGTCAGCAACCAGGGTTCGCGCGCATGGATATATCCGATTCAGATACTTTCTTACGCGATGTTGAAGGGCTGCTGGCCACCTGTGTAATTCTTACCGTGTATCGACTCTTGGATGTGCCTGGGGACGACTGGCAAACGTGCGTTTCGGTATTATATGCGTTATTCTGTGGAGACTAACAGATTATAGGCACCTTGCTGGTATCGAATCTTTGTTTGATTTGCTACTCCAGTTACATACGACTTCGCCCGCATTGCCCCCAACGTTCTCGCAAGGCGAGAGAGCTGCATTTTGGAACTTCGCCCGCCAGGACTACCTAGCATCGTACTTTAACCGCATCCCAACACATTTCAAGCATAGTAATCTATCACTATGGAAGACTGCCGGAATCCGGGCCAACGAGCTGGAACCACTCGATGACACCCTCCATCTCACCCAAGAAGACTTGGCAGCCAACACACTAATCTGGCTCATGAACAAAATGGTCAATTTCTTGGCAGATTACCGCCGCTCCCAGCTCGCCCAATGGACCGAGTCTGACGAGCATGTCCAGCCCTCAACAACGACGTGGCTAAATCTCTGCTTCGAGTTCCAAAGCTGGTTCGAGAAAATCCCCGAGACATTCCGGCCAAGCCTGCGCATCGAAAGGCCACGGGATATGTCAAATCTGTCGGAGATCAGCTACTTCCCGTTCCCGGAGATCTTCTTTAGTTTGACGTCTTGCGCCGCGGCAATGCAGCATTATCACTTTGGGCGGCTGGGGCTGTTACTAAACCGGCCACCGGATGTCATGAGTGCACCCGGTACGGCGTTTGACCGGCTTGCGTCGTTGCGGGAGGTGACCAAGGAGGTGGACTACCGATGTCGGGAGATATGTGGGATTGCGTTGAGTCGGCCACATGGCGAGGTGCGTATTTACATGGTTCCGTTGCTGTTTGCTGTGGGGCAATGTTTTGAGACACCAGAAACAAGGCAGGTCATTGTTGATTTGTTACGAGGCGTGGAGGCAGACCTGGGCTGGGTGACGGGGTCCACGGTGGAGAATTTACAGGTGGTATGGAGTCAGCAGTCATAATAATGTTTGAAACTAGCCCCAGGTGGATAGTCACATGAGGATCTGAGGGATTAATTAATGTATTTTAATGTATTATGATCCACGCCAAGAACTCAATTGCCAACACATGACCCAAAATCAGAGTCTGGATACTCTTTCTCTTTGGGGTAAGAGCTTTGACTCTCGAAAGGAGCAGATTGTCGATGCTGCTGCTGCTGCTGCTGCGTTTGAGCGCCAATGAAGACTGCTGTATGAGTAGCTACCCCGTACTACCCCGCAAAACGGGAGCGTTATCGAGATCTTCCCGCGGGTATTTTAACCGAGGCTGCATACAGAAATTATACAAATATGTACTATGGACACTTCATTGGAATGCTGGCTGCGGTTATCCACGGAGAGACATACCACGTGTCTATCCCGTGACCCCTGCCTATACATAGTACTTGTACACATAGTACATTCTCTACGCCATCCTGACGGTCAATCGTGTCAGTGAATAGTTGACTCGACCATCCGGTAACCATCCAGCAACCATCCGGCCAAGATCCAGGAACCGGTAACGTGATCACCCCTTTTCTTAAAATCTTTAATTGCGTGATCTAGCGGTCTGCATATTCTGCATAATTGTACTACTTTAAAGGGGAATAAAAGCATAAAATCACTCATACAATATCTGCAGCGGTGACTAACGCCAAGGATGACCTCAAAGCGTGACATCACTGGCCACCAATGCAGGGTTTCTGTTACCCCATCATTAAGTAACAAGTGGACCAGTGAAGGTTCCAGACATGACTAGTGCCGTGGCTGACCGCCCGGATTACCTAACTGGCGCTGGATGTGGATCCGGGGGTCCGCGGATCAACAGGGCTGGCGGTGGACCAATCACAGGGCGGTGTTGCGCCATACTGCCGAATGTTCGTTGAGTACTTAATTGTTTGGCTCCCCAGCCATTTTGGGTTAGAGCTATCAACCAGCCTACTATGGTCACGTTACCTCTTATACCAGTTACTCTCGTTTGTTATGATATCTGTACATAGATCTATCTATCTATCCTCCACCACCATGTCTCTCGAATCATTACCCACAGAGCTGCGCATCCTCATCCTCCGTGCCCTTGACAAGCAGTCTCTACACAATGCCGTCCTTGCCTCCCCTACCTACCATCACACCTACCTCCTCGCCCGAAGAGCTCTGCTCCACGACCTGGTTCGTTGCCATTATGGCCTCGTAGACCTGGCCGAGCCTGTCGCAGCTATCCGCTCAGAAGGCCTCTACGCAGATGTCTCCGCCAACAAGCAGAAGATCATCTCCCTCCTGGACCGTCGCCGGCGACACCGGGAGCTCGAACTCTCCCGCAAAGACCCCTTCGCTGGTGCTCCGGTTAGCATCGAGGAGAGCATCAAGTTGCTGCATATGTACTACAAGCTCGATACCATTGTCCAGGCGTACTGTCGTCGTGCACCGTGTCCGCCATGGATGGACCAGGATACCTGGAAACAGCAGTGTTTGCCTTTGCAGCTGACGGAGACGGAGCGGGCTCGGATTCTTCGCGCGTTGTGTCGACTACAAACATACTATAATATCGTCGGAGCGAGGGAATGGGTGCCGGAGAACGAGACGGGGTCTCAGCGTTTCCGCAAGTCGTCGACCTGGTACCGCAATTTTACCACGAATGAGATCTGGAATCTGTTCTTTGGTACGATGGCGCCATGGGAAGTTGAGGAGTTTGGATCCGTTTGGATGTTTGCTAGGGATCAATACCAGGGGATGTTTGATGAGATTGCGTGCGAGTTTCCGCGCTCTGATCCGCGTTGGAAGGCTCTCAGGCCTAATTCGTTGCCGGCAGAGATGATGGACTTGTATCCTAGTGAGAGAGAGGATGAGCCTGGTAAGTTTCTTCACTAGACGCAGTACTTTGTATGATACTAACTTCAGCAGCAAACTACAGCTACAGCGACTACTGCAACCACCTTGTCTCCCTTGGTCCCTGCTTCCTCTACAAAGCCCTCAAACAACCAACCTATGAATCCCGCCGCAACCTCCTCGCCCATAACGCCATCGCTTCCAAATCCTCCTTCATGGACGTCGTCGAAGTCATCAAAGACCCATGTCCTCTCCTCTACCCCGCAGACAGATACGAAGTCCCCGACATAGCACGCGTCCTCCCCACAATGCCAGCAATGCAACAACCAACCCACGGCTGGAAACAGCACTGGCACCGCGATGGCATCGTGGAGCGCGTCGTCTTCGCAACCCGTCCTCGTGTCACAGTCGACGAAGATAGTCTGGAAGCATGGCTGGGCGAGAACGACCTCGAACGAACGATTGGATACTTTGACGGATGGGAATGGGGGTACCCGATTCTGGAGAGCACGCGCTTTCCGGTGGGCTATGTGATGCCGTAATGACCATACTACATTTGCATTGGGATACTGGGTAATATTGCATATTGTAAAAAGTTCTTTTACTTCTGGGTTCTGGATTGTGCATTTGCACTTGAATTAGCATTGTTTAATACCACTTCTGCATTACAACACACAATCAATTCATACAGTAGCATTCACTAAATGACACCATCTCCCACCAGAATAACCTAACATTTGCCAGCATTTACCAAAATAACCCAAAATGACCTTAAATCTCCTACCAAATTGCAAATATCACCTCATCTCCACCTAAACTTGGCTTCGCACTTGGCTCTCCTTGGCTTACTTGGCTTACTTGGCTTACTTGGCTTACTTGGCTTACTTGGCTCTTTTCGGCACCTGCGTCTGTGTCTCCTTGCACAGACTGACCTGGACCTTGCACATGCACTTGTCTGCAGTGATATGTGAGATGTTACATTGGACTGCTAAGCCTTGCCCAGGGATATGGTGTACTGTACCTGGGGAACGTTGGAAAATACCTCATATTTCATATCGAGTTGTGCTGTTGAAACATGAATAGTGGATGGTACGGCTATGTCGGAGCCGGGGGCATGTATGACTTACTCTAGCGGTGGCTTTGGAAGAAATCACTCATATCGGAGTGAAGCGAATGGTAAAATTGACTGACTTGAGGACCTGAAAGATGTCATCAGACATCGCATCCTCATGCGACTTGATCACAAAACCACTTCGCCGGACTAACCGTCCGTTGACGACTTTATGTGACACACACCAACTAAGCAATCGAGATACAGACCGCCGAACAGCAAATGGCGACCCTTTGGCTCGATCTCGGTCGATGGGAGAGCAGGCAGTGATTGCGCTTGCTCTTGCGGCCCCCTTCGCGGAATCGGCCCCAAAACCGTTGCGAGTGCCATAATCCTCTCAGAGCCCTATGACCTGTCCAAGAAAAAAAAGCTAGTCGATGTTTTCGAGAGAGGTGCAGCCCTGGAAGGGGTTCTGCTTGTGCGAAAAGGGATTATGTGACAGAAACATGCTTCATAGTCCCGCATACAATCACAGTGGATATAGTGGATGAATCAAAGACGATTTCATCAAGGAGCAACTGGGAAGGGCCTCCATAGCTGTGACGACAATCGTTGAGATAAAATCAAGAACAGCTGACAAAGTTGCTTTCCGGATGAGAGACGTGAACTAATTTGTCGTACTTGTCGTTTCTACGGTACAAGTTGCTCATACCATACAGGATGCAAATGCAATATCGAAGACCAGATGCAGGAAAATCAAAAGCGCAACTTCTTGAGAGTTAAATGACATTCGGAAGATAAGAGCCACAAGAGCGACAGGTCCTGGGACATACCTGTGCCACTATACTAATAAGTCGAATACACGGCGCATATGCTCGGTTTCGTGGATTCATTCTTGCGAACGGACCAATTAGGCCGTATGGGACCTCCCAAAATCAACCGAAGACACTCGAGACAACTTCACGCCAAAGTAATCCTGAAATGGCCTGTATTGGATGAATCGGATTGAACGCTGCTTTGATTGACGAAGAGTACACAGGATTCTTCCAACGGCATTTCAGTGCTCCAATCGAAGCCCCGATACGAGCAAGATCTAGCGGAGGACGCTGGTACAGAATGACAAACGATGCATCGTCTACCTCAAATGAGGCGACGACAAAACAAGCTCGAGTTACACTATCACTAGGAGAAGATTTGTTGTGCCTGTGAAAGCACCTGACATGCAATAGAAGCAAAATGAGACCCCGTTTGTCTGAATCGGTGGCGAGCCGTACATCTCAAAGTAACTTCCGCCGGACTACGAGATACAAGTTATGGTTTTCTAGAGCGAAGCCACCACATCTAATGGAAAGGATAACATTCCTTTCAGGGATCCCGTCGTGTGCTCCGATGCCAGAGCTTGGGCAGACACGCAGAGTGTGCGGATTTTGAAGCGGCACATATATTCCCATTTGCTATTGGAATGTTCTGAGAAGGGAAGAGATTGAGTAACAGTTCGCGATCATCGGGAGCTACATCTACCGGTACTTTCCAGGTCCGCAGGAAATCCGGCTTCTATCATCACAATCTGAATGTCAATGATAATGGCATGATGCTTGAGTTAATTCTCCAAAAAGGTATGAGGCAAATGCAGTGCGTGTGCCATTATCTTGGTGACGATTGGATCAACGTTACCAGACTTCTGGCATCCGGGGTAGAAAAATGACGGTCACATTGAAGTGGCCGGTGCCACACGACATATCCTACGCATCTATTTGATGTTCCAGTGGTGTGTATACTGACCTCATCCACCTGGAACCGGTTCAAGTTGTGATAGAGAGGATCATGAGTAAAGCACATAGCTGGCTACAAATATACGAAGCCAAGATAACCCCTTCGAGACCGGATCTAATATCCACTTCATTGAGCTAAGCTCGTGGGCGACTGCTAGGACTGGGATAATCGACCCTGGGACGTACTTGCGCAAACAGCTATTTTAATGGCGGGTCAAGATGGTTGGGTATATGAGCTTTTGCTTGTTAACGAAAATAGGCTGTCATGAACCGGCTTAAGCCCATAAATCAGGAATACAGCAATGGCAGTCTTTGTGTGAAAGAAGATGAGCGCTAGGTCTCACGCCTACATATGTATCAGTTCGCGCAGGATCTCCAAAGCAAGGTCATTTGGAATGGATCTCATTGAAGGATCGCAACTTACGCCAATTGCGGCTCAGCTCACGTCTAACGGAGATATACTGCAAGATAAGTAGCACTAACATGTCAAACTGTCCAGCCGACTACCCTCACCTTATCGTATATGAATGGAGAAATAGTAAAGCACCAAAGCAAAGGGCGCTGAGCTGAGGTGGAAACCCCGTCATCATTTGGACGGTAAGATGGAATCCAAACAAAGGAAGGCTCAAATTCCTGAAGGCAGCTCATGTCTTCCTGTCTTTTATCCTTATCCATCAGAAACAAAGTCGAGCAGATTATCATAATCCGGAGCTAATATCTATGGATGATATGGATGTTTCCCAAGCCTTCAATGACTCGGCGTATGCAACACGTGAAAACACCATAGACAACGAAGGCACTGGCCCATCCCGCGGCGCATCAGACTCCTGCGCAACATTCACGCACATGGAGGGGATATCCCTTGGGACATAAAATTCACCAGGAAAATGTCCGACCAGAAAACCTTTATCACCACAAAGCCGTTGACATTGAAAATGCCATAGACAATGCGCCATAGCTTTTGGCAAGACGAGCCCGGTTTCGACTAGACACCAATGCTCACATGGGAAAAAAATGATCTGGTATCTTTGCGCTTTTTTGCGCATCACTACTACGAACCGAATCCAGATTTTCAGTCCACTATGGATTGCCCTGTCTGCAATAGGCATGTAGCGCACACTGCCTGCGGAATTTGGTGCGGACTACAATACCTTACTTAGTTTAACGTTGCGAGTCCTGCGATCCTTTCGACGGAAATCGCTCGTGTGCGCCTTTTGCCCATGAAAACTGTAAACCCTGAGACCAGGGAAACAAGAACCCAACTCCATAAGCCAGGTGTCGATCAGTCCGCTTGGACACACAATGGGAGTCGAGACACTTCCCGCGTGTTTGAACATCTTCGCGATCAAAGAAAATAATGTCGCGGGCCTCTCTTTCGACCGTCCAGGATTCTGTTATTCAAGAATACTGGCTCAGAGGCAATACCAAAAATGGCACACGGCTTGCCCGTATCGCGTCCGGAGGTATGGATCATTCCCAGCTGAACAAGTGCTTGGCCTTCCTTCCGCCTGGTCTCCCAGATAAACAGATTGGATGCCAGGTCGTTGTAACCGCTGAACCATGCGGGCGGAGTAATCAAAACGGCCAGATAACGCTACCTGTTTGCCCTCGTAGAGAATTGCCTTCCGAATATTTTCAAAGGATAGACTTTTCTAGCGGATCCACAAGGCAAAATTAATGGCAAGCCCTAGTTCCTGACTTAGGATCTAGAGAATTGAATGTCCACGGCTGGACATGCGATGCAGAGATGGTTGTGAAAGGAGCACTACCGTATTGTAGTCAATGGAAAGGGAAAATTTTTAGGGAACATCCGGAGACACAACACGAAAAACGATATCTTTACTTTTCTCAATCTCGTAGCACCTTTTTCGAGACTACGATCGTGTACATATTCTTCGATAATCTGTGACGAAGCCACTTCCAGGCAGCTTCCTTTGGCTTCTGCACGTTATGGAATGTGGCTTCGTTAGGATAATTATACGTTTAGCGAAGTTCTCGTAGAGTTGTCTTTCACAATGTGAAGTCTCAATGAACACCATTCATCAGCCATGGTAGGACAGACCTTTGGTCGTCGTGTAGTTACTAATCGATTCTCGAACGATTCCTTTGTCCTGTCGCGTGCAATATATTGGCTTTTGGGTGGTGAGACTGCTAGGGCGGGAGTTTCAATCCTGGCAGTCCCTCTCTAGTTTCGTAGGTCATTCGATAAGCGGTAGCCATCACGCGTTGTCGATGATGGGTAAATTAAGGGTGAGTCTCTGTTTCCGTCGTGACCGAAGTCCTTCGATTATATCAACGTTGGAACGCTAGGTGCTATCTTCGGTTTTGAGTTCACCATTGTACCTTGGGTCATGCTGGTATTGTTTTTGGCCATAAGTTAGGGAATGGCTTCACACAAGCCAGATACAAGACATATCAAGAGGTTTATCGGCCCTATAAAATTTTGGGAGGACACCTTTTCTGATAGTAATCGAACGGCGGACTAGCCTGTAGCCTTTCACTTTCAGTTGCATCTTCGGTGTTGGCTATCGCCACGTAGACACCAAGCAGGAAGAGCTAATGGAGGTCCTAAACTCGCTCCAAGCAGAAAAATTCGAAACGGCACGCACGATTATCCTGACCAGTTATACAACCTGGACCACCCGCACAACGCAGGAGACCATCCTCATAGCCACTGGAAACATGTTCCTGAATTGCGTCATGGTCACAACCCTTATCACAGAAGCGCAATGATAAAATTAATATTGCTATTATTTCCTAATTAGTATGGTTATTATATTATCAACACACAAAAACGAATCTAGAGTGCATGCAAATGCCATAAACAACAACTAGAAATATGCAGATGCAAATGCGAATGCAAATGCCAGATATCCATATCTATTTATCGGTCAGTCAGTCGTAAATGATGTCAAACGGCGAAATGAAACCAAAATCACAGTGGTGTAACCCTCTCTCCCACGATCGGTTATTACATCCGGACCAGCACCAAGGCGATACAATAAGCATCATCTCAAACAGCCCCCGAACCGGAGAAGTAATGTTCCTCCGGACCCGGCTCCCCAGAGCCACACTGCGAAACCTTCCGCTGGGCTTTCTTCCGATCACTAGCGAGAACCTGCGCGAATTTCGATTTATCGCGGATCTTCGGCCCGTTCCAGTAGAAGACGTAGATGGGGATGATGAAGAAGATGGCGAGGAAACCTAGTAGTGTGGAGGCCCATTCAAGGGAGTTGGAGTGGCCCATGTTTTCGTACACTGCTTTATTAGTACCGAAACTTTTATGGAAATAAAAGAAATGAAGGGAAATGCCTACTTGGCGTTGAATACATGGCAGCAATACCAGCGAGGAAATCTCTGGCTAGGGCGTTACCGCCTGTTGCGGAGGCTGCGTACGGCCCGTAAGAGGCGACCATGTAGTCGATTGTGGCCATGTAAATGGAATACTGTGCTGTGTTAGACAGACATCCTGTATTGGTATACCTGTGAGACTGGAACTTACATTGGCTATTGCAATGAGCGATGCGAAGATCATCGGCGCTATCCAGTGCACATGCGGGGGTCCTAAACTGGTCCATGCAAAGCCGAACAAACCGATTACCAGAAGTGGTGCAGCTAGACCTGATTAATACTGGATATGCGATGTTAAAAGGCAGGGACTCACTCCATAGCAGCCAATACAATCGGGCTTCTGGCTGGAGGGCGTCGGGGTCTCGTTCACGGACTCTGCAATGTCTGTGGAAAAACGGGAAGAAGGAGAAATAGGCGATGATGTAGCCGACCATCAATCTAAGACAGTTAGCACAATCGTCCAAATGGAGTGAGTCAAGGTCAGGGAACATACGGAAGAAAAGACAATCCGATAGTAATCGTGGTAAACCCCCACTGCTTAAAAACCGGCGTAAAAGATTGCAGGAAAGTGAAGATCAGAGAGTCACTGAAGCCACTAAGCATCGACAGACACAGCACAATTGGCTCCCGGACGAACATTATAAACGGACGACTCCAGACCATCAGCAGATGCTTCACAGTAATCTGCTTCCCTTTTATTTCGTCACCGCTGTACACCTCATCACCCATCTTGCGTCGCCTCTTAGCCTCACGAGTAACCAAGATACTGCATCGTGTCTCTGGAACAAAGAAGTGCACTACCTGCACAAAGCCTCCAAGGATAAGCTGCAGCCAGAAGTTCCAGTGCCAGTTCAGGAATGTTGTTGTAAAGCCACCCACAACAGGAGCAATCACTGACCCAGCTACTGATGAAAAGACGATAAACGCGACAGCGTATTGCTGCTCATCAGCTTCCCACATGTCCGCCACCATACCCAGCGTGACAGAACCACCAGCAGAGGACAGACCACCGAGGATACGGCAGACCACAATCGTACCAAAATTGGGCGCCAACGCACAAGGAATCTGCCATATATTGACTAGCAATAAACTGAGTTGCATAATTGGCCACCGACCAAATTCTTCACTCCAGGGCGCCCAGAATTCACTCCCAAATCCATATGCAATGAGGAAATCCATCTGCCCGACTCTGGCCGCCTGCTCCGAGATCCCAAAATGACCAGCAAACAGCGAGACACCACTAGCGTAGAAACCGGCGTTAAAGTTCATGGAGACTTGCACGATGAAGATAACCGAGAGGATACCCCATTTTTTCCACTTGGGGAATGTGAAACCGAGTTTGTCATAACAATCCGTCTCCTGCAATTCACGCTTGCCAAACTTATCTTGCTGTTCCTTGGTGAATTCGCCGTGGCATGCTGTTGGTTGAGAATCAGAAGGACGGCCTACGCCGTCGGATACACCGTCGGGTACACCGTCCTTTTCCTTCTCCTTTTCCACACCATCCACACCATCCGCTCCAAAGAATGGATCGAAAGGTGTATGTGGCTGGGACATCTGGATAGATTCAATCAATATAGAAGTGTGGGGATGCTATGAGTAGGGCTAGGAGCGGGTTACTCTTCCTGGTAAGTATGGAGAATATCTCACTCCGGTGGGGGGGGGGGAACATCAGGTTAAATACAAACAGCCAAAAGAGCTGTAACTGAACTGACTCAAATTACATGACATCGTAAACTCTGCGGTTTCTGCCGCCAGTAGTTTGACGTCAATGTGGAGGAGGCGTCCGGACACTTTGTCCCAGCCAACCGCCAGCATCTCTCCGTGTTTGTTCCTTCTCTAGGTAACCATCCATAGGAAACTATAGGCCGCAAATGTATTCCGGCAACCCCAGGAAACAATCCCTCCGCCGGAACCAGACTTCCAGTACCGTACAATGAAGCCCGGGACCTCCAGGTCGGAAATGTGTTCCTGCGAACTCCCTGAGGAGAATTTTCTTCCCCAGAGTCCCCATGGAGACAATGTGGGTTGGGAAATGCGGAGTGTGCGGCCATTTCCGGCTTGTCATTTGTAGGATGACGGAGTTATTCTTCGCTGATGTCCGTGAAGTATGACATAGGCCCAGTACTAGCAAGCACCGTGACAATGGAAGCCGTTCCATCGTCATTTGGAGGGGCATAGGCGCTTCTAGACTCTGGGCATTCTGTGAGCTGAAGCTGTATGTGCAGAGACATTGGGCACCAGTACACCGTAACTGACTGATAACTGTGGTAGGTATCAATAATAATTCTCTAATTCAATGATCCAAACTCGAAAAGGCATGTACAAACTTCACTCACTGGACATTCGCAGCTTCTCAAGATAAAATATTAAGAAGCATAACAGAAAGTCATTCCATGGAGAACCAGTTATCCCGGTATATCATTTTGGAACTTCATTGCCGGTAACAGTATCCAGCTTTTAAGAATCCATTCTGGAAGCGACCAACATTGCCAACAAAGCAGGGCATGGTAACACCTCCCGCGCTGGGATGCAGCAATAGATAAAATACGCGATAATAATTATAGGTTTATCAAAAAACATTCAAAATAAATAGATTGCCAGATTCAGTCATGACAAATGTGACTGGTTTTAAATGAGAATGAGTCAGGATAGACCATTATGCAATCGCTAAAGCGCTTTGAGTAAAAATCGTGGGTATAATACAAAGATGATATATTTCTGTGATCACATCTCGTCGTCCTCTGGATCGTATAGATCAAGATCAAGCGTGGCTTTCGGTTTGGGAGCAGGTGCGGGCCCACTCTTCGCACCACTGGTTGCAGCAGACCCAGCATGAGCAGCAGCCTGAGCAGCCTCATCTACCCGACGAGGCTCATCTCCCTGCTGTGCCGGTTCGATAGCTTCCGCAGCCCCCTGTCCCTCCGCTTCACGTATCAGTCGTTCCACCTCATTATCAGAATCAAAGCCTGGACGACCCTCGGCAGCTGCAAGTTGTACCTGACCCATGAGACCCATGCGGATTCGATCCTCGGCCGGGTATGGTAGCATGTAGATTTCGCGAGTCATGTTTGCGGACTCGTCCAACCAAGACGTTGCCTCTTTTGTTACCGATGAGACAGGCTCCGCTCCTTCTTCTGTCTCTGTAGCACCGTTGACGCCTGTCATTGCGACGTCCTGCTCGGTGATTTGCTGTCGTTTGTCCTTCAACTTCTGTGCCGCTGGTATTCCTGCTGCTGCATCCGCCGCGGCCTGGTGATTATACTTGCTGATACGCCGGGCGAAATCAAGCAGTAGCTTATAATCCACCTCCTTGTTCATCCTTATCCTTGATCGCGACTTTGACATATCCATGTCTTCATCGGAGTCGTAATCGGAGCTATCATCATCGGCCTCTGAGTCTGTATCGTTTTCCGCGTCGCCGCAAATCGTTCGAATTTCCTTCTCGCGAGTTTCTACATCACTGACAATGCCCTTGACTCTTTCCTCCAGATTCTCAGCTTCCGCACGGAGTCTTAGGATCTTGGCGTAGTTCTCTTGGTGCTGTCGGAGGGTCTCGACGGCCGATGTCAACGAGTCATCCGCGTCCAAGACGGCGCTTGCTGCGGCTGGGGCACCTGCGGCGGTTGGGGATGTTGTAAGGCTGGTAATAAGAAGGTTCAGTTTGCTTTCGAGGCTCGATAAGGACGATTGCATATGCGCATTCATTTTGACTTCGTTGGCTTCGTTGGAGGTCGAGGGGAAGGAGGGAGGCGACGCGGAGAAGGGGAGAGTGATTAGAGGTGAAATTCGACGGAGAATCGGAGGATTGCGAGGGTCGTCATATGCACATTGGCTAAATTAGTCCAGCAAGAATCTTACTTTTGTGTTACCGCAGGAGACTCGTAGCATAAACGGAGTGCGGTGGGAAAAGGCATTTAATGCCTGAGGAAGCAACAGCTCTGCATCACGTGCAAGCCACCCAAATTGACCAATCACGGAATTCCGTTTCTATTTACACATCCTGTCACTTTGCTAGTAGGGGCACAAATACGACACCTGGAAAGACAATTGAGCTCGGAAATTGCCCTATAAATTCATTTATATTGTCCCCACGTATTGGTCAGTCCAAGCATCTTATCGCCATGACCTTAATGCGGGGTCCCCATCCGGCAACACCCGCCATGTCCTGAGGTATTACCGCTGTGTTTCTCCCCGGAGAGTCTTCCAATTCCATACTGCGCCGTCCATACATCCAGGGGCAGTATTGTATCATTATGACTCAGGCTGCGCCTCTCCCCTCTGCTCCAGTGATCAATCTGGGAGCCGATGTTGTCCTGCAGCCCCCGCTTTCTCGATGCGGACGTGGACCGGGTTTGATTATTCTGCGGCCTAGCAGCTTTGCGGACTGTCAGCAGAGAAACGACAGTCTGGACCCGGAGCCGCTGCAGAAATGGGCGGAGGAGAGCTATGCGGTTGTTCAGATCAGTCTTGATCCGCAATTGAGTGGTGACAAAACGCGTGTTTCTGGGTTGGTTACGGCAGGAATTGATGCTCTTGTCTCGTTGGCGGAATGTGAAACGAAGGACAAGTTTGGCTTATTAGGTAGAGCTGCGTTTGATCAGTTGTAATATGCATTTGCTGATTCAGTGCAGTTTACGGGCCCCAGAAGGATTATGCGCCGGGGTTTGTTGATGCACTCCGGGCTGTCGTAATCGATAGTGAGCGCATTGCTGCTACCATCTCCTTCGATTCATGGGATATTTCAGCTCAGAAGGCTGCGCTGCAACACGTTTCTGGCAAGCCTGGTGCTATCGTGAAGCACGACAACTTGACTGTGTACACATATCCTGAAACGTCGTCTGCCGGATTCATTGTCCCTGGACATGTGGATTTCAAGACCTCATCAGCTGGAGTTGCGCATACTCGAAGTTTGACCTTCATCAAGAAGCAATTGGGAGGCCCCTACTTCGACCTTGAGAAGATCTGGGAAGAGCATGCCTATTATGAGTTCGGAGACCGGTCTGTGGAGAAAACAATGTCAACTATGGTGCAGGAACCTTACGTGAACCACATCCCGACGGTAAGCTGACCCGCCTGTTTATGAGAGAGTTTGTGCTGAACGAGTGCAGCTTACAGGAGGAATTGGCCGTGCTCGTCTGAGCAAGTTCTACCTGAACCATTTCATTTTCAACAATCCCGACGACACGGAGTTGGATCTCATCAGCCGCACCATTGGTACTGACCGGGTTGTTGATGAGTTTATTTTCTGCTTCACTCATGATAAAGAGGTTGACTGGCTGTAAGTACTCTTATGGTTGCCAGTTATGTAGGCACATTACTAATATATTTCAGTATCCCCGGAATCCCACCTACCGGAAAGCCGCTACGGATCCCGATGACTTCGGTGGTGAACATTCGGGGAGACCGGTTATATCACGAACATATTGCCTGGGATCAGGCGACGATTCTCATCCAACTGGGATTGCTACCAGAGTACCTCCCCTTTCCTTATGCTCTTCCTGACGGAAGGCAGCCAGCTCCAGGAAAGAGATTCAAGTATCGTGTCCCGGCTGCTGGGGTAGAATCTGCGACCAAGTTGAAGGACGAGCACTCCGTTCCATCGAATCAGATGCTCGAGTACAAGGTACGCGAGGTTGACAATGAGTGAATGCGGTTTGCATACTTAGCCCAACATCTGGCATTTGTAGTACTCTACAGTATTACCTACTGTGCACTATTCCGTAATGTATCGGGTTCGTACTCTGTATACTCCGGAGATATCGGACACCGATATCTTGCAGAAGATCGGCAAATCGGACTCGGAATAACTGCGGGGAAACTACGGTTTGCGTCATCCGGCATAAAATGCATAACTACGGAGTGCTATGAGTTCTTTTTGAATCCTGCCAACACTGAGGATCCTGATCCTGCCGCACGCCGGCCTAGATACGATAGGTGTAAGCCCCTCTCCGGATGCAGTATCGGCTTTTCCGTAGTGAATCATTCTCACTCATGCTGACTCCTTATTATTACATACTTAGTATGCCCGGGTCGAGCCGGATCAGTGGGTCTCTGGTAAGCCTGGTAAAGTCCAATATTTGGGCAGTCTGATTGGGCAGTTAATCTATACATCCCTCAGGCATCATAATAAGCTCGCAATCAATTTTTTGAACTGACTCGTCACGGGCCCACGTGGAGTCTACTTAAACCCTGCCATCCCCCCGGATTGTCATCTCTCGTGGCCAGAGCTGCCTATCGTCTCCTGCCAGACAAATTAGTCAGGATGCACTTCTCAGCGGCATCGTTGTTACTGGCCATTGCGCCGGCCTGCTTTGCGTCTAAGCTTCCGGTGGTTGACCTTGGATACGAGCTGCACCAAGCTCTTTCCTTTAGCGTTAGTCCTGGATCCAACTATAGAAGTGAAAAAGCGAGGCTAATTCTGAATAGGAGTCTTATGGCACTTACAACTTCAGCAACATCCGCTATGCCGCTCCCCCCGTCGGTGACCTTCGATTCCGCGCACCAGTCTCCCCAGCAAAGAACCGCAGCGAAGTGCAAACCGGCGCGCAAGGTCGTGTCTGCCCCCAGGCGCAGCCTGTTTGGAGTGAGGACATTGCTCCAGCCTTCCTTGTCAGCGCTTTGACGGGAACGCAGTTCAACCAGTCCACCAATATCTCATCCTACCCCTACGTGCCGCAGCAACAAGACCCTCGGACTACGGAGGACTGTCTGTTCTTGGATGTGATCGCCCCGAAGAAGATCTTTGATCGCGCGCAGAACAAGACGTCGGTTCCTAAGAAGTCCTTGGCTCCCGTGTTGGTTTGGATTTATGGTGGTGGATATACGGTTGGAGAGAAGACTTCGTACGATCCTAGAGGTCTGATTCAGCGGAGTCAGAAGAACGGAGAGGGTATTATCTATGTCGCTTTGAACTACCGAGTAAGTGGCTGTCTGAAGAGTACCGAGGACTTGCATCGTTAACAACCTTAGCTTGGTGCCTTTGGTTGGTTAGCTGGTGATACCCTCACCGCTAATGGCACGGCGAATGGTGCACTTCACGACCAAAGACTAGCCCTGGAATGGGTGAAGGAGAGCATTCACCTCTTTGGAGGTGATTCGGACCGCGTCACTGTGATTGGGGAGTCTGCAGGAGGAGGATCCATCCTCCACCAGATTACTTCTTACGGAGGCAAGGGTGGACAACTGCCGTTCCAGCAGGCTATTCTCCAAAGCCCTGGGTGGTATCCCCTCCCTACCGACGAGCAGCAGGAGGCCTCCCTTCAACAGTTCCTGGGTCTCCTCAATGTTAGCACGGTGGAGGAGGCTCGTAAGCTTCCTACTGCGAAGCTGGTTGCCGCCAACGCGAAACAAATATACAGATCTCCATACGGAACTTATACCTACGGACCAGCTGTTGATGGTACCTTTGTGCCCAAGATGCCTGGAGAACTGCTGCTCGAAGGCAATTTCCACAAGAACCTGAGCCTTATGGTCGGCCACAATTCCAACGAGGGCCTGCTCTTCACACCACCTACCAGCGTCAACAGCAACAGCTATGCAGGCCTCCTCGAGGCTGACTTGCCCGAAATCCAGCAGAACGTCTCCAACTACATCTCCAACGTTCTGTATCCACCTGTCTACAACGGCACATACGGATACACGAACCCTGTCTTGCGATTCGCAACGACCCTCGCAGACATCGTCTTCCAGTGCAACACCGACTATCTCAACCGCGCTTTCCTCAACCAGACGTACGCATACCTGTTCAGTGTGCCCCCTGGATTGCATGGCTCGGACCTGGAGTATACTTTCTACAACCCTGCAGCCAACTCGACCGTTACGAGCAAGAATGTGGCGCTTGCATTGCAGGATTACATCACTAGTTTTGCGGAGACGGGTGCGCCCAAGTCGAGCGTTGGTCCTGCGTTTGAGAAACATGGCAAGAAGCAGCAGATTCTGAACTTGGGTGTTTCGAACATTACAACTGCCCATGATCCGACTGCGAACTCACGTTGTCTGTTCTGGCAGGATGCGCCGTATTATGAGCACTCTTGATTGCTTGATCTACGGAGATATGGCTGATATGGATGATATGACTTTCATAATGTAGATATCTAATACCATGTTCATAATTTGGATCGCTCATAATAAACACATCTATGTACCAGCCCCTGAATCCATTCTAACGGTATTAGATGTACCAAACGGATTCGTGCAGTTCGTGAAACCACGTGCCCCAACCTGAAAGACGACACCGCTTGGTCCAAGTCCTCCGTTATAACGACAACTCGTGATGCCAATCCTGAAGAACGCCACATAATAACTTTATCTCCAGTTCACCACCGTAAATCCCTAATCCTAACCAATAACACATCCATCCCTTTCGCGTCACCCACTCACCACTAACGTCGCTCCGGCCCTCGCCAACGGATGACAAGAAACCCAAGATGCTACTCAAACGATACCACCGTCTCGGCCCCGTGAGCCCTTGGCGACTTGCCCTAGATCAGATCGATTGTGTTCTTGGCATGCACTGCTTTCCTGAGGGACAGGAAGTTGAGGGAAACGGTTACACGGCGTTGGGGGGCGTGTCTTGGGGATTTTGGTCTGGGCTGGTGGCTGTTGTACAGGGAAAAGCAGAGACCCGGATGCTGTGGTTATGTTGGGGATTGGGTACTCGTGTGGGGGGGTATAAGATTGGTAAATATCCGGACTCGTGGCGCCATTACGGATACTGAGTCTAAACGGTTGATGTCTGATTTGGGATTGATCAACCGGAGATATCAGAGAATATGGCTTGGTTTCTAGGACTGGGAATACTCCTAGTGCAATTGATCTTGTTGAGCAATTTTGTTATCGCTGGACCTGCTAATTTCGAAGTGGAAGTTATCCCTGGTGCATATATTGCGGAATTCGCTGATCATTTGGACAATGTAAGTGAGCCCTCTTCCCTTCTCCATGCATATGCTAACAGATAAAGCACGAAAATGCCTTCTTCTCAGAACTCTCAACCGCAAAGATCCCCGCAAAACTTCGACTCAGTCTCTCCTCTTCCGTATTCAAAGGTGCATCGTTCCATCTAGACGACACGCATGACGAACACGATGAACGGAGGAAGATTGAACAGATCGCCTCTTCGAAATCTGTCAAGAAGGTCTTTCCAATGCGGAAGTACTCGCTTCCCTATGAGAAGGTCAGCACGGCGGATAAGCACCAGGTCCATTCTTCGCCCAAGCAGAAGATCGAACAACGTGCCACCGACGACAATTTCTATTCGCTGCATACAGTGACTGGAGTTGATAAACTGCGCGAGGAAGGATTCACAGGCTCTGGAGTCCGTGTCGCCATTATCGACACAGGCATTGACTACAACCATCCTGACCTAGGCGGGTGTTTCGGCCCTGGATGCAAAGTTGGTTTCGGATATGACCTCGTCGGCGATGCGTATACTGGTGAGAACGAGCCCGTCCCGGATCCTGATCCGTATGATAACTGTGGTGGCCATGGGACGCATGTTGCTGGTATTATTGCTGCATCCTCTAACGAGCAGAACTACTTCACTGGTGTTGCTCCGAATGTCACGTTGGGCGCGTACCGTGTCATGGGATGCAATGGAGCTGTTTCAAATGATGTGCTTATCAGAGCATTTGCGATGGCGTACGAGTCCGGTGCAGATGTCATTACATCTTCGCTTGGAGGGAGCGGTGGTTGGAGCGAAGGTATCCCCACACCCTCAAGTGCCTATATATTATCCAAACTAACCACTTGCAGAACCCCTCGACGTCGTGGTCTCAAACATAGTAAAAGCAGGCATCCCATGCACCGTCTCAGCCGGCAACAGCGGAACAATGGGCCCCTTCCACTCCTCAACCCCAGCAGGCGGCATCGGCGCAACATCCGTCGGCTCCGTCGACAACAAAGCTTACCCCATGCTCCTCGTCCCGGGAAAATACGTTGCCGGGAGTATAGATTCCGAATTTGGCTGGGCACCAGGAATCCTCTCCAATATCTCAGAGGGCACCTACCAGCTCTACGCACTAACCTACAACACCTCCTCCGCAGACGACGCTTGCCACGACCTCCCCGCCGAACCAGCAGATTTATCAGAATACATAATCCTTATCCGTCGAGGTGGGTGCTCGTTTAGCCAAAAGGCAGGCAACGCAGCTGCCCGTGGCGCGAAACATATTCTCTTCTACAATACACAGCCAGGAACGAACCAAGCATACGTCTACGCACCTGGAATCGAATCCGCAGGAATGGTCCCGCAAACTCAAGGCCACAAATGGATCGCCCTCCTCGAAACAGGACACAAAGTCCACCTTACCATCCGTTCCCCCAAACGCGCTGGCCTCGCTATCATGGAAGAACCAAACTACACTACAGGCGGATACATGAGCACATTCTCCAGCTGGGGCCCGTCCTACGAAGTCCAGACAAAACCCCAGATCTCTGCCCCAGGAGGTGTTATCGCCTCAACGTACCCCCTCGCCATGGGCGGATATGCAGTCCTCTCCGGAACATCCATGTCCTGCCCCTACGCAGCAGGCGCTATAGCACTCCTCCTCGAAGCACGTGGGAAACTCGACCCAGAAACCATCAACAATCTCCTCTCCACAACAGCAACACCAGAACCCTTCCACGACGGCATATCCGAATACCCCTTCCTCGCACCAGTCCCCCAACAAGGCGCTGGCCTAATAAACATCTACGACGCCGTCCACGCAACAACCCTCCTCTCCGCACCCTCAATCTCCTTCAATGACACAGCCCATCTCCTTAAAAATGGCGGGTTTACTATAAAAAACACCAAACCAGCAGCAGTAACATACGAAATCGCCCACATCCCCAGCGCAACATTCTACACCTTCACAACAAAGGGATCAAAATCACACTTCACAACAGGCCACCCACCAGAAATGATCCCTCGCGGCGCAGACCTCTCATTTAGTATCACAGAAGTAACAATCCAACCCGGCGAACAAGCATTCATACACGTCTCCCCGATCCTCCCCTTCAACATGACCACAGAACGTATACCAGTATATAGCGGGTTCATCACCATCAACGCGACAAACAGCGAGAAAGACGAGTCTCTCTCACTGCCGTATTTGGGCGTTGACTCGGTGCTAAAGGAAGTGCCAGTCCTCAACAAACAACACGTCTTTTTAACATCGACCTCTAGGCCTGGTGTGCCGTGGGCGGGTCATTATCAGTTTAATATTCCGCCGCCGAATAGTACGCGGGCGAAGTATCCGGGGCTTCTTGCGCCGGCTGTTTTTGCGGAGTTGAAGATGGGGACGGCGTTGCTTCGTGTTGATGTGCAGCCTGTTGATGCGTTTCCGCCAAATCAGACTCATATTCCCAGAACTAGAGTCAAACGTGCGTTTAAGTACAACACAGAAAAAGTTCTCGGACAGGAAATCCTCGGCTCGATCGACAGTTTTCCGGCACGCTATGTACCAGGTCAAAATGCTGCGGGTACATGGCATGGGAAGTTGAGTGATGGGACTTATGCGCCGGCCGGCAATTATACGTTTCTGGTGAGTGCGTTGAAGATTTTTGGGGATCCGGATAAGGAGGAGGACTATGAGAGGGTCAAGACGGATATTTTTGGGATTTGGTATGGGTAGATTAACTTAATTTAGTTTATTTAGAATAGTATGGCTACGAGAATTTATATTGATGCTGTCTTGTTTAATGCCTCATTGATGCCATAAAGTCCCTTATGCTGGTATGACGTATGAGGATGCTGCCTAGTTGTAGTACTGAAAGTGCAAAGGACGCAAATGTAACAATACAAGGGAGCAGGATACTATAGACTACAGTAGGAAGATAATGGAAGTGAACGGTTTGATTGATGCTCACACAACACGGTAAACTTAGGTATTAACCCGTACTCCGCAGGCCAGAGCCGATGTCGTGGCCCCGTTGGTCCCCAGCAGATAAGGGACGAATGTACCCGGCCTTGCTTGGGATGTCGGGTTCGTAATCGACCTCTGACTCAGGCAGTACGTATGCCTGGCACAGTGGCGATGGTCCCGGCTTGGGAAGACGCAGCCGCTCTGTTGACTGAAGCTGGTTGTCGACGTGCTTCTGCAGGGCGTCGGGAAGAAAGTCCACCTTAACGGCATCGACATGCAAAGCGTATCGGTGCTTGTTGATAAAGCACGCACTGGTGGCCGTTTCGGTGTTGTCTAGCAGGCCCGAGCCGTGCTTAGACGAAAATGGGCCAGGCCTCCGCTTAAGCCCCCCGAAGTGAGACTACCCCTCCCGCTTTGGCTTGTTGGGCAGAGGTTCGAGGGAGGAGACGTGCCGGGGCGCCTCAGAACACTCCTCCTTGGCTGATGGAGTCTGGGCCAAGTCCCGCTCCACCTCAAAACCCTGGGCCACGATGGTCACCAGGGCGCCTTGGACCCGCGAGCTGAGGTTAAGTTTCTCGAGGTGGGCACCAAGTACCTCAACCTCTTCGCTCTCCTCAGTGGGCTCTTGTATGCCCGGAGCAACCGAGACGCGGCGTGCCTTTTTTGCCCCCCTTGTAGGAACCGGAGTGGGCGTTCTCGTCAGCCCGTAGGCACGAGGCCCTTCGCCCTTTGGCTTGGGCATAGTCTGGACCGGCTGGTCCTCTGGCAGGGACATTGACGAGTCACCTGCATGGTGCCTCAGTGGGTAGGGGGTGGGCTTTCTCTTCAGCCCGCAGCCAGACTTCTTTTTGTAGGAGCTCTGTGGCCTGCGCTTGATAGCCTCGAGGGTCTTTTTGATGAAGTTTCCTGGGCCATGTCGATAGATGAGCTGCTATGTGTCAGTGGTGTGCCAGAAAAAGAGAAGGCGAAGAAGCAAAGAAAGAGAAGAGAAGAAAGGGTAGAGAAGAAAGGGTAGAGAGGAAGTACAGAAGAAAAGGAGATAAGAACTTACTCTTCTCGTAGACTCGAGACGAAAAAGGTCGGTCGAGGAAAGCCGGTGTAGGTGGCTGTCGGTTGCGAGCTGTTTCCCATGTCAGTAACGAAGAAAATAAGAAGAAAAGACAAAAACCATACTCTCTGTAGACTCGAGGATCGGTTGTCGATGCTCGAAAGCTCTGTTTTTGTCGTGGAACTCGGTGTGTTGGATGGAAACAGTCAAAACGCAGCTGGTGGATGAGTTAAAGAAGGAAAGAAAGAAAGAAAGAGAGAGGATGGAACTGCCGAGGGGGGTTATAAATGCCTCGTGTAGGCAGCATTCTGTGAGAAATGGTCGTCATAGACTCTCGGGATTATTAAATTTGATTTCATGATAAGCGTTGGGCGTTGGAGCGACAGTCTTTAGGCTGCTCTCGTAGCTTGACGGGTTGCCTGCGATGCGGCGGTGCGCTTGCAAAGGTAGAATGAGGGCTGGAGCGGCTGCCTGTATACGTTGGCATTGGCGTGTTCTCGAAGTTCGACGATTTTAATAGGCGAGTAAAAAGGGACATGCCGAGAAAATGGTGTAGAGAAAGAGAAAGAGATATATAGGAAGAGAGACAGAGAGAGAAACTGTGTCTGTAGTTCATTTTTTTTTTTTTTTTTTTGGAAGGCGTAGATGCTATTTCTATTTTGGGAAGGCACCGGGTAGCCCCACATGCGCAGACCACTCTGCGGTCCCATTTGCAAATCGTATAGCTACAGGGTATTCTGATTTCACTTATATTGTTTCTATTCCATATTTAGCTTGAAAAGATAGAATCGAGTCATGTATGTCGGAGTAATAAAGGGGAGCCAGCATACACCACGGCCACGCCATGTCGGATTAGAGAAATCGTTCTGAAACTGATAGACATAGCATGAACCGGGCGCCCGCAGCCTCGTAGCTACAGCAGTATGTAGAGTCATACTCTCTTCACATTCATTCTATACTTCGTCAACGTGCAATCTAGAATTGCCCTTATCTGGGCCGTTGAAAGTTTCGCATCGCTCTTTCGGACAGTCTTTATGCAGGACAGTGTCAGGGATCTCACCTCTATAACAGAAAAATTAGCAACATTGTCCTTCAGTTGTTGGAATCCAAGAAACAGTGAATTCTGGCGATGCCCACACCAACCTCATGATACAGGGCCTTAGCTCCATCAACAGTGTGTTTAGGAAAGTGATCGAAAACCTGACCATCGGCAAGCCAGATATTGGTATCTTCTGTGAGCGGGCCCAGCTCGAGAGGTTTCAGGTAGTTCGCTCGCTGGAACTCAGGCTTGGTTTGGATAGACTTTCTTTGGGCAGTTTGATTCTTTTCTCGGGGGAGATAGAAGGACCTGGTGCTATGTTTATTGAAAGGGATGGATCGCCAGAGGGCAACTATTGGTTGTTTGAGATTATATTGGCCATATGCTGTCCTCAGGCCAAGCTCTTGAGTCACTGCATGGGAGCCCAAGGGGCCAGGCATACCATAAAAAAGAGGAGAAGAAAGAAAATGAATTTGAACGGGCTACAGCCCCGAATCGATCCAAGGCGGATCATACCATTGAGCAACTACCACAAAGCCAGAGCAGATATCTCATCTCATTCCGCATTCGAAAACCTCACGATCAAAGGATTCATTGGAGACTATGATCTTTATTCTTTTGGGGGACATGCTAATAAAATACAGCAGCTTCCTATCATACACAAGATGCAATTCCTCAATCAATACCTACCACAACGACCTACTCCTTCAAAACATCATGCCCCCAATTCTTCAACGACCGATAACTCTTACTCCCCGTATCACTCTTCGCCTTCTCCTCCTGCGCCAAATGCCTCTTACAATACGCCACCGTCTTCCTCATATGCTCAATATCATGCTCCGTATACTCCTCTGGGTCCCGATCAGGATTATGCGCAAGGATATCGACGATACGGCGACCGCTGAGTTCGTTTTCTTCAAAAACCGGATTTGCGGAAAATTGGGAAACGGGAAAGTACCTCTCGTGGCCTATCGTTTCGCCGCCGGATTCACTTTGCCAGCCGGAGGATTGGGATTGTTCTTTTTGGAGCCAGGACCAGAGTTCGGCGGGGGACATGTTTACTAGGTCGTGGAATTCGCTGGGGCTTGTTAGGGGGTGTTTTGGGGGGTTGGTGGGGAGGCTTACTGGATTACGGTGTCTTTGTCTTTGACCATTTTGGCGGTTGGTGATGGTTATTTTGTAAATGGGATTGCTGAAGGAGTGTTTGTGATATTGTGCCATCGCATTGAGGCATCTTATCAGATTGACGTCATGGATTCCGTTCTACCACCGAACAATGCACGTGGAATGTATTATATCGAACGAATTTGTACTAACTTACCATTCCAGATATCGATAGGTGAGTACTACATGGACCAGCAATCATTCAGTAGCAAAGATATGAGTTGGCAGGATCATGCAGATTGTCGTGATCTCGCAGATACGCAGATACACGAGCCCCGCTAATCCAAATCGAGATCGAACAAAGCAAAAAAATGCATGACGATCCTACGTGTTCGTCTGAGAACTGCGGGGTCATGATTGGCCTATATAAGGGGCAATCGCCCTTGATTCCATCTTGATATCTTGGGGTTGACGAGATACGGCACATCACCATGCGCCGAACAGCGATTGTCACCGGATCTGCAAACGGGATGTAGGTACCTATACTCCATACAGAATCCAGTACTTGTAAACAAGTTAACCTCCCCAGTGGAAAGGCCATAGCAACCCGCCTAGTCCGAGATGGCTACTCCGTCTGCATCAACGACATCCCCAACAAAGCAGCGGACATCGAAGCCGCCGTCACCGAACTCAACACCGCCTTTCCATCCGACGGCCGCCCCAAAGCAATCGCCGTCCCAGCCGACGTGACCTCCGGTTCCTCCGTTGAAGCTATGATCCACGAGACAGTTGAAAAACTCGGTCCCCTGACGTTGATGGTCGCCAACGCGGGCATCGCCCAGACAAAGCCCCTGTTCTCCGCCACCGAGGAGGACGTTGATAAGGTCTTCTCGGTTAATGTCAAGGGCGTGTTCAACTGCTATACCCGCGCCGCGCAACAGATGATTGCACAGGGTGACCCGGAAACCGCCGCTGGAGTGCGCGTGTACAAGATCCTTGGTGCAGCGTCCATTGGCGGGTTCAGAGCTTCCGCTCCTCTGGGGATGTATTGTGCCAGTAAGTTCGCGGTCAGGGGATTAACGCAGGCCTTTGCGCAGGAATGTGCGCCGCATAAAATCACGGTCAATGCGTATGCGCCGGGAATGATCAACACTTCAATGTTGGACGGAATCGATGAAAGCTTGACCGATATGCATGGACAGAAGAAGGGGGATATGAAGCGCAACTATTCAGAGCAGGTGGTTGCGCTGGGACGCGCTGGGACGCCGGAGGATGTAGCTGGAGTGGTTGGGGGTTATTTGGCCAGTCCTGATTCGGATTATACTACGGGGCAAACCAGTGTGGTGGACGGAGGTGTGTTTTTTACATAGCTGCCTTTGTGTCCCTATCATTAGTACTTGTGTTATTTTCTATCCGTGCAGTAGCCAAGCTTTTTTTTTTTTTATTTTATTTTTTATTTATTTATTTATTTTTTTTTTTTACATGCATATGTACTTGATTTTCTAGACAGCTCGAAGGCTTTCCCTTTCCGTTTTAGTGCTCACCCCTCGCCGCTTTTCGCTCATTGCGTAGACCTGAGCTGATCACTGAGTAGGGCTGAGCAGAGGGGTGAGTAGCCTGACTAAGGTAGCCTCAATAAACTCAACAAAGCGATGGCATCATCAATGGAACAGGGAATCGAGGTCATCATTCCTTCTGCTCCGCTTCTTACCATGCCAAATTCTCCCCAGAGATAGTGGGGTAAACTAAGCTCCCATGAAGATTCAATTCGCTCCAGAGATTACCCTATGTCTGGGAAGCGTGCTCCTAGCTCTCAAGAGCAGGATTAGCCGTCTTAGGATCCAGTCCAGGACTTTTAGGAGTCTGAAAAATTCCAGGAGCAAGCAAGGCCGTGCGGAAAACTAAGGGCATAGAACCAATCATCACAAAAGCTTACTGCTTAGGATGACAACAGTAAATGATCCCTACTGTGTAACGCCGGAGTGTACGAATTGTTATCGGATCGTTATCGTAAATATACTGTACGTAAGGAGGGTTTTATGTAGGATAATGAGCGAATCGCTTGATTCTCTATCTATGAGCATAATAGTCTGTTTATATCTGAGCGTTTCGATGGTGTGCCGATAGCGAGCTCTTATCCAAAGCTGTCGACATTTTGGTAACTAACTAGTTAGTTAACCGCGCGAGCACGGCGGCCTGAGGGATCAGGCATACATCGGTAACTAACGTAATTCCCGAGCCACCCGGCCACCCATCCATCTACTATCTACTTTATTGGCATATTTATCAACCACAACACAGTAATATTGACTATATTATCTTTCTGGACAGGCATTTGATTTATGCCCTATATT